CTTCTGAATGCCGGTCGCTGGGAATCGTATGCGGAAAGAGTGCTGTTGTTGCACTCAGGTCCTGCTTGTGGGCTTCCCCATAGGGGCAATATGGTCGGCTACCATGAGGACAGGTGGCTGGGCTGGATGGGCTCACTTTGAGCCGGTCTAGCAGCTGCAGGACTTTTCTTCTGTTGGAGGACAGAGTGGACTGTGTCCAATGGGCTGCCTTTTGCCCACTGAGCTGCCTCCAGGTATCCTGGGGGATGCTGTCTAGTGACAAGGCTTGAAGTAAGATTTGGCTGTCCATCCAGCTGGTTTCTGTACAGTGAGCTTGGGAGGGGACTGACTCGTCCTCCTGGCGGGCAGCAAAATGTCTTGGGCCAGCATGCCATTGGTCAGCAATGGACTGGAGTTGTAAACCAATAACATTGGGTGGGGGAGGGCACATGCCCCCCAGGTTGATCAATTTAGCACACTCCTTTCCCCCCAAGGGGCAGAAGATGGCATACATGGTTGTCTCCACCACCTTGTTTTATGCTCACAGCGACCCTGTCAGGCTGAGAGTTGACCTAAGCAGAGGGGTTTGAACCCGGGTCTCCCCTCGCCCTAATCCAGTTTTGTGACCAGACCACCTACACCCTGACAAGCGCTGCTTGGAGATTCAGGGCAGAGGATCCCACAGCTGGTCATTGTGAACGGTGAGGATAGGCTTTAAAATGGGATTAGACTAATACATGGCTGTGTGTGTGTTACAGAGGTTGGTGGGTTGCTGCCCCATTTGCCTTGACAGACAACGCACTGCTTCTTATGCCCTCCTGCTTATGAGCTAAGCTGTACTTAGATCGTCCAGTCTAGTGAGACTTTGTCGTTGCTGCTTTTCTGGTGTGTGTGTGTGTTTTGCTCTCCCCACCCTGTTCCCGAAGGTTGCCGAGTTGGTGTCTCAGCCTTTTTCTGCAGAAGATCTCCGCTCTCTTCTGCTTGCATCGCCAGTTCTCGCCAGAGCACAGCAGAGGAGGTTGGCACGCCAGGTCTCAAGGGCCCTTTCGGAACCTGAGACCATCCCGACATTGTGGATGTGCAGCGACACCTGATGTGGTGTTGCTGGGGCAGGTTGTGTTACCATTGTCATCACCAGCACCAGCATTTTATTCATGTGCCACTTTCACAACTGTGAGGAAAGGCTGCAGTGTCTGGGGCTTTTTAGTTTATAGAAAAGGCAAGATAGAAGTATATGCAATTTTACATGGCAATGTGAAAGTGGAGAGATTTTTTTTCTCTCTCTCTCTATCTCATAACACTAGAACTTGGGGACTTCCAATGAAGTTTAATGTTCTAAGTTTCAGGACAGATTTTAAAAAGGAATTCTTTAACTTGCTTCTAGGCAACCAGGCACAGAAGACTTTGCAAACTTGGAATAGTTGCTTCTCTCTTAAATAAAAAAACAAAAAATCAGGCTGCTGACGTGCATCCTCAATAGTTAAACAATGGAACTCTCTCCCACAGGAGGCAGTGATGAAGGTTTTAAAAGAGGTTTAGAAATGATGGCTTTGTCTCCACAGTTAGCAGCAGCAATGCTTCTGAATACCAGCGATGGCCGCCAACTGGGATAGCTTTAGGATTCAACCAGTTCATGGAGGAGAGGGCTATCAGTGGCTACTAGCTGTGATGGCTATGAAGCTAGCAAAACCTGCTTGAACAGGGGTGACAGCAGAACAAAAGCTGGGGCTGATGTGTGTTCCAAAACTGCTGGAGAGCGCCAGGTTGGCCAAGGCGCTGGATAGCAGCCTCGGGATCCCCAACCTCTCCCCAGCCACGTTCAGCTCTCTTAAAAGCAAGAGCATTCTTTGTCATTGGAGTTGTGTACCTTCTGTGGTCTCGCTATCTGGAGCCCTGTCTCCCGCCTTCAATGCCCCATTCCTAAAGTATCTCCCTTTTGCAGACATGAAACTGCCCAGGTATGAAGATCTCCATCAGAGGCCCATCTGGGTGTCCTTCCGTCGTGTGGGGTGGGGTGGGCAGGGGACCCCAAAAAGCCCCTTTTGATTGGCACTTGCTCAGCTTTTTTTCATCACCAGGGGAAGACCCTCCTCCTCTTCCTAATTTTTGTGCTTCTGCTTTTCTTCTCCCAGACCCATTTTTTGATTCTTTTAACTTTTTTATCCAGCTACAGAAGAATCTTTTTTTTTTTAGCTTGCTGTTTATAGTGGGTTTTGTTTTGTTTTAACTCCCAGGCACACTGAGATGTTTGCTTAGACCTGAAAAGCATATGTCTGAAATATTTAAAAAGTGAGTGGGGGGTGGGGTGGGCAGAGCTGTTGCATAGCTGTCAACTTTTCCCTTTTCTTGCAAGGAATCCTATTCGGAATAAGGGAATTTTCCTTAAAAAAAGGGAAACGTTGACAGCTATGACTGCTGTTGTGAGGTGCATACACAAGACATTTGGTGCAGTATTTTTTAAATACTTTTTTTTAAAGGAGGTTTTAAACCTATAACTTACAATAGCAATGAATGGTAGTTTGCTCTGTGGAGCATCCCACAGCTCAGGAGGGAGCTGGGGAGCAGTCCTTCCTCCAAGCCCTACAGAGCCACCCATCCTTCAGTCTCTGCCTTCCCGTGAGGCAGAGGAGCCCGAAGTGAGCAAATTTCCCCTCTCTCAGATCCAGGGTAGAGGGAGAATTCCTGAAAGACAGGTTTATGGTGTTACCCATGAGGCCAAGCTGGTTTTCATAAAGCCTTTTTCATGTAGGGCCCTGCTGAAATCCCTTCCATATGGGATCTCAGGCCACTTCAAAGGGGCAGTGTCAAGGGAGGCTCTGAGCATGGGAGCTTGCGGTTGTTTCAAATTAAGTTCAGTGCAATTGGATTGTGTTACCGAAGGGGCGGGCTAGCGCCTCTTTCTTCCCGCATGCAAGAAGTCATTGAGAAAACATTTTATTCTGAAAAGGTGGCTAACCAATTTATTCAATGCCGTAAATTAAGGGACAGAGTCACCTGGGCTCCCTGAGCAGAGGATCTGGTGGGTAGCAATTGCCACGAAATAGGTACATCTGGGGACTTGACAGGTCTTGTTTTGGGTGGGGAGATCAGCCAATGCAGTGTTGTTTGCCAGAGGCCTCAGCAAGGGATTGTTTTCTCTGCCCCAAATAAGCCCTCGCTGCTTGTTCCGGTTTTGCATTGAAATAAATGGGACCAGGAAGTCAAGACGCAGGGCAAATCATGCAGTTGGCCTGGCCTCAATTTATCCTGTTCAGGATGCAGGTTGGCAGGCTTTGGGCCCTTTTGCAAATTGTGGATTTGTTTGGGCTTGTAGCATGCATGGGACTGCAAGACGAAATCCAGCTTTGCAAATTATACAAAAGAGCTATTGAGGATGCACGTCAGCAGCCTGATTTTTTGCTTTTTTTTATTTAAGAGAGAAGCAACTATTCCAAGTTTGCGAAGTCTTCCGTGCCTGGTTGCCTAGAAGCAAGAAATGCTTCACCAAAGGCAACTGCCTGTTAGAAAATATTTTTAAAGCTGGTGTGGTGGGATCAGGAATAGTGTTGGACTAGGGCTGGCAAGGCCCTGGGTTCAAATCCCCCTCAGCTGTGAAATTCGCCAGGTGACCTTGGACCTGTTCCCCCCCCCCCCTCTCTCAGCCTAACCTACTTACAGGGTTATTGTGTGGATGGATAAAAGGAATCTTTTTTATATCACCCTGAGCTGATTTGGAAGAAGAGTAGAATGTGGAAAAATATTAAAGCAGTTGTTTGACAAAGTATTTTGGTGGATTAAGTAGCCTGGTTATAAGAAGTGTTTTGGTGGATTGAATAACCCAATTTTAATTCATGGGGCTGCAAGTTGAGGGCATACCTTTTGGGGTATATGTAGCTGTTTTTAGGCTGTGCTGTTCCAGAGAATGTTTGCAGAAAGGATCAACAATGGACCATCAGAAACTTTTGGTTTTGTGTGTGCTTACTGCACTGGAAGTTTCTCCCACAGCCCCTTCTGTCTCTAACCAAAAAGGCACCTTGCCACCTTGATGGTTTTTGTGATGGTTTGGGCAACATGCAAATGTCATTGATTAAACGCTCAGCAGTTTGATTAGTTGTCCTGGCCACTCTTTAATCGTTTGATGACCCTGACACAGGAAGCTGCCACTGGTTCATTCTAGCTCAGTGTTTTCTACTCTGACTGGCAGCAGCTCTCCATTGTTTCAGGAGGTGGACATTCCCGCCCTTACCTGGAGATGCCGCTGGTGGTGCTCTACCTCTGAGCTACAGCCCTTCCCCCAAATTCCCTTGGCCTGCATCTCGTGCTGTAGCTTTGCTCTAGAACCAAGGGGCATTGTGAGGAGCAGATTGAGGTTGAAAGTTAGAGGAAACTTCTGAACTGTGAGATCTGTTCAGCCTTGGAGCAGACAGCCTCAAGGGGCGGTGGGCTTTCTCCTCCACTGGAGATATCTTAAGCAGAGGCTGGGATGCTACAATTGCAACAGTCTGCATTAATTCAGAAGTGGGGTGTGCAATATGACCTTCTGAGGGCGCTTCCAACTCTGCAATGCTGATCATAGAATCATAGAACTGTAGAGTGGGAAGGGACCCCTAGCAATGCAGGAATCACAACTAAAGCATCCCTGACAGATGGCCGCCCAACCTCTCCTTTAAAACCTGAAAGGAAGGCGTCTCCTGGGGGAGTCTGTTCCACTGTCAAACAGCTCTTACTGTCAGAAAGTTCTTCCTGGTGTTTAGCCAGAATCTCCTTCCTTGTAACTAGGAGCCATTGGTTCAAGTCCTGTCCTCCAGAGCAGGAAGAAGACAGGCTTGCTGCATCTTCCAGCCCTTGAGATATTCTGAAGATGGCAGTTAGTTAATTTTAATGAAACGAGAGCAGCAACTTGCAAGCGCTGTTCAGCCCTGGAGGTGTAGCAGGAGTGAGTGTCTTCGTGCGGCAGGCAACGATCCTGCCTTCATAGAATCTCAGGGCTGGAAGGAACCACAAGGAACATCTAGTTCAATCTCCTGCAATGCAGAAATCTCCACCCCACGTGGCGCTTGGACTCATGACCCTGAGATTAAGAGTCTCATGCTCTACCGACTCTGAGCTATCGCTTTCAAATCGCCTTCGACCCTTCTCAGGGGTGGGGAGAAGGGAATGATCACCCACCTGCAGCCTTAAGGCCTCTGGCTCCGGTGGAGGGGCTGGGGAGGGGAGACTTTCTTCTCTGATGGCTCTGTGTGGGGCTCCATCTGCTTTTCTGCCAGCTCCATCCTGCAGCCTCCAGAACGGGGGCTGTGTGCTTGCAGGAGGCAGGTGGCCCTGTGTAGCGTTTGCTGCCTGCGATGGTGGATCAGCAGGGTGGAACCGCACATCCCCTCTGAAGTTTGTGCTCAGATGGCTGCTCCCGAGATACCAGGCGCCCTGGGGGGAAACCGCACGCACCCTGGAGGAGCCGGCACAGCGCAGGGGGCGGGGGGGGGGGCCTGGATCTGCTAGCCTCATGGAACATCTGTGACCCAAACTCACGCAAGGGCTCCCTCCCTCGGATCCAGGCTCTGTTCTCCCGTTGCATTTGTGACATGTGTGTATGCAACACAAGGCCTCTAGGTTCATGGAGCTGTAGAGTTGGAAAGGACCCAACAGGTCATCTAATCCAACCCCCAAGTTAACCTGTTTGTTTGTTTTCTTGAAAAGAAACAAACATCTGCAGCTAGAGGGAAACCAGCAGTGCAGCCCTGCATGGGTGGGGAAGCTCAAATGAAAGGAATTGGGTAGGTGGCAAATGTTACTTATTCAAGCTGGTTTGTCTCCTCCTACCTTTCTTTGTATACTAGGTGCAGGGAACTTTTGGCTCCTGTGGAAGCTGCTGAACTACAACTCCCAGCAGCCCCTCAGCAAGTGTGGCCAATGGGCAAGGATGGGGGTTACAGTTCAACAACTATATATAACTCCCATCTGTATTGTCTACCTGGGATAGCTCAGTTGGTAGAGCATGAGACTCTTAATCTCAGGGTTGTGGGTTCGAGCAGCACCTTGGGCAAGAGATTCCTGCATTGCAGGGGTTGGACTAGATGACCCCAGTGGCACCTTCCAGCTCTACCATTATATGATAAATGCGTCTGAATAGCAGTTGCTGGAAAGCACAGGAAGGGAGAGGGCTTCTATGCTCGAATCCTGCTTGTGGCTTTCCTGTAGGTTGGCCACTGTGAGAACAAGACGCTGGACTGACGAGGCCATTGGCCTACCCTATACAGAATATGCCCCAGGTGCTAACCAAAGAAATGGTTCAAAATGTGCACCTGTTGTTCATGCACAGAGCAGCTCATGTGACCCAAGGTCTGAAGTCACCCCCTCCTCCATTTTTTGTCCAACTTGCCAGCGTGATCCGCTTGTCTGTTACCTTCTCTCCTGTTGCACACCGGTGCTACTCTGGTTCCTGGGAAACCCAAGGGCCTCTTCTGAAAAAGGATGGAAGCCCAGCACGACCCAATTCGCCTTTGAGACAGGCTGCACTCCCAGAGTGCGGAGGCCTTTCGGAAACAGCTCGGCCGCCTTTCCCAGGAGACCACAAGCAGGGCCGTGTGGAAGACGTGGCCTTTTGAAAATTATTTTAGGAACCGGTCTCCAGAAATATCCCTGATTCATGGGAGCGTTTCTTGGTCGATCATGAAGCGGAGACGGCCATCTGTTATCTTTCTCCAACGGGGCATTGGGTCTTGCTGAGCCTCTCCTGGAACAAGGACAACTCATGCCTGTGAAATGAAACGCTGCCCACATCCTCCTCCTCCTCCTCCTTCAGGTTGCAGATGAGGGGCTGCCCCTGGATGATGGGCTTATATCCAGCCCCCAAGCCATTCGTTCAAGTGCTTGGCATTCTCTGCAACTGGACTTCTTACAGGTGTTGCGTAGTACCCGTTCTGCAGCTGTAAGAAACCAATCACTTAGCATGGAACTTTGGAACTCCCTGCCTATTGACATCAGGTTGGGGCGCCTTCACTGTACTCCTTTGATTTCCTGCTAAAAACATTTTTGCTAAGACAAGCCTACCGGGCATGTGGAATGTTGGCAACTGTTTTAATCTGGTTTAACAATCAATCCCTCTTCGCAGGGAATTCTGGGAGTTGTAGCTCTGGGAAGAGAATAGGGGGTCTCGTAACAACTCTCAGCACCCTTAACAAACTACACTTATCAGGATTCTCCGGGGGCTGTTTAAAGTAGTATGGTGCTGCTTTAATTGTATACTGCAGATGGGGCCTGAATAAATCTATTCTTACGCTACCTGGCCCTGCACTCTCCCTTATTATTTTGTGGCCTACCTTTTTTGGGGTTGGATATTTTGGAAGCTCATTCTCTCCTGTTGTTCCTTTTTTGCAGCTGGATCCCCAGACGGTGCAGACCAAGAACTGGCACATGGATGTGATTGAAATGAATGGGGTAAGAAGGGGAAACGGGTCGGGTACCACGCCCCACGGTGCTTGCCCAAGATCCCCCTTCCCTCATGCTCTCACTGCCCACCCTGGGCGCTCCTCTCCCCCACCCCTGTAGTAGAGAGTTTCTCCATTGCAGGATGTGACCTTGACCTTGAAATCTCCCTTTCAGATCAAAGTGGAGTTCTCTATGAAGTTCACCAGCCGCGACTTGAGCCTTAAAAGGACCCCGTCGAAAAAGCAGACGGGAGTCTTCGGGGTAAAAATCAGCGTCGTCACAAAGTACGTTGTGATTGGGTCCGGCGGTGGGTGCAGGGCTGCCCTGATCGGGGGGGTTGGGGGGGTTGGTGACGTTTGGGCAGAGGGGGAGGGAATGCCAGTCTGGGCCTTTGCAATATTTGTTTGTTTATTGTAATATGTCCTGCCTTTTCAGGTCTTCAGCCACTCGGGGCTAATAAGGTCCATAATATTTTTTTTTAAGACCCTACTGCTTGCAAACACAGGGAAGAGGCAGGCAGCTTCTGCAAGGGCCTGGCTTCCTCCGTGGTGTCCTGGATCTCTCCTGACCCATCTCTCTCCTCTTGCTCTGTTGCTTCCAGGCGCGAGCGCTCCAAAGTGCCCTACATTGTGCGCCAGTGTGTTGAGGAAGTGGAGAAGCGCGGCATTGATGAAGTGGGGATCTACCGGATCTCAGGGGTGGCCACGGACATCCAGGCCTTGAAAGCAGCCTTTGACGCCAGTAAGTTCCCCCTTGCATCTTTGCTGCTGCCATGCCAATTTCTTTCTCTATCTCATGGCTTAGCCAAGGATCTCTTCTCTGAGAGCAGCCAGACCCCAGTCTTTGTATCTGGCATTCACACGAGTATGCTGCCACTAAACACGGAGGTTTTTATTTAGCTGTTTTCTCTAATACAGTGGTACCTCAGGTTACATACGCTTCAGGTTACATACCCTTCAGGTTACAGACTCTGCTAACCCAGAAATAGTACCTCGGGTTAAGAACTTCTGGATGAGAACAGAAATCGTGCTCCGGCGGCGCGGCGGCAGCGGGAGGCCCCATTAGCTAAAGTGGTGCTTCAGGTTAAGAACAGTTTCAGGTTAAGAACGGACCTCCAGAATGAATTAAGTACTTAACCTGAGGTACCACTGTAATGCTTTTAGGACAGTTTTAACTGTAGCTTCTCTTAGAGCCAGCATTGTGTAGTGGTTTAAAGTGACGAGGGTTCAAATCCCCACTCGGCCATGACATGTGCTGGGTGACCTTGGGCCAGTCACTGCCTCTCAGCCTGGCCTACCTCATAGGGCTGTCGCGGGAGACTAAATGAGGAGGGTGAGAAACACATATGCCACCTTGAGCTCCTTGGAGAAAAAGGTGGGATATAAATACAACAGCAGCAGCAACAACAACAACAACAACTGTCTTGAATTGTAATTGTTTATAGAATGTTTTAACTATTTTAGATGGTTTTTTAATTGTGTATTTGTTTGCTGCCCTGGGCTCCTTCGGGAGGAAGAACCAGGGTATAAATTCAATAATAGATAAATCATTATAATTTATTTAGCTACTTTTGTACACAGCTGCGGGCAGGATTCCTGCGTCGTAGGCGGTTGGACTAGATGACCCTTGGGGTCCCTTCCAACTCTATGATTTTATGTTATTGGATTTCCATCAGCTCCAGCCAGCTTGGAATGATGAGAGTTGGGAGTCTGCCTACATCTGGAGGGGCACCATGTTAGACACTCCTGGCTTAATAGATAAACATTTGGCTGCACCATTACGGATATTCAGTAAACACATCTGTCCAAGTGCCTAAAAGCAGCAGTCAAAATGTGGAAGTGCAATAAGGCATTGTTAATATTTGTAGAGGGACATTGTCCAGCTTGATGAATGGGGAAAGATGTGTCTTCCAAAGACACCTGAAGCAGGTCTCTGCTGTAACAGGAGAGGGAAGAGTCTTCCAAATATTGGGGACAGCAGCAGTAAATGCCTTTTTAACCCCCCCCAGTCAGTTGCCTGCCCCTAATCTCACCCTATTCTTTGCAAATGTATCTACTCCTTTTGTTTTAAAGCCAAGTAAGCTATCACCTCATCTTATGGGTCTGAAGCCAGATGGCTGAATTGAAAAGAAGAAAGGGAATTAGCTGGATCTTGGCCTGATCTAGCAGGGGAATTCTTGAGGATGGTGGGGGTGGTTATATAGCTTCAGTGGCAGGGCCTCAGCTTTGCATACAAAGGTCCCAGGTTCAGCCTCTAGCACCTGGCAGGTGAAAAAAGAGGAAGATCAGGTTAGCAGACAATGGGAAAGATCATCTCTCTCTCTCTCTCTCTCTGCCTCAGACCCTGAATATCTGCTGCCAGTCAGAGTTCACAGTATTGAACTAGGTAGACAAAGAGTCTGATCTGGTATATAAGGCAGCACATTCCCCTTCCAGCATTCCTCTTTCCTTTGTTTCAATTCTGCCGTAGACAGCAAAGACATCCTGATGATGCTGAGCGACATGGACATCAATGCTATCGCAGGCACCCTGAAGCTGTATTTCCGCGAGCTCCCTGAGCCTCTTCTCACGGATCGGCTTTATCCTGCTTTTATGGAGGGTATCGGTAAGGGAGCTTGTGTTACATGTATCTGCATAGATGTGGAGCAGGAATTTCTTGATACAGGCCTGGAGCTCAGGATTCAGGGAGTGGGTGAGACCCTAGTCAGGACCACAGGACAAAGAGGGCAGGGGCAAGTTGTCTGTATCATTTCTCTTGCATCTGGATAGGCGTAGAAACCCCAGATATGGCCTAACAACCAACACATCTTTGCAGCACCTCTGATTGTTAATTTCCTTTTTGTGTTTTATTCTCCCCTGCCCCCAAGCCCTGCAACCAGCTCAGGGCAATATGCGTAGAGTTTATTATTTTTATTTATTTATTCAGAGCATTCATACCCTGCTCTTCAGCCCAAAATGGCTTACATACAGTCAGTTAAAACGAGACAGTCCCTGCCTGCAGGTTTACGATCTGGAAAAGCACAGCACACAAGGAAAAAAGGACAAGGAGGGAAGAGGAAAACATAAAAGTCAGGCACCAGTTCTTAAACTGTTGCTCGTATAATGCCTGTCTGGCACAGTTCATGGGTAACAGAAGCCTGGTGGAGCTGGGCTTTCAGGCAAAACTGATGGAATGAGCCCTGCTTCCCATTGCTCCCACCCAGGCAGTCTGCAGAATGGCTGCCCCTGGAAACAGTCTGATGAAGTTACCTCGTTTTATTAAGGGGGGAGGCTGTTACTTTGTGGTAGAGCCCCTGCTTAGCATGCAGAAGTTCCTAGCTTCAATCCCTGGCAACTTATGAGTAAAAAGGAAATGAGAGAAACCTTTCTTTGCCTCAGACCTTGGAGAGCTGCTACCAGTCATTTGGACTAGAAGGACAAATGCTTTGAGCTGTCCATCTTCACAGCCACCCTGAGAAGTAGACCAAAAACAGAGCATCTGGAGAGCTTTATGGCTGTCTGAGGTTTTGATGCTGAGCATTGACAGTCTGTATCTACTGCCCCTCACTGGGTCTTTTGAGAATGAGTGTGCAGTTTGGACTTTGGTGGTTCTGGGTACATTAGCAAGGCTTTTCCAGAGTGGTTGGGGTGTGGGCGCTTGCCAGCTCTCTTACTGCCACCTTTCCACCCCCAGCACTCTCTGACCCAACAGCCAAGGAGAACTGTATGATGCACCTTCTACGTTCTCTGCCTGACCCCAACCTCATCACATTCCTCTTTCTGCTAGAACACTTGAAACGGTAAGTCCCTCCTGTCTCGAGAACAGGGAGACTGAATCTCTGCAATTGGGTAGGGCCCAGAGTACAAGGAGCCTGATATTTTGTTTCTTTATCTATCTTTTTTTTATCCTGCTGTTCGACCCAGAAAGTCAAAAAGTGGCAAACAAATCAAAGTCTAGCCAACCAACATAGCAAACTTTTTTTAAAAAAAGAAATGCTAGAATGGCAAAAATACTAAATTCATTCAAGCCAGGGCCAAGCATTGGTAAAACAGTTGTTGGAAGAGGATCTAAGCAGATCGGCCAAATGAAATGATCTCTGGCTGGTGCTGAAATATTTGGCTGGTGCCAGGAGAGCTCCCATGTGGAGAGCATTCCAAGGACTGGGGGGCCACCACCACAGAAGCCCCGGAGAGGGGACCCCCACTTCCCAGACTAGCTCTGCCTTTTGGCTGCAAGATCAGCTCTTTGTGTCTCATTGGAGAGCTGATGATCCGTTGCTGGGAAGCACAAGTGTGGAGAGCACTGCTGTTGTGCTCTGGTCCTGCTTTCAGGCTTTCCCCCCAGGGCACCTGGTGGGATGCTGGACTAGGTGGGCCTGATCCAGCAGCCAGTCTCTTCTGACGTTCTTGTGTTCAGGGTCCACAGCAAAGGGAAAAACCCCGTTCCTAATTTTCCACTTGCTTCCCTTGGGGCGGAGCAGAGTTCAGCGGCAGGTGCAACTCTCTTCATATAAGGAGAAACTGCTCGCAGACTGTCTGGAAACCTCAGCCGCCTCTATAGATCCTGAAAGGGAGATGACAGAGGGGTTTAAGGCGATGGCGCTGTCACCTAGCAGCCTGCTCATGAGGGCTTGGATGCGGACAGGCTCCGGCCTCCTCCCTCCCTCAAGTCACTCGGCTTCTGCCGAGGACATGGAATCGATGTAGGAGCTGCGGCTTGGCCGAGTGCCGGGCAGGCCAAAAGCTCCTCTGCACCAGTGGGAATTTGGGGCTGGAATCTTGTGTTAATTGGCACATCCCTCTTCCCTGTTTTGTTTGTTAAGAATCAAGCAGGGGGGAGGGGGGGAGAGAAGGATGATCCAGCAGCAGAAAGAGGTGGTTGTAGGACGGGGGGAGAGCAGCGCTGCGTCCTGGAAGGAAAATCCACTTGGCTCTCAGCTCGGAAGAGAGGGCACATCCAGTTCCCACATCTGTTCTGCTGGACACCACTCAAATGGAGCACAGCTTGTGTTATTGGGGCTGGAGCGCAGCTGCCTCCTAACATGGCAATATTTTGACGCTGGTTTCCAAGGCAATAGCTGGCCATGGACCAGCACAGCCAGCAGTAGTTTCCGGGGAAGGTGTGTGTGTGCTGGAGGACGTTTTGGATGATTTCCAGAGCCAAAACCTCAGAGGGCAAGTTGGCAGGGGGCGGGAACTGGGAAAAGCGGATGGTGCCACGTCAAGGCGGGAGTTTGAAGCTGGGATTGTGTTGCTTTCACATGTGGAAATTGTGTGTGTCCAGAATGAGGGGTCAGGCAAGGAGAAAGAGAGAGGGGGGAAATGGTGAGAAATTCCATCTGATCTTCTCCAGCTGGGCTATGGTGGAAAAGCCTGCAAACCTTGTCTTAGCTGACTTGGAAGGCCGCGCCAAAATCTTGCGAGTCTTTTTGAAATGGGTCTCTCTCTTTGTCTTTTTACGCAGGGTGGCTGAGAAGGAGCCCGTCAACAAAATGTCCCTGCACAATCTGGCCACTGTGTTTGGCCCAACGTTGCTGAGACCTTCTGAGGTGGAGAGCAAAGGGCAGCACCTCACGTTGGCCTCAGATATCTGGTCCCACGACGTAATGGCGCAGGTACAGTGGGTGGGGAAGAGGGGGGGGAAGCAAGCAGAGGATTTGACTGCGTTTGGATGGGCAAGCTCCCTCTGCTGGGCAAAGTTTCAAACTTCACCCTGGAAGCGCAGCTGCTCGAGCGCACGCTCTGTGTGTGTGTGTGTGTGTGTGTGTGTGTAGAGGGGGGGGGGGAGAGAGAGAGAGAGAGCGCTTGCTCAGGTAGACCTTAATTTCATTTTTAAAACCTCCGAACTTGTATTAGCTTCTTGTGCATTAATCTTTTTTAAAGCGTAGTGGATAACATTTTAAAAACTGCTTTAGAATTTGGAGAGGAATTGTAGCTTAGTGGTAAAGCATACACTTCGTGTGAACTGAGCACAGAAATGCTGCTTCCAGACCTGCTTCATTGCTCAATAAATGTCCCATCTGTCTTTGCCCAAATTCCTGCTGGGCCCCCTTAATTGGAGGGGCAGTTTGAGGGGCTGGTTAAATAACTGAAAGAGAGTGAGTGCGTATGTAGCAGCTCCTGGGCATGTTGCAGCTCTTCCTAAAGCTGGCCCTTCTGGGCTCGTCGCTCTGTTCCTGCTGTGCTTTTTATTCCATCAACTTTGCAGTGTGGCAAATAAGAAAATCCGCAGGGATTCCATCAGAAGACATCTCTACCTATCAAGAACTGTTCTCTGTTGGGGACACTTTGCAGTGTGTGTGAGACTACCCTGATTTTAACCCCCTTTTCCTTTTGCAGGTGCAAGTGCTACTCTACTATCTACAGCACACGCCCATCTCCTTTGCGGAGCTCAAGCGCAACGCACTCTACTTCTCCACAGACGTGTAGCCCCGGGGCCCTGCAGCCACCTGCATTTTCCTAAGCCGAGGGGCGCAGCACAGACTCATGAATCCGAGCACGGATCCTGCTGAGAATAACGTCGCTGCCCTGGAACCAGACGCTGCCCCATACCTCATGGGACGATTTTGTATCAGCCCCACACCCTTCTTTCCCCCCTGCCCACCTCCCAGCACAGTAGTCCACGTCTCTCATACTTCTTGTGTCCAGGAGTCATTTTTTACTTTCCATTTGTTGAGCAGTGGGAAGGAAGTGAGCGACGGATGAAGACACAGCCTCTCGTTTCTTCCCAAAAATGGTTGCCGCCTTCTGGGTCCAATAGAGCTTCGCTGCAGCCAAGTCCTCTCCTCCAGCCGGCCTCGCCACCCGCAACAATGCTTGATCTTTTTTGCTCCCTGCCTTTGTGGCCTGCATGTACGCTGCTTGCTTGGATTTTCCTGCTTTTGGAGGCTTAAGGAGGACACCAAGGGCTCTTCCCCCCGTCCTGGCCAACCTACATTCTCTTCGCTTTTGTCTCGCCTGACAGATCTGGTTGCTGAAATCTGCATTCTTTTACCCCAGCTGGCAGGGCTGAAGACAGCAACATTTTTGTTTTAAGAAGCCCTGCCTATTCCAGCTCCCCCCACTTTTTTAATGCTGGGGGAGCCTCTCGTCCTGTGACTCCTGTGCCTCGGTAGGCTTTGTAACTGTGCATAATGTGGGGGGGGGGTAAAGCAGCCATCTTCCTGTTTTATTCTGTAAAAAGGTTTTAAAAATGAACCTTGATGGCAGGAAAGTGAAGAGAAAGTGGCTGTTTGCTAGTCATAGATGTGTGTGTGACAGAGAGTGATACCTACCTCCCCATCCCCGCCGCCCTGCTGTGTTGCCCACAATCACTTTATTTATGGTTAGATTCTCTTGGGACTAATTCAAACTTAATCCTTAGAAAGGAAATCAGATCTTAATGCAGGAGAGAGTGTCCTGCTCCCCACCCCTGAAAGGATTATTTGGCTGGCCGAGAGGAAGGCAGGAGGCTGGTTGCCTTGTGGCCATGCCTCTTGCAGGTGGCTCTCGCTAGCCAAGCCTGGCCAGGGAGCCAGCGGGTATTTCCGCCTCCTCCACATGGCTTCGATCCAGCCCAGCCATCCACTGGGGCTGTTGGGCACCTTTCCCCCAGGAGGGTGTCTGGAAAAGGGGCCGTTTCTCCGTGCTTCACGTAGCATGGCTTACAGGGTTCAGCTAAGGAAGACTCAGGTTGGATGTCAAAGGTATCATTTCAGCCCTTAAGAGCCTTCACCACCTGCACCCCCCATTTCCCTCTTTCTGCGACAGACCGGGTGAAGCAGCCGAGGAGAGTGCAGCCCTCCGAAGGAGTGGGGGCTCTGTGTTCCCGATTGCCACCCCACTCACACACCCAGGTGCCAAGCAGCAATCCAGCAATAAGTTGTATTGGCAAGCTAGACAGCCCTTTGTTTCATGGAGAAGTCCCCCACCCTCACAAGAGAAATTACTTCCAGGCCTGCCCCTCCACGTTAAGTGACTTCGGCCACACTTTCTGCCCAGGACAATGGAATGTTCTGTGGCCCACTGTTCAGGGACCAGAAATATTTTGTTGGCCAGAGTTGTTATTTTTCGGGCCCTCCTGCACAGATCTTTGTGGGTCTGCATCTACCTGTATGTATGTGTCTGTGGAAGCTGAAGTCATTCCTAAGCCAGAGCGCCTCCGCGCACTTCTGAGTGTCAGAATCTGATACCAGCATAGCCAGCCCCCCCCCCCCCCCGAAAACTGCACTTGCTCTTTTTTCTGACGGTGAGGAAGGGGAGACTGGGACTCCTGGAGCTACAGGTTAGATTAGAAACTGTATAATTGATATTTGACTTGTTTAAGGATATATATTATATATATATATATATTTTTGGTTGTGTTCCGTTGCAGGTTTTTTTCTCCCCTCTCTGTAGATGACAAACTTTAAATGGATGTAAACCATGTGAGGAGATTAAAAAAAAAAAAAAGTTAATAAAATGCAAAGCCCAAACATTTGCACAAATTACTTCCGGGGTGTTTGGTCTTTTGTATCTCAATCGGTGTTTAAAAAGATTTGGTGTAACTAGCTTGGACACATGACAGGAGTAATAGTTCAATTGGTAGAGCACCTGGGAGACCCTGCCTGAATCCCTGGAGAGCCACTGCTGCCAGTCAGTGTGAGATGTGGGTGCCCAGTGGTCTGACTCAGTAGAAGTCAACATCCTAGGCATCTAATACAGAAGCAGCCAATGTGCTGCCCTCCAGATGCTGCTTAACTAAAACTCCCCTCACCCTTGACCACTAGCTAGGCCGGACACTGGTGCTGATGGGAACTGGGAGTTCAATAATACCCAGAGGTACCACTTTGGCTCCTCTTGTTCTAACAGCCACTCGATCTATACCACCTTCCGCTCCCTTGCTCATAACTGTAGTCTAGCTGCATTTCCCCTCCTGTACAGGGATTATGCAAGGGAGAGGGAGGACCATGTCTTGCACATCTAGCTATGAGCACACCTGTACCACATGACAGAATTCATGCAAGCAATTGATCCCATGCCGTTATTAGGGGCTGTTGCAGCTCAATAAGCAATTCTGCCAATAGGAAGGGGGCTGGCAAAGGGAAATAAAGGCGGGGGAGAGTGGGAAAGCTTAATTATTCGGCCTGTGAAACAGCATTATTTCTCCCAGGCAACTAGGGCTGTTGCCATGGGAATGCCAAGATGGGTGCCTAGTGTGCTTCCATCCTCCTGTTCGGTGTCACTTCACAAACCAGCTCTGAACACATGAGTGCCCCCCCCCGCCCGTTTGTGATCTTTTAATTACAATTTCACAGCAAGTCCCAGTGGTGGTGCTGATTAGTGAGAGGGGGCAGAAAGCCCCAGGTTCAGTACGCAGCATCACAATTTGCTGTGGGGGGTGGAGAGCACGCAATATGATGCTGGCCTTTGTCTGATGCAAAACCAACCCAGAATGCAGATTTAGAACCTGCTGTAGAAAAAATAATTTAGTGGAGGGAGGCAGTGAGTCTTGAAGGCAACTTCCCTTCAGTCTAGCATGAAAAGAAGCCCCTCGCCTTGAACCAGTGATGCTGAGCTGCTCTCACCTCCAAAGACACAGCTGGGCACATTCAACACCAGCCTATGCACTGACAAGCTATAACTGCCTAGTTTAAGTAGATCATCAAGAAGTCCCACCTACCTGCTGCGCTGCCTCACTGAAGTCCTCTGGAGACCCCCAACAGTGCTGTACCGGAGTGGGGAAAGAGCGGTCTCCCTGATGTAGCACTGCAGTTCATAAACCATCCAAGTTCTTTGGTGTTTTATTTCAGTTTCTCTTTTAAGACGCTTCAGCCAGTTGGAAGCTCTCCTGACAAGCACCTGTAACATCTGCAGGGGACAAAACCCCACTTTTTCTTGGTCACTGGCAGAGTCATCCTCTCTTTTCTTCTAAAGGTCTCTTCCCAGAATGTACTGTAGTACGGAGAGGGGCCCTAGGTTACCAAGCTTAGTGTGGGAGGCAGGAGAGCTGCTTCCAGCTTTACACTGTCTGTACCCAAGAGAATGTACTTTACTTCTTACTATCGTATAACAGGAATCTACAGATAGCCTCACTACTGGATCCTTCTAACCCAGTACACTGTTTCCAGCAGTAATCAGCCAAACGTCTCTGCAATGTGCAGAGGCAGGGAATGAAGGCAACAACCCTCCCCTGCTGTTTGGTGTTCAAAGGTATACTGCCTCTGCAAAAGGAGGTTCTATGTAGGAAACACGACTAATAACCGTAGAGCGATCTCGCCTCAATGAATTTGTAGGTGTCAAGCTCCATTTCAGAAACCTAAGCTAAATTTGATATTCATTGACAAACAACTAGCCACAGCATCTTTTACATGATAGGAAATATCGTTCTTGTTTCATTAGCATCAAACACTTGACAAGGCCTGGAATAAGTTAAATCTTTCAATTTTCTCCTGTATCCGACATAGTTATGAAGCTACGAGCTTGTGTTTGTAGCAAGTGCTGACATGCTGTAACAGCTTTTATGCTTGCCACAGCAAATGCATACACTTAGCAGAAGGAGTTGATAGAATACAGTCAGTCCTTGGAATTAACACCTAGTCGTACCTCTCCAACGATGTTTGAACAACACTTTGCTTAGATGACTCGCTGACTCTGCCCACGGGCTGGATGCATATCCTGTTTTCTAGGACACAGCTCTCAGAAACCTTTCCCCTTTCCTTAATCGGTTGTCAGGAACAGGAAAGTGAGTTGGGCCAGCTGTCCTGCACAGTTCACACCAGAAGGTTCCCATTCATTGGCATCAGCTGCTACCGTAAGTAGTAGTCAATCACTGCAGAGAATGCAGCAAAGCCCCCACAGCCAAGGACCCCGGCTTTCAGGCCAGCTGCAAGGCAAAAGGAGAAGGCCGTCAGCACAACAGCACATAATCAAGTTTCTTTCCTGTAGCTAAGCCTATATTGTTGGCTGGAAAGCAAAAAAGATCACTTCCACTAGCAGGTTTGATCCCAACCCCTTGTAAAATATTCCTTTTCTTTCAGCCCTACAGAGGATGACCTGAACCAGGTCCTGGCCCTAGAAACTGGAGCACTCAGTAAGATCAGAAGCAACAACTCTTGGCTGCAAACACAGAGATGGGATTCAGGTAGCACCAGCTGTCTTTCCCTCTCAAAGAAGTTTAAACCAATCGGACCCAACATAACAAGCTTAGCTAGAAGCTGTTCAGAAAACCATTTAATGCTCTTAGGGAAGATTAACACTTTTAATTTTTAACTTGCCCGGCTCCAGCTAGCTCAGTATGGTTTACACCGAATGGCAGCAGCTCTGTAGGTTTGTAGTCCTTTTCCCAGCTCTACTTGGAGATTCCAGTGGGGACTGAAACTACAGGCCATCCTAAGGATTGAACCCTTAGTCAAGGCAGAGGTTCTCCTTCCATGATCCAAACAGTCAGTGGGGAAAACACCACCTGACTGAGCCACAGCATCTACAGTGGCCACAAGTCAGCTTATGAGGACAAATCCCTGTATAAACAGAAAAAAGCATCTGTCTGTCAGCGGAAGGTCATCAGAGAAAGGATGAGACAATTCACCTTCAGCAAGCAGTTCCAGCACCTTGGAGCAGGTGCTAAGACTAACAGCACAATTCTAGGCATGTCTACTACAGTAAGTCCTACTAAATTCAGTGAGGCTTATTCCAAGTTAAACAGGGCCAGGATTGTAGTCAGGCGTGGGGAACTTGTGGTCCCCCAGATGCTGCTGAGCTCCAACTCCCATCAGCCACAGCTGCCACAGCCTAGGATAGGAGAGGTGGGAGTTGCAGTCCAACATCCTGCTCTGTGCTATGGCTCATATTACTTCCTGGCCATAACATTTAGGAGCAGTAGAGCCTGCAGCATTCTGTCTTTATCAGGATCCAAATGAGCCCAGCAACTGCTCAACGGCAACACGACTCACCCCGGAAGCCAATGGCCCCTCCAGTAATGCACCCACTCATCACGCTGTTCTTCCAGTCAGTCTTGCCTCGATACTAGGAAAATGAGAAACACAACATCAAGACCAGCCACATGAATCTCTGCATACAGCATCAATTCTAAACCACGCAGGCCCCAGATGTCTGAAAGACCTCCTCCTCCTACGGACCCTCCTGAGTGTCACTATTGGCAGAGGGTGCCCTCTTGGTCCACTGCCCTTGAAAGTTCAAAGGGTGGGGTGGCCTGGGAGAGGGCAATTTCTGTGGCAGCCCCTAAGCTGTGGAATTCCCACAAAGGTGAGCCAGGCACCTTTTGTATTTATTTCATACAATTTATATACAGCTTGATTGTAAAAAAACAAAAACAAAACACCAACCCTCAAAGCAATCGTCATAAGCTTTCATCATATACTGAAAATCCACATCTTTCAGGACCCACCCTATTCTTGCGACTAATTTATCTGAAACTGTTTTTAATATTTTATCTTGTATAAATAGTTGTATCTGGCCCAGGGCACCTAAGAAACACTGCAATAATCAATTAATCAATCACAATAGCAGTAGCAGTGCTGCTTTTGTACTGTTGGGTGGGGAATAAATCTAGTGGCTTGAGATGAGAACATGAGAGTTCCCCTGCTGGGTCAGGTCAAAGTGGCCAACTAGATGAGATGCCCCAGTGGGAAGACCAGAGATATTCAGGAGTTGTCACTTTTAGTCATGCATACAGTCCTACTGAAGACTGTGGCTTTAAGGCTGGCATGAATGACAGCTTACAGTGTAAGATGTTATATTTAAATAAGAAAATCATTACAAGAAACCAGCAGATCAAAGCCGGAGAGATACTCACAGACTCCACCAGGCATTCAGTGCAGGAAAACATGGCACCGACAATGGCAAAATTCTTGGCGTAGGACATCCCTCTTTGCCCCATGTCTTTCAGGACCTCTTTGGCTGTTGGCGTGCGGTACGGATCCTTGGGGTCAAACCCCACATTGGTATCGATGCCGGCCGTGAACACACCAAAGGCACCTCCCAGCACGAATCCTGCCAAGTAAACAGAAAAGTTGGCAAGGCAGTTAGCAGGGTGACAGGCTCCAAAGTCCATTTCAGTGTTGTTTCTCAGAAGCATCCTCATCTCCTCAATTTCAGGCCACTCTGCTCGGACACATGAAATCAGGGGAGGCTTGTGGCCCATCTAATTCAGTATCCTTTTCTCACAGGGGCCAACCAGATGCCTCGATGGTAAGCCCACATGCCAGCGACATAGCTAGCTGCTCGAGCACCCGGGGTGGCACAAATGCCCTGCACCCGGGGGTGGGGCAAGCTGGGGCAGAGCATGATGTGCGAAACCTCCACGGAGTCTGCAAGCCCCAAGTTGCTGTTTTGGGCAGTGCGGAGCCTGCAGGTACCCAAGCCACCGCGTCACTCCCCAGGAGAGATGTGCGGCTTGGGCGCGCTGCAGGCCAGGCTCTGTGGTCACCCCCCTCAGTGATGACACCCAGGGCGGCCCGCACCCCACTTCCTACGCCACCGCTACAAGCAGGACCTGCATGCAACAGCACTCCGCTCCCCAGTTCTGTTTCCCAGCAAACTGGCAATCAGGGCCATATTGACTCCGACAATGGAAGAAAAACATAGCCATCAAGGCTAGTAGCCACTGATCACCTTTACCCTCCATGAATCTGTCTAAACCTCTTTTAAAGCCATTCACTTTGGTGTCCATACCTGCTATGTACTGCGTGAATAAGCCATTTCTTTTGTCTGTCCTGAATCCTTCAACGCTCAGCTTCATTGCATGTCCCTGAGTTCTAGCGTTATGAGACAAACGTTTCTCTCTCCACTTTCTCCATGCCATGAATTATGTTATCTATCTTCTTTCATGTCTCCATTGACTCTCCTTTTCTCTAAACTAAAATGTCTCAAATGCTGCAGCCTTTCCTCATGGGGCTGTTGCTCCATCCCCTTGATCATCTTGGCTGCCAGTTTTTGAACCTTTTCCACATCTAAAACATCCTTTTGAACCATACACAGTGCTCCAAATGTGGTCGCACCATAGATTTGCATAAAGGCATTATTATATATACCCAACATCCTGCCACTTAATGCTTTGCAGCTGATGAGCCCACTAAAGAAAAGTGCATTCATTAAATGTTTAATAAGCAAGTGCACAATTCTTCATTACTATTATTGAGCTCTAAGTGCTCTAAAGTGCCATACAGATGCTTTTCTATACCACTAAAGGCTCAATAATAGAAAGGACGTATTTTTCGACGGCTTCCAAATGGGCATGCCTTTATGAATGACACTGAAACTCTCCTGCTTCTTTATTAGCCACAAATATATTGTGGGCCTGCAGGAAAACTTTTAATAGGTCTTGATATGCCATCGCTAATAGTAATTTATGGTGCTCTTTTCACTTGTGGTATTTTTGCAACAACCCTGCAAAGTAGGTTGGTTCTTCATAGCCCCAAGTTGTAGAAGCTGAGAGATGCAATGCTATATAGAATACATCCACAATGATTGTTATTAACCACAAATATATTGTGGGCCTGCAGGAACGCATTTTCACAAGGCTTGCTGTGCCATTGCTAATAAGCATTTTATAGTCTTTTCCCTTGTGGCTGTTCTTGCGACACCCTGCAAGGTAGTGCTTATTAGCCCCAAGTTGTAGAAGCTGAGAGATGCAATTTAGTTTATTATTATAATTTTTTATACCCCAGCAGGATAAGCAGAGTATAAATGAAATTATTATTATTATTATTGCACCTCTCAGATTCTACAACCTGGGGCTAATAATAAAAATTAGAAATTTAAAATAATAAATTTAAAATAATAAAACATAAAATAATTTAGAATAAAAATCCACATTGTTATTCACCACAAATATTGCTGCACCGACGCTAATGAGCATAACTGACGCATGCGCTCTTCGCTTAAGGTCTTTCTCACGACAACCCTGCAAGGTAGGCCGCTGGGAAGGCCCGAGAAGTAACTTTTCGCAAAACCAAAAAAGAGACGCCCCACCACCAAACGAAACCCCTCTTTCCCTCCCTCCTCACCACGACCTCCTCACCCCCGACGCAGGCCAGCGCCGCCTTGAAGCCGCAGCTCTCCATGGCCCGCTCGACCATCTTTTGCTCGGGGCTCTTGGCCGGCGCCGGGAAGCCCCCAAGGGCGGCCGGGTCCAAAGCCCTCGCCTGCCTCGGCCCACGCTTCTCGCCCACCAAGTGCTCCAGCAAGAGGCTGTACTGCAGCGCCCCGGGGGGCACCGCAGCTTCGTCGGGCCTACTCGGGCCCGTGGAAGATGAGGCCGCCGCCATAACTGTCCGTTCCCCGCCTCAGAAAACCAAGACTACGGCTCCCGTCATGCCTTGCTCCGCAGCGCCCGGCTCTCCCAACAGGATTCGTGCTGCCGAGGCTCACGGGAAATGTTGGCCGCTTGGCCGTTTTTAAACTCAACACTGCGCAAGCGCCGTCTCTCAAGCCGCTTGCCGCCGCCGAAACTACGACTCCCGGCATGCACTCCAGGCGCGTCGCTCTGCTGGGATGGCCTTAAGCAGCATGGGACGTGTAGTTTTCTGGGGCGGTGGAAGAGCTTGACTTGCGCGAGGTGGCCCCCTGCCGGGCGTGCCAGGAGCCGTTGCATAGGAGAGAGTTTGCAAAGGAGGACCAGACGGGAGCATCTTTGGAAGGGACAGGTAAGTGTGCTCCAGGTGAGGCAGGCCTAGAACTGACGGGTCCTTGAGGGCTGCTGCTGAGGGAGAAAAGAGGCACCCAAATTGTGTAAAGGGGCTCCCTGATATTGCAGAGGGGGGCTGAATTATTATACCATATTATATATTCAATTAATAATTACATTATTACAATGACCTTTGTCTCCCAATGTCTTTCTGCTACTCTGACCAACTATATCATACTATCTGGGTTGTGCTATTTTTATCTGACTCTCCATTCAGTGTGGCTCCTCCATATCCCTTTTTATCCTCGCTAAAACTTTATTAGGTGGGTTAGGCCGAGAGGTGGCAGTTGTTCCAAAGCCAAGGTCACTCAGTAAGCTTTGTGGCTGAGTTGGGGCCTTTCTGGGCCTAACCTGACGCTCTGTCCCACCAGGGCCTGTGGCATAGTGAACTTTTAAAATCTTTAAAGTACCCTGGGGCTTTCCAGGAAGTTATGATAATGCTTGAATGTGGTTAAATACAAAGTGGCTGGTTGACAATGTGTTATTATTAATTAAATTTGTATACTGTCCTTCATAACATAAATACATTGACTGGCACACCAACTCTAATTAAGAGTTGGGGGTGTGAGGAAGACTGGTGACTCAGAAAATAAGTACCGGTATTTTTAGATACTTGAAGGTGGTTTGGAAATGGCCCTGCCACGGAGCAGTTGATTTGGGATGTTGCGAAAGGCCAGCAGATTAATTATTTAATATTTTTATTATTATTACATCCCACACCCAAGGAAGAAGCAGTTGTGGGATTTCCCCCCCCCCTACAGTTGTTGACATCCATATGTCTGGTGAACTGAAGTCAGTGCTATTTTTCAAGAAAAAGAGGTGCTGGAACTCACAATGAACTCCTCCCTTGTCTTATAATGGCAATGGCACCCACCTGAGAGGTGCTGGAGCTGAGTTATGGCGGGGAAAATCCCTGGGTGAAGTCAAACTGTTGGATAGTTACAGCGTCTGCTGTGGCTGTAGAGACTGATATGGGAGAGACATGTTTTGTTGTTGCTGGGGCAGATGGAAGGCGTCCGGTGCTGCTGCTGCAGATGTTGTTTCTTTTTGTGCTCCTCCCAGCGGTCATTCCTCCTCTGGTCACTGCTGTGGATATACAACTTGACCGTTTTGTCTCCAGGCACTGCAAGGACATATGGCAGGACAGGCCCATGCAGAGTGGGGGGCAACTGGGTACACTTGCCCCAGGCTTCAGGGGGCTCAGTTGGTTGGGGCCCCCCACCAAGGACCAGCTGAATTTTTGTCTGTTTATAATTTTATTCTAACAAGACTCCTGCTCCAGGTCTCAGACAAGCTCTGCACAGGCCTGTGACAAAGTTAATGTTGCCAGTCCTTCCTGTCGCATTAGCAGACATCTTTGTGCTGCAGAATTGGTCTGCCGATAGGCCTTGTCCCTGAAGCCAGCTCTCCATAGAGTACGTCCTTGGGGATCCTGCCATCTTCCATTCTGTGCTGCTTAGTGTCCCTCAAGTGTCCCAGAAACTTTGCCAGCTTTACTGTGCATCTTGACTCCATCTCAGGCACAAAGTGTCTTGGGCCACCCCTGGAATAGCAGGTTTTCATAGTGCACTTGTTTTCACATTGGGGAGTAAGCAGATGTTGTAGGCTTTTGAATTGCCTGCCAAACCTATTTAACCCAAGGAAATAGCGTGGAATGTGATGGCTCTTTCTCCAAAATGCCTCCTGCATCTGCCTAAAGCTGATGAGTCTCTTCTGGCACCAACAGTTGCAGGTGCTTCATTCCAGCTCAGATTTCTTGTCTATCTAAGCCAATATTGTCCACTCTAACTGGCAGCAGCTTCTGATCAGTGCCGGCCCTTCACATTAGGTGTGAAGATTTGATGTGAAGTTTAAAGCTTCGTAAGTTCAAAAACACATTGCTAGGTAGGTTATATACCATGGTGACATGATAGAAAGTTATAAAACTGTACATGGGAGAAAGAGAAAGTGGAAAGAGAAATATTTTTTCTCCTTCTCTCATAACATTTGAATCTGTGGGCATCCGGTGAAGCTGAATGTTGGAAGATTCAGGGCAGATTTTAAAAAGCTTATTCACACAGAGCATAGTTTAATTGTGGAACTCCCTGCCCCAGGAAGCAGTGATGACCACCAACTTGGATGGCTTTAAAAGAGGATTAGACAGATTCATGGAGGGGAGTTTTATTGATGGCTAATAGCCAGATTGGCTATGCTCTGCCTGCATGGTCAGAGGCAGGAATGCTTCTGAATACCAGTTGGTGGGACCCTCAGGAGTGGAGAGCGCTCTTGTGGGCTCTCTGATCCTGCAGGCTTTCTCGGTGCTCATATTCTATCGCTGCACGTGTGACTTTTTCAAAGAAGTGTGTGTTCCATTGGAAAGCCTTGCTGCGTTACATAATGCGGCCAGTGATGCTGCTCTAATGTGACATTTGCCTGCTCAACTTGGAGAGGAAAGGAACACTGTTCCATCGCCACGCTCGCTTGGAACTGCCGGTGAACCTGTCCTCCGTTCACAAGCCTGGCTTGCTCCTACCCACCCTTTGCAGAAGAATGATCATTTCTCTTCCCTGCACCCCCTTTAAATATCCCGTCACCATAGCGACTGCTGGAACAGGGTGCCTCGCTGGCAGGCGGGTGCCAGCCTTCCCTGAGTGGCTATGGCTGTTGCGGCAGAAATAATCGGTTTGCTATTTTTAATAAAGTGTGTTGAAGGAGGCGTGATTGACAGCTCGGCCCAGGGGAACCATTGCAGGTGGGGAGGAGGGAGGTTATCCCTCAAAGCGAGGGGGGCGTCACTGAACCACGAGTAAAACGGAGGTTATGGATTGGGGCCTGGGGCTCAGCGGTGGACCATGTGCTCTATGCATGCAGAAGGTCTTCGGCGAAAAAGGATCTGGCACAGAAGCAGGGGAGCATTTGCAGCCCCAGGGCCACATTCCAGAGGTGACAGTTGTAATTTTTAGCTTTGTATTGCAGGCTAGCTTCCACACACTCCGGCACACCACTGGTGGGAGGGTGTTCCACAGGGCAGGTGCCACCACCAAGAAGGCCCTCTGCCTGGTTCCCTGCAAGCTCACTTCTTGCAGTGAAGGAACCGCCATAAGGCCCTCGGAGCTGCATCTGTATGAACACTTGTCTGTTTCTCAGCCCTGGATGTCTCCCTAAGCTCTTAATGCTCAAGTTCTCTCCAGAGAGGTGGTGCTTTTGGTTATGCAACAACGCCGATCCCTCTCTTTCTCCCTGAGCAATCCAACTCAACTCTCTTCCTCTTGGGACTTTTTGCTCTCCATATGCCCTTGGATATATTCTGCCTGCCCACCCCTTGCCAGTTTCTCCTGTTTCGTGTCTTTGCTTGCTCCACCCACGCGCCATGCCCACTGCGTCGGCGGGTCCGAAATCCTGAGGAATCAGCAGTTCAGCTTGTGCGACGACGCAGGGGAAGCCGGCTGACGACTCAGCTGTTTTCTTTTTAGCTGGGCCCGGACCGCTGAGCGCCCTCGGAGGCAGCCACGCTGTCGAACTTGGCAGGATCCGCTCCCAAAGTTTCCTTGCATCGGTAGCTCCAGGCAGATCTTATTCTGTGGCCCCTGCTATCTCTACATTCCTTCAGGCCACAAGGACTGGGAGTGGATAGTTTATTAGTGGCACTGACAGCATTTAGCCCCCAAAATGGCTTGTGGTTTTAACTGGACTGCTGCCTCGTCTTCTCCCAGCTCAGAGGCTGCAGTCTGAGCGGGATCAGGGCCTTCGTCTCGCCGTCTAATTATGGGCCTGTCCAAACATTGTGGCTTCCTTTTCTTTCCCTTGTGATTATGGCCAGTGTTTCTGAAAAGAGTCCACGTCTCCCTTCCCTGCCAGCGTCCCTCAGTTTCTCTTTCTGCGAGCTAAGCCTTGCGTGGGCAGAGCGGCTTCCTGACCTCCCCGCTTCTGTGTTGTGAATCCAGCAGGCACCAGAAGCCGCCTTTTATACCAAATAAACATCTAGTCTAGATTCTCCGCCTTGATCCCCCCCATTCTTTTTTTACCTGGAGATGCTTTCAGGAAATTGAACCCGGGACCATGCCAGGCAGGCACTCTGCCTCTGAGAAATAGCCCTGTCCCGTAACAGCACAGTAAGTGGCCTTATGCTGTTTAATAAATAATAATAAGAAATAATAATTTTTTATTTATACTCCGCCCTTCCCGGTTTAGAAAACCAGGCTCAGGGCGGCTAACAACAAATTTAAAGCACTTAATGGATGCAACAAAAAAACAGCATAAAATACAGTATAAAACGCGAATAACAATAAATTCAGAACTCAAAAATCAATTTAGGGGGGAAATCCATCCAATAAACATTAGATGATCACCTGGGCTAGCTGGCTAAATTAGTCCTATTTGGGCCAGCGAGGTGACCAGGGGAGAATTAGCTGTGGGATCCCAGAGTGGGTAATCTTCATAAAAAGAGGAGGGGGAGGGAAGAAAGGGAAATAAAAGATCAGGCTAAGTGCAAGTTGAAAGCCAGGCAGAATAGCTCTGTCTTACAGGCCCTGCAGGAGGAAGTTAAATCCTGCAGGGCCCTGGTCTCATGGGACAGAGCGTTCCACCAGGTCGGAGCCATCACACAGGTCGGAGAAGGCCCTGGCCCTGGTGAAGGATAATCTGACTTCCTTAGGGCCCGGGACCTCTAAACTATGATTATTCATGGACCTTAAGGTCCTCTGCGGGGCAGACCAGGAGAGGCGGTCCCATAAATACGAGGGCCCTAAGTCCATCTAACTCAGTATTGTCAGCACTGACTGGCAGCGGCGCTGCAGGATTTCAGATGGGGGTTCTCTCTCCCAGCCCAGATCTTCAGGCAAAGGGGACATTCCCAGGTTGAACCCTGGGACCTTCTGCATGCAAAGCAGGCGCGCTCCCACTGAGCTGTTCCCTTGGGAATAAGGGTTCTAGTCCTCATGGTTCCTAGCGTAAGGCGGATTGAATTGGAACCTAGGAAGCTGCCTTATACTGAGTCGGGCCACTGGTCCATCTAACTCAGTGTTCTCTATGCTGACCGCCAGGAGATCTGCTCTCCCGGGTTTCAGCTGGGGGTTGATCCCGTGGGTCTTCTGCATGCATGGCAGTTGCTCTGCCACTGAGTTGTGCTCCTCCTTCTGCCTCGTGGGGGAAGAACACCCTGCTCCTTAATTCCAAATATTCAGTTGCTCAGTATGGAAGGAATGGCATGCCTCCATTCCTTGGTCGTCTTACACCCTATCCCAGCAACGATGGATCAGGCAATTAATTAATTTGTTGGCCACCCGATACAGGGCAGTTTCTTGCAATCAAGCTTGCTTAAAACGGCCACCCATATTTAAGAGATCGCGGCATAAAACACCACCCTCCGCAGGGCGAGCAGTGATGGACACGTAACAGCAGCTAGTAATTTTAACAACTGTTTTGTGTGTGTGTGTGTGTGTGTGTGTGTGTGTGTTTTAAAAATGTTTTTATATTGCTGCACACTGATGAATACTTTAATGACAGTAATACCAGATCAGATCATAATAAATAATCACAGAGACTGGATCGAGCGGCAATAGCTTCATTTTGTTTCCTTGCACTTGAGGGACGTCCATCTGTAGGAACGCAAAGCCAGCAGATTCAGAGTGTGCAAGCTCAGAAGGAAAAGGAGAACAGTCTCCAGATGAGCGGCTTCTTCTTTTTGCCCCTGTTTCTCAAGCACTTCTCTTTTTCATCATTCTGATGATGATCATCACTATTATTATTTCTTTCCTCTGGCTCGCTAAGTGCTCTCTTCCTCTTTGGGGTGGGAGGGGAAGCTTAAAAGTGGTTGTGTGGAAAACCACCCTGTGTCCAAAAATACAAGGCTTGGAAAAGGCAGCCAGGAAGCCGAGAGCTGCTTGGCGTTCTTTTGTAACAGCTCCCTTGAGCCTAAAAAAACTGATTTCCTCCCTCCTTGACTTTCTCCTCTGGCAGAATAATGGAAGAAGCTGTTTTCACAACTCCCTTCCACTGTGTTTCTGTTTAACTGAAGCTCTTAAATTTGCATGCTGCGGGGCAAAGGAGGAGAAGGTGTATGCTTTTTTTTTAAAAAAAAGAGAGAAACTTAGGTTTCTAGTCCTCATGGGTGCAGACATAAATCTGTTTTTAGCCCACCATCAATTTTAATTACTAATACCTGAGGGGTTGTTTTTAACTGTCTTTTTATTGACAGTTTTATTGTTTTATTCCTTTTGTGAAGCGTTTTGAAGTTTGTTCGTTGTACAGTAGTTTGGTTTTTTTTACAGCCAAGCAGTATATAAATCTTGTGAAATAATAAAATAAAATAAAATAGAGGTACCTTTGACCACAGTACAGTTGACAAACAGGGTGTAGCAAAAACTTCTTTAAAAGGAAACACAGATTTTTTCCGCCACAGAAGCCTGCATTTCATCAACTGTACATGCATTCCACAAATTATCCCCACTGGCCCTGTTTCCTGTCACAAGGAGCGGGCAGCTGCTCTGCAAGGCAGGTTGGCATCTCCTCACCTACACCCCCCACCAAAAAAAATCCCTTTCTTATTTCTGGGAATCTTATTTGGCAAGCTTTCTGGCTCCTGAGATTTCTCTAGGAGTCGCCTGTCTGCTTTCAAGGGCACATCTGCATCCATGAGGACTAGAAACCTGCAGAGCATCCCCTTTTAAAAACACAACAGCAGAGCTTAAATTCTCCAGAAAGCGTAATTCTGCTCATTTTAACATGTTATGTCATTTTGTAACCTCAAGTCACTCGGGGCTTCCTTTGGTGGCAGTGATGAGCAGAGGCTGATTGACACTGAGACCAGTCTCCTTAGGTTGTTCGTAGAATCAAAGAGTTGTAGCCTTGGAAGGGGCCCCAAAGGTCATCTAGTCCAACCCAAGTCTGGATTGGCTGTTGTGTGTCTTGGCTTCCCTGTTCCTTTTTCACCTCGCCATCCGTGCTCTCGTTTCAACCAGAACTTTGCTCTTTGGCACCACGACTCGCGCAGCAGCGAGGGGTCCCAGAAGGACCCCTTCTATATACTGTTATTCCTTCCTGCCTGATGCTCTTAGCAGCTCCGGGAGATGGCTGGATATAGCCTCACCCGCTCCGTTTCCCACAATGCCCCTGGTCCGGCATCACCCTGAGGAATTGTGGGAAGTTTCCTTGTCACCTTGTCATTCGCCTTTTCTGAGACTGGGGCGGGGAGACAGGCTTCAGACCCCACAAGAGGGGTGGGACCTCAAACTCCACCTTCTGCCACCGGCCCTGATCCGCATCCTGCCCCTCAAGTGTCCCGAATGAGGAGGTGAACCCTGCACCAAGAGGCTGCTCTCCCCAGAGATCCCTTGAAACACAGAGCCTTGGGGACAACCCTCCACTGTTGTTGATCTTCAGAGGGTTGGCGCAGGCCAAACCCACCGCCCAGGAGCACCAGAGGAACTTCTTTTTTTTTTTTTTGAATAATTTTTATTAAGGTTTCAATCAAAAATTGAACAGAAAAAACATAAAAAAGATACACAAATACACAATGCAAATCCCAGAAAAAATAAAATAAAATAAACACAAAAAGCAAGAATCAACAATAAAAAAAGAAACATAACAATTAAAAACAATATCTCTTTTCCATTCCCGTATTTGAATTTACTTATTTTCTGGACTTCCTCATACCTCCCTCTTTTGTATTCCAATCCAAATTGTTTGTCCAGCAATTTCTTTTCCACTTTTTTAATCCCAATCTTTAATCTTAATATAATATATAACACTTAGACTTCTTTAATCCTAATCTTTAATCTTAATGTAATATAACATTAAATTTTTACCTCTTAAGTGCCGAATTTCCATTTCCTTAAACATCTTTAATCCTAATCTTTAATCTTAGTCTATCAATAACTTTAACCTGTACAGCTGGAAACCACTTATTTTCATTCCAACATCACTCTAACATTCCTTAATTTTGCAATGTTTCTGAAGATAATCTTTGAATTTCTTCCAATCTTTCTCCACCAACTCTTCTCCCTGGTCACGGATTCTGCTAGTCATTTCCGCCAGTTCCATATAGTCCATCAGTTTCATCTGCCATTCCTCCAGCGTGGGAAGTTCTTGTGTCTTCCAATACTTTACGATGAGTATTCTTGCTGCTGTTGTTGCGTACATAAAGAAAGTTCTATCCTTTTTTAACACCATTTGGCCGACTCACCAGAGGAACTTCTGCCTAGCACACGGAAGCGCTTTGGTTCTTCCCAGCCGCTCCCTTGGTCCAAGAGAGGGTATGGTGGCGCCTCTTGCTAAGCCAGCCTTGGGGAAGCTGGCTAGGGAGGAATCGGCTGGGCTGTTTATAGCTGTCCGCCACATAATTGTGCACAGCTGTCTGAAGTTAAGCCCTCTCCGCACAGGTCCCTTGCTGTCTTTTTTAGCATGGAAGCTGGCAATTTTTTTAATAATTCGAGAGAGAGCAAACAGCCTGCCATGATAGATGGAACCAGCTGCTCTCCTGGACGCAGTGGTGAGAGGGAGATAAGATTTCCTTTTTTTGAGTCTGGAGTCTTATTTAGGGTCAGAATTAAATACAGCCAAGGAAGGCGTGTAGCTCAGGGGCAAAGTGCCTGATCTGCCTTCATTCAGAATCATGAGGACTAGGATCTTGGGACAGTTCACTGGCTGAGCACCTTCTTCGATGCAGAAGCCTGCAGGTGTAATTGCCAGGCAGGGCTAGGAAAAGGGGCAACACAGGGTCCTTGCTTTGTAGAAGCACATCTGCCAGCCTTCAGGCAGCCGGCCTTGATCTTGCCCATCGCACAAGTTAATCGGGATCTGAGCGCCGGACAATGAGGTCAGCAACCCGCTCTTGTGCTTTTGCGTGCCTACGCAGAAGAAAATTTCTCCTGCACGCAGAGCGTCTGTGAAACTATCAAGGCTAGGTAGCCTTTGGCTAGGCCTGTCCTCTACGATTTTGACATCCTGTGGCAATGAGTTCCATAGGTTAATCCCACCCTTGCGTGCAGAAGCACTTCCTGCTGGTCAGTCCTGAATCCAATGGCCAACCTGGATCTCTAGCATTAGAAAAGAGCAAGGGGACCTCCATTTGCTCTCTGCCTCTCCAATACATTTGTCATTGCAAGCTTTTCAGAATCTTTTCCCCAGCCCTGCCTGGGATCGAACTTGGCACCTCTTCTGCATGCAAGCCATGCCCCCCCCCAGAGCAACGCTTACAGGAAACCCAAGCGCCTGCCCTCTGCACCAGGTTATAACAATTATCCTTCTGGCTCTGCCTTTGCCTTGCTGGGACCACCAGTGGCCCTCCAGGGCATCGGACAGAGAAGGGTCCTTTGAATCTGGGACCTAAGACCGTAACAAGAGCCTGCTGGGTCAGGCCAGTGGCTCAGCTAGTCCAGCAGCCTGTTCTCCTAGCGGCCACCCAGATGCCCGTGGGAAACCCGCAAGCAGGATTCGAACACAAGAGCAACTCCCCCTTCCTGCAGTTTCCAGCAGCAGGTATTCCAAAGCATTGCTCTCTTCACTATGGAGGCACAGCCTAGCCACAAATTTGCCTCTTTTAAAGCCAGAGCAAGTTTAATTTTGTGCTGCATGCAGAAGTCCATCCCTTCCACTTTGCAGAAATCTACACCCCCCCCCTGAAACTCCTCTGGTCCAGGTAGGCTCCCTGGCTGGTTACCCCCTCCCCTTCCTCACAGCCTGCTAGTGAGCTGCCTTCTGCCTGTGTGTGTATGTGCGTACTGAATGCCAAAAAAAGAAAGGGAGGGGGAAGAAATGGAACCACCACCCTCGTAAGCTTCCGTCTGTGAATCATTTCTCAAGCAGCCGCTCTCTCTCTCTCTCTCTCTCTCCTTCATTGCAATGTGGTTTTCCGACCAGAGTAGCTCCACAGAGTTCTGCATTCTGAGTCTGGTGTGCAGATGCTGCTCAGGCGAGGCTGGAGGCGGACGGCACTCCTGTTGATGCAGCAAAGAGCACGATCCCACGGCACAAGTGAGTCCCCCTCTCTGCATTTTTAAAATCTTATTTATCGGCAGGGATGGAGAGATCCATCTCTCCCTCTTTCTCTCTCTCTATCTCTGCCCCCCAATGTGTTTTGCCAGCTGGTGGGGATTCCGGGATGCTTTAGAAATAGCCCCCTATGGGGCAACGGGGTGGGGAGCTGGACCGTATATTCTCCCCCCACCCACCCAGCCTTTTGAGCCAGCACCCTGCCGGAAAAAGGCTGCTCGGCTTCTGCTTTTTCCGAGACCTTCCCGCGCCCTTCCGCTGGATTGCAGAGAGAGAGAGAGAAACCTCAGAAGACGTGGAACGTGGCTTCCCTTTTTCCTTGCAGAAGCTGACACGCTTTGCAAAAAAATAATATTATTTCGCCTCCCTGTGTCTCCTGAATCTAGCAGAGGCTCCTGTGCATGCATGTGTGCTTAGCCGGATTAAAGGACCTGCTGTGGTTGCTGTCAGTTGCTCCCCCCTCCCCACCTCTGCGGAGTTTCCTTAGCGACAGAGACGGGCTGAGCGTCTCTCGGCTTCGTGCAAAAGCATCTCTGGATCAGAGCATCTCAGCCAGGCTTTTGCTTCTCCAACAGAGCCGGGCTGGCGCTCCTGGGAAGCCCAGGGGCACAAATGCAGCATGTCTCCCCTCTTCCACTCCTTATTTTACTCTAGCATCTGGGGGTACACTCTCTCTGCACCTGGAGGCTCCACCTGAGTTTGGCTTCTCCCTCCCCTGGAGTTTGCTTAGCAACAGCAACCCAGGAGCGTTCTCCAGGGCTGCTCTGCTATGGATTGCCTGGAATGAGGAAGGCTGAGAGAAGACAGGTGGCGGTAGTTGTAGCTCAGTTCAGGAGATGTAGCAGGTGGCCTGCAGGAAGAAGGTTCCAGGTTCGATCCCCGGAAAGGACCAGAGAGAGCGGCTGATAAGGAGGGGGATGGGGGTAGGAAGACCTGTCTCTGGGATGGCAGAGATTCTGTCTGCAGCAGATGACATTGAGCTGCATGAATAAACATAGTCTGGTCTGAACATGGGAAGCTGCCTTCTGCTGAGTCAGACCACTGGTCCATCAAGCTCAGTATTGCCAGCACTAGCAGGCAGCGGCGCTCCAGGGTTTCAGAAGGAGGGACAATCGTGGCTCTGGGATTGAACCATGCAGACTCTCCCCGTGACCTACACCAAATTGTTCTGAATTGAGGGGCTGATTCGAAATACAAACACAGGGAGGTGCTTTACACAGAGGCAGAACGTTGGCCCATCTAGCTCAGTATTAAGGACACTGACTGGCAGCAGCGTCTCTCCAGGGTTTCAGGCAGGGAGTCTCTCCCCCAGCCCTACCCAGAGATGCCATCAGGGATTGAACCAGCAACCTTCTGCATGCAAAGCAGGTGCCGTACCACTGAACTACAGCCCCATCCTCCATAGTCTGCAAAATAACTAGTTCCCAGGGTTCCTTTTGGAGGGGAAGGCCATCATCTCCAGATCCTTCCTCATGCTCGGCGAGGGCCAACGAGAGTTGGGAGCCCATCTCGTCCACCACCCTCAGTTCAAGGTTCTCCTTGCTCCCGCAGGAGGCAGTGACAGCCACCAACTTGGATGGCTTTAAAGAGGACATGACACATTCTTGGAAGAGAAGTCTGTTAATGGCTCCTAGCCACAGTGGCTGTGTTCTGCCTCCACGACTGGAGGTAGTAAGTGCTTCTGAACATCAGTTTCCTGGGAATCGCAGGTGGGGAGAGCTGCAGCGGATGCCCAGGTCCTGCTTGCTTGTTCGCTATCCATGGGGTGGAGTGGGTCAGTGCGTCTGGCTGTTAACCAGAAGGTGGGTGGTTCGAGCCCACCTCGAGGGCTGGACTAGATGACTCTCAGGGTCCCTTCCAAATCCATGATTCTGGGATCACGTCACTTCTAGGATTCTATGTGCAGCTGCTTGACTATTGTTGGGAACAGGAGGCTTGCCCAGGTGGGCCACTGGCCTCATCCAGCGGGCTCGACTTCTTCTGTCACGTTCCCAGTGACAGCAGGCGAGAAAGGGGGGGGGGATATATTGCAGAAGCAGCAGAACTGAAGGCAGGCAGGACAGGGAACCGGCCAGGCTGGCTTGGGGGCTGATGGGATTTAGAGTCCAGCAACATCTTCAGGAATTCCCCTTTGCTGTTGAATGGGTCACAGCACGTGATCAGATTCCTTGCCGAGTGGGCAGCAATGCCTGCTCTCTCCTGTCAGCCACAGATGGCAGCTAATACGCGCCTCCGTGTATAAGGGCAGCGTCCCCAAGATTGCCAGCCACCGTAGGAGAATATCCAGTGACTTCGCGTCTGGCTGTTGCGCTCCCCAAATTCGCCCGCTTGGCTACTGTGGGGAACAGGATGCTTGTGAATAGGGGGGCCTTTGGCCTGATCCAGCCCAGGCACTTCCAATGCTCTTATTGCACTGAGTGAAAGGAGGAGATGCTATTCACCTCCCCACTCCTCAAATCATCTTTGTTTTATAGTTTTGCCCCTTCCAGCATTCTTTGGTTTTTGGATGCATTTTATTATTAGGTTAGACCATCAGGAGAGAGCCTGAGTGCTGGATCAGGCCCATCTAACACAGTATCCTGTCCCCACAGTGGCCAACCAGATGCCCCAAATGGGACCTCAGCACAAGAGCAGCTCTCTGCCCACTTGCGATTTCCAGCAACTGGTATTCAGCACTGACTATATCTCCTAGAGCTCTAGGGATCGACTGATGAGATCGATTGGCAGAATAATAGAATATTAGATTTGGAAGGGACGCGTAAGGGTCATCTAGCCCAACCCCCTGCAATGCAGGAGTCGCAGCTGAAGAATCCCTGACAGATGGTCATCCTGCCTCCACTGGAGAAGATTCCTCCATCATCTGAGGTAGTCCATTCCACGCAAAAGGAATAGGAAGGAGAGAGGCCTTTTCCTTGCGATGTATTAAGATTATGTAGAAACCTGGGTTCAAAACCTGTATTTACCCACAAAGGTTCCCAGGTGACCTTGGACCAAACCTCAACTTTTAAACTTTTTATTCATATGTGTAATGAGTGGGGATGGGGGAAAAGAACTCAGTTTGGTTCTCATTTTAACACAAACCCACCTGAACCAATAAAAGTTAAAGGGACACCTGACCATTAGGTCCAGTTGTGGCCGACTCTGGGGTTGAGGCGCTCATCTCGCTTTATTGGCCGAGGGAGCCGGCGTTTGTCCACAGACAGCTTCCGGGTCATGTGGCCAGCATGACAAAGCCGCTTCCGGCGAACCAGAGCAGTGCACGGAAACGCCGTTTATCTTCCCGCCGGAGCGGTACCTATTTATCTACTTGCACTTTGACGTGCTTTCGAACTGCTAGGTTGGCAGGAGCAGGGACTGAGCAACGGGAGCTCACCCTGTCGTGGGATTCGAACCGCCGACCTTCTGATCGGCAAGCCCTATACGCAAACCCAAAAATTTCTCTCTTCTGTGTAATCCACACTCTTCCCAACTTTGCGGTCCTGTTCTCCAACCAGAAGTAATTGCCATGGGATGTTGCAGCGGCTACTGGGATAAGTGTTTGGGTAGGTTTGTGGAGCCTTGTTCTCTTGTCAGACCTCCTGCCGTCTGAGTCGCTGCTGCATCCCAGGGTGGAGATGGGTAGGAGCAATGCAGTGACAGTGCAGTTCAGGTGTGCCAGCAGGAGCCTCGCCCCTACCCTGCTTCCCCCAGGTATGCAGCACCAACCAGGTCGGTGGGAGGTCAGGTACGTAGTGCAGCCTACCATGTTTTACGGCGGGGCCTTCTCATTGGTGGCACCCCAATTGTGGAATATCCTTCCCTGGCAACTTTGAGATTGGGCTGGTACGACATGGACTATCTTTTGGCACCAGGTAGAAGCATTTATTCCGCCCCCCCCCCCAACGTGTTTTGAGTTGTCAGGATCAGCCTATGCTGTGTAGAAGATGCAACAGATGTGTGGAGTGGGGGTGTGTGTTTCACTCAGTTTTTTAGACTGTGAACTGTAGATTCTGTGAATATATTTTTGATGGGTTGGTTTTGAGGCAGCGTTTGGATGCTGCGACCCTGCTTGAGGTCTTTGTATGATAAAGAGCCGTAGCTCCATAGTAGAGCATTTTCTCTGCATTCAGTCCCTGGTGGCATCTCCAGGTCAGGCTAGTTGAGACTCCCTGTCTGAAATTCTGGAGAGCTGCTGCCAGTCAGTGTAGGCAGTACTGAGCAAGGTGAACAATGCCTAGCTAGATAACTCTGTGAGACTGCCCGTGTTTTGGATGCTGAAGGGTCTGGGTTCAGTCTCCAGACTTAAAAAAGGATCCAGCTCGCAGACTCTCCTATTAAGCCACCCCTTAATTCAGAACCATGAGGACCAGAATCTTGCCAGGTAGACCAACGGATTTGGCTCAGTAAAAGGGCAGCTTCCTGTTTAAGGCTGTGGGGTATATGCAGGTAGGATAGAAATAAATACTGCTTGAAAAGAACTAAGGATTTACTTTTAGCACTGTAAACAATAATTTCCACACACTTAAATAACCAGCGAAAATGACATAGCCGTTCCACTTAAGCCCACGTTGCCCCAGGGCCCGTTCGTCACTCTGTCCTGTGCAGGGTGTCACGCTCTTGAGTCCCAGGGGTTTGCGAGTTATTCTGCAAATATATGGCAAGTATACTTTTAAAAACAGCAGTAAATCTAGAAAAGCTCACCGAACTGGGGGAGCTTCTTGCAAAAGCTCGGCTTTTCATCGCTCCTTCCTCCTCCTCCTCCTCCTCCTCCCCACGTGTCAGTGAGTTCTGGCTGATGCATCGCGACGAATCTTAGCACACAACAATTCCTTTCTGTCCCTCGTGGAATGCAAGGCTGCCGTTTGCCAGGAAATCTAGAGAGCCAGGGTGGTGGGTGGAGTGAAGTTTCAGATCCAGCTGAGAGATAAGAGGGGGCAGAGCCAGGCTGCTGCAGGATCAGGCCCAAGGGGGCCTGCCCAGTGCAGGATCCTGTTCTCACAGCAGCCAGCCAGATGCCCCTAGTGGGAAGCCTGCGAGGAGGACCTAGGGGCAACACAGAACCCTTTCCCCATGTGCAACTGCCCAGCAACTGGTATTCAGAGAGGCAGATTGCCTCCATCCCTGGGGGTAGATTGTGTGGCGGCAAAAGGCCTCTTCGAGAAAGGGTGGGGTGTTCTGAAGCCCACTGATTTTTGCGTGTGGCTGGGGAGAAAGCTGGAGAAGGCTGGCATCAGGGTTAGGCTGCAATGAGATTGCAAACTGGAGCGCTAACAAAGGCAGACTCTTGTAACTGTTGGGCCAGGGCTGGCTAACCCAGCTCCCATCATTCCTTCATGTAGTATCCAAGTCAAGGGAAGTCATAGTCCAGGAGTCCGCAAACTTTTTCGGCAAGGAGCCGGTCCACTGTCCTTCAGATCTTGTGGGGGCAGACGGCGGACTATATTTTGGGGGGGAAATAGAACGAATTCCTATGTCCCACAAATAACCCAGAGATCCATTTTAAATAAAAGGACACATTCTGCTCATGTAAAAACACGCTGATTCCCAGACTGTCCGCAGGCCAGATTTAAAAGGCGATTGGGCCGGATCCAGCTCCCAGGCCTTAATTTGCCTACCCATGTCATAGTCCCTCTCTCTTCTGCCTTGGTCAGGCCCCACTTGGAGCCCTGTGTCTAGTTCTGGGCGCCACAGTTTAAGAAGGACGTTGACAAGCTGGAAGGTATGCAGAGGAGGGAGACCAGGATGACCAAGGGTCTGGAAACCAAGCCTGATGAGGAACGGTTGAAGGAGCTGAGTATGTTTAGTCTGGTAAAGTAGAGACTGAGAGGAGATATGATAGCTATCTTCAGATCTCTCAAGGGCTGGAAGAGGGAGTGAGCTTGTTTTCCCCTGCTCTGGAGGGCAAGAAAGGAGATTGCGACTCAACATCAGGATGAACTTTCCGACAGCAAGAGCCGTTCGACAGTGGAATGGTCTCCCTCAAGAGCTGGTGGCCTCCCCTTCCTTGGAGGCTTTTAAGCAGAGGTTGGATGGCCCTCTGTCATGGATGCTTTAGCATCTCACTCAGAGCTCCTTTCCTTGGCTCTCTTAATGGCCCATCACCCAAGCGATCGCCTCAACGCAGGAAGCTAGTCTGGCTTATATCTGAACACTTTCTTCATCCAGGATTTCGAAGGATCTTGCAAACAGCCTCCTCCCCCTCCAAACTCATAACAATATTTATCAATTCCTGGTTGCTCCTGTAGAACAATAGAATTGCAGAGTTGGAAGGGATCCCAAGGGTCATCTAGTCCAACCCCTGCAACGCAGGAACCTTTTTGCCCACGACCCAGAGATTCAGAGTCTTGTGCTGTACCAACCGAGCCGACAGGACTGTCTCTATATTTCACTGGACTGGAAAAGTCCAGTCTGTGTTTACAGGATTGCCAGGCAGTTCTGATTGGGTTTTGTTCACCTCCCCTCCATCTACCTGAGGCTCCTAGCCCACAGGTCTAAAGTCTGTGAGCCAAACTCCCAGCCGCTGCTCTTCCTGGCTCTTCCAAGCCCCAAAAGAAGCCAGTCAGGGAGTGCTTTGTGGGCTGCAGCTTTCTCTATTAGAAAACCCCAGCCATTCTTCTCCCATCTCTCTCTGTCTCATGCTAAGGAAACTATTTTCCTGCTGGGTGTCGGCAGTGCTGATTGCATATCGATTACCTGTCAAATGCCTGCGGTGGCCTAGTTCGTTAACATTTTTAAATTGTAGCATCATGGGGCCTTTTCTGCGGGGCAGAAGCCCAGAGATCCAGGCTGGTGAAATTCTCCCTGCACACCATTCACTGCACACCACAGGTTTTTCCCCCGCAGAGGGAACTCACAGGAACTCAGTTCTGGCACCTCTCGCCATTCTGAGAGAACGAGGGAGGTGTTAATGGCGAGTTCCAGCACCCCTTTTTCTAGAAAAATAGCACTGGGTGTGTGTATTGCGGGTTGGGGGTGCGGAGAGCAGGGAATCCCCGGGCTTCCTGGCACCTGCTTGGGTTCCCCATCAATGTGTTTCACGAATCTTCATCTCCGTCAACCATCCTCCCCATCTATTGGCTTGTGTCTGACCGAGATGAGTCAGGAAGGAGGTTGGTATCTCTCAAACGCTGCGGTTTCCAACGGGCTTCGAGGGAGTCTCTTTCGACCTCTCCTAGTCCTATCTTGGCTTCGCTGCTGTTTCCTGACTTCTGTAACCCCCCCAGAAGGGAAGCTGTGACAACCTCCCCCTACCCCTCAACACCCCCCCCCGGAGCCTTTCTTTGACTCATCTATCTTTTTGCTTTAGTCAAAGAGCTTTGGGGTTTTGGTTTGGACCACCGCCCGAAGCTTCGAGGCACATCTTGCTCTTCTTCCTGATAAAATAATAATAATAATAAAATTTTATTTATATCCCGCCCTCCTCAGCCGAAGCCGGGCTCAGAGCGGCTAACAACAATAAAAGTAGCACAGCATTCTAAAATCAATTCATTCTAAAATCAAATCAAATCAGATTAATGGCAACCATTGGGCTAGAGTTCTGTGAGGATTACCAAAGGAGGGGGTCAGGCTGTGCCTTGGTCAAAGGCCTGGTGGAACAGCTCTGTCTTGCAGGCCCTGCTGAAAGATGTCAAGTCCCTCAGGGCCCTAGTTTCTTGTGACGGAGCGTTCCACTAGATTGGGGCCACGGCTGAAAAGGCCCTGGCTCTGGTTGAGGCCAGCCTAACCTCCCTGTGGCCCGGGACCTCCAAGATGTTTTTGTTTGAAGACCGTAAGGTCCTCCGTGGGACGTACCAGGAGAGGCAGTCCCGTAGGTACAAGGGTCCTAGGCCGTATAGGACTTTGCTTTTCGAGGAGGGCTAAAAAAAATCACCAGCCTCCTTTTGGAGAAGCCTGCTCTGCATCTGTCGCAGGTGTGCCTTCTCACTGGAAGGCAGTGGGCCCCGCGCAGGGGTGCGATGGGCACCCTCCTCTGAGTATGGGCAAATCTCTGTGCATCTGCCTCATGGGTGATTGAATTCGGCTGGTCAAAAGCTCTGTGCAAAGATATGGCAGAATTATTTGCAGAGGCTGATCGAGAAGGAGAATGATGCCCATCTTTAACCCTTATCAGCCGATACTTTGTCCCTTTCAACACAAACACATCGCAGTGTCGCACCAGGAGAGGGTTAAGGGGTTGTCTCCCAGCAGAGGCCCCACGGCAACTAATCTTAGCCAGCCGTTTCTGCTTTACCCATGTGTTGGTTTTTTTGTACCGGATGTCAAGAACACCAGTCCTTTGAAGGCAGGCGAGTGGGCGGGAGAGAATTGAAAGGCAGCTTTTTAATAAAAGACAAGCGGGTGTTCCTTCCTCGACAAGCACTAATGACACGAAGGATTGATGGGCACCTGGTGCCCAGACATACGTGGCAGGCGGGTCGCCGATATGTTTATTATTTGTGCTTTGAGGCCTCTTCCTGAATCAAATGGTTCCAGGGCCGGTTGCAAAACCATCCCAGTTAAAAGCATATTATGACTCTCATGGAACCATAGAGTTGGTCATCTAGTCCAAGCCCCTGCAGTACAAGAATTGCAACTAAAGAACCTTTGACAGATGGCTACCCAACCTCTACTTTAAAAATCCCAAGGAAGGAGAATTCACCACCTTCTGTTCCACTGTCAAACAGCTCTCACTGTCAGAAATTTGAACTTTTTAGGACCGCCTCTCCCCATATGAACTGACCCGGACTCTGCAATCATCCTCTGAGGCCCTTCTTCATGAGAGTGTGGAGGGTGACAACACGAGAACAGGGCCTTTTCTGTGGTGTCTCCCCATTTGTGGGATGCTCTCCCCAGGGAGGCTCACATGGCGCCTTCATTGTACAGTCATACCTCATGTTATGTCCGCTTCATGTTACGTTCTTTCAGGTTATGTCCCGTGGCGACCCAGAAGTAACAGAAAGGGTTACTTCCGGGTTTCGCCGCTCGCACATGCGCAGATGTGCAAAATGACATCACGCGCATGCGCAGAAGTGGCGAATCGCAACCCGCACGTGCGCAGACGCACTGCTGCGGGTTGCATTCTTTTCATATTGCGAACGGGCCTCCCGATCCCGTTCACAACCAGAGGTACCACTGTATACTTTTAGGCACCAGGCAAAAACATTCTTCTTCATCCAGGCCTTGGTGCCATGTTCCAGCACCCCTCAAACCACAGAGGGTGATGCCAAGGGGGCCTCTTCTGCTGATCTTAACCCCCGGGCAGACTGACATGGAAGGAGACGGCCCTTTGACTGTTGGGGACCCCAGTCATTTAGGACTTTACATGACAGTGTTAACATATACTTGGGAGACACACCACTCAGTCTCGAAGCTTATGGGCCACTTACAGCCTTTTTTCACCCTAACCTACCTTGCACTGTGGTTGTGGGGAGTAAATGAGGAAGGGGAGGACCGTACTCGCGACCTTGACCTCCGCAGAGTAGAAAAGGTGGGATGCAAAAGCAATAAATAAACAACAAACCTTCTTGCCTGCAGAGTTTATGCCTGAGTGATAATTCAAGGCCTCTCGTCCCTCCAGTTTGCGGGGGGGGGGGGCTACTGTTGAGGGGGGGCCTTCTAAAACTGTGGCAGCTGAAAATCACTCTTGTGATCCTTCTGTGATGTTGTCTGTGTGAAGAGAGAGAGATCAGAGAACATTTGGAATATCTCTTCCAGATGCTGCGTCAGACTGCGCCAGATGTTCTCTGCCTCTGCCAAGGAGTGGGGTGGAGAAAGGGGCTCAGCAGGCTGTCTGTCCCCAGGTCCTCCTCTACCTGGAGACATTGTCTGCTTTGCAGGGCGGGCGGGTTTCAAATTGCACCTGGGCATCTGAAATGAACAGGTACATCATACACAAAGGTCATGTGGGCACATGATGGTGCGCTGGAAGGTATTTCTATTCCAATAATCGCTACTGCTTCTGTGGTGGTGTGGTGCAATGGTTAGCGTGTCGGACTAGGGTTCGAATCCCCACTCAGCCATGAAGCTCACTTGGGCCAGCCACTGCCTCCCCCAGCCTAGCCTACCTCACAGGGTTGTTGCAGGAATAAAATTGGGGAAGGGAGCAACGTATTCACCACCTTGAGCTCCCTGGAGGAGAAGGTGGAGTATTACCTGCAACAAATAAGTAAATAAAATGCATTTATACGTACCATTTCAGCTGTGAGAATAAGGCAATCAAATACAGGTTGTAGCCAAACAGAAATATATGAATCAAAATTTTATATAAGAATTATACATTAATTTAGAACTTTACAATATACATTTTATTTCATTTGTTTTATACAACTTCTATATAGCAAGAAAACGAAACCCTCAAAGTGTTTTCTTAAAGAATATATTTATTCATTTAAAAATATTTATATACCACTATGCCATTTTTAAAAATGAAAGCAGTTTTGAGCAATAAAACTTAAAACCATACAATGAAAACCACACAAGGGTCAATGATTGTGGAAGGATTTTTTTAACTGCCTGCATAAGCCTGGTGCAGCAAAAAGGTTTTCAGCCTTTAAAGGTGGGCACGAGAAGCCGGCAACCTTTCACAAGGAGAACTAAACTATAATAGTAATAAAAAAAAAGACATTTAAATTAGTGCATGTAAAGTATATTCAAAATCATACCCTTTCCCGTTCCTGTTTTGGATGATGTGCAGTGGAAAATGTGTTGCACATCTGCTCCGATAATCACAGTTACTTCTGTATTTTGAATCACAGAATTGTAGAGTTGGAAGGGACCCTGGGGGTCATCCATCCCAACCCCCTGCAATGCAGGAATCAATACCCCTATGCATCTAAATTAGTATGTGTAAAGCTGTTCCAAATCTGCACTGGAACTGAAAATATTCCTCTATGCCACAGGAGCGGCAAGGATCTTAACTGCTAAAAACTGGAAAAAAGAAACTGTGCCAACAAAAAAGGAATACCAAGACAAACTGTTAGAGTATATTGAATTGGCTAGATTAACAGAGGCAGTTAGAGATCACACTAGACAACAGTTTCAAAAAGCATGGGGAAAATGCAGAGAATACATCACAAAACAGTGCCCTAAAATACCTACCTGGACTTGTTTCGATTACTGTCTGCAGGAGACTTTGTGGATATTTAAGTTATAATTAGAAAAATCTTTATAATTATTCATAAAGGAAACAGCTTATAAGAGGCTAGATCAGGATAAAGGAAGTCTTTTATTTGGTTGTTTGTATTGTTGTATGTTATGCTTATTGTATGTTATGTTCACATTTAATGAGGGTGGAGTTCTGTATTGGGGGGTGGGGGGTTTATGCTGTAAATAAAATTTCCAATTAAAAAAACCAAAAACCAAAACAAACAAATCTGCACTGGGACCATTAGCAGGAGCTTTCCCCCTGCCTCCCTTTCCTCATTCCCTCTTCCTTTTTTTGCAGACTGACTCTCCACCTGGAAGGAAGATGAAGGGGGCCACCAGGCCGTGGAGCACGGCCCTCTCCAAGCAGGGGTGCCATGGGACAGAACGAGGGAAACCTCTGCCCTCCGCCCCCATCGGCATGAAGACCTCCAAGTCATCCACCTCCCTCGCCTTCGACTCCCGGCTCAGCAAGGTGGGTTTCAGGCTGGTCGTCTGCTCCAGTCTTGAGGTCTAGACACTTGCTAAACCCTCCGCTTGGCCGTAAATCCCGTGCTGCCAGCAGGAAGCGTCAAATCGTGGAGCTTCGCTCGACCAAAGCTCCTTGGAAACAAAAGAGGGAGGTTGTTACGGGACATCAGAGCTTTGCGCAGAGACTGGTTCCAGAAGCGTAAAGGTCAGGAAGTCAGCTCCCCTTTCTTCTCCCTCCCACCACCCCACAAAAAAGGCAAGCCAGCCCTGAGCTGCGGGAGAAGCCGTGCCAAAGACGTCAAGCCCTTCAGATGTCTCCCTCCCTTCAGCCAGTCAGTGGCTTGGCTACCAGAGAGGCGGCTGTCTTCCAGCTGCGCCTGCAAACCCCACATTTTTGTGAGTTGGCCCAAGAGATGAAAGGAGGGCGATGGCCTGGAATGGGGAGGGAAGGAGCGGTTTGATGCCGTCGCTGCAGCAGCCGCAGAACTCGAGAGCCTGTTTTTTTTAATTTCCCCTCCTGCGTCTCTGGCTGTTTGGGGAAATCGTTCTCTGGTTTATCATTCTTATTATTTCATTTTATTTCTTTTCTTTTCTTTGAAAAGAGGTGCTTAAATCTCCTGCTTCAAAGAGAGAGCCGTGTGGTCTGTCAGGTGGGATTGAAGTTTTCCAGGTGTCCCCGTCATGGGGGGCAAATGAGGTCAAGTCCTTGATGGCGATGAGTGGATGAGTGGAGAAGAAAAGGGTTACTAAATCAAGGCCACACATCCTCCAATATTTCTCCAATGAAAATAGGGATTCCCATTATTATTATTGTTGTTGTTGTTGTTGTTGTTATCATCAGTGCTTTTTTTCTAAAAAAATGTTTGGGGTACTCACATTTTTACTCAAGAAAATCACCATTTTATAGTTCAAATTGGGGGGAAATAAATACAGCAAATGGACAAAAGTACAAAGATTCACAAAATGTTTAGGGGTATGTGTACCCACAGAAAAAAAAGCACTGATTATTATTATTAGTAGTACTATTATTATTGTACCCTGCCCATCTGACTGGGTAGGCCTTCCACTCTGGGCAGCTTCCAACATATATAAAAACATAATATAACGTTAAACATTTTAAAAAACTTCCCCATACAGGGCTGCTTTCAGATGTCTTTTAAAAGTTTCGCAGTTACTTCTCTCCTTGACTCAGGGGTCGCATGGCTCTATACCATCCAACATTCCTCAAATGAAAATAGGGAAGTCCTAAGGAAAAGTGGGACATTCCTGGATCAAATCAGAAACCGGGACGGCTTCTGTAAATCTGGGACTGTCCCTGGAAAATAGGGGCACTTGGAGGGTCTGCATCTGCATTCTCCATTTAAAGCCCTCTGATACCACTTTAAACAGGCATGGCTCCCCCACCCACCCAAAGGCTGGGTCTCTAAAGGTCTCGATCCGGCCGTGCCACCGGGCCCTGGACCACTATTCCAGCCCTGCCTGGTGGCCACAGCTAAGAAGGCCCTGCAGGGATGGGCGTGTGGGAAATCTAAGCTGATGCCTCTTCCTCTCATCTTGGCTCCAAAGCGCTCTGACCCTCTCCTCTCTTGCAGCTGAAGAGAGCCAGCAGCGAAGACATGCTCACAAAGCCAGGCGTCATGGCAGCCTCAGGAGGCTCCCGGCTGAAGAAGACCATCACCACGGGGGCCATCTCCGAGCTGGCTGAGAACCGTCTGCGGCCTGCCTCAGGTAGGGGAAGGGGTGATGAAAGCTGGGCGTGGGGTCTCCAGCCAGAAAGCTAAGGCAACCCTCTTGCAACTCGCTTTTCATTGCAGCGATAAGCTCATCTGGGGGAGAATTTAATGGGGAGAATGTGGGGGACCCAAGGCTGGGCGGGGCAGAATGCTGCCAGCAAGTTCCTCCTGGAACTACAATTCCCTGTGAAGAAGGACTGACAGTTGAAACTCTCCTGAGGTTGGTAGCCTGGAGAGTCAGGGTTCCCCTTAACAAACTACAGCTCCCAAGTTTCCTTGGGGGAAGTGGCGCTAAGCTGAGTCCAAGACCACACACAAGCCATACGTTTAAAGAGCTATGATACCACTTTAATGGTAGAGTGGTTTCATAGCCAGTCCCTCTTCCCAGGGAACTCTGGGAATTGTAGCTGTGTGGTAAGGGAAGTGGGGAGGTCTCCCAACAACTCTCCGCACCCGGAACCAACTACAACTCCCAGGATTATTTGGGGGGGAAACCATGATTGCTTTAAAATGGCACTTTAAATGCATGGTGTGAATGTGGCCTCACTGTAAGGCCTGTGTCCCTCAGGTAGCTGTTGAAAGGAGAAATTATTCTGAGTTTTTGCAGCTGACTTAAAGATGCTTTGTGGGGCGGGGGGGCCCTGTTGTTTTGGTGTGGGGAGCATGGTTAATGCTGCTTTGAACACCAGCAGCCTTTTGAGCGTTTGCCTGGCATATGACGTGTTAGATACATATGTGCAAGTCAGTGGATATCTTAACCCCTTCCCCCCCCCACCACCAAAAAAACACACCCGTTAACTGTCTCGGGAGGTAAAAATGACTACCAGGCTTTGAAAAAGCTGGTATTGCTGGATCAGGTTTGTCAGTTTTGTTGAATTAATTAAATTCTAATTAGATTTTGAAAAAAATGTGTAATCAGTTGCTTCCGTTTTGAATTTTACTGTTTTATTATCTCCCTTAAGTGGGTTGTGCAAATTCTGAATAATGCTTTCTATAGGGTAGAGGACGCTGGGGGTGAGTTTATAGAAACAAGGGTGGCGGTGCCCCAGAAAAGTTGTGGAACAACTACCCTAGAACTTCCTATCACTGGAGACTGGTTAGCAGGGAAGGACGGCAGGAATTGACGTTTGGAGTTTATTTTTTGCTTGTCTTCAATGGGGCTCTGCTATCAGGATTTCCTGTGCTCCCCACCCCTGCGTTAGTTATGCAGTCTAACCACTGGAGGGCGCCAGCGGTCAGCCCAAATAGGTGAAAACCTGACTGCAAATGTTGTCTTAGGCGAGAATTCTCGGAGAATCTGATGGGAATGGGAGCAAAAATTACCCGCTCATTTGTCCCGCGCCCGGAATTGGGATCAGTCTGTCAAACACCACTGCGATTTGCGGTTGCTGCTGGAAGGTCATCAGCTGAGGGCAACGCTTCGCACATCTGATGAAGCAGGCTCCAGTTTGCGAAAGTTTTAATGCCATAATGACTTGCAAGATCTCCTTACACATGCACCCCATATGTGCCCAGTCGACCGCTTTGCTCTGCGGAACTGGCACCAGTGCATCTGTGGCATAACAACTGTTGTGCATTTGTAAGGAATTGTTCTTTTTAGTGCGGCAGCACCTGCACTTTGGCACTCCCTGCTGCCACTGTCTCCTGCGGGAGTGAGTTCCACAGTTGAACTATGTGCTGGGTGAAGAAGGGCTTCCTTTCTCTGTCCTGAATCTTCCAACAAATGGTCCAAATAAAGAGAGAGAGAGAGAGAAAAAAGTGCACCATATCGGTATGGCTTAGGAGTGGGAAAGGTAAAGGGACCCCTGACCATTAGGTCCAGTCGTGGACGACTCTGGGGTTGCGCGCTCATCTCGCTTTACTGGCCGAGGGAGCCGCCGTTTGTCTGTAGACAGCATGACTAAGCCTCTTCTGGCGAACCAGAGCAGCTCACGGAAACGCCGTTTACCTTCCCACTGGAGTGGTACCTATTTATCTACTTGCACGTCAAACTGCTAGGTGGGCAGGAGCTAGGACCAAACAATGGGAGCTCACCCTGTCTTGGGGATTTGAACCGCTGACCTTCTGATCAGCAAGCCTAGGCTCTGTGGTGCCTTGCCACAAACTTCACATTTCAAGCATGTGAGTGTGTGCGTTGGGGGGTTCTGTGCTGTCTCCTAGAAAGCTTTGGGCGCTGGTCTTGCAGTCCAGACATGCCTCACCCACTAACCCGGCGTTTGTGTCTGAGGAGCTGGTGCCTGTTCCCTAGGAGGCTGGCTGGCTAGCCTGGTAGGGCCAAGGCTCTGGCAGCAAACAAACAGGCTTTCTGGCAAAGCAACCTTGGCAGAATAAACAAACCGCCTCCCTGTATGTTTGCAGGGAGAGAGACGGACTGAGTGGTGTTGCTGTTTTAACATCACTTGGCATAAATGGGCATCTCTGTACTTTCTTTCTGTCATGCCAACAGGGCCCCAGTGGAATCCGGGCTCAGTAACACCTTTTGTGGGCAACTCTCAGGGCCTTCCGAGTGAGCAAAAGTCAGGGAAGTCAGCATCCTTGCCTTTATACCAGGACTGACCAATCCGGAGGTGCTGTACTGCCTGCCCAATAGGAACAGGCAATCTTGGGTAGCCGTATTTCCGTTACTTGCCTCAAGGTGAGGCCTGAGATCACACTAGCAATGCTGGGTTTTCCAGCAAACCCGATTCCTTTCTCTGATAACCTAAACCAGTCTTCTGCAACCTGGCGCCCTCTCCAGATGCTTCAGACTCATGAGCGCTGTAGTCCAAAGCTTCTGCAGAGGAAGCAGGAGGCTGCCCTAAAGCAACCCTCATCCAATTTAGCATGACTGCAATATTTAGTAAACAACCATTTTTAAAAAAAAATTAAAATGCCATATTTTAATTTTAGCATCCTGTACTAATGCTGCATAAACCTACCCAATAACTCGATTTGAAATCTTTATTTATTTATTTTAATGTGGGGGAGACTCTTTGAACCACCCTCTGATGTGGTGAAAATATTTTATGCCGAAGCTTCAAAGCTTAACTTCGAAATATGTGCAAGGTTTTGTGAGTGTTGTGTGTTTTTTTACTGGCGCGCTTGTTAAGCAGTTTTAAGACCTGACCGCTCAGTTAGCTTGCAGCTCCCTCAGATGTTTGCTGAAATGTGGGGTGTTTTTGCAAAGTGAAACGAGGGTGAAACAGCCCTGGAGTGGGGCGGGAAAACACGCTGCCGCTTCCAAAAAACCTCAGTTCAACACCGCTGCCCCTTCTCCCAGGAGCCGCAAGTCTCAGATCAGGGGTGCTCGCAGTTGGACCAGGTGGGCCACCAAAGCCCTGCCTCCTCTGCAAACCTGGCTGACTGGTTTATGTATTTATTTATTATCTATGCCTGACTTTTCCTTTGATGCTTTTAAAAGAGTATTGGACAAATTCATGCAGGAGGAGTCATAGAGTTGGAAGGGACCCCAATGGTCATTCACTTCTACCCCCCACAATGCAGGAATCTTGCTCCATCTTCCATGTCACAGCCCTTCGGTTATTTGAAGATGGCTATTGTATCGTCTCTCAATCTCCTCTTTTCCAGGTGAAACATATCCAATTCCCTCAACCGTTCCTCATAAGGCTTGGTTTCCAGACCCTTGGTCATCTTGGTTGCCCTCCGGTTCTGCACACGTTCCAGCTTGTCAACATCCTTAAATTGTGGCACCCAGAACTGGACACAGGATGGCCAAGGCAGAATAGAGTGGGACTATGACTTCCCTAGGGATGCGGGTGGCGCTGTGGTCTCTAAACCACTGAGCCTCTTGGGCTTGCTGATGGGAAGGTCAGCGGTTCGAATCCCTGCAACGGGGTGAGCTCCTACCTGTCCCAGCTCCTGCCAACCTAGCTGTTCGAAAGCACGCAAAAAAAAAATGCAAGTAGATAAATAGGTACCGCTCCGGCGGGAAGGTAAACGGCATTTCACCAGAAGCGGCTCAGTCATGCTGGCCACATGACCCAGAAAAACTGTCTGAGGACAAACGTCGGCTCCCTCGGCCTGTAAAGCGAGATGAGCACCGCAACCCCAGAGTCATCTGCAACTGGACTTAACTGTCAGGGGTCCTTTACCTTTACCTTTTTATGACTTCCCTTGGTCTGGACATTAGGCTTCTGTTGATGCAGCCTAGAATGGAATTAGCTTTTTTTTACTGCTGCATCCTCTGTTGACTCATGCTAACAGCGTGATGCAGCAGCAAAAAAAGCTAATGCTATTCTAGGCTGCATCAACAGAAGTATATATCGATGGCTACCAGCCACAGTATCTTTGCTCTGCCTCCATGGCCGGAGGGAGTGACGCTTTTGTGGATAGTTGTTCCACTTGTAGGTTTCCCATTAAGAGCCTAAAAAGATACGAAGAGCCTTTGCCCAACCATCCTGAGCTTCTTAAAGGAAGGGGTGTGATATAATTACGCTGTGAACCGCCCTGAGATCTACAGATGAAGGGTAGTATAGAAATTTAATAAATAATGATGGTGATAATTACTTACTGGTGATAACTTTTCAAATATTGCTATTCATTATATATTATTGAAAACCACAAATTGCATTTTTATCCTGCCATTTGTCCAATGAGCTCGAGGCGGCGTTCAAACCCTCTTCATTTTATCCCCACAACAACCCTGTGAGGTAGGTCAGGCTGAGAGGCAGCCCGAGGTGAGCGAGTCCTCATCTCCCAGGCCCTAGCACAGCACTCTAACCAATACATAAACAATTTCCGTTTTTGAGATGCCGTTGCTTTCCAGTGCTTGAGACCCCAGAGCAAGTTGAGGAGGGGACTCCCAGTTAGCAGAGCTGGGGGAGGAGGCAGCAGCCTTAATTCCACCCAGGATTCTTTTGCCCCCCCCCTCCCAAACTGGAGGATTATTTACAGTCTGGGACACCGGGATCAGAACGCAGCCGTCAAGGTCACTCTCCTGCAGACGCAGGCAAGGCTGGTGCCCCAGGGAGGATTCAACCTTGCCGTTTCCTGCACCACACACACACACACACACAAACACACACACACCAGCAATAACTTAAAAGGAAATAAAATAACTCTTGCTTTCAGCCTTTCGCAGTTGATCAAGAGCAGGAGGTGGATGAATATGCTAGGTTATGACTTCTCCCTGTTCCTTGTTCTCCATATTCCCACATCAAGTGTGCGATCTAAAAAAAAAAATGTCCTCATGGAGATTAATCAAGGTTCTAGTGTCAATTTCTCTCCATGTGCACTTTTTTTTTTGGAAAAGCAGTTTCCCCTAATATAATGCATTTTTTTTTTTTACGTTATTTTGGGACACCCGAGATGCGTGTTTGCAGGGCTCTCCCTGTTCCCGCAACTGTTTTAACTGTTTTTAATTCAGAATTTTAAACTCTGCAAACCTGCCCTGTGACCTGCTGGAGAATGGTGGGTAGTTGTTGTTGTTCCACTCATATAGGCACTTTTCTACACATTATTTGGCTGGAAAACTGCACTGCAAAATTTGGAGAAGTGCAAATTCGTTTCGGTTTGTGTATCCTTTCAGAAAGTGCAAATGTGGTAGGTGTGCCTTTAAATGTGAATGGCATCAAATTGCCCCCCCAAAAAGAGAGAAGTCTTGGTGTTGGTCTGTCTTTCCATCACTCTTTCATAGCATACCCCTTCTCTCTCTGTGTGTGTGTGCCTGGCATTGCCCAGGAATTTGTAGAAACCGAAAAATGATGAGAGTTTAAAATGGACAGTGTCGTTTGTGAATTTGGATCTGTCCCACTAAATATCGGAGGAAGTCGCGCCAAAGTCATGTTTCAGAACGGCACTCTGGACGAGGACCCCCACCTCCTCAGGAACCTATAGAGAACAGGCAGGCAGGCAGGCAGGCAAGCGACTTTCGAAAACACAAAGCAGATATATTAATGAAATGCCAGCAGCAAAACCTGGATCCATTGGCATCCAATTTAATTAGCATTTCAATCCCCCTGTAAAATGTGAACAGGCTCCAATTAGACCCCAGGCAAGAACTGAGATCCCCTTTGAAGGCCAGGCCTTGTAAGACCCCCTCGCTTTTTTTAGGAGGGAGGCCTTACCCGCTCCTGCCCCACCATCCATCAGGGATCAACAGGCTCTGTTTCTCTGCAACCCCTCACAAGAAAGCAGGTCGAGGAGGAGGAAGAAGAGGGACCTGGGTCTTTAGGATCAGCCAGATGGCCTCCTCGTTCTCCCTTCCTGAGATACAAGCAGGGCACAGAGAGAGGTGTTGTGTGTCCCCCCCAAAAAAACACGCTCCATTTGGGGGCATAAACTGGGAATGAAAAGAGCAGTTTTCATTTTCTAGCCATGTTGGTTGATTTACAGGCCGTGGGGAGCAGAGAGTGAAATTTCCCCATGGCTTACATTTCTGGAGAAAGGGGCTCTGGCTTTTGAGGCTGTCTTGGCCAACATCTGATTCACCCATGATAGAGACCCAGCAGGCGTCTCTGGGAAATCCCACAAGCAAGGCACAGAAGCCACAGCTCTTTTCCCTGAACTGCTGCTCCCAGGCACCTGGTATTCAGAGGTACACTGCTACTGGACCTGGAGGCTCTGTTTAGGTATTATTCTTTGATAGCCAAATAGTTTCGGACAGGGACCAGCACTCTGTTGCAGAGCAGCTGCTTTGCATGCAAAACATCGCAGATTCAGTCCCCAGTATCTCCAGAAAGGCCCTGCCTGAAATTACGGAGAGTCACTGTAAGTCACTGCAAAAGCTATGCTGAGCTAGGCTCTGTCTCACAATATGCTCCCATTTAACCCTATTTAGAGCCAAGAGGACTGAAATCCTGCTTTACTTTTGCGAGAAGATATTGGTGGCGGATTCCCTGGGGGATGGTGGTTTAGAAGGTGACTAGTATCAAAGAAGGGACGCGGGTGGCGCTGTGGGTTAAACCACAGAGCCTAGGACTTGCTGATCAGAAGGTCGGTGGTTTGAATCCCCGCAATGGGGTGAGCTCCTGTTGCTCGGTCCCTGCTCCTGCCAACCTAGCAGTTCAAAAGCACGTCAAAGTGCAAGTAGATAAATAGGTACCGCTCCAGTGGGAAGGTAAACGGCATTTCTGTGCGCTGCTCTGGTTCGCCAGAAGCGGCTTAGTCATGCTGGCCACATGACCCGGAAGCTGTACGCCGGCTTCCTCGGCCAATAAAGTGAGATGAGCGCCGCAACCCCAGAGTCGGCCACAACTGGACCTAATGGTCAGGGGTCTCTTTACCTTTACTTTAGTATCAAAGAGTTGGAAGGGACCATGTGGGTCATCATCCTGCCCACAGCCATCCCTGCGTGGGATTCAACCACCAACCTTCTGGCTAACAAACGGCTGCATGCACTGACCCATTGCGCCCCCTGCTATGGCGATGATGATGGAAACAATAAATAATGATGTTTTCTATAAACTGTCGGAATAGCCATCAGCTGGTTAGATCGTGGTGCTGATAACGCCAAGGTTGCAGGTTCGATGCCCGTAAGGGACAGCTGCATTATTCCTGCATTGCAGAGAGTTGGACCAGATGGCCCTCGGGGTTCCTTCCAACTGCATTGTTCAAATTTGGGGCGAGACTGCAAGCTCCTTGGGGCAGATACCCCTCCTTCTCCAAATGCGCTCTGGCCACGCCGCTGCAGCCTTTGGTGCGCTTTTGCGCGCTGCGCTCCCCTCGCTCTCGGAGGCACCCGCGCCTCCCTCCTCCTCCCCCTCCTCGGCTTGCAATGCTCTCCCGCCGCCGCTGCGTGGCCTCCCATCCCCGGCCGTGAGTCACCTCGGCGGCTCTTGGCTCGCTGCCGCTGCCGGGAGCGATCCGCCGCGGTGCCCCGGCCAGCAGCGGCCTCCGGGTCTTGGAGCGGCGCGCGCGCAAGAGAGAGCGAGCGAACGAGCGAGGGCGGGCGGGCGGGCTGGCCCGGCGCACAATGCCTCCGCCGAGCCCGAGCGAGCCGCTGCCTTTCTGCCGGCGCTCGCAGGGGAGAGCTGCCGCCGCTACCGCCCTCCCCGCCCACCTGGTCCCATGAAGCGGCCGAGGGGGCCTTAGCGAGCCGGACGAGATGGGCAACCAGCCGGGGAGACCCGAGGAAGTGGAGCCAGGTCGGTTAGCCGCGGGGAAGTGGGGGCGGGAAGCGAGGGAGGGGAGATGCCGGGGGGCGCAGGGGGTCCCTCGCAGGTGGGGCTGTGGGGGGGGGGGGCGCCCGCCGGGCACGTGCCAAACAGGAAAAGCGGAGCGGGGCTGCATCCTGGCTCGCCGGGGTTGGCCTTTTCTCTCCGATGGGTGTGTGTGTGGGGGGGAGAGAACGGGCGTTAATGCACCGGAGCCGCTCGCCCTGGATTTCTGTTCATTTGCAGAATTCGTTTCGTTTCGTTGAATCGCTTTGGCGCGAGCCATTAGCACTATGATAACACAAACGAGGCAGGTAACATTTGCGCATAAGAAACGGTTAGAGGGAACTCTCTTTAGGATCAGGAGTGGAGAGTCTCTGCTCTAAACGAACAGGAGGAGCTATTGGGGCTCTTGACCTGGGGGGGGCCAAACTCTGTGTGTGTGTAAAAGTGCTTTTAGAAATATGCGTGTCTGTGTTGCGCTGCAGGGGGTTGGACTGGATGACCCTTCAGCCCCCTTCCAATTCTGTGATTCTGTATAATTATGAATGGCGAACTTTGAGATGAAGAATGAGTCTTAGCATCAGTTCACTAGCTGAGGGGTCCTCTTTGTAGGAGAAGCTTGGGTGTTTGGGTGGTGTCATAACAACAAACGGGGGTTCCCCCAGGAGTTAAGCCCCGCCCCCCCAGTTTTGGCTGTGCACATTCCTGGACACCTCCCGAAAGAGAGGGGGTGGGGGGGGTAGAGGAACGGGCATGTGGCAAAAACTGAGGGTGTCCCAAGGAAGAACAGAGAGTTTAAAATTGGGTTCAGAGCCAGGAGTGTCTGTAAACACACAAATGGGGGGGAATCAAGTTGTGCTGGGATGTGGGGGGCCAGGTGGATGTCTCTCCTAGGATGCTGCAAGGTCCCTGGGAATTGTGTGTGTGTGTTTTTATGGGGGAGACAATAACCAGCTGTGGCATCCAGCTTTTCGGCAGTGGTGGCGCACCCTAGGGAACGGTTACCAGGCCTCTCGGAGCAGCTATGTCTTTTGTGAGAATCTCTCCCCTCCTCTTCCCCCCCCCCCATTGTCCTCTTGGAAGTGCATCGCTATGCATGTTAAACAGGGAATTGGGGTTGGGGGAGCTTGTGGAGAAATAAAGGAGTGTGTGCTCTTTCTCCTCCTTTGTGGGTCCACTGAAAAGCCAGCCCCCAATTGATGTGTGTCTGTCTGCAAGGCTGGCCAAAATGATTCAGAAAGCAGCATGCCTTGCTCTCTTGCCTGTTTCACAGATCTTGTTCGATTTTGAGGGGGGCCCTCAGGCGCTGGTGGGTTTGTCTTATGCATACAGGGCCCCCTAGAGATTATTAGAGGACTTCTTGTGGGGCGTGGGGGGTGGGGAATAAGATGGGGGGGACGGACGGCCTTGCCCTGCTGTAATGCAAACATTTTGTCTTGTAGCTAAGCTGCCCTGGGGGAGTGTCCCCCACCCCAGACCCCTTCGGGGTTTCAATTAATTTGATGCTGCTCCTTTAGAGGTCTTTTCGAAAACCTTCTTCCTGCTCAGGCTTTTGAAGTGTGCTTTAAACGTTTTTTATTTTTCCTGCAAACTGCTTTTTACAGGGGGTGGGGTAGTTTTTTGTGTGTTTTGGGGGAACGCTTCTCTTTTGTTATTTACATCTGATATTTTGTTGTAAACTGGATGGGCTGCTGTGTAAACAATCAATAGCCATACCAATATTAAGTGGACTCTCGTCTGGCGGTAGGACATTTGTAGGAGGTCCCCTGGTTCAAGCCCCAGCACCACAAAGTCAGACTTTGGCCTCTCACGTAGGGTTGGGTGGGAGGGTCCCCTGCCTGGAGCCCTTAAGAGCTGCTGCCAGTCAGGGTCAGCAATACTGCACTAGATGGACTCGAGGGTCTTAGTACAAGACAGTTCCTTTCGTTCCTGGTAGTAAGAGATTTTGCCGTGGCTAACCTCTTCTGAGGGACGCGGGTGGCGCTGTGGGCCACCCACAGCGCCTAGGACTTGCTGATCCGAAGGTCGGTGGTTCGAATCCCTGCGACGGGGTGAGCTCCTGTTGCTCGGTCCCTTCTCCTTCCAACCTAGCAGTTCGAAAGCACGTCAAAGTGCAAGTAGATCAATAGGTACTGCTCCGGCGGGAAGGTAGACGTCGTTTCCGTGCGCTGCTCTGGTTCGCCAGAAGCGGCTTAGTTATGCTGACCCGGAAGCTGTATGCCAGCTCCCTTGGCCAGTAAAGCGAGATGAGCGCCACAACCCCAGAGTCGGTCACAACTGGACCTAATGGTCAGGGGTCCCTTTACCTTTATCTAACCTCTTCTGATGTACCTGAAAGCAACTTCTTTTTAAGAATAGAATGATATACAGTGGTGCTTTGGTTTAAGAACAGCTTGTTTTATGAACAACTTGGATTAAGAACGCTGCAAACCCGGAAGTAGGTGTTTTGGTTTGTGAACTTTGCCTTGGAAGCAGAACATGTTCCGCTTCCTGTTGAGTGTGTTCCATTTGTAAATTGAGTCCCCCGCTGCTGTGGGAAAGCACACCTTGGTTTAAGAACGCTTTGGTTTAAGAATGGACTTCCGGAATGGATTAAGTTCGTAAACCAAGGTAACGCTGTATTCTTCCCCACTGCTCCACGTAAAGACAGCAGTGCCCGGCCCCAGAATTTTAGGAAAGATAACCCCTGAGCCCTCTCCTGCAACCCTTGATCCAAGAGAAACCGGAATGTGCACACCATGGTTCCTACGCCTCTTACGAAGTAGACCATAGTCCCGCAAAAGCTGATGCCGTAAGGCAGTTGGTTCTTTTCCTTTCTCCGCAACAGCGTGGCTGCGCCTCTCCCCCACCCCTGGGAATCTCTGCAAGGGTAGCGCTGGTGTGCCCTTTTCGCTAGGAAAGGGCACAGCAAATGCCAGTCCTGGCCCTCCCTGATCCACTTGTAGAACCGTTTGTTGCTTTTGCTGCTGCTGCAAAACATCTCTGCTGATTGTGATGCAGCTGGCAATTTTGGGGGAAGAAACTGGGGGGAAACATACTGGGCTTTTGCCATATTGTCGTTTTTTTGTTTGCGACCTCACCTTCCCCTTTGCATCTCATGGCCTCATCCTTCCTTCCTCGCCACCCAGCAGAAACCTTCCTCTGCTAGCTACAAGCTGCCAGCCCTCGATTTCTGTTCTTTAAAAGTAATGTTTAAACCACTGTGATACCACATTAAACAATCATGGCCTCCCCCCCCCCCAAGAATCCTGGGAACTGTAGTTTGTTAAGGAGTTGCTGAGAGGCCTCATATTCCCCTCCCAGAGCGCTTCAAGCTAATCCATCTTCTCAGGGAACTCTGGGAACCGTACCTCCTTGCTTGAAACCCTAGAGGGCTGCTGCCAGTCAGTGCAGGCAACACTGAGCTAGAAGGACCAAGCACCCGATGAAGGCAGCTCCTCCTGCACTGCCAACTCATAATGAAAAAGAGCAAATATCAGGGATGGAGGGGGCGTTACTGCAACGGCGAGTGCAAGCACCGTCAGCTCATGGCTGAGGGAGGAGGCCAAATACTCCGTTGTTTTGTTTGGGGATGTTGTGGTGTCTGGAAATGTGTGAGCAGATGTTCGCCAGAGGGGAAGCTGCCCCAGGGCCCTTCTAGGACGCAAATGATGCGTGTTGCACCTGCCCCACACCCTTGTCTCGGAACATACCTGCTACGAGTTCTGCTGGTCCGGGGAATTCAGGTGTTTACTGCTGGGGGAAGGTGGGGCTCCTGTTTAGACTATTCAGGGAAGGGATGGGAGATGATTATTTTAGCCCCATGTTCTGGTGCCAAGTGGTTTTCTCTGAGGACATGTCAAAAGCCCCATTTAAGCATCATTTTGCTGGAATCATCTCTCTGGCCAGCTCTCTCTCTCTCTCTCTGTCTCTCTCTGTTTCTCTCTGTCAAAAATGGCTGATATTACAAAGGTAGACAAGCTCTGCACATGCAGGTTCCATTGTTACCTGTTGTTGCCTCCAGTAGGCCTTTGCGCCATGAATTTGCCAAACCCTTAACAGAAATGATCTCAGCTAGCAACCTTCTCCACCGGGCTCAGCATATCCCGTACTTGTATGAAGAAGTTATTTCCTTATGCAGGAGATTTGGGACGATAACTTAACTCTGTTGCAGGGGGTTGGACTAGATGACCCTCATGGTCCCTTCCAACTCCACAGTCCTATGATCCCTTTGTTTTTGATGGGCCTACTCTGTGTATACCTCATTTTGATATCGCTCCCCCTTTTAAAAAAGTTTCAATCTATTTTATTTGTGGCTTTCTACTGGAAAGGATTATATTAATTGGCGTAGTGTGGACATAAAAATACATTTGAAGGCAGCCCTGTTTAGGGAAGTTTTTAATGTGTGATGTTTTATTGTATTTTCAATATTTTGTTGGAAGCCACCCAGAATGGCTGGGGAAACAATTTGTTGTTGTTAAATCATCATCATCTTATTATTAGTATCCTGCCCAGCACCTTACCTGTGGTTTCTTTGCTGCCAATAAACCCACAATCGGAAACCTTGGTTTGTTTTAACTATGCCTTGGTGTTGCACGTGCAAATCTTGCGCCCGTCCCTAACAATGGGTTTTTTTGGTCCAACCCAGAGGCTCACTAAGCAAGAAAGACAGGAGGCAGCAGCAGGCAGGACAACACAAACCTTGGAGGAACAAGCCACGGTGTGCTGGCTCGTCTGTGGGACAACCTGTGGTTTGTTAAACAAACCATGGTTTAGCATTGCGTGACTCTATCTGCCAACATCTCTCCCTCTGTTCCCCTCACCTTACAAGAAAGCTTCAAATACTTGGGCAAAACTGCTCCAGCCCCTTGACCTGCATGGCCATGCCTTTATCTGACTTTCCCAGTTCTGCATCACCTTCCTTGTTTTTTTCGGAGATGGGGAAATCTTATCTCCCCACAAAAGATCTTGTCTCTGTAGGCCGGGATTCTTCACTCTGGGTCTGATGAGCCACCTCTGCCTGGCAAGAACCTTAAGGAAAGTTCACATGCTAGTTTACAACAGGATGTGACTAGCATCTCCAGGCCCTCCTGTTCTCTGTGAGTCAGGAGCTGTTTGTCTGGGTCTGCAAAAGAAACTTAATCTGATTTACTCCCCCTTCCCCTGAATCTTCCACCCCGGTGCTGAAACTCAGGCCTCAGGGCATGTGCAGAGTGCTTTGCCTGCAAAGCAAGCCAAGTGCGAACGCGTTTCTTTTTTGAAAAAGCAAAGCGTTCTTGTGTGTCCGAAGCTTGTTTCGTACATCCTCTCTCAGTCAACAACCCTCCTGACAGCCCTGCAATGTAGAGCAGTGTTGCTGCGTTATTTATCTCCAACTAGTGAGTGCAAGAGAAACAGGCCGGTAGCAGCAATGATTCTGAATCCTAGTTGCTGGGGACTGCAAGTGGGGAGAACTGTTGTTGCGCTCAGGTCCCCAGGCCTCCCTTGGGAGCATCTGGTGGTGACTGCAAGGACCGGACTAGATGGGACCCCTTTGGGCCTGAGCCAGGCCCTTCTTCCGTTCTCAGGCGGCTCTTGTAAGCCAGCCAAGCTGCGTACTGCCAGAGGGGTGGTGGAAGGGAGAGGAGAAGAGAAGGAAACTGGCCACTCCCGTGCCCCCTCACCAGCCTTATCTAGCCAGGCAGGGCAAGGGGGAGATTCCTTTCTATTCCTGGCCCCAGAGAAGGCTGGCAGAGCCGTGAGGAAGGCCACCCATCTAAGGACATTTTAATAGGGTATGACTCCACACTGCCCTGGCCTCCAAAATTCTCCGCTCGGTAACCCAAGAAGAATTTGGGTGTTGAAACTGTCAAAACCATGAGAGAAGAGAGTGTCCTCAGAATAATTGCCGCTTTGCTCCACATCTCTGTTTCCAGACCCAATTCAAGGTGCTGCTTTTAATCCGTATAGCAGGGGTGAAGGAGCCTCATGCCTGGGGGCCAGACCCTCTCTCTGTCTGGCCCCCCGTGATACTCCCAAGGCTTCCCCGCCCCCACCAGCGCTGCTTCACAGCCTCCTTGAGTGTCTTTGCCTGGCTGGGATTGGGCCCTTGAACTCTGACCCTGCCTCTTCGCTTGGCTGGACGGAGGGTGGAGAGGGGCGGGCGAGTGCAAGCGTCTAGAAACTAGCCTGCTCTACGAAAGTTAAAATTTACATTCATCTCGGGTGAGACAGACGGAGCAGATCTCCTGCGCCTTCTGCAGATCTGAAGGCCACCTAGGTTGGCAGACATGGAAGGAAACTCTCCTGCAAATGCTTGGGGCATGAGCCACGGAGGGGAGGTTTGGTGCCAGGAGGTCCATTATCAAGACCAGATGGGATGCAACAGGGAAAGAGTGGGGCGGGAGGCAATGGACGTTTGTCCAGTTCTGGGCACCACAGTTTAAAAAGGATGTCGACAAGCTGTGCAGAGGAGGGCGACCAAGATGATCAAAGGTCTGGAAACCAAGCCTTATGAGGAATGGTTGAGGGAGCAGGGGATGTTTAACCTGGAAAAGAGGAGACTGAGAAGAGACAGGAGAGCCATAATAATAATAATAATAATAATAATAATAATAATAATAATTTATTTATACCCCACCCATCTGGCTGGGTTTCTCCAACCACTCTGGGCGGCTTCCAACAAAGTATTAAACTACAGTGGTCTGTTAAACATTAAAAGCTTCCCTAAACAGGGCTGCCTTCAGATGTCTTCTAAAGGTCTGGTAGTTGTTCTCTTTGACATCTGGTGGGAGGGCATTCCACAGGGGGGTGCCACTACCGAGAAGGCCCTCTGCTTGGTTCCCTGTAGCTTTGCTTCTCGCAGAACCGCCAGAAGGCCCTCGGCGCTGGACCTCAGCATCCGGGCAGAACGATGGGAGTGGAGACGCTCCTTCAGGTCTACTGGACCGAGGCCATTTGGGCTTTAAAGGTCAGCACCAACACTTTGAATTGTGCTCGGAAACGTATGTGAAGGGCTGTTACATGGAGGATATTTTCTCCTGCTCTGGAGGGTAGGACTCGAACCAATAGCTTCAAGTTGCAAGAAAGGAGATTCTGACTAACCATTCAGAAAAAGTTTCTGACAGTTAAGGGCTGTTTGATGGTGGAGCAGACTCTCTCAGAAGGCGGTGGACTTTCCTTCCTTGGAGATTTTTAAGCGGAGGTTGGATGGCCATCTGTCATGGATGCTTAAGTTGAGATTCCTGCATTGCAAGAGATTGAGCTAGATGGCCCTTGGAAAGTCTTACAGTTCAGTGATTCTGTGACATTGCTGGGAGCAAGGGCAGAGACACAGTGACCCTGGGCATCTGATAACAGGACTCTTCTTCCCACCCCCAGAGCTTCTCCATTGTGTCTTCTTAATCTAAAAGATTGAGAAGGAGGAGGAGGTCTGCGAATGGAATTTACAAGGTTGTGACTCGTAGGAGGCAGGAGGTCCACATGCCAGAACAAACCCTTTTCCCCATACCAGGATGGCTCAGCAGCAAACCACCACGACTGTTGTGTCTGGCCTTGGCCTAACGTTTCCTGCCCAAACGGTGCCTTTATTATTATTATTATTAAAACTTACAGCACACTTTCCCCCCCAGGCAGTTCCGCGAGCAGATATACTACTAGGTTCTTTTAAATCCACCTGGGTGTTGATGGTGAAGCAGAGAGAGATCAAGAGCTACTGAAAGAGCATGGTATAGTGGGTAGAGTGTTGGACTAGGACTTGGGAGACCAGGGTTCAGATCCCCGCAGGGTTGTTGTGGGGCATTGAATGAGGAGAGGGAGAACCGTGCAGGCCACGAGCTCCTTGAAGAAAAAGGCGGGGATATAAGTGTACAGTGGTACCTCAGGTTACAGACACTTCAGGTTACAGACGCTTCAGGTTACAGACTCCGCTAACCCAGAAATAGTGCTTCAGGTTAAGAACTTTGCTTCAGGTTGAGAACAGAAATCGCGCGGCGGCGGCACAGTGGCAGCGAAAGGCCCCATAAGCTAAAGTGGTACCTCAGGTTAAGAACAGTTTCAGGTTAAGAACGGACCTCCAGAACGAATTAAGTTATTAACCAGAGGTACCACTGTAATAGTAAATGAAAATAAAGATTTGTTTGCAGGGAGATGAGATGATGTTGACTATTTAATGAGCAAGCTGGGTTTCTCCTCCTCTGGAGGGTAGGACTCGAACACATGGCTTCAAGTTGGCTTCAAGTTGCAAGAAAGGAGATTCAGACTCAACATCAGGAAGAACTTTCTGACAGTAAGAGCCGTTCAATCATGGGATGATCTCCTTCGGGAGTTTGTGGCCTCTCCTTCCCTGGAGGTTTACAGTGGTACCTCAGGTTAAGTACTTAATTCGTTCTGGAGGTCTGTTCTTAACCTGAAACTGTTCTTAACCTGAAGCACCACTTTAGCTAATGGGGCCTCCCGCTGCTGCCGCACGATTTCTGTTCTCATCCTGAAGCAAAGTTCTTAACCCGAGGTACTATTTCTTGGTTAGCAGAGTCTGTAACCTGAAGCGTATGTAACCCAAGGTACCACGGTATAAGCAGAGGTTGGATGGTCAGGGGTGCTTTAGTTGAGAGTCCTGCATTTCAGGGGGGTCATACTAGAACCTACCAGTGGGTTGAAGTTGATGACCCTCTATGATTCTATTCAATTGGCTAGCGTTGTGCAAACTCCCAAACAGCAACCATCTTGAAGCGCCGTAGAGTCACCCACTTGTGACTGAATGGCCGTTCATTGTGGAAGAATTCCATACATCCAGGCAGGGGCCGCCCCCCCCCCAAAGGCCGCCAACCTATCCTCTGTTATCAGCAGTTCAAGGCACTCTTTAAGAACTACTTGCCTTCGGAGGAGTTGGCCTGTTGCTTCTCTGTGCGAGTTCCTGTTCCAGGCTTGCTAACATCCATTCAGGAGGCACGTGCAGAGCAGAAAGTTGTTCAGGGGTGATTGGAGACTCCTTGAAAAGTGTGTGTGTGTGGGGGGGGTGAGATTTATCATACTCTTCCAACCTGAAAGGAAACCTTTCCGGGTATAAAAGCGAAGGGCCCCTCCAGTTTAAATCCAGGAGCGGGGACGGACGAAGTGTGGTTCGGCTGCCTGGCCCTGCTCTGCATTCTGGGTGACCTTCGGAGGTTGAAACTGTGGCTTCGGCTGGGTGATTGCTTTCCCCCCCAGTCAAACCAAAAGCCCTGTTAGGCTCTAATAAACTAGGGCATCCCCCAGCCCTCTTCCAATCAGCAATTTGTTAATGACATTTCATTGACAGGAGCGTTTGGCCAGAGGGTTAGGCCAGGGTGAAATCAATTTGTCTGTGGTTTAGGTGGCAGTGCCTGCGGAAAATAAAATGTTGTGGAACAACACAGAAGATGTGGGGAGATGGGACGAGATGGGATTCCATCCTCAGTGTCAGCTTTCTGAAATAACCGTGTATTTTGTATCATTTGTTTTCAAACTAACAGGCTCATCTTTCAAATAATACAGGGATGAAGCCTTTGTTTTAATTAGAAGTTGACGATCCGTTAATAATATTGGGCGTGCAAAATAACCTTTCCTTCCAGGTAACATGTTGCTCTCCCAGCCCCTTCCAGTTCTGTGATTCAATGTGTGTAAGTGAGCGAGAGACAAGAGTCCTGGCACTTTGAGCATCAATCCCACTTTGCAGGAGGGTTCTTGATTCCCCCAAACCCAATCCCCTCATTCCTTTGGCCAGGGGTGGGGTCTGATCCGTCGTCCACTCGGGGTTTTCCGCTGCAGTTTTTCCTCCACCGGAGCCGCGCTCCACTCTTCCCGCCTCCCTAAACCGTAGCAAAGCCTGATGTCTGTGGCTTCTGCCCCGCTGGCTGGGTGTGGATAATAATTAATCTCCTGGCGCGGAAGCTGCTTCCTTGACGGGTGAAGGAAAAAGAAAGGAAGAGAGACAGGTTTAACCTCCAACCCAGCCCGGCTAATTGTTTTTCTCAGGCAAGAATCAAAAACCCAAGACTTTGCCAGCAAGGCCTGGGTTTCCTAGAAAGGAGACTGACAGCGGTATTGCGAAGCAAGCGTGGGGAACCGGATCCATTCCTGCAGGCCAAATCCTTACCTGCACACCCCCCGCAGGCAGAGTTTGACAGGTGGCTGGTCCACCCACTTGTCCATTGCCTAATGTCAGGTGACACTCCCCCCCTTTTTTTTTGCACATGCAGGCAGAAAAGGTGGGTGTGTTTGCAACGCTTCCTTAGTCTGCTGGTGATCTGCAGACATCAGGCATAGGGGAAGTGGATCTGGCTTAACCCAAACAATGGTGTGGGCCAAATGAGAAGGTCTGATGGGCTTAATCCAGCCCACAGGATGCAGGCTTCCCGCACCCCAATTACCTTGGAGGCTGAAACGGGTTGTGCCAAGGTATTTCTTCCACTGAGCTGTCAGAGTGCGATATCAACTAGAGTTGCTGCCTGTGTATGTATTATTTTTTTAAACACCCTACTTAAGAGCATTTAATATAACTAGAAAGTGCTGTAGAGTGGCAGATTTCTTTTTTAATAATAATAATTTTTATTAATTTTAACTTATAAATTATAATACATACCACAAAACCTCACCACTTATACAATCTTTTTTTTTTTACTTCCATCAGCACCTCTGATGATCCACCGTTTTGACTTCTTATGCATTTCTTAAATTCATATTGCCTTCAATTATCTTAACTAACCATCCTACCCTTTATCCATTTTTGCAATAGTTCCAATAATTCAGCTCACAAAACTTATCGCAAACCTACAAACGTAGTCTGATCATCACAATTACTTTTCAAATAGTCTGTAAATTTACACCAGTCTTCTGTGAATTTCTGGTCCTGCAGATTTCGAATCCTTCCTGTTAGTTTATCGTGGAGTGGCAGATTTCTAGAGCAGGGAGAGAGAGAGAGAGATCTGAGGTCCAAGCTCCATAGAGCCAGCTCTGAGCTTAAACCTTGCAGGATTGTTCTTGGGATAGGAAATGTAGATACATATGTGCGAGAGAATTCCCTTGGCTTTATAGCTCAGTGCTACTGGTAGAACACCTGCTTTGATTGTAGAAGTTCTCAGGTTCAATCCCCAGAATCTCCCAGTAAAACCCTTCTGGAACTCCTCTGAAGCTGCTGCCGGCCAGTGTGGACTGGGGAGCCACTGGCCCGGCACCCAAATGCTGGCCCTCGATACCTCTCTGTCTCACCCATAGGACTCTTCCTTGGCTGCACCAGTCCCTGGCCACGTTCCCACCCTCCTTGGGAGCTCCTGCCCTGCTGGAGCATGTCCTCAAATGCCCTGACTGGAGTGCGGCCCACTGCCCAAAGATCAGACCCCCTTTCCCCCTGGTCCCGCCCAACACCACGTAGGTTCTCCACAGAGGGGGTGATGCCCTTTGGCTGGAAAAGAACTCCCCACCTCCCGTCTGGAGTGGATGAGCCTGAGCCAGGTGGGCCCTGGTGCGACACAGACTCAGATAATTGTAGAGTTGGAAGGGGGACCCACAAGGGTCATCTAGTCCAACCCCCCTTCAATGCAGGAATCTCATCTAAAATATCCATGATGGATGACATGGTCTGAAGCAGCTCTCTAGGTCCCGATGTTTCTACAAAGGAGATTCCTGCTTGCTGGAGGCGACTGGTGAGTGAGTGGCTGTTTCACTAAACTGAATGAAAAAGCCTCAGTCATCTTAAAACTTAATCCGGAGCAAGCAAGGCCTAAGGGCTGTCCATGCCCACAGAGCTCCCACATCCCTCCTTAAGGCCACGATCCTAAATTGTGGGGTAAAGCCCCATTGAAAACAGAGGGGCGGGATTTACTTCCGAGTCAATGTGCTCAGGAACACACAGTGTGTGAAATCTGCACCCCAGGTGGGTTTTCCACAGATCTGGGCAGCTTAGATTTTGGGGCCTCCCCCACCATGGAAATCTCCCTTCTGATGGGGCTCTCTCTTGACCGACCTAAAGCACACACAGCTGTGTGGGGCTTTGCCAGCGCAATGAGCCAACCAGCCGGCACGCTTTCTAGCTAACCAGCAGAGAGGTGTTGTTGAATGAGAGATTCAGAAGCAGCATGGAAAAGTGGGGAGAGGGGGAACAGTTTGGGGGTTATTGCCATATCCTGCAAGGCCATTTCCAAAACGTTCTCCCAGTGAGCTTCTGAATACCAGTTGCTGGAAACCACAGAAAGGGAGAGCGTGGCTGTTGCGCTCACGTTCTGGTTTGGGGCTTCCCTTTTGGGGCGTCTGGTTGGCCGCTGCAAGAACAGGATGCTGGACTAGATGTGTTCTGTCCTGCTCCAGCCGGCTCTGTGCTTAAGTGGACTCCCTCACGCCGGGATATCTTGGATTCCCCCCTTGCCTTGCCTTGTGTTGCGTTCCCACTCAAGCGTTTCCTTGCATTTTGTTGAGGGCTGGTTTGGCAGGGGCCGTGACACGGTAGGAGGGCATCTGCTTTGCATGCAGAAGGTCTCAGGTTCGGTCCCCACTGGCATCTCCAGGTGTTGCTGGGAGAGAGACCCTGCCAGAAGCCTTGGACGGTTGCTGCCAGTCAGCGCAGGCAGTACTGAGCTGGATGCACCCAATGGCCTGGCTCTGTAGAAGGCAACATCCTTTGTTACTGTTCCGTTCCTTCCTTTATTCAGAACCACGAGGACTGAAATCTTAACATTATTTTTGCAGAGAAGGGGCTGCAGCTCAGAAGGTCCGAGGTTCCATCCCCAACGGGCAGCTCTTGGTAGGGCAGGATTCGCATGCCGATTCCCACCAGCAGAAACTTTTCTCAAGGACTTGTGCAAGTGAGCTGCCCCCTCTGCTCCCTGCACAACCCCCCTGTGCTCCCCCAAATTGGGGTGCTTGAGACTGTCTGGCGAGTCCTCATGCTTGCCCTGATGGAACAATTGTTTTAGTGTGACGTTGAGCTCCTTCCTTAGGGTCCTGTGTTTGGGGCAAACCGGTGTTCAGAGTTGCATATTCCGATGGCTGCTTGGGGTGTCATTGAAAGCCATAACGTGGGGAACTGTGAATTTCTGGTATTGACTAGGGAACCTCTGGGGCAATGCCGTTCCAGGGTTCTCCACCTCTTTCACAATGTAAGGAAATGCTCAAGGACTTGGAAATAAAAGAGTTTCAAGCCGATGAAAACTTGCATGATGCTCTTAACATTTCTTTGGTCCCTCTAACTGATTGACAGAAAATCATAACGCGGGCAGAAGAAAGTGCCTTTGTGACCAAAGGAACCTGCTTCCACCTTTTTGCAGTGGTGATCGCACAAGTCTTTGCAGGCACTGCTCAGAATTTATTCATGTAGAAAAGTATTTCTAAACCGCCAACTCATTTAGGGAAAAGGTTGTCGCTTGGTAGTAGAATGCCTCCTTCGCATAGGAAGGTTCAGTTCCTGGCTGCCAGTCAGTGCAGACCGTGCTGAGTTGGATGGTCCCAATGGCCTGGCTCAGGAGAGGGCAGCTTCCTGCCTTTTCCTGAGAAGTGTGGTGATGTGCAATGAAACCATTAAAACATCATTAAATAGTTAAATGCAGAGCAAGTGGCCAACTTTGTCACTTTCATAGTTTATGACAGAGCAAGCGCAGGGGTAGAATGCTCACTGGCTGCTTTGCAGGAGGGGGCGGAAAACCGGGAGGGGATGTAATGGAGTATCCTAAAAGGGGCATGGCTGGCTGGCTGGCACACTGCTACTGCTGGTCCACATTATTTATATAGTCTTCTACCTGTTACTTTTTGCTCAATTCAATCTCTTCAGCCTAACCAGCTCAGAGCCTTGAAACGAGTCCTTTTCCTTCTTCTCTCCCCAGCAACATTTATTTATTTGAAGTCCACCAGGTCATGTGATCCTACCTGCCTCTCAAGGGGATTTATTTTTATTTTTATTTTTTGAGTAAAGATTTGGAGCCTTTGCAGATAAGAGCCAGGCAATTACTGGCGATTCTTATCTGGCAACAATGGCATTAACATCAGTAAGGTTTTTACCCAGCTAGAGAAATCTCTCTCTCTCCTCCCAGCCTGCTCTACCAGGCTCAGGCATCCAGGCACCACTATCAGCACCCCCAGCAACCCAGCAGCATTCCTTCCTGGGGCAGGGCCCCCACCTCCCTTGTTTGCAGCTTCCTTGTGGAAGAATATCTTCCTTGTGCAGTACAGTCACCTATACCGGGATCTCTACCACACATCACAATAAAGCCTCCATGTTCCAAGGCAGTATACCTCTGAATTCCAGGCACTGGCAGATGAAGCTTTTATGCTTTGTTGTGAATGGGTGGGTGGGTGCTGGCCACCCCCTGTTAGAGCATTGCGTCATTGTCTTCAGAATCTTGGCTTTCTCTTCAAAGAGGAAATGGAGCCGGGGCAAGTTTCTAGTCCTCAGGAGCTGCAAAGAAATGCTAGAAAGGGTGGGGCAGTAGCGCCACAAGCAGTGAAACCTTCAGAGGCTGAATCAGGTTTCCAGGGAACAAGGAGCACAGCTGCTGTGACAAGTTTATATCTTTCCGGATGAAGCCCAGAAAGAGAAGAGTTGTGATTTTTATAATTTACTCAGGTTTCTGATATGTAATTTGCTCTTACAAAGGTCAGTGGCGGCCACAAACTGTGCTGGCTTCGAAAAGGAGGTTAGCTGGTTCCATGGATGGTAAGGCGACAAGGCAGAATGGCTGTATTTTCCCTCCACCCTCGGAGGCAGTAAATGCCTTTGGGTGCCAACTGCTTGGCAGCATCTGGTTGGCCACGGTGAGAACCATTTATATGACCACACTGCCCTCACTCTCCATTAGGCCTCACTTGCCATCAGTGATGGCAACATGTTGCCCTAGCTGGCTTGGTCACAGAGAGGACAGGATGCTGTCCTAGATGGGCCCCCTTGGGCCTGATTCAGTGGCCAGGCTCTTCTGGCGTCCATTTATATCTCGCTGCCCTCGCTTTCCATTTGACTTCACTTGCCGCCAGTGATGGCGGCGTGCAGCTGAATCCGGTTAGCCACTGTGAGAGCTGGATGCTGGGCCTCCTTTGGCCTGATCCAGCAGCCAGGCTCTCTTCCGATGTTCTTGCATTCAGGTTCCAGCCTGTCGGATCGGTGGCGAGGCCCAGAGGGCAGGCATCTCTGGAGGCCGTAGGAATGAGAGATCTGGAGGGGGCGATACCATTTGCAAACACAAACCGGCCCAGCGACTGCACACACACACACACACACACACACACACACACACAGAGCAAGTCGGTTCCGTCTGCTCCCACCTGGGAGCTTTCTTCATACCTGCCTGGGGAGACGGCAGGCCCAGGGCAGCAAGATTAGCCACATCGCCCGGGTGTTGGCTCTCTGACTCACCCCTCTGCAAACAGACGCACGGCTCCAGGCAACGGCACGGTGGCTTCTCACGGCTGGAGTGTCTCTTCGGCACACAAAGTCCGAGGGCCACCTGGCGGCTCCCTCCCATTGGAGCCGGCGCCGCCCGGAGGTTGAGAAGGCCGAGCCGAGCGGTAAAGTCCAGGAGATAATGGTCCCTCTGCTGTATACTTTTTCACGTGTTGCATAGTTAAACTATGGAACTCCCCGCCACAAGAGGCAGTGACGCAGTGACGGCCACCAGCCGAGATGGCTTTATTATTATTTAGTATTAATTCGATTTATATACCACCCTTTATCAAAAGATCCGTGTGAGGTGTACAATAGTAAAAACATTTTTCGGAGCGTAATAATATAAACAAAGCATAATAATAGGCAGCATATCTGTTCTGCAGGCATCTCCCGCTTCCGCCTCCCCTCTGCTGGACTCTTGTCTGTCCAGCAATCCTATGATCTCAGTGGAAACTGCTGTTGTATCTTTGCTGAAACGCTCCTATCTGCCTCCTCTCCCCACCACAAACGCTGCCTCGGTCTTCGATAAGTCTGTTATTTGTTCCTCCCGGCCTTTCCGTTTCTGGCTTTCTCTTTTTCTTATTTCCTCTCTTTGTTCTTGCCATTCTGTCTCTTTTCACTTCTTGCTTTTTGCCCCGGACCCCGCTTTCTGGAAATTCGCTCCGAAGCCCATAGCTGAGCAAGGGGGGGGGTCGATTTGCTCTCTTTGGGGTTGGCGGTCCTTGCCATGTCCCTCTTTTTGTGGGTGGGCTGAGTCCCTCCCCTCGCCAGCCCTTCATAAATTGTTCAGTTCAGCTCCACAGAAACCGACCAGAGCGCAAGGCATCCATCAGCATCGACAAACTGTGGAACTCCCTCCCACATGAACCAGCAATGGCCACCAACATGGGCAGCTTTAAAAGAGGATTAGAGAGATGCCCTACCCCTGTTACACCCTGTGAAAAGCATTCCCTGTTGTCCATTCACGGTGTTTAGCACTGCTACAGGGAGAATCAAATTGGCCAGTTTGGGTTTCTCTCCATCTCTTATCCCCCCCCCCATCTTTCAAGTCACTTCTCCCCATTTCTTTCTCAGTTTTCATGGCTCTCTTTTACGTCCTCGTGAAATGTCACCCATGCTACTGCTCGGATTTCTCCTTGTTGTTGTTGTTTAGTTGTTTAGTCGTGTCCGCCTCTTTGTGACTCCCTGGACCAGAGCACGCCAGGCACTCCTGTCTTCCACTGCCTCCCGCGGTTTGATCAAACTCATGCTGGTAGCTTCGAGAACACTGTCCAACCATCTCGTCCTCTGGCGTCCCCTTCTCCTTGTGCCCTCCATCTTTCCCAGCATCAGGGTCTTTTCCAGGGAGTCTTCTCTTCTCATGAGGTGGCCAAAGTCTTGGAGCCTCAGCTTCAGGATCTGTCCTTCCAGTGAGCACTCAGGGCTGATTTTTCTTCAGAATGGGTTGGTTTGATCTTCTAGCAGTCCATGGGACTCTCAAGAGTCTCCTCCAGCACCAGAATTCAAAAGCATCCATTCTTCGGCGATCAGCCTTCTTTATGGTCCAGCTTTCACTTCCATACATCACTACTGGGAAAACCATAGCTTTAACTATACGGACCTTTGTTGGCAAGGTGATGCCTCTGCTTTTTAAGATCCTGTCTAGGATTTCTCCTAGCAGGCACCATGGGCAGTTTCCCCTGATGGGATGCATTTTAAAAAACATTTTTGCCCATAGATGCATTCCCCCCTAACACAAACATCCATGGACTCATTGCTGGGCTGGGGAACTGTGTCGAAGGAGAGCTGTGTCTCGGTTTGCATATTGTTTCGGGAAGTGCCGTTTAGACAGGCTCATGTTTAAATGCAAACCGAACCAAATTGTACACATCCGGTTATGTGGGGCTTTTGACAGCCGCCCCTCCTCCTTGCACTGTTGTCGCTGTATATTGGGCTGCTCCCCGCTCTGTGTCCAATTTGCTGTGCGTTCTCTTGAGAAACAGGAGAATTGCAGGGTTGCGAGGGCTCCCCAAGAGCCATCTAGTCCAGCCCCCTGCAATGCAGGCATCCCAGCTGAAGCATCCCTGACAGAGGGCCATCCAACCTCTGCTTGCAAACCTCCAAGGAAAGCGATTCCATCACCATCCAGGGGAGTCTGTTCCTCCATTGAAGGGCTCTTTCCAATGGCTTTAAGTTACAAGAAATGAGATTCCAACTAAATAGTCAGTCAGGGTTGTTTGACAGTGGAACGGCCTCCCTCGGGAGGTTGTGGACTCTCCTTCCGTGGAGGTTTTTATTTTTATTTTTTTATATAAATTTTTATTAGTTTTTTAACATACCATTTTCAACAGTAATTAAACATACTTTTACATCTTATTCATTTTTTTGACTTCCATCAGTCCTGTCTGAAAATTTTTTAACATACCATTTTCAACAGTAATTAAACATACTTTTACATCTTATTCATTTTTTTGACTTCCATCAGTCCTGTCTGAAAATTCTCCAATCTTATCTCTTACTATGCATTTCTTACTTTCCCTATTACATTTAAAACTCATGACCAATATCTCTATCCTTATCTACTTTGTAACACTTCATATCTTTCTCCTTACAAAACTTCTTGTAGTCCTACTAGCGTAATTTGTTGGTTACAATTGCTCTTCAAATAGTTCATATACTTCTTCCAATATTCTGTAAATCTCTGGTCCTGCAGGTTTCGAATCCTTCCTGTCATTTTGTCCAATTCTTCATACAGTAGTCCATTAATTTCGTCTGCCGTTCTTCTTCTGTCGGAATTTCTTCTTGCTTCCATTTCTGGGCTAACAATACTCTTGCCTCCGTGGAGGTTTTTAACCAGCATTTGGATGGCCATCTGTCTTGGATGCTGTAGCTGAGAGTCCTGCAATGCAGGGGGTTAGAATGGATGACCTTTGGGGGTCCCTTCCAACTCATATGATTCTGTGATTCCTACCTGGAGATGCCTTCTGCATGCAAATCTGGGGCTGTCCCACTGTATGATCAGACAGGGGGTGGTGAATAACAGGCTGGAGGAAAGATGACCAGCACACACACCCCAGCGCGCACGCACACACATACACAGACTCAGAATTCAGGGGGCTGGGAGAAAGGAGGGGGCTATTTTGCACCAGAAGGAGGCACAGAACAGCTCTGTGTTGCCTTACAGGCATAATAGAAGGCCAAAGACAAAGGGCTCAGTGTATTTTTGCAGAGGGCGGGGGAAGGAAGGAGATAGTGCAGGCATTCTTTGGCTGTGCAGCCAACAGCTGCCCCCCCCTTACACCCCCGGCTGCATTTCAGCATCTGCAGCTGCAGGGATCTGGGACTCTGGTGGTTGCAGCTGGTATAAGCCGCCTCCAGCTGGCCATAGATGCGACCACCACCGCTTCTGAAGACCTGTTGTTGGAAGCCACAAGAGGGGAGAGTCGCTCTTGCGCTCAGATCCTGCTTCCCGGTCTCTCATGCGGGCATCTAGGTGCCCACCATGAGAACAGGATGCTGGACTAGATGGGTCACCGGCCTGATCCTGCAGGCTCTTCTTATATTCTAACGTAGAATGTGGTGCTTGTTGGCAGGATCCCCTGTCAGGGTTTTTGAATTCTTGAACCACGCTTTGTAACTTTTGCTTGCCCCCTGCAAGTCTACGTGGGGCTGCCCTTGAAGCTGACCCAGAAACTCCAGCAGGTGCAGAATGCCGCGGCGAGGCTCCTTACGGGGTCCTTGCCGCAGGATCACATTCATCCAGTGCTTTACCAACTGCACTGGCTCCCGGTGGAGTACAGGGTCAGGTTTAAGGTGCTGGTTTTGACCTTTAAAGCCCTATGCGGCCTAGGACCCACATACCTACGGGACTGCCTCTTCCGATATTCCCCACGGAGGACCTTAAGGTCCACAAATGACAACACCTTGGAGGTCCCAAGTCGCAAGGTGGTTAGATTGGTCTCAACTATGCCAGGGCCTTTTCAGCACTGGCCCCGACTTGGTGGAACGCTCTGTCACAAGAGACCAGGGCCCTGCGGGACTTAACATCTTTCCACAGGGCCTGCAAGACAGAGCTGTTCCACCTGGCCTTTGGTTTGGACTCAGTCTGACCCTTATGTTTCCCTCCCCTTATGATTTTGATCTATGGGCTAGTATTAAAATGAGACTGCATTTTAATTTATATTTTAACCTGTATTTTAAATTGTTGTTTGTTTGTTTGTTTGTTTGTTTGCAATTTTACTGGTGCTAGCCGCCCTGAGCCCGGCTCTGGCCGGGGAGGGCGGGGTATAAAAAAAATATATTATTATTATTCCTTTATGGGGAGCATTACAGCTCAGTTTTGCATGCAGAAGGAGCTGGTGGCATTTCCAGACAGGACTAGAGACGTCTTCATCGTCCCCCCAACTAGAAACCCCGAAGAGCTGCTGCCAGTCCACGTTGACAACACTGAGCTAGATAGACTCAGTGGTCTGACAGTACAAGCCAGCTTTCCGCTGAAACTGGCTGTTTATCCCAGACCATGAGGACTAGAAACTTGACTTGTTTTCCAGGAAAAGGGCTGCAGCTCAGAGTTCCAGGTTCAGTCCCCGTTGCCTCTCAGGACATCGGTGCCAAAGACTCCCTGGCGATCCGCTGTCAGTCAGTGCAGGCATCCCTGCGCTCAATGGACCCACAGTCTGACTTGGAATAAGGCAGCCTAACATCTTCCTGTAGCCAGTATTGGTCTGATTTCATTTACTTTTGGAACGACTGCAGCTGTGCCCCTGTGGCCAAAAACATCCCCGTGACACCAGCCCTTAAACATGGCCCGGGATGTTGGGGTGGCCAAGTTGGCAGGCCTCCTGGCAGGCCCGTTGGCGAAGGAAGGGTCTTGAACCCAGTTCCGTTCCCCAGTTCCCCCAGTTGCATCTCTTCCCCCCTTCCCCTTCGTTCCCCACTTGGAGTTTGGCAACTGACCGGGACCCTCACGAGAGCCACAAACAGGAACGGATGACTCAGGCCGATGAACAAACGTCCCTGGGGGTTTGGGCAAAGCCAGATTTCCTCCCGGCCCCATCAAATATGGCAGGAGGAAGCTGGGGGCCTTCAAGAGGGAGCGACTGGCCTGGAGCAGGTTGGGCAGACGTTTCCCCGGATGAGATCATGGAGGGCCGGCTGGTTGGAGCTGGATCCCGATCTGCCGCCAAGCCGTTCTGCTCCCCCTTGCCAAGCCAGGAATTCCTTTGCCACCTCCAGGCTGAAAGGCTTTCCATCCACACTTGTCCAAAACGGATTGGGGGGGGGGAGCAAGTGGTGGTGCTCTGTGTTCTTGGCTGGTTCTTTATTTGTTTGGGAAAAGCCAGGTGCACGCAGCCACCTAATTAATGCAAGGAGGAAAACAGCTCGCTCTCTCACTTGCTCTCTGTCGTTGTTTGCTTACTTATTTACACATACACACACATTTCCCCCCCTTTTTACATTTCAGCAATGTATGCAAAATGCATCATAAAACACTGCTCCTTGAAATCAGAAAAGGGTGAAGAGAAGGAATAGAAATCCAAAGAGGAAATCTCTTAGGTTTCATAGAACCATAGAATTGTAGTGTTGGCAGGGGACCCCTAGCGGTCATCTAGCCCAACCCTTGTGCGATGCAGATGGTGCTTGTTGTCCCCTTTCTGCATTTGTGGGGGGGGGGAGAGAAAGAGAAACATGGAATCATAGAGTTGGAAGGCACCCCAGCAGTCATCTAGTCCAACCCTCCGCAATATAATCATCACAGCTAGAGAACCCTTGACAGTGACTCAATAATAATAATAATAATAATTTATTATTTATACCCCGCCCATCTGACTGGGCTTCCCCAGTCACTTTGGGAGGCTTCCAACAAAGTATTAAAATACCGTAATGCATCAAACATTAAAAGCTTCCCTAAACAGGGCTGCCTTCAGATGTCTTCTAAAAGTCTGGTAGTTGTTGTTCTCTTTGACATCTGGTGGGAGGGTGTTCCACAGGGCGGGTGCCACTACCGAGAAGGCCCTCTGCCTGGTTCCCTGTAACTTGACTTCTCGCAGCGAGGGAACCACCAGAAGGCCCTCGGCACTGGACCTCAGTGTCCAGGCAGAACGATGGGGGTGGAGACGCTCCTTCAGGTATACAGGACCGAGTCCGTTTAGGGCTTTAAAGGTCAGCACCAACACTTTGAATTGTGCTCGGAAACGTACTGGGAGCCAATGTAGGTCTTTCAAGACCGGTGTTATGTGGTCTCGGCGGCCGCTCCCAGTCACCAGTCTAGCTGATGCATTCTGGATTAGTTGCAGTTTCTGGGTCACCTTCAACGGTAGCCCCACGTAGAGCGCATGGCAGTAGTCCAGGAGGGAGATAACCAGAGCATGCACCACTCTGGTGAGTGAAATAAGGTTTGGGACTTTTTAGTCCAGAGAGAAAGTGAGCAAGAGGCGACATATTTAAACTTACGGCACTTGCTCCCCCAGAAGGCAGGGGTGGCCACCATCTTGGGTGGCTTCAAATGAGGACGGGGCCAAGTCACAGAGAAGGAAAGGGCTACTAATGGTTGGTAGCCAGAATGGCTGTGCTCTGCCTCCACTGTCAGAGGCAGCATCACTTCTGAATCCCTGTTGCTGGACGGGAGAGGCCTCTTGTACTCGAATTCTGCTTGCAGGCTCCCCAGAAGAGAGGCATTGGGCTTGGCCACTGTGAAAACACGGTGCTGGACTTAGGTGGGCTACTGGCCTGGTACAGCAGGCTTTTCTTGTGCTCTTAGAACAGTGTACACTTTAAGAGCGCCCTCTATAAAATATAAACTCTTCCCCTCTTTTCGCTGGGATTTTTCGTGGAGGTGGTGGCAGAATCGAGTGTGTTCCTGTCCCAGTCGATTCTCAGCACTTGGCTTTTCAGAGCTGGGGGGGGGGGGGCGCCTTGTTGGGGAACTGCCTGGGAGGCTCGCTCTCTGTTTCCTTTTGGCCGGATCTTTCCCTCCTCCTCGCAGTTTCTGGCAAGAGAGCGCAGCTTGGGATCTCTCCGGGTCGCAGCCTGCCCTTGCATTCCACGCAGGGTGCCTGGGGCCTTTCCGCCAGGAGAGGCGGGCAGGCTCCCTCTGAAGGTCATCTCTGGGGTGGAGGGAAATGGCACCCGCCTCAAACGGAGCTTTTGTTCCGCCAGGCTTCGCTCCCCCAGTGGAAGCGTTGGCCCGCTGCCGCCCCCCCCCCCGGAGAGTTCGCGCTCACAATTGCTGTAGTGAGCAGGTGGAGGTTGGGGCGAGAGCCAGGAAAGGGAGTAGGTGAGGGCAAGTCAGTGGATAAAACTATGCCCGGACGGAGATAGCAAAAAGTGTTTCTCCCTCTCTCTTAAAACTAGAACTCATATTCCAGTGCACAGTTAAACTATGGAACTCCCTGCCACAGGAAGCAGTGGTGGTCTCCAACTTGGATGGCTTTAAGAGAACATAAGAGAATATAAGAATTTGTGGGCATACAAAGAAGCTGATCGCTGGGAGATTCAGGGCAGAGGGAATTGTTTTGTTGTTTGTTTATTACATTTGCATGCCACCTTGTACTTCCATCGAGCTCAAGGTGGTGTATGTACATGGTTCTCCTCTTCCCCATTTCACCCTCACAACAACCCTGTGAGGTAGGTCAGGCTAAGAGATGGCGACCGGCCCCAGGTCACCCAATGGAGCTTCATGGTCGAGAGGGGATTTGAACGCTGGTCTCCCAGGTCCTGTGCTTTAACCACACCGGCTGCACTAAAGTCATTCTGCACCTAGTGTGTAGTTAAACTGTGGAACTCCCTCCCACTGGAGGCAGTGATGGCCTTTGAAAGAGGATGGGACAAATTCATGGAGGAGGAGAGGGCTATCGATGGCTACTAGCTGTGCTCTGCCATCGCTATTGGAGGCAGCAATGCTTCGGAATCCCAGTTGCCGGAGACTGAAGGGGGGAGGGTGCGGCCCTGTGTTCGAATCCTGGTTGCTGATTTCCCATCAAGCCCTTACACTCCAGGCGTTAACTGCTTTTCTCTTCCTGCTCTCCCAGGTTCCATCCCATCGGCGAAGCGCACCGGGATCCCAGCCCCTCGGGAGCTGTCGACTGCCCCGGGCAGAGACAAGGCGGCCCTGAGACCCAGGAAGGCTCAGCCCAGCCCCACTTCCTCCGGGGCGCCAACGCCCACCAAGCACTCGCGCCCGGCCCCCAAGTGCAAGAATGAGGGGGACGCCGGCGATAAGGCCACGCTGGAGTCGCAGGTCAAGGAGCTGCTGGCCGAGGCCAAGGCCAAGGACTCGGAGATCACCAAGCTGCGGAGCGAGCTGAAGAAGCACCAGGACCGGGAATGGGTGCACTGCGAGCTGGACCACCCCGCAGGGGTGTCGCCAGCCGAGGCGGAGCCCCTGGTCCGCACCCTCCAGGACCAGAACCGGGCTTTCCAGAGGGAGCTGCTGAGCCTCGGGGAGGAGAACCGCCTCTTGAGAGAGAAGCTCAGCCGCCTGGAGCAGTCGCCGCTGTCAGACACCCTGAGCAGCAGCGGGGGCTGCGGAAGCAGCCTGGCCACCCCCACCACGCAGGGGTCGAGCTTCGGCAGCCCCACGCAGCCCCCCGGGAACCCCCAGGCCAACGGGGGCACGGCCCCCCTGCGGAACTCGGGGTCGTCCAGCAGCGACGTCACCAAGGCGTCCCTGTCCCCAGACGCCTCGGACTTTGAGCACATCGCGGAGGCGCCCTCCAGGCCCCCGTCGTCGGGGAGCCACCCCTCCCAGGCCCCGCAGGACTCCCCCGCCGGGAGCTCCCCCAACAACGCCAGCGACCTCTCGGTGGCCTCGCTGACAGAGCGGATCCAGAGGATGGAAGAGAACCACCACTGCACAGCCGAGGAGTTGCAGGCCACGCTCCAGGAGCTCTCCGACCAGCAGCAGGTTGTGCAGGAGCTGACGGCCGAGAACGAGCGGCTGGCCGAGGAGAAGGCCCTGCTGGAGGGCTCCTTCCGGCAGCACCGCGAGAGAGCCGAGCAGCTGGGCCAGGAGAACGAGAAGCTGGCGGCCCTGCTGCAGGAGCGGCCGGCCGGCGACGACGGCAAGGCCAAGACCATCCAGGAGCTGGAGCAGCGGTGCGGGGAGCTGCAGGAGAAGGCCCAGTTTGAGCGGGAGAAGCTGCTGAACATCCAGCAGCAGCTGACCAGCAGTTTGCGCGGCCTGGAGAGGGAGCACCAGGAAGCCCAGGCGGCCACCCGGGGCCTGCGGGAGGAGGCCGATCGGCTGGGGGGCCTGCTGGAGGCGGAGAGACAGGGCGCAGCTGGCCTGGCCAGGGCCCTGGAGGACTGCAAGGTGGCCCTGGAGGGGCTGAGGATTGAAAACAGCTCGCTCCGAGCCCAGCTGGACAGCGCCAAGCAGAAGGCGGCGGACATGGACACCGTTGGGCGGGGCGGGGACCCCGGCGCCATGCAGGAGATGCTGAAGGGAGCCCGCGGGGAGAGGGACCAGCTGGAGCTGGCCTGCACGGAGCTCAGGCAGGAGCTGCTGAAGGCGCACAGCGAGGTGAAGACTCTGCAAGGGCAGCTGGCCAAGGTAAGGATTGCTGGGGAGTGGGGAGAGCTCAGCGGAGCTTCCAGATGCAGCGGCAGTCTATCCCTAAATGGCGGCTGCTGCAAAGCAACGCCAGGGCTGCTTCCCAGAGGCCTCTGGCTGGCCGTTGTGAGAGACCTAGTGAACCTGCCGGGCTGTTCTTGCGTTGGGTCGGTGCCCTGGCTGTTGCACCTGAAGGTTGGTGGTTTGAGCCCACCCAGGGATGTTGATGTGGACAGGATTCTTGCATTGCAGGGGGGTTGGTCTAGATGAATCTCGAGGTCCCTTCCAGCTCTGGGAGTCCATACGGTTTATCTACATGCTGCCTCAACCCCAAGGCTCCTGAAGCCAGCGAGCAGCATTTATATGCAAGAATGCAAATGAAATATACGATAAAAGCACAATATTTTCAGCCATCGAAACAAAATTCTAGAAGCATCAAAATCTTGTAATCAGGTAAGGTTTTCCTAGGCACCGTGCCCTGGAGGTCGCAGAAACCTTCTTTTCTACCTTGCTTCTTTGCAGGAGTGAAGAAGCCAACTGAATCACCTTTTTGGTGTTCCTTCCCTCAGACCCTGTTAGATGTTAGTCCAGACTGCTCAGCATACTGGCTTTCATAGCTCATGTGCATAAGGATTTCTGCTCTCTCAGAGGGCCTAGATCTGTTGCTTTCTGGAGTTTGTCTCCGCTACATAGCTGGACCCCATTTTCTCTTAGCAGATTTGCACCATTTGCAAGAGGTCAGCTGCACTGATGCTAACAGGGAAAGGAAGGAAGGACTCTGGTTCCCTGCTCCCTGAATACTGAAAGTTCTGGACAGCGCGTGTAGTTTGGTCCCTCTTGCCCTCTATTATATACTTGTGAGGCAGTTTCCGCACAGGGCGTTTGCTGTGAAGTAGCCACTCTCTGTTCTCTCCCTCTTTGTGGAGCCATGAGCAAAACGGCTCTGTTTGGTATCTCCCTTTCCCCCCGGCAGCTCATAAAATCTTCACTGTTTTGATTCAGTTAAATAGAATAATAGAATCGTAGAGTTGGAAGGTACCCAAGGATCATCTAGTCCAACCCTCTGCAGTGCAGGAATATTTTGACCAACATGGGGCTTGAACTGACAGCCCTGAGATTAAGAGCTTCATGCCCAACCAGATGCCTGTGGCAAGCCCAAGAGCCCTCTGCCCTCCTGTGGTTCCCGGCTACTGATATTCCAGACTGCCTGATTATGGAGGCAGAAGCCCTGAACCTCCATGAATTCACCCCTTCCTCTCTTAATGCCATCCAAGCTGGTGGCCATCACTGCCTCCTGTGGGAGGGAGTTCCACAGTCCAACAGCACCCAGAGAGCCACGAGTTAGCCGCTCCTAGTACAAACAACACGGACACAGGCCGACCAGCGATCCGATTGAGTCCGAAGCCTCTCCTGTACATCCAAAATCTGGGCAACACACAGTCGCAAGCTCCCTTCCCTGCAGAACTGCATCCGTTTGGACATTTAGCTGAATGACCCTTTTCACCGCAATTGCAGCAATTTCCTCCTTCCTGGTCCAGCCCTTCAGCACTTTCCCCCCTCCTGCCCCAGACAGATGGACCTCATTAGCAGCTTGGTGGTTTGTTTTTTTTCCGAGAGAGACCAGGTGCTCTCGCTGTGCTCAGGGAAAGGGGGGGAAACACAATGGATGAGTGCATGTTAATTCTCTTGGCGAGTCTCGCACTCGTAACCCAAGCCTGCAATTAACCTTCGCTGCTGCCCTGCTTGGAAACCCCACCTCCCACAATTAGGGAGCGGCCCGTGGGAAGAACTTTTGCCGGGACGGGGGGAGCCAGGATACCCTGCCAAAAGTCACCACCTGATTTATAGAGAAGTGGAAACTCTAGGTGTGTTTTTGGCCGAGGCTGGCGATGACCGTAGCAAGTGGGAAGGAGTGGGATGGTTGCTGGGCTGTGTGGAAATCTGCAGAGAAGCTGATGCCTATTTAAAAATCATTTAACTGGAGTTTTACTGCTGAAAGATTTTTTTTTAAAAAAACCCACAGACATCCTAAGTTTCATCCTTTCCTTCCACTTAGATTTGGGGTTGTCACCACCTACATTCTGCTCAGAGTTGAAACCGGTGGACCCATTGTCTTCTGTGGGTCTTCTCAGTAATGCTATTATCCCCAGAACTGGGTGTTCTCCTGTCATCTGTTATATTGTCTGCCTCCTCCTCCGGATTTAGTTCAAAGCTCTCCTGATCACGTTTGCGAGACTCTTAGCAAGCACCTTATTGCCAACCGCTGTGAGGTGCAAGCCCATCTCTTGCCAGAACTCCTTCTTCAAGGAAGCGGAGACCACGATCCAAGAAGCCAAGCCCTTCCTGACGACTTCCGGTATTTCCCCCGCTCTTCCTGGGACACAGCCTTTGACAGGAAGGAGCGTTGGAAAGACCGCCTGCATCCCAGGGCCCTTCAGTTACCTGCCCAGAGCCCCATGGTCCCTTCCAACGCCTTGAAAGCTGTGTCTGGCAGTATCGTTGGTGCCCACATGAATCAGGAGGACGGGGTTGTGGTCAGTGGGCTTTATAAGGCTTGGCAACTTCTTTCTCTCATTGTGAGAAGACAGCACACCTCCCGGGACATCCTGTTCCCTCTGTACACGGCTGCCTCTGTCCCCTATCCTCACCACAAATCTCTTCCACATGGTCTTCTGAGGTTGGCAACTTGCTGGCCCAGAATCAGCATCCAAGGTGAGGGCATGGAAACGATTTTGCAGCTCCGCTAACACAGCCTGGTTCCTGACAGTCCTGTTTCTGTATGTCACACTCCTCCAGAGGTTCGTCTCCTGCAATGAGCGAAGAACTTCCTTTTATCTGTCTCAAATCTTCCAACGTTCACCTTCATTGGATGCCCATGAGTTCTGGTGTTGCAATAGATTATTGCAGCCAGGCTATCCGTCCCTGTCCAGGAGCAGCCGGAGGTGGCTAGACTCCCCAAATAAGACAGCAAACCCAGTTTATTGGGACAGGCATCACAGATATGGTCCTTTTCAATTAATTTTTTCTATTTAAATGGAAGCTGGTGGTCTCTGGGTAATTCAACACCATGTGCTCTCCACCTGCACTTATTGGTGGCATCTTAGCTTCACACAGTGCAATAATAGAATTGAAGAATTGTAGAGTTGGAAGCGATCCAAAGGGTCATCTAGTCCAGCCCCCTGCGATACAGGGATCCTGGTTCGATTTCTCACCCTTTTCTCTCCCTCCGTTCAGACCGAGAAGGAGCGTGCTCAGCTGAAGGAGACCTGCGACCGTCAGGCGGACCAGCTCAGCCGAACCAACCTCAAGCTCCAGGAGAAGACGTCTGAGAACGAGGCCGAGTTCAAGAACCTGAAGGAGACCATCTTTGAGCTGGAAGACCAGGTGGAGCAACACCGGGCGCTCAAACTGCACGACAACCAGATCATCAGCGACTTGGAGAGTAGGTGGAACCAAGGGGGGGGGAGGATTTAGGACAGTATGTAGAGAGAAATTGCAAGCAGGTTATGGAGTTGGCAGGGATTGCTTGAGATTCCCGCCCTCCAATAAAGAAATAATTTTCAATTTAGTGCTGCCTATTTGGGAAGGAAGCAGGGGGGAGGCACAGCATGCCTTTCTCTCTCTGCAACAACAAGTGAAGGATGTCGTCAGGCTGCTGTCGCAAGTGACAAATATCTGATAAGATGAATGGGGGGGGCAGAAGCCTTTTGCAGGGGCAGAAACAGGGTCCAAAAAGAGCCGGTGGTGGTGTAGTGGTCAGAATGTCAGACTAGGGCAACCAGGGTTTAATTTCTCTCTTGGACATGAAGCTCAGTGGGTGTGACTCTGGGCCAGTCACTGCACCTCTCAGCCCAGGCCTACCTCACAGGGTTGTTGCGGAGGGTTATAAGAGGAGAGGGAGAACAATGCACACGCCGTCTTGAGCTCATTGGAGAAAAATAGTAGGATATAAAGGCAATAAAATAATAAGATGATAGCTGAATTGGGGCCAGCCTGCATGTGAGATCGCCACCTGCTGGCGAAGCTGTTTTGCAAGCCAGGACAGAAGCAAATTATCTAGGTTAGGGCTACGATCACTTAATTGGGGAATAAGCCCCACTGTATACAGCAAGACTCAACTTTTGAGTAAATGTAGGGTTATGCTGCCAAAGGTGTTCTGGGCATCAGCAAGTTTTTTAGTGTTTGGACTCTGAAGAAGGGTATAACTGCAAGCCGTTTGGGGAGCAGAAATCTATGCCAGTGTGTGTTGATTATATTGAGTTAAATGGGCCAGGAGGTCTGGCTCGAGATAAGGTCACTTCCCTGTGTTACCTTGGCAGTGTCTTCGGTGCCCTCCCTCTCTGTCCTATCTCAGTAGACTCTTCCTACCTTCCCTGTTCCCAGGTAATCTACTGAAAATGGAAGTCCAGAAGACGGATTTGGAAAGGCAGCTGAAGACCCTGAACAAGCAGATGAAGGTGAGAAGGGAGCTTGGTGGCAGGACACCTGCCTTGCGTGCAGAAGGTTCCGAGTTCAGTCCTTGACACCATCCCCAAGTGGGGCTGGGAAGGACCCCTCACTCAGAACCACGAGGTCTGGAATCCCGACAGGTGTCCATCCAATCTCTGGTTAAAAGCCTCCAGCTTTAGAACACACTCAGGTGTCACCAATACGGCTGTCGCATTTCCGAAACTTAGCACTTGCTAAAAACACTTCTGTTTCAACAAGCCTGTCCAAACGAAAGTCAACGTAGTTTTAATCTGTTTTAGCGTTTTAACTTTTGTATGTTTTAAAGTCGGGCGGTGAATTTGTCTCGATTTTAATGCTTTATCTTTTTCAAACCCCTTTGAGGCTTTTTTAAAAAAAACAAGCGGTGTTTGAATGTCATTAAATGAATAAGTAGGAGGAGGGTCTCTGCCCGAAGGAGCTTACAATCTAAGCCTGGGAAGAGGCTCCAAACCCGGGGGAGGGTGTCCTTCTGCAGCCTCCCTCCCACGCAAAGTGAGAGCGACTGCCTTGTTGTGCCGGCGTCCACGAGAACCGATGCCAACCGCCCTCCGACCCCCCTGTGGTGCTGGCCGCTTTTGTCGGGCGAGTCTCAAACTCTTGTTTCCTCTCCTCTCCCCTCCCTCTTCCCCTCCGTCTCCAGGAGGACACGGCCGAGTGGCGCCGCTTCCAAGCCGACCTGCAGACGGCGGTGGTCGTGGCCAACGACATCAAGTGCGAGGCCCAGCAGGAGCTGCGGACGGTGAAGCGTCGGCTGCTGGAGGAGGAGGAGAAGAGCGCCCGGCTGCAGAAGGAGCTGGATGAGGCCCAGGGCGGGAGCACAAGGTGCGTGGGGCATGGGGCCAGTGGCTCTTTGTAGGGGTCGCAGGCACCCAGGGAAGTTTGCACTCCCTTCGCTGTCCATGCCTTCGCATTCTTTCTCTGTGTGTCCCCTTTTCCAAGCAGGTTCCGTTGCATTTCCTGTTTTATTTTTGTAAGCAAAGAGCCTGTCTTCCGTGTATCGCATGTCATCCGGGGCCCTTTGAGAATCGCCTTTCCCTTTGGCCAACAACGCTCTGAATTTACTTCAGTGAACAGTACCAGTTGGGGATGTTCAGGGCAGCTTTTACTCACACAGAATGAAGGTAGACTTCCCGGGCCTGTAAATTACATGAGCTTTGCTTTGCCCATGCGCAGAAATGAAGGGATGCGGGTGGCGCTGAGGTCTGAATCACTGAGCCTCTTGGTCTTGCTGATCGGAAGGTCGGAGGTTCGAATCCCTGCGACGGAGTGAGCTCCCGTTGCTCTGTCCCAGCAGTTCAAAAGCATACCAGTGCAAGTAGATAAATAGGTACCGCTGCTGTGGCGGGAAGGTAAATGGAGTTTCTGTGTGCTCTGGTTTCCGTCACGGTGTCCCGTTGTGCCAGAGGCTGTTTAGTCCTGCTGGCCACATGATCCGGAAAGCTGTCTGCGGACAAACGCCGGCTCCCTCGATCTGAAAGTGAGATGAGCGCCACAACCCCATGGTCACCTTTGTCTGGACTTAACCATCTAGGGGTACTTTACCTTTTTAGAAATTAAGTCTCGTTCTCATAGGGAAAAGCACATCTGCCAAGGCTGGATGCCTGCTTCGGCAGCAAGAACAGGGTGCCCGCTCTCTATCAAACTGGCCCAAGGCTGAGTTTTTCCTGCACAAACACTCTGAGTAAGCAGATTCTCCTAACAATACCCTTCCACACTCCCTTTTTCTTCTCTTCACATCCTTTTGCCTCCCATGTGGCCAAGAGAAGGAATGTAGAAATTTCTGCTTTTAATGAACCGCACTTCCCCGTGTCGTCCCAACCAGGAACTGTTTGTGAACTATACAGGCAACTCCCCATTTACATGGGGCTGCCGGGAGCCTGGCAGTGGGACCCCGAAATGAGGAGCACCCTGGAGAGTCCTGGCTCACGAGGAGACCCTCCCCAGAGCCCGAAGAGGGCTTTGTTGAGGCCTCTCAGCCTTCCTGCCCAGCAGCCGACAGGCAGGGTGGCACATTGACCACTGCCACTTCCTCGCCCCTGAGCAGTCTCTGCAAAGCCCCGCTGCCTTTCTGGCTCACGAGGAGACCCTCCCTGGACCCCCAAAGAGGAAATTCTCTTTGGGCTCTCGTGAGCCAGAGGCTTGTTGCGGCTGCTCAGCTGATACGCAAAGAAAGGTTTCCCACCAATCACTGTCCCTCCAGGTCGTTTCGTCTTGTTCCTTCTCATGCGCCTCACACTAAACCGTGGTTTGACGGGCTCCACAGTCCAGAGGGTCTCACCCTGCTCATGATCCGGTCCCACTTGTTCCTCCCGTCCCGCATACGCAAGCAAAATGCCCGTCGTCATGGCGACTGGGATGCGTGCAAAAGTGAGCAAGGGTTTCCGGTATACAAAACACCCTGAGGACGAACTTCCGTTTCCTGCAGGAACACATTTTTTTAAGGTTGTTCATTTGGTTAATTTGAAGAGCGAACAGCAGCCGGGGGTCAGCAGAGGACCCTCTTGCTTTGCTGGTGTGAAGGGGAACTTGTTCCTAAGGGAACCCGTGGGGGGGGTGTCTCTGGTGAAGGTTTATCTTCAGTTGATCTGAAGGACAGGTTTATCTTCAGTTCTCAGTGGCGCTCCCAACTGCGATTTCTTGGTCACACCAGCACGTGGCAGAATGTTGGCAACTGACGTTTTTTAGAGTGTGTGTGCGAAAGAGAGAGACTTACCTCTTTTCTACCTTGGGAGTCAGCTACATTTCATTCAAACATGTTATTGAGGTGGGGGGTGCGTTGCAAGGGGACCTGACAGGTGAGGTCTTTTCAGTAGCGGCTTGGCCTGATTGGCTGCGTGGAACTTCCAGGATCAGAGGCAGTCTATCCTTGATTGCAGGTTTCTGAAGAGCCCCCACAAATGAGGGCTGCGGCCTTCAGCCCTTGTTTGCTGCAGTTGGTCTAGGCCAGGGTTTCTCAAACTTTGGTCCCCCACCTGTTGTGGGACCACAACTCCCGTCATCCCTGACCACAGGTCCGGCTGGCTAGGGATGATGGGAGTTGTAGTCCAACCACAGCCGATGACCCAAGTTTGAGAAACCCTGGCCTGGGCCTTTGGCCTGATCCAGCAGGTCTTAGAGTCATAGAATTGCAGCGTTCAGAGGAACCCAAAGGGTCATCGAATCCAACCCCCTGCAATGCAGGGGTCACTGCTAAGCAGAAAACCGCAGCTGCAAGCAATCTGTTGCCCTTTCACACACGCACAGATATGCACACACAACGGAAATGTGATGTGTCTGTCCATTGGATGCACTCCTGTTCAGACCTGCTCCTTCTTCAGTGTTTCCAGGTCAGGAGATGCAGACGGACTGTTTTTCCTGCTGGGTCCACAATATGGAAAACATGAGATGAGGAACTATCTCTAAAAATAACCCCTCAAGCCTCACCTGGTTCTCCCAAAGGGCGTGTTTTCTGTTGAAGGAGTCTCGCTTTATCAACCTGCCTCTCTTGTCTGTTTCGCTTGGTGTTCTCCCCCTTTTCCCCGCCTTTGTCCAGCTTCCTTGTCGTATCGCAAATTCGATTGCGCCGTGGAACCGCCAAGCAGCCAGCAGCGCCGAAACCACCCTGATTCTGCTGACTTTTTTTAGTCCATAACATTATTCATTACGCGTTGCAGTGGGTCTGGCCCACCCCACAAACTTGTGGGGCAGATCAGCCTACTGCATCTCTGGGTGTGTGTTGGAGGGGGCAGTTATTTGTCCTCCGCAGACAGCGATACAGCGAGACCTCTTAAAGCCAAGGAAACGTCAGCTCTGCGGCCGGACTTGGCGGTGCAAATTTGCATAATTTATTTTGCACAATTCGCATAATTATGGAGTGAAGAGAGGTATCAAGGTTCTGAACCTTCTTTCCTCTGACCCCCTTTGCGTGCTTTCAAGAATATTTCTGCCCATCCATAAGGACTAGTAGCTTGCTTTTTCTTTTTGTAAAAGAAAGTTGAGGTCCTCAGTCTACACAGCCTGTCCTGGCCCCCCAAAACTAGCCTCCAACACCTCAAGGGCAGTGGAGGACGCTGTCTTGCCACCAGCGTCAGGGTAAAACTGAGCTGCCTCTCCTGTCGGCCTCTCTGTGGGGGTGCCACCATTGTGCCCTTCGCCTGCCCTTCCAGCTTGGAGTGCCTGTCCTTTGACTTCCTTCCGACTTCTTTCCCACAACAACACCAGCCCCCCTTTCTCTCCGCCACTTTTACTCTCACATTCCCTTTCGTTCCCGGAGAGGATACAGAGCGCAAACCCCCTGAGGTCTCCAAAGCACACCTGAACTGAAGGTAAGAGGTTCTCTGGCGGTGCAAAGGGCAAAAAACCCACCCCTCACGCCTGCTCCCAGCCCTAACAACCCTCTTCCTTCCCACATTTGTTTTTGCTCTTTGCACATGCCCCGAAGGCTGCATTGTGCTTTGACAATTTTATTTCCATTTGTTTGCTTCCGTGGCTTTTTTAACCTCCCTTTCTCTCTTCTAGAGTCCAGCTTTGCGCTCTGTCTGTGTACTAAGCCCCCTCGTCCGCTGGTGTCTCCCCCTCACGTCCCGTTCCGTGTGTGTCGCGGCTGTCCCATCTTGCAGAGGCTTGAGAAGGCTGCCGGGCTCTCGCTTTTAACGGTCGCTCCCAAAAATGGGGGGGCGGGGAGGGGAGCCCCCTTGTTTAACACCCCCCCCGTCTCCCTCTTGATCACAGTTTCAGAGGAGCCTGCCTGGAGCAGAGAAGAGGTTTGTTTTGCAGGCGTGATCGGGTTCAGCAGAGGTGTGGGTTATGATTTACTATTATTAATTTATTTATCATGTCACTTTCACCCGAAGGCCCAGGGGTGCCTTAAAAGAAATTTAAAACAACTCGCAGCCATACAAATAAGGTGACACTTCACGTGTCAATAGCCAGAGCAAAAGAGGCGTGTCTTCGGCATTCCCCAAAGGCTGTGCAGTGAAGAGGCCAGGCACCACCTCTGTGGGGAAGGAGTTCCCCAGCTTGGGGGCCATCCCAGAGAAGGCCTCGCTGAGGGTGGAGGAACTACCATGAGCACCTTTCCCTCTGTCTGTAGGGAAAGAGGCTGTCTATCAAGATATTTGGGGCCTGAGTCATTTAGGCTTTTAAACACCAACGGATAATGGTACAAAAAAACTCTGGGCAGAGTCAAAGGACCTTATTTTGGCAGGAGTCTTGACCATTGTTGGAGGCGATGAGAACCTTTCCAAGGAGGGCCGAGAAGCTGACGATAAAAAAATTGTTCGAAATTCAGGGAGGGAGGTTGTGTGTATTCTGTCTCAGCAATCCATACAACTACTCCTCCCTCATGTGAAAAATGGGTCTCAGGGCTGCCTTGCAAAGATCAAAGTCCTTAGTCAACAGCAGCAAATCGTTGCTCCCGTCTGCCTCTGATTTCCCATGAATGGTCTGAAAAGGGGCTGTGGGATGAAGACCACCCCCCTCCAGTTTGCAAGCACTTCCCAGCCTGGTCGCCTGGAGAATGGTTCCCCTTGCCACAGGCGACTCCCAGTTCCCGTCAGGCAACAGGGTCAGGGACAATGGGAGCTGGACGCGGAATGCGTGGGCCTTCTGGACATTGTTGGACTCCAGTTCCCATCATCCCTGACCACTGGGCATGCTGGCTGGGGCTGGTGGAAGGAGGGAGTCCACTGGCAGCTCATCCTGGATGGAGGCAACGCTGCGTGAGCTTGATGCTCCAGTGGCCTGGCTCAGTATACATTTCAGGTGTGGGGGGTTTCAATTCATCCATTTTTTTAGACTCTGCCTCCTGTCAGCATCCCTTAAAGCCCACCTTTGGTCTCCCTTTCTCTTTCCACAGATCTCTGATCCCAGTCAATTAGCCGGGCCCTGGATGAAACACACCACCCAGCCCAGGGGCTCAGGACCGCCACATGTAACAGCTCCTCCTTGAAAACGTGGGTGAAGAATACGGGGTTTTAAACCGGGAAAGAAACATCTGAGCATTTACAACAAAATGATTTTCCTGGCGTTTTCTCCAGACTGTCATTCCTACGTGTTCTCTGTCTTTTTTCCCTCTCCGAAACCTAACTTTTTAAGGGGGAGATTTATTCTCCCTGAAGGCTACGTGAAAGCAATATGTGAGAAAGCTGAAGTTTCGGGGTTGCTGCAGGCCCCCAGTTTTGCATTCTGATGCTTCGAGGTTTTTAAAACGACCCAGCTCCGGACACGGGAAAGAGCTGCTAATCTGCACACTTGAGGTTCTCCGCTGAGAACGACCTGCCGCGCACGTACCTCTTTGTTCCGGGTTTGCCACGGCAACTGTCCACACGGAGCACGGAGCAAATGTCCGTCCGGTGGGGCTGAGTGTTGCCCATCCATCACCCGGCCATCTTCACCTGCCTGGATGCTTCCTCAATGTCCAATGACAGGGACCAGCCACTAGGTGGCAGTGCACGACTTGAAACCCAGAAACCCATTTGCTGTTCTGCAGCCTACGTTCTGCGTACCACTTGCTGCTGCTTTTCCTGAGATCTGAAGACAGGAAAGAAGAAAGGGCAGAGGGCAGTGAGGGTCAAGCGAGGGTGCCCTCAGTAGCTGCACTACAGAGCCGTCTTCCTGCGCCCCCACGTCTCCCCCCTTTGCAAACTTGGAAGCTGCTTGAATTCTGACTTGCAGGGGGGAAGCTGTGGGTCTCTCCAACTTGAAGCCACCCTTTTGGATTACAAGAACGCTTTTAAAATGTTGGGCTGGCGTTTCAGCCCGGGAAATGGCTCCTTTTCCCCCCAGACCAAAAGCGCCAAGCTGGTGGATTCCTGGACCCCACGACCCTGCAGGGAGTCCTCTCTACAGAGCCGGCAAAAGGGTGGTCCCATCTATCCCTTGTGAAGGCAATCAGAAATCCACGTTTTGTTTTTATTTTATTCCTCAGAATCTTTACTCAGGGGAAATCTGTGGCATGACCGACGCTCATCCTGAAATGTCCTGTCTCTGCGTTCTTGCAGAACAGTTGCTGAGAAATTTGCACAAGTAGACTTTGAGGGTCGGCCGCGGCCAGCCTCTGAGCCAAATCTGGATCGGAGCCATTTAGCTCTCCAGCCCCAGAGATGCAAGAAAGAGCATGGATGAACAGTGTCTTCTCTCGTTACTTTCCCCTCCCAGGGGTCCTTGGCTTGTTTCCTCCCGCCGCCTTGTCATTGTAGCCCCTCTCACAAGTCCCCGGGAGGCAGAATGTTGTGAAATTCCCTTCCAGCCGGTTTCTTTTAAGAAGTGCCGTTTAACTTGAAGATTCGCTGCTTCTTTCCTCTTCTCTTCCCGTCGCATTTTCCTTTTGTGCCGCGACCATGCGCCTGCAGGCAGGGACTCATCTCTCAACTTGATTGTCTGTATGTAAGCCACTCAGCTTTCAGGCTGAGGAGCGGGTTGCAAACACTCCAGATCAGTAACAGCAAGGGGAGGGAAACTTCCAGCCTCGCACCCCTCGTGCCCTTGCGTAGTTTTGCAGAAGGCATTGGGGTGCAGAGGAACACTGGAATCCCAGCAGGACTCTGCTGAGATTGTGCCACACATATGAACTTCAGACACTTCGCTCGATCAGAAGCACTGAGGTCAAGCCTGGAGGCCCACAACCTCCTCTCATGGGTGGTGGGGAAACCCACAAGTGCACTCGCCATGGGGCAGATCCCACCTGCAGACACTGGTGTGCAATTCGGGAATGCTCGGCGATCGGACCACTTGACTTCCATACTTGTAAACATGCTTGAACTGGTAACGGCGACAATTTGCTGAGCCACGTGTATGTATGTCTGTGTGTAAGAGAGGGAGGGAGACTAACATTTCAACAAACGTGTACAAAACTGCAAATAAATCTGCGACTGGCAGCCAGGTGCCCTTCTCCGCCTCTTCTCTCTATACCTTTGTCGGTTTAAAATACCTGCTGCGCCTTCCTTAAACGTAGATGTGATCACAGCGGATCTCCCGTGTGTGTGTGTGTGTAGATTTCTACCTGGCAAGCGCATCCACACACGTGATGCTGGCTAGCTGCGCGGTAAGGCTGTACCGCTGTTTACGTGAAGCCTCCAGCTCCCAAGGCAGTCTATCTCTGAAGACCATTGGCTGGGGAGCAATGGTGAGAGAGGCAGGCCTTGCCTCCAAGTCCCATGTCTGTGTGTTTTCCAGGAGGCACTGGGGGAAACTGGGTCCTGGAATAGACAGGCCTTTTGTCACATCTGTTGGGGAAAAGCTTCTGTTCTGTGTGAGCGCCTGCTCTTTTTTTGCAGTTTGCATACGGAATAGCCACCAGTACGTTCATGCCCAGTAGCCCTTCGAACCCAGTAGAAGGGTTTTGGGGTCTCCAACCTGATGAGCTCCAGATATTTTGGTCCACAACTCCTACCCGCCCCAGGTCCAGACATGGCTACTTGGGCTGGGGGGTGATAGGAGGTGTCGTCCGAAACAGGGCTGTGTCAGCTGGGGTTGATAGGGGCTGGAGTCCAAAATGTCTGGAAAAGCAAAGGCCATCTCAGCAGATTGGTGTTTAGCTGGCCGCCTCCTCGGGAAATGCTTAAAAACAACTTTGTCCTCATTTTATCATCACAAGGGGTCGGGCTGGATTATTCATTGGGTCCCTCCCAACGGTACAATTCTGGCATTCCCCACCTGAGCAAACCCCGTGCCATTGTTGCCCCCAAGGCCCCTTTCTCCTCTGGCCGGGGGCACAGCCCCAAGGGGCAATAATAATAATAATAATAATAATAATAATAATAATAATAATTTATTTATACCCTGCCCATCTGGCTGAGTTTCCCCAGCCACTCTGGGTGGCTTCCAACAGAATATTAAAATACAATAACCTATTAAACATTAAAAGCTTCCCTAAACAGGGCTGCCTTCAGACGTCTTCTGAAAGTCTGGTAGTTGTTTTTCTCTTTGACATTTGGTGGGAGGGCGTTCCACAGGGCGGGTGCCACTACCAAGAAGGCCCTCTGCCTGGTTCCCTGCAACTTGGCTTCTCACAGCGAGGGAACCGCCAGAAGGCTGGCTGGAACCCCCCGTCCTCATTCCCCTGCTCCGCTGCCCTCCTGCAGAATCCGACCTCTGCTTGGCCTTTTGTGCCCTGTTAAAAAAAAACAGCCCAGCTGCTGCCCCTTTTACGCAGGAGCCGGAAGCACGCCACTCCAATCTGCTAAAAAGCGAAACTGAAAAAATCCTAGCGGATGTCCCTTGTTCCTAAACTCTGTTCTTTCCGCACCCTGTATTGGATCAGGCAAGGACTGGGGCGATCAGTCCCCAGGGGACTTTTTGCCCCTCTCTTTGCTCTCCCCATCGCTTTGGCACAAAATCCGGGCACTTGGCAAGGGGCAGGTCAGGTGCTGTTCACCAGCAGACAGTGCCTCCATTGAGCTGTGAGCAAGGCTCCCCCCCCTCGGCCTGCCGTTCATTGCCCCCGCTTCCCAGGGGCTCTCGTGCTGCAGAGACAAGGCTGGGATGCCAAAAGGGGGGGGGGAGAGAACCCCCTCCACGTACACCTCCCCACCCCACCCCAAAGTATTCAGTGCCTATTAATAGCCCAGCCAAAGCCACGCAGCTGTTTGGGAATGGACTGGGTGCCAGGGGGAGGGAAAGAGAGAGAAGGAATCTCACGAGGCTCGGAGGAGAAAAGAGAAGCTCATTCAGCGCAGAATCTGATGGTCTTTCATCCATCTCGTGTGCCTGTTGTCATCATATCCCCTTTCCTGCATCCACATAAATTGCATCGCAGGTGGCAAGTCACATTTAAAAACGTTATTAATGGGAAAGCAACTGCCGCAGCCACGAGTCTCAAAAACTGACCACTCCAAAAGACCTTAAGTTTGTTGGTTTTCAAGGGGTACCATAAGAATTATACTTCTTGTTATGTTAAGCCTAGATAAGTTGTTTGGGGAACAGGGGACAGAACAGCTGCATCTCTTAGAAAATAGTGTGAAATACACCTTCCGATATCTCAAGGGCTGTCGCTTGGAATATGGAGCAATCTTCTTTTCTCGCTTTGGAGGGGAGGACCCAAACCCAAGTGACAAGAAAGGAGTTCTGACTCAACAGCAGGAAGAACTTTCTGACAGTAAGAGCTGTTCAACAGTGGAACGGTCTCCCTTGGAAGGTGGTGGTCTCTCCTTCCTTGGAAGTTTTCCAGCAGAGGTTGGACGGCCGCCTGTCATGCATGATCTAGTTGCAGATGCCCTCTTATCAGGAAGTCCGTTCTCCACAGTGTGGGAATCGGGCACCTCCTACCCTTTAGAACTCTCTGCCATTGCATTTCAAGCAGGTAGACTGTGGCTCTTCAATCCTGCTTTGGCAGTCGATGTTCCGTTTGCCGGCAGCAAATTATAAAGCTGGGGGGGGGGGGAAATGCAGCTAGAAATGATGATAATATTGAGCTTTTGCATTATCTCTGTCCTCCTTAACGTTATTTGACAGTGCTTTTACATTATTTCTGTCACCCTTGTCATTATTTTATAGCGCTTTTACTTTATCTCTCTCCTCATTATTCTGCATTGCTTTTACATTATCTTTGTCAGTGGGTCACTGTTGGTATAAGGATGGGTCAATCTTGTCAATTTTGGCCTCTCTCTTTTCTCCTTCTTCAGCAGATTCTGCCACACTCCTGCACCCATTTGCTGTTCGTTGTTTTCCAAATCCTCATGAAAACCCTTCATCATTTTTAGGGAATATTTCAATATAGACACTTTTTGTTTTTGCAAGCAATTCCCCCCTCACGTAATGCATTTTTTGTATGCTGTTTTCCCTCGGACACACGAGTGGGGAACCTTTGGCGCCCTGCTGTTGCTGCGCTGCGACTCCCAGCAGCTCCAGCAAGCATGGGCAATGTCAGTGATGGGAGTTCTAGTTCAGTAAAATCTGGAGGGCCAAAGGTTCCCCACACCTAATTTTTTTACCCCATTTTGTTCCGTTTGAAGAACTGCATCACAAAATCCAGAGACGTGCGGCTTTCTAAGGACAGCTGCACGTTTGTTTCCCCACATCGTTTCAGGATTGTGAGGGGGTTGGGCTGGATGACCTTTGGGGGACCCTTCCAACTGTACAACTCGATGATTCCAGGAGGCGGGAAGGAGGTTAAAATGCAGACGAAACGCAGGCAAAATCCCAGGGCCTGTGCTCTTTCACACCCACCCCACCAGGGTTTCCGCTCAGGGACTCCAGCAGATCGAGAGGATTCCTCCCTCTCATCTCCCTCTCATCTCTTCCTTCCAGGCCAACCATCGAGGTGATGGACGCAGTCGAGGCGGATCCCGCCAGCCGCTGGCAGGGGGTCTCCGTCAGCCGCGCGTCGCCGACGCCCCCCGAGTCCCTGGCTACCGTCAAATCGTTGATCAAGTCGTTCGACTTGGGGTGCCCAGGTAAAAAACCCCAAAACGCCACGGAGCTGAGGGTCTCTTATTTCTCTGACAAAATGTCTTCTTGTGCCCCACCCAGCTTTCATTCCTATTTCCTGTTTGGATTTGTTTGTAGATGCCTTTATACATGCACCATCTCTTGACATGTCAGGGCTCTGTGCAGCGCTATGCATGCAGCAAAGCAGAATTTTAAAACAGTTCAAAATGGCGATTTTAAAATGCAGGGCTAATCGGGAGGGGAGACTCCTGCAGTTGCGCTAAAATCCTGCTCGTGGGCTTCCCATAATGGGCATCTGGTTGGCCACTGGGAAAACAGGGTGCTGGGCTAGAGGGGCCCCCTTTGGCCTGATCCAGCAGCCCGGCTGTTTCGATGCCATAGATGGAACCCGGGACCTCCATGCCAACAGATGCTCTGCTGCTGAGCTGCAACCCTTCCTATATACGCCGAGTCAAACCTTACGTTTTAGACTGAAATCAAGGAGTGCTGCTGGATCAGACCAGCTTCCCTGCTTCCAACAGGGGACAGCCAGTTGCCTCTGGGAATCCTGCAGTCAGGCTTTACAGGGCTTTCGGGGTGGATTTAAAAGGGGTTGGGCAAATCCACGCCTAAGGATAAGGCTGTGGATGGCTACTAGCCACTGAATGCCCCTGAATATGCCCCTGAATACCACTAATTGGGGATCACAAGCGGGCAGAGCGCTGTTTGAACTCAGGTCCTGCTTACAGGCTGCCCATTGGGGCACCTAGTTGGCCTGTGTGAGGACAGGATGCTGACCCAGATAGGCCTCGTTCGGCCTGACCCAGCTGACTCTTCCTCCAGCCATTTATAACACACTTCCTTCCATTAGACCTCACTTACCATCAGTGATGGCAGCATGTAGCCCTAGGCCTAGCTGGCACCTAGTTGGCCACATTGAGGGCAGGATGCTGGCCTAGATTGGCCCTCTTGGGCCTGGTTTATATCCGGCGTCCATTTATATCTTGCTGCCCTCACTCTCCATTTGACTTCACTTGCCATCAGTGACGGCAGCGTGCAGCCAAATCCAGTTAGCCACCGTGAGAGCTGGATGCTGGCCCAGAAGGGGCCTCCTTTGGCCTGATCCAGCAGCCAGGCTCTTCCCGCAGCCATTTATGTCACACTGCCCTCACTCTCCATTAGACCTCACTTGCCATCAGTGATGGCAGCTACCAACACCAGCACCTCGTCAGCCACAATGAGTACCGGATGCTGGACTTGGCGGGTCCCCTTTTGGCCCGATCCACCAGCCTGTTCCTCTGCCCTTCCACAAAGACCAACCAGCTGCTTTCTCTTCCCTCGCAGGTGGTCCGGGGCAGAGCGTTCCTGTCCACAAGGTCTCCCGGAGCCCCCTCAGCGGCATTCCCACCAGGACAGCTCCGGCTGCTGCCGTCTCGCCCATCCAGGTACGGAAGAAGCAGCCCCCTCCCTTCCTTTGCAGAAGTGGTATTTGGGTGCTGGACGGACTTCAGGGAGCCTTTTATGGCAGGGGAAGAGAGAGATTTGGGGGGGGGGAGGTTCAGCACGTCGCCACCAGGAAGGGGAAATGGATCTGTTTGTTTCTTTTCTGCAAAGGCACCAAATACCGGCAGATCAAAGCGAAGCCCTTGGTGGGCCCCAGCGAAAAGCCCCCCCCCCTTCTGACCGCCTCTCGGAATCCAGCAGCGGAGGTCACTTTTGGGGCCGTCTTCAAAATAATAACAACGATCTGGTTTTGATCTCCCCCCGCCCTGCTCCCGAGAGCCCTAATAAACAATAAATGCTGAGGGCGTGGGCGGTGATGGGGAGGGCAGGGGCCAAAGCCTTGGGGCGCGTGCAGAGAGATATGCAGAAGTCGGGAAGAGAGAGCCAGGCCAAGAGCCAAAGTCCCCTCCGTTCAAAAGGGACCCGAAGAGTCATCTAGTCCACCTCCCTGAAATGCCGTGGGGACATGGGTTCAGTTTTCAACTCCAAATCTATTTCCAATCTGACCTTTTTCGAAAATCCTCCCACTTTTAAAACTTTTTAAAAAGTTTTAAACGTTTGCCTTCCTTCGCTGCTCCTTCGGGTTTGTTTCTTCAATCGAGTTTTGTACGGACTCAGGCAGATAAATGCCGTGATGTATTGGGGCAGGCGGACGCTGAGTTGTGTCGCTTCCCCTAAAAAAATAAATCGAGATCCCCGTCCTCCTGGTTCTGAGTTAAACTTCAGCAGAGTTTCTTTAGGTTTAGCCGAGATGGAAGGGAAAGCTGCCTTATACCATTGATCCGTCCAGCTCAGTATTGCCTGCACTGACTGGCAGCAGCTTCCCAGGGTTTCCGACAGGGAGTCTCTTTCCCAGCCCTTGCCCAGAGTAGCCGGGGATCGAACCTGCGGCCCTGTCTTCATCTAACTCAAATGCTCCACTGCTGGGCTGCGGCCCTTTGCCCTGCCTCTCTCGGTGCTGAATGTTCGCTGTCCTCCTGCAGACACTCTGCGTTCTCCCTGCCCTCCGTGTTTCTGTTCTTTCTTTACTAACTGCTCATCCTCAGGTGATCATGCAGAGGCACACCCTCCCCTCTCCCTCTTCGGGAATCGTCCGCCCATCCCTGAGCACCTGGGGTGATATAACAACCAGCTTAGGGTGGCACTTTCCAGAGGGAGCCAGCAGGGATGCATCTGGAGGAACTGGTAATTTATGAAACAATGGAAGCAGGAGGGGAGACTCCCTTCCACCCCACCCAAGACAGGTGCTCCATTCGAGCGGGTTCCACCGCCCAGTTTTGGGGCTGCGTTTTTTTGCAGAGGCAGCCCCAGGAAGCTGCAAGGGACCAGCTCCTCTCCCTTTTCGTCCGCCTGCCATATTTGCAGCACCCCCAAGGATGCTGGCAGATGGCCAGCATGAGGATAACCCCGAACGGAGCTCTTCTGCTTCAGTTTGGAGGGGCTTCGGACCACGCAAGCCACTATGGTGCAGTGCTTAAGAGTGCCGGACGCAGGAGACGAGGGTTCAAATCCCCACTCGGCTGCGAAACTTTCGCTGGTGGTGATCTTGGAACACTGCCTGCCTCTCAGCCTCACCTACCTCGCAGGGATGTTGTGGGGGTTAATAGAGGAGAGGGAGACCCATGTATGCCACCTTGAACTCCCTGGAGGAAAAGGTGGGACATCAAGGTGGGATCTACGGGTATAGGGTGCTTTACAAATTTAATAACAAATAAAATAATAAATCATAGAATCATAGAGTTGGAAGGGACCCTGAGGATCATACAGTCCAACCCCCTGCGATGCAGGAAATACGTGGATTGAACTTGCAACCTTGGTGTTACCAGCACCACACTCTAACCAACTGAGCTATCCAGGCACAGTTAATAATAACAGCAATTGGGGTCTATCAAGGCACACACTGGACTGGCTATTATCCAGTTTTCAAACAAGACAGGAAACTAGAATCCTGAGGGAATCCAAATTCTCTGCTTAGGGGGAAAAAAGAAAAGTGACTCGTGTGATGTGCAGGAGTTGTTTTCAAAAGGCCTTGTGAGGTTTTTGTTTTTTTTGTTTTACATTTTTGTGCAGCCCAACAACATCAGTGGCCCGGCGGCTGGCTTAGACCAGTGGCCCATCTATCTAGTCCAGCATCCTGCTCTCTCTCACCTTGGCCAACCAGGTGCCCTTCATGGGAAACAGCGGGACCTGAGTTCAAGAGCCCTCTCTCCCCTCCTGCGGTTTCCAGCAATTGGTATTCAGAAGCATGGCTGCCTCGAACCATGGAGGCAGAGTGTAGCCATCATGACTGATGGCCACTGATGGCCCTTCTCCTCCATGAATCTGTGTGAAGAAGTCTTTTAGAAGACAGCTGAAGGCAGCCCTGTTTAGGGAAGCTTTTAATGTTTGATTCATGACGGTATTTTAATATTTTGTTGGACGCCGCCCAGAGTGGCTGGGGAAGCCCAGCCAGATGGGCAGAAAATAAATAAATTTATTATTATTATTATTATTATTATTATTATTATTATTATTATTTGTCCTGAACCTCCCAACATCCAGCTTCAATGGGTGTCCAGTGATATTCTAGTGTTAGGACAGAGAGAAAAGCTTTCCTCTCTCCACTTTCTCTGTGCTGGGCATAATTTTGCCAACTTCTCTCATGTCCCCTCTTACTTGCCTCTTCTCTACACTAAAAAGCCCCAAATGCTCTCCATCTCCACCAATCCCCCCTCTGTGCCTGTTCTGTGTTTCCATGAAACAAGCCCCACACATATCCCTGGGGGCATATTCTCCCCCACCTCCCGATTCAGAGCAGAATCTGCCTGGGGAAAAATTGGCTGAATGTGTCTTGACAGCAACCAGATGGGAGCTTCCTTCTCCTGGGGGTACATACCTTCTGTCTTTGCAGATGTGTGGTTTAACCAGCCGTGTAACCGGCTAAATTCTGTGGTCGTTTCTCTCTCTGTTTTGGTTGCAGAGACACTCCACCTTCAGCAACCCAAAGCCCTCTGGGAAGGCATTTTCCAAGCACGCTGATCTTCCAGAGCTTCCCTTGGCAGGTGAGTTGTAAGAATAGCAAGCAAGGCCTTCTGGATGCAACACCTCCACCTTCTAAAATCAGGTGCTGCCACGGGCCAGTTCCCCACCAACCTACCTTCAACCAGCCCCAATCGCCCTGCCTTTCTACTTGCAACCAGCTCAGGGGGTGGCTTCCTTCTCTATCTCAGCGTTTCTCCTTGCAGAACCCATCATGGCTTAGGACCCTCGTACCTACGGGACCGCCTCTCCCGGTCTGCCCCACAGAGGACCTTAAGGTCCATAAATAGCAACACCCTAGTGGTCCCGGGCCCTAAGGAAGTCAGTTTAGCCTCAGCCAGAGCCTTTTCAACACTGGCTCCGGCCTGGTGGAAAGCTCTGCCTCATGAGACCAGGGCCCTGCAGGATCTGATTTCGTTCCGCAGGGCCTGTAAGACAGAGTTGTTCCACCTGGCCTTTGGCTTGGAATCAACTTGATCCCCTCCCCCTCTTTCTTTTTCCCTTTTCCTTCTGTGATGAACTCCTACTTGGGGACTTCCCTGGCTTTTTTCTGGCCCACGTTGGACCAGTCTGGATAGTTAGCCTTGGTGAAGACTTGACGTTTTCATCCCCCAAAAAGTTTTTGACTTTCTGCTGAAATGAGGCTGCATTTTAATGTTGTATTTTAATCTTGTTTTTTAAGTTGTATTTCAAAGAATTGTTTTATATCTGGTGTTAGCTGCCCTGAGCCCGGTCTTGGCTGGGGAGGGCGGAGTATAAATAAAATTTATTATTATTATTATTGAGGAGGATGCTGGGTGCAAAATGAGAGCCAATTGCCTCCACCTGCCATTGGTTCTGGCGCCACCTACTGTTCAGCTCCCTGCTTTCCACCCTGCCAGCCCCAGCGAGCACCAGCCAGAGCAGAGGGGCCATCTTTCTTAGTTGTGACTGTGTGTGTGTCCCCCACCACGACCTCTTGCCACTGAGATGGGCGGCTGGTTTTGAGGGCACTTAGACTTCCTCCCTGCGCAGTTCCTTCCTCTTTCTTGGCGCTTTCCCTCCCTCGGTGCCCGTCGGGCAATGCTGTGGCTCAGAAGGATGAGTCACAGCCAGCCAACCTCCCAGGCCGCGTGTGTGTGGGGGGGGTCCCGCTTCCCCACCCCCAGCGCCTTCTGGCTCCTCTTGAGAGAACAGCAATAGCCTGTGGGGTTCTTCAGCGATCTGACAGCAGCCCAAGCTCCCCTTGTCCAAAGACATTTGAATCCCATGCGTTGTGTGGGTGTCATCTGCTGAAAAGAGCATCAGCCTCAAAAGGCACTGACGGCGCAAAGGCCGGCCGGCCACACACTCTTTGGTAACACTGGGATTTAGGGGGACAGCTAACGAGGCCGAATGTTGGAAGGCTCAGGGCAGATAAAAGAAAAGTCCTTTTATTCATTTATTCAGAGTCGTAGGTCAACAAATGACAAATCTTAAAACCGAATAGAGTCTCAGGCCAAAATGCATACATATGTATGGGCGGAACAAGCTTGCAAGTAATTCGCAATTAAGAGTCGCGTATCTCTTTTTGCAGTGTGGAAAGAGAATCTTGCAACCCTGTAGCTGGAGCGTTTCTTATCAAGTCCCACCGAGCGCCATTGGGACGTTCTGCTGATTTTATGAGTGATCTTTTCTGAGTGCAAATGAGTTCCTCTCCCGGTTACCTACGTCAGGGCTGATGGGATGTGGAGGCCGAGAAGCGCTATAGAGGACCACAGGCTCCCCACCTTCCTGCGCTGTGAATCTCTTCTTCTTCTCTAACTAGGAGACTGCAGCCGTCAGTATGAGGGGTCGATCCACTCCTACAGGCAGCAGCAGGATTCTCCATTTTTGAGTGAACATGCGGGGGATTACAGGCAATCCTTTCTCCCCCACAGGGGTTATGTTTCGGACCCCACGCACGTCGGCAGGACCCGTGTAAAGTGTTCCGCCCCGCCCTGCCCCCATTCCGCCCTTTGAGTGATGTTTTAGGGTCACTTTGGGGTTCAGCGCCGTGTGTGTATGTGCAATCACATGCAGATTATTCGGTGCCCATCTTCAAGTTCAGGGCAGGACTGGCAGACTTCCGGTTTGCAGGAACTCCTATTTTACTTAGACACTCCCCCAATGGCTACAGTATGTTCTACCTTCACTCTTGAGGGCATTAATGCCTCTAAATCCCGGTTGTTGGGAGTCACCAGAGTGCGGAGAGCGCTGTTGCGCTCAGGCCCTGCTTGCGGGGGCTGTTTCTTGCGGGTGTCCGGTTTCTCCCACCCAGGGCAGCTACGCCCACCAACCTGGGGGGCTTTAAGAGAGGTTTAGAACCACAGAATCGCAAATTCAGGGAGGAGGATGAAGCTGTGGCTGGCTGCTAGCTGCGATGGCGATGTGCTGCCTCCCCTCTCGGAGGCAGTATGCTGGGGAATCGCAAGCCGGAAAGGAGTTGCTGCTGCACTCAGGCTCAGCTTCCAGGGATTCCTGCTGTGGCATCTGGTTGGCCATCATGGACTAGACGGGCCTCCTTTGCCCACTGCTCTTGTGACGTCATTCTTATGCTCGTGGTTCTTACACTGACTTACACAACCGGCCCACCTATGTCAGTATTGTCCACTTCCCCTCTGCGTCTTTTCCAACGGCCCTGGCAGCAACCAATCCCTCCAGCCGGTCTCCGCACGCCCAGTTTTCCTCGGGACGGCATTGGTTGCTTTTTTAGAGAAGCAGCTTTTTAAAATGAGGAACCAAAGAACCTGGGGAAGAAAAAAAAGGAAGGTGCCTTGCTCTACGTGCGGGGGAGACTTTTTTTCTCAGAGCTGCCGCGAGGGTCATTAAAAAGGGTGCCGTTTCCTGGATCTTCCTGCAGTTGCAGAACAGTCATTACCTTAATTGAGCAGATAGTCAGACACAGCAGAAGAGGAGCAGAGGGAGACCGCAGGCGTCTCCTTGCTGCAGCCGTGGAGTAAATGGCCGGGGAGGATCTGAGCCAGGGATCTCTCGGTGGGGTGGGCAGAGGTGGGGGGGACTCCTGTTTACTGGAACAGCCATAAGACAGCAGGATGTGTGACGTCCTTTTGTTAAATCCGCTAATAATCCTCAGTCGTTGCTTCCTGTATTGCAAACTCAAGCCCCCCCCCCCCCGGGCCTGAACGTTGCGTGGTCTTCACTTCCCTCCTGCAGCCCTTGCTGCAAGGCCAGCCACACCAACCTGGTGCCCGCCAGATGTTCTGCGCTGCAACTTCCATCAGACCCCAGCCAGCATGGCCAAAAGTGTGCGAGAGACAGAGAGAGCTTACGGCTAAGCTTTGCAGCAGCAGAAGGAAACATTTCTCTGCGTTTACTTCTTTGCTGTAGAAAAGGGGTTGTCTCTGAGCAGGAAAAGGCAAGCTTGGGTTCACACATGGAGAGTGTGTGCTCTATGCGCCAAAGGCCTGAGTGGTGGGGGCTGTTTGGAAGGAGACCCTCCACTTTGCAGGGTGGGTGGGTGGAGGGCAGAGGAGTGTTCTTGAAATCAGCTCAGAGAACAGGGGTAGGCAACCTAAGGCCCGGGGGCTGGGTGCGACTCAATCGCCTTCTCAATCTGGCCCACAGACGGTCCAGGAACCAGCGTGTTTTTACAGGAGTAGAATGTGTGCTTTTATTTAAAATGCATCTCTGGGTTATTTGTGGGGCCTGCCTGGAGTTTTTACATGAGTAAAATGTGTCCTTTTATTTAAAATGCATCTTTGGGTTATTTGTGGGGCATAGGAATTCGTTCATTATTATTTTTTTCAAAATACAGTGGTACCTTGGGTTAAGTACTTAATTCGTTCCAGAGGTCTGTTCTTAACCTGAAACTGTTCTTAACCTGAAGCACCACTTTAGCTAATGGGGCCTCCTGCTGCCACCGCGCCACCAGAGCACGATTTCTGTTCTCATCTTGAAGCAAAGTTCTTAACCCAAGGTACTATTTCTGGGTTAGCGGAGTCTGTAACCTGAAGTGTATGTAACCTGAAGCATATGTAACCTGAGGTACCACTGTATAGTCCAGCCCCCCACAAGGTCTGAGGGACAGTGGACCGGCCCCCTGCTGAAAAAGGTTGCTGACCCCTGTCATAGAATCACAGAATTGTAGTGGGAAGTGACCCCCAAGTCCCTTCAAGGCAGGAATCACAAAGAACCCCCAGCAGGTGGCCCTCTGCTTAAACAAGGCCGGAGAGCCTTACCGCCAGGCATACACCAGCAGCCCCCACCCCAAGGAGACATGATTTCTGCAAATGACAGTTCCTTGTCTCTCTCCTCTCCCCACCCAGACTTGCTGAAAGGGAGAAGTGAGGACCTGAAGCCAGACCACTTTCTCCGCAAAAGCCCCTCGCTGGAGTCCCTGAGCAAACCGCCCTCCATGTCCTTCTCCGGCAGGATGCTCACCTCCACCCACAGCGGCCTGAAACCCCCCAGCAAGCTCAGGTAAGCGAAACGGAAGCTGAGCTGAAAGAAAGGAAGGGGGTGGGGAATGGAGGCTGCCTTTGCCTGAGCCAGGCCATTAGGCCCTATATTGCCTACACTGGCTGGCAGAGGCCCCCAGGGTTTCAGGCCGGGTCCCCCCCCCGCAGCCGTGCCTAGAGAGGCTGCCAGGGACTGAACCGGGGACATCTGGCATGTAGTGCCGCTGCTCTGCCACTGAGCCAATGCCTCTCCTGAATGCCCATCAGTGCTGTCTGTCGGTGCTGAGTGGCAGAGCTCCTGCCATGCATGCGGAATCGTAGAATTTTAGAACTGGAAGGGGCCACGAGGGTCATCTAGCCTTGCAACGCAGGAATCTTTCGCACCACATGGGGCTTGAACCCACAGCCCTGAGATTAAGAGCCTCATGCTCTACCGATCGAGCTCTGCAGCCTCAACTCAGATGTCACCGGTTCAACCCCTGGTGGTACCTATTTCTTTATTTTTAATACATAAAGCAATTAAAACATCACCAAATCATAAAATGCAAAGCAGATGGCCCACACGGCCGATTTTAGTGGCGTAGGACTGAGCATACTCAGTGGTGGGCATGGCCATTTTGGGGACAGGGAGGGCATGATGGACTCTCCCAAAGAGGGCACAGCTGGCTAAAATAGGAACCTGCCACATTTCCCCTCTCTGTGCGTTTTCCTTATAGCAAATGCATAAATTGGCCACCAGTTCCCTAGCACTGGCGCCATTTCTGCCGGGTTGCGTGTATGGTGTGTGTTTTTCGGTGTGGGGGGCACAGGGGGATGGCAGCCATCCCTGGCCCCTTTTCAGAGCGGAGCAGTCCAAGCGGAGTAACGGGAGGTTTGTTAACAAAACTTTTTCCTCTTCCTGGTTCCAGCGTGGAGAGGAAGGACCCTTTGGCTGCTTTGGCGAGGGAGTACGGCGGCTCCAAGAGGAACGCCCTGCTGAAATGGTGTCAGAAGAAAACAGAGGGGTACCCAGTAAGTGAATGGGCGGCTTGCTTGCGTGGGTGGCTGAGTTGCTTGCTTGTCACAAAGGGATCATTTTGCCCAAAAGCACCACTGTGGCAGCAGCCAAGCACTTTCCTTCTGGGGGCTCCCAATAGTACATAAAAACAGGAGCCTGCATTTGAGTGGGGGCATGGAGTATATTTCCCTTTGCTCCTCAGACAATATGTGCACCCTCTTCTCCAGCAATCGCCAATTCCCTTGGCAACATGGGATGCTAAAAATCAAGTTTCCCATCCTCATGATTCTGAATTAAGAGCTGGTTTATGTAGGAAGCTGCCGTAGTCAGACCCTTGATCCAACCAGCTTGATATTGTCAACACTGGCTGGCAGCGGCTCTCCAGGGCTTCCCGACAGGAGTTCTCTCCCAGACCTGCCCGGAAGTGTCAGGATTGAACCCGAGACTGTTTGCATGCAAAGCAGGTGCTCTCCCACTGAGCTATGGGGAAAAACCCACTCTTGGACGCAGAGCTTTTAAGCACAGACCTTGCGCTTGGAAAGAGCAAGGCAAAAGATAAATGTGGATTACGCCATGGCAGCAAGTGAGACTCTGGGCCAACTAGCTCAGCAGTGCCCACACTGACTGGGTCGCCAGCCTGCCTGCTTAAAGCAGCATTTCTACAATTAATGCATTTCAACACATTTTGCAGGCTGCACAGTAGATTGCCCTACGGAGCAGGCGAGACAGGACACTGCTGGCCTCGTTCGTTGCTGGGCTTACTTGGAACTGAAGGTCTTAGAATCATAGTAGAGCTGGAAGGGAATCCAGGGGTCATCTAGTCCAACCCCCCGCAGTGCAGGAATCTCAGCTGAAGAATCCCTGACAGATTCCTAGTGCCTAGTCTGTTTCCTGCCCACACACCCTGACTTCTTTGCACAGAGATCAGGCACCTATTTAAGGAGGCATGTTTTCCCATAACTCTGCGGGGAACTTAGATGAGACCTTGCCTCAAAGCAAGCGCCTATCCAAGCACCCGGTGGTTTTTGTTGCTTTTAGTGCGGGGGGAGCAGGTTTGTTGCGCAAGACCTCCCGATCAGCAGCAACTGCGCAACTCAAACTTGCCAGCGTGTGATTGAATCCTGCCCCAAAATACCAACAATCTGGAAAGCGCCCTTCGTCTCTCGCTTCAAAAAACAACCACCCACCTCTCCGGTCCAAAACACACACACACACACGTCCCCTTGGTTCAAAGGACAGCAGAATTCCTTTGGTTTATTTTTAATTTTGGCTCTCGGAGGGATCCCTGCGGTTCCTGCGGCAGCTGCCCAACCCTCTCTAACAAGGCGGCGGCATCTGTAATTGTTGGCCGAAACTTCAGCGAGGCATTTATTTTATAGATCTTTCTCTTCCTGCCTCTGTTATCTTCAGAGCATCAAACAAATGCCACACGTTTGCCTTCTTCCCCTGGCAGGACAAAGCTCTCTGTGAGGAGGTGGTGGTGGTGGCTATTAGGGGGAGCACTAAGCCCATGAGGAGGGGCGTTGTGTTGGGCAGCTTATGCATTCCCCCAAAGTGAGCTGGCGGACTTGTTCATTTTAAGAACATAAAACCACGAGAAGAGCCTGCTGGATCAGGCCTGTGGCTGTCTAGCCAAGCACCCTGTTCTCACAGTGGCCTGTTGCGTATTTAGCAGATTAATTGCGCTGCAGAAAGCGTGCTGGGGAGACCACACGTTCAGCAAACAATGAAGAAACGCAAAAATATATTTTGCATGGCTTTAATTACAAAAACAAAAACTCCTCTTACATTAAATCTATAAGTACGACCTACCCATTCACCAGGGTACTGAGAGAGGTACACGCTGCTCTTTCATAGCTGTCAACTTTTCCCTTTTCTTGCGAGGAATCCTATTTGCAATAAGGGAATTTCCCTTTAAAAAAGGGAAACATTACCAGTTATGTGCTCTTTATATACTATACCCAGTTGCTGACACAGCTTAATTAACACAACTTAACAGCACTTGCTATACTGCTTCACAGCTGTAAAATTAGGTCATGATATTTGTTCTGGCCTTTAAAGAGATACACATCTTGTGAAACAATAATGAACCTTAATATTTAAAGAAACCATTCAACATGGCTGACCAGATGCCTGTGGGACAAGAGTCCTCTCTGCTGCTGTGGTTTCCAGCAGGTGGGATTCGAAAGCATCACTGCCTTCAACTGCGGAGGCAGAGCAGAGCCATCCTGGCTAGGAGCCATCCATAGCCATGAATTTGTCTGATCCTCTTGCAAAGCCATCCAGTTTGGCGGCCCTCACTGTCTCTGCCACCAGGCAGAGGGCCTTCTCGGTGGTGGCACCCGCCCTGTGGAACGCCCTCCCACCAGATGTCAAAGAGAAGAACAACTACCAGACTTTTAGAAGACATCTGAAGGCAGCCCTGTTTAGGGAAGCTTTTAATGTTTAACAGACCACTGTATTTTAATACTTTGTTGGAAGCCGCCCAGAGTGGCTGGGGAAACCCAACCAGATGGGCGGGGTAGAAATAATAAATTCTATTCCATTCTATTCTCCTGTGGGAGGGAGTTCCACAGTTTAACCATGGCGCTGTGTGAAGAAGGACAATATTCTACCTCCACTGTCAGGAGGCAAATAATGCCACTGAGCATCAGCTGCTGAGAACTGTGGGGAGAAAGCACTGCTGTGGTGCTCAGGTCCAGCCACTGTGGGAACAGGAGGCAGGACTAGACAGGCCCCCTTTGGCCTCATCCAGCACCCAGGCCCTTTTTGCATTCTTATGTCTGGATGGCTTTATCCGGAATGCATCTTGTAAGGGTTTTTGAGAGAATTCGCCGACTAACCAACTGGATAGCTCAGTTGGTTAGAGCCTGGTGCTGATGACGTCAAGGCTGCAGGTTCGATCCCCATGTGGGACAGCGGCATTGCAGGGGTTGGACTAGATGATTCTTGGGCTCCCGTCCAACTCTTAGGATTCTGTGATGCATAAGCGTGGCGTAGTATATTTCAGACTGCAGTTAAGAGAAAAACGGAAAAACAGATCTGTCCGGCCCTGTTGTGACAACTCCACCATACCCAGATGCGTACGTAAAACGTTGGAAGCAGCCTACGACACGGCGTCAGTTACAGCAAGGGATTTTCCGCTTTTGATAGCAGAGGCTTTGGCTTCCACGTGAGCCCCGCTCCTGGTCTCTGGCGTGGAGCCCAGGGCAACCCCACTGGGCAGGCCTGAGGCCTTTTCCTGTTGCCATGAGCTGCTGTTCTCATCTCCTTCACCCTGTTGACATTATGGCCAGTGATGTGACGTCTTGACGCCTCTTGAGCTCCAGATTCCCCTCTATGCCAGAGACCCAAATAATTCATTATGTGGAAGCGGATCTGTGGGTGTTGATGGAGCCAGGTCCCCCCCCCCCCCGCCAGACCCCTAAGCTTAATCTCTCTTGCTGAGAAACTGACGCCTGCGAGCAACAGGGAGGGGGCAGCCCCCAGGCTCCTCGCTGCTGGTGGACTAATAACTCCTGTTCTTTCTCTTGTCTCCTCGCTCTTAGTCTCATTAGCCTCCGTCCTCATTAATCATGTCATTAGCAGTCGGGTCATGATTTAAGTGCTCCGGCTGTTGTTGATCCGACGAAGAGGAGCGATTTGTCATGGGGCCAAAATCATCCAAATCCAACTTCTTATCTTAGAAGACAACAGCCCTAACCTAGGGATCAAGCGGTACTTGTCTCTCTTTCCCCCCTCAGGGTTGCTGGACACACGCGAGAAAGAGAGCGAGAGGGCTCGGCCTTCAACAGAGCCAGTGTGGTGTAACTGGAGTGTCGGACTAGAAACTGGGAGATCAGGGTTCGAATCCCCACTCAGGCAGGAAGCTGACCTTGGGCCAGACCCTGCCTCTCTCGGGCCAGCCAACCTCACAGAATGGTTATGGGGATTAAATGAGGAATTTGTCTGACCCTCTTTTAAAGCCGTCCAAGTTGGTGGCCATCTCAGCCTTTTGAGCTAAGGCGTTTCATAGTTTAACTCAGCTGTGTGAAGCACTCCTTTCTTTTGTCTTGGCCCCCAAATCTCTCAACAGAACAGCTCCAACCAGACACGTGGAGCAGGGAAGAATCGTAGAATTGCAGAATTGGAAGGGACCCCCCCCCAAAAAGGGTCATCCAGTCCAGCCCCCAGGAATCGTGGCTGAAGAATCCCTGACAAAAAGATGTAGCCTGAAGAGAAATGCATTTAATGACACCTTGAGGCTATGAACCAGCATTTTTCTGAAAAAAAAATGGCTTGAGGGTTTCTTTAGGCAACAACCTACTTCATTAGATGCTTGGTCTGAGTGAGTGAAAGCCGAACCGGAGAAGAACATTTTCCTTTCTGCTTTGTAAACAGCAAAATAATGCAGAAATATCCTTTCCCTTGCCCACCTCCCCCTTTGGAGGTAGCAGCCCAGCTGTTGAGGGAATGGGGTTTTCTGGCGTTGAGCGAGGCTGAGGGAATCGTCTCCGAATGAGGGGTTCAGGCCCTCAGTGGCTGGTGGTGAGGCCTTGCCGTCAGTGCCTCAGTGTCCATAAGGGAAGGCGTGTGGTCCTTTGGGGAAGACTGAATACCGCTGACCTTTTGGCTGCCCCCGGACACTTCAGATAATCCCTGAAGTAAACAAGGGATGCGTCATTAATCGTTCAAGCAGAAGCCAGTTACCGTAACTTAAGGGGCTGGCCAAGATTGCAACAGGTTCCTCTCCAGCCTGAAAGAAAGTGGATCAAGTTCTTTTCCCTGAGACTAGGAATAATAGTACCAGCCCCTTCCTAATGAAGCTGAGTGCTGGAAGATTCAGCCCTGTCAGCCCAACGGCAAGATGTGGATTTGAATCCACATCTCCTTGGCCCGCTTGTTCCAGTAACCTCTAACCACTACGCAACACTGTTTCTACAGCAATTTAAGGTTGGAGGGAGGGAGGAACTGCATTCCAGCCCCAGGTAAGGGGGAAAGCCTTGAATCTTCCCCACAAGGGGAAATCCTCTTGCGGTTTTATTCTCTAATCCGGGGGATTTTTGGAGGGCTGGGTGTCCGCAGAGAGGTGGTTTCGTAACAAGGCGCACACCTGATACAGCCAGGTGGAATTTTAGCTCTCTTCAGTGGGAACTGCAAGCCGGATTCTGACACTTTGACACTCCCACAGTCCGTTCCGCACAATCTTTCCTGGGTCACTTGGGGGCCGGTTCTACAAAAATGAGACACTCCCAGTTTAGGATTCTTTGGTTTGAGGGGTGCAGTCAGGCAAACCTGCCCAGTTCCATTTCTCTCCTCTGCTCATTCTTCCAACCTTAACCATTCAGCGCTCTGCCTTTCCACATCGGTCTGTGGAAATGCATCAGGGCTTGAGTGCTAATTTCGCCGTCTGTAGCAGCCGTGCTTCTGAATGCCCGTTGCAGAAGCCACAGGAGCAGAGGGCTCTTGTGCTCGTGGGCATCTGGTCAGCCACTGTGGGAACAGGAGGCTGGACCAGATGTGCTCCCTTTCAGTGCTTCTTGTGTTCCTAATTCAGCAGGGCTTTTCTTACGTTCCTAAAAGGGGACTTTTTTGCAAAACAATTTTCCCCAACACAATTTTTGCATCCCTTCCCCCCATATACATTCTGTTTCATGCACGTTTTATCCTGGTATATGCATTTCTATGTATATACATTCTATTCTATATATTTATATATGTGTGTGTGTGTGTGTGTGTGTGTGTGTGTATATATTTTCTATGCACATACCAGGATAAAGCGTGCATAAAACAGAATGTATATGGGGGGGGGGAGGGATGCAAAAATTGTGTTGGGGGAAATTGCTTTGCAAAACATTACCTGACTGGATAACTGCAGAGCAACATTTAGAGAACTGTGCTTCGGTCCACATTTCATTTCAGAAAGCGCAAGTGCAGTGGGTTTGCCTTTAAATGCAAACTGAATTGGATTCCTCCCTTGTCCGTTGCAGTGAGGAAGATCCTTTCAGCAGCAGAATCTTGTTTCTTTTCCCCAAGGAGTGATTTAGAGGCCTGTCAGTTCAAAAAAATCTTACCAAGCCTATATTTCTTCCTGGAGACTTCCTGGCTGAGGCCTGCCAACTCCGTCTCCTGCCCGCTGGTGATTTACCACGATGCCTCTCAGCAGCTGAGAGCTGGCAGGGGTCGGGCTGAGATAATCCCCCAGAGTTTTGCCTGCCTTATCGCCTGGCAGAAGTTCCTTGTGTTGAAAGAAAAGACCTCAACTTAATGGAGCTGATCTGTGAACGGGGTAAAGGAGGTTGCGTTTCAGAGATAATCACCCTCCTCTTCCCCCTGCACACACAAAATTCAAACAACTCTTCCCTGGTGGCCCAGGGCTTTGCACAGATGTTGTACAGATGCGAGGAGGGGAGCCCAGAGGAAAATGGGCAAACTTCTTATATATTGCATTTCCATCCCTCCTTTTTCTCCATGGAGCTTGGCGGCTCACACGCCACTCTTCCCTCCGCATTTAAACCCCACAGCAAAAACCCTGAGAGTTAGCTTAGGCTGAGAGGCGGTGGCCAGCCCAGGGTTACCCAGTGAGCTTCAGGTGGAGATTCGAACCTGGGTCTCCCCATATCCGACACTTTAATCCCTACGCCATGCTGGCTCTCAAAAAAAAATAAGCAAAACGTCCAAGAAATAAAAATGAAAAGATGCACAGTGGCCAAGTGTGGATATTTTCCCACGGATTCCTGAGTCACGCTTTTATAAAACAGGAAATGGCTTTCACTGTTCGCTTCACATTTCCTTTCACCATGCCCTGGCTTCCGTCAGAGATCCAGGCTCGTGTTATCCAATCTCGGCTTGTTGTCCTGGCTTGTTGACCAGCTGGAAAAGCGCATGGCCATGCTCCGTGGTGGCTCTAAAGGAGGATTAGGCAACTGCAATGAGGAGGAGAGGACTATCGAGGTCTCCTGGCCACAGTGGCTCAGCTCTGCCTTTGCAGACGGAGGCAGCAGTGCTGGAAGACACAGGAGGGGAGCGTTGCTCTTGTGCCCGGATCCTGCTTGTGGGTTTCCCAGAAGAGGCATCTGGCTGGCCACTGTGAGAACAGGATGGTGGGCCTTTGGTCTCATCCAGCAGGGCTCTTTTTGCATTCTTGAAAATGCTAAGGGCCAGACCTTCACCTGCAGACATCTAAAAATGGACTGATAAGGAATGGATTTACCGTATTTTTCCGTGTATAAGACTAGGTTTTTTTTCCTTTTAAAAATGTCAAAAATTTGAGGGCGTCTTGTACACGGATACATCTCCCCCCATTTTCTTAAATCGGAGTCCACCAAAATAGGGGGCGTCTTATACATGGGGGCGTCTTATAGACAGAAAAATATGGTGCCATGTGCTCCAAACATGCAACTTCCCTTTCTGGTTTTCCTTTGGGGCATCTGCTTGGCCCCTGTGGGAACAGGATGCTGGACTAGCAGGACCATTGGCCTGATCCTGCAGACTCTTCTGTACATTCTGCCTTACCATAAAATATCCAAGGCTGAATTTAATGAGGATGAAAAATAAAATTGTTGTGGAAACTAGGAGATTAAAACTGGTGTGTTGTGTGTAGCAATAATTATAATAATAATAGTAACATTGATGAAAATTATCTGTAAACTAAACATATAAAGCCGCAGGTGTACAGTCACTTACCTGGGAGTAAGTCCCATTGGGATTTGTGTTCTGAGTAAACTTGCAAAGGATTTGCACTGTAAGAGGCAGGGAGGGCCTGAGAACATTAATTAAGAACATACTTCTGCAAGAATTTTGGCCATATAAAACAAATTAAATCTCATTTAAGTATCTCCATTTGCTTCATCTTGAATTACAATTTCTGCTTCCTCCTCCATCTTCTCTCTCTCTCTTTCCCTCTCCAATTCTTATTTGTTGTTTTATTATTTCAATTATAAGCCCGCAGTCTCGGCCCTATTGACTTTTCAAATATTTGTGCAAGACTGTGTTATGTTAAGCACTTTAAGAAATAGTGAATCGCATCCCTGCTTTGGCTGTCTCGAAATACTGTGACCGGGCAGTTACTAATCGGTGGCTGGGGGCTTTCCCGAGGGGGAAAATAAAAAGAACTGACATCATTCCTTGATAGCTGGCAATTTCTCTCCCCAGCCCTTGGTAAGCAATGCCCTTCGGTGTCTGGGAAGTGCAGAGGGAAAAGGATTGTGTCTCATCTTGAAGTGGAGAGAGGTTTCCTTTCCCCCTTTTCCTGGAACTAGCTTGCAGGACAGATTGCATGGAGCTGGGCAGTTGTTTTGGAGAATCCAGAATATCCTTATTTTGGGGTGAAATGCAGTGACTTTCCAGCAAATTCAGCACAGAGGGGCTAGTCCATTAGGGCCAACAGAGCACTGTCCTATCAAGAACATAAGATGTTTTGTTGGGTCAGGTCCATCTAAACCAGCCGCCTGCTCTCACAGTGGCCAAACAGATGCCCCAAAGGGAAACCTGCAAACAGGACCCCAGAGCCCTCTCCCCTCTGTTCCTCCCTCTGAAGAGGAAGAGCAGCGCCAAAGGAAAAAAGAGACGAAAACAAAGAAGAGAGACCACGGAGGAAAAGGAGAGAAGAGGGGAAAGGAAAGGAAGGAGATAATAAAGAAAGATAAAAAGGGCTTCCAATTTTCCATTTGCAGGTTACATAAAAAAAGAAAAAAAAATATCTAAGACATTCAGTCCATAATAACACCCATCTTCTCCATGTTCCGTTAAACAGTCTTTCTTTTAAGTCTCAAAATCATTCATTTTTTTGCACGAAAAGTCCAAGGGGGGTTCCCGAATTGTTTTTATTTTTGGTCAGTATCCACCGTGTTTTCTCTTCAACGCCAGCTTTGCCTCCATTCATTCCCACCACCGTCCCCACCCTGTATTGGAGGAACCTTGCATCACTGGGGAGTTGCTCCATCATTTTGGTGGCTCTTTGCTGGACCTTTTCCCCAGCTCTGCAGCATCTTGGGAGTTTTTTTGAGGCGAGGCGGCCAGATCCACATGGGAATGATGCCACCCTCCCTCCCTCATCTGAACACTGGAAGGTTTTGGACAGAGAAAAGTCCCTTCTTCACACAGCACATAAACTACGGAACTCCCTGCCACAGGAGGAGGAAGAGGCAGGGATGGCCACTAACCTGGGTGGCTCTAAAAGAGGACCAGTCCACGGAGGATGAGAGGGCTATGGATGGGTCCTAGGCAGGCTGGCTCTGCTCTGCCTCCACAGTCCGAAGCAGCAATGCCTCTGAATGCCAGTGGCTAGAAACCGCAGGAGGGGAGCGTTGCTGTTATTCTCGGATCCTGCTTGTGGGTTGGCCATTAAGGACATCTGGTCGGCCACAGGATGTTGGGCTAGGAGGAGGTCCTTTGGCCTAGCCCATTAAATGCTTCTCGTGTTCTAAATTCAACTTTGAATAGACCCACAGAAATGGATGGACGCAAGTATGAGAGCAGAATCCTGGACTAAGATGGGCCATTAGCCTGATCCTGCAGGCTCTTCTAATTCCCTAAGGTAAAGGGACCCCTGACCATTAGGTCCAGTCACAGACGACTCTGGGGTTGCGGAGCTCATCTCGCTTTACTGGCCGAGGGAGCCGGCATTTGTCAGCAGACAGCTGGTCCACTAAAACCCCTAGACCCTTTTCCCATGCACTGCTGTGAAGCCAAGCGTCCCCCATCCCATGTTATTGACCCTCCCCTTTCTTCTTGGGGCTTGGTTAAAAGGTAAAGGGACCCCTGACCATTAGGTCCAGTCGTGGCCGACTCTGGGGTTGAGGCGCTCATCTCGCTTTATTGGCCAAGGGAGCCGGTGTACAGCTTCCGGGTCATGTGGCCAGCATGAGTAAGCCGCTTATGGAGAAGCCAGAGCAGCGCACGGAAATGCCATTTACCTTCCCGCCGGAGCGGTACCTATTTATCTACTTGCATTCTGACGTGCTTTCGAACTGCTAGGTTGGCAGGAGCAGGGACTGAGCAACGGGAGCTCACCCCGTCGTGGGGAGTCAAACCACCAACCTTCTGATCAGCAAGCCCAAGGCTCAGTGGTTTAACCCACAGCACCACCCGTGTCCATCTAATTCCCTAGTGTCCTCCTATCTAAGTTTCCCTGGCGTTGCTTTTGTCTTCTGCTGCCAAGGTCGAGGATGACATCGGCAAGGCGCTGCTCGCCCTCCCCATTGCTGCTTCCATCCTGTCCCTCCCTCCCAATCCCTGTCGCAAGCAGGATCTGCAGGATGTGGGATCTGCGAGTGGCCCTCCGTCCAGGTCCTCCTTTCCCTGTGCAGGCGGAAGGGGAGAACTCGCCTCCCCGGTTTGGCTAAGCAAAGTCAGGATAGCTCTTTTCTGGGCTGACTTCCTGCTTGGCCAACTGACACAGTCTCTCCCACCTGCTCTGTGGTTTGCCTTTAACACTGGCAAGATCACAGCAACCTGGGAGGATAACATCTCGGCAGGCCTCACCCCTTTGAGAGGAAGTTTTGTTCAGTGTTTGCCTCTCTCCCAGGAGCTCAGGGGAGGCATTATCCTCGCCACAAAGAAGGCCTTTGTGGTGTAGCGTCAGGGAGACCAGGGTTCGAATCCCTGCTTGGGTAGGAAGCCCACACTGGGCGTCCCTGGGCCAGTCACTTTCTCTTACTCAGCCTAACGTACCTCACAGGGTTGTTGTGATGATAAAATGGGGGGGGAGAGAAGCATGTAACCCCCCCTCCCTGCTTGAGCTTCTTGGGATTGAATTGAATTGCAAACAAATCCAGGTGAATGACCAATAAGCAGTTCACCTGGAAATACCTGCAAGGAGCCACAGTTCCTGCCCCACCACAACAAAATTTCCAGGGAAGACAACATTATTATTATTATTATTATTATTATTATTATATACAAAGGGCAGTATAGCAGCTTTGACTGCTCCTGCTCCGCTGACCACACCAGCCCCACGGATCAGACAAGCATAGGGTGGGTTTGTTTTATTTTGCCCCGGTGCAGAATATCTGAAGGGGCATTATCGAAACCCAAGAAGCTAGCGATTAATGGACAGAAATATTCCGCTTTGCTCCCCTCCCCTCCCCCTCTTGAAAAGCAGCAAAGTGAGTTAATCCAATCTTAGCAGAGCTCCTTAACGTAATTAACACAATGCCGGGAGGTGGAGGTAATTAAGATTTGGGACAAACAGTTTCTCTTCTCCCCCAACGCCCCCAGATCTTTGCCTCCCGCAGGACCTCCTGCCAAAATGTTAATTTCACAGGCAGTGGGCAGCATTCATCTTGCCATGCCAACCTGCTACCCAAAGGCCTTTTGTTTTGCATTATTGCCACTGATAGGGAGTTGATTGCTTGTTTGTCCAGCCTTGGCGCACTTGTTGATCTTGGGAGGCAGCAAGGAGAGCCTGCTGGATCAGGGACAAAGCGGGCCCACGCAGGCTAGCATCCTAGCCCCAGTGGGAAACCTGCAAGCAGGATCCAAGCACCTTCCTCCCTTGTGGCTCCCAGAAGCATTCTGGAGGTCAAGCATAGCCATAGTGGCTGGTAGCTGTCAGTGGTCTTCTCATCCATGAATTTGTCTAGTCCGCAGCAAGGTTCCAGTCTTCATGGTGCTGAATAGGAGTGAAGGAGGCTGACTTATACACTATGGGGCAAAAGTTTTGATCCCCTGCTAAATTTGCCCATTTGCTCCCTGACGAAGAAATGACCAGTCCATAATTTTAATGGTAGGTTTATTGTAGCTGTGAGAGACAGAATAACCCCCAGAAACGTCTGACCTCTGTAATTGCCACCAAGTACTAAGTCATTATGGTGCTGGAGGAGACTCTTGAGAGTCCCATGGACTGCAAGAAGATCAAACCTCTCCATTCTTAAGGAAATCAGCCCTGAGTGCTCACTGGAAGGACAGATCCTGAAGCTGAGGCTCCAAGACTTTGGCCACCTCATGAGTAGAGAAGACTCACTGGAAAAGACCCTGATGTTGGGAAAGATGGAGGGCACAAGGAGAAGGGGACGACAGAGGACGAGATGGTTGGACAGTGTTCTCGATGCTACCAGCATGAGTTTGACCAAACTGCGGGAGGCAGTGGAAGACAGGAGGGCCTGGTGTGCTCTGGTCCAGGGGGTCACGAAGAGGCGGACACGACTAAACAACAACAACTAAGTCATCTTTCGCAAAGGGATTGAATACTTATTTCACTAATCATAATGCACATCAATCTCGTGACTTTTGTCTTCTGGGTTTCCTCTCCCGCTGAGCTCACCTTCGCTTCTCTTTTCCTCCCGCAGAATATCGACATCACCAACTTCAGCAGCAGCTGGAGTGACGGCCTGGCCTTCTGCGCCCTCCTGCACACCTACCTGCCTGCCCACATTCCCTACCAGGAGCTCAACAGCCAGGACAAGGTGAGGCCCCTCTGTCACCAGCATCCTTCAGATGGTGGGCGATTTGGTGGGGTGGGGAGAAACCTTTCCCCTAGTGATGTGGAATGGAATTGCAGGATAAACACACACACACACACACACACACACACACACACACACACACACAATTCCTGACCTAGTGACCTTATTTACTATTTAGTCATTTCATAAAATGTATTATATGCTGCTTGGTTGTAAAGAAAAAAGGGGGGGGGACCAAAGCAATAAAATTTAACACTAGCAGAAATGTAGCAGCCATGATTTAAGACTCTCAGAAAGTTAAAATAACAATAGACTAAATTGCATCAGCTTTCTAAACCTTTGGACAGGCTTGTCTAAACGAAAACATTTTGGCAGACCCCAAAAAGAGGACAGTGAAGGCGGAGCCTGACATCAGTTCCCAAGGAGTTTCAAATATAATCAGCCCCGAGTTTTTTTTTTAATAAAATAAAAATACATGATAAGGCTAATGTTTGGTTATTTATAAGTAGTTCCAACTAACGACCTTTTAATAGCAGTTGTAAATAATAAAATATTGATCCTGCCTTTTAAAAACATGTTTTTGAGTGTGCTTTGTTTTTTCCCCTGGTTTTTAATATATGTTATTTATTTTTTGCTGTAAGCTGCTTTCAGTTGCATGGGGGGGGAGAAGCAACTAAGAAATTTAATTAATAACAATAGTCCAACAATATCTGGAGGGCCACCTGGGTGCCTTTCTGCTGTAGCTACAATAACAAAGTCTTCCAGGAAGAAGCAGAATTTGAAACTTACTTCTCACCTGATTGATGTATACTTGAATTCACTTCCTTTTGTGGGTTTTGAATCAAGGAGTGCCTGTTTTCTTTCATTTGTGGGCTGTGTTTCCTGGTGAGGTCTTTGCCATTTGCACCTCGCCTAAGCCCTCTGTTTCTCACCTTTTTAAAAAAATGCAATTTATTTTCCAAAATTTTCCCCTATAAACACACATTGTGGGGTTGGAAAATGGCATTGCAAAATTCGGAGCGGTGCAAGTTTCAAAGAATCACAGTGTTTTGGTTGGCTTATTGCTTCAGGAAGCACAGATCAGGGAACTTTCCCATTCAAAGGCAAACAGAATCTACGTCCTCCCCATCCACAGCCGTAACACGAGAGGAACTTTCCCGCGGCAAATGTCTGATGGCAACTGGGGGGGGGGCAGGCTGATGTCAGAGAAAACAGCCCTTCTAGCCTGACTTATTTGTTGTCTCTCTCCCCCCCCCTCCCCACAGAAAAGAAATCTCCTTTTGGCATTCCAGGCTGCCGAAAGCGTTGGCATTAAACCCAGCTTGGTGAGTGCTTTTGTCCTGGGGAGATGCATTGTGCCAATATAGCATTGGCGGGGATGAGGCCGGCGGGGGACCGAAGGGGGGGGTGTCATATTTGCACCTGCAGGAAAACAGGCAACAGGAGCATGGCTTCAAATCCATTCCACCCTCCCTTCCATTTATCTAATCTCCCACTTTAAAACCAGCGACCATCTTCCGCTGTCACATCTTGTGGTTGTTAGTTCCACAAGTCAAAGAGCGCAGTTGAATGGGGAAGACCCTCCCTTTTAATCATCCTGAATCTCCCCCGTCAGTCAATTTCGGGGAGTTTCTGACCTCGTCAAGAAAGAAAAATGCTTGGTTGAGGGTTTCCTGTTGTTTGCCGAACCCACCGAGGTGTCGTGATTCAGAGCTCAGATAGTTCCGATCCGCTGCTCCTTTCAGTTTAGAAAAGCCAGCCTTCAATCCCAGACTGCACAGCTATTTATTTTATGGCATTTATGGTCCACTGTTCCTCCCTGTGGCTGGTTTTTATCCTCCTGACAGCCTTGTGAGGCTAGACCGATTCGCCTAAGGCCAATCCCCAGCAAATTCCACAGCTGACTGGGGAATCTGAACCCAGCACCCCCAGTACAACCTTGTCTCTGACTCTGCCTGCACGGGTTTCGATGTGGGGGCGAGCAAAACGCTGCTCGCGTTTTGCTTCTTCTATGACTCGCTCAAGTTTGCAGCCATAAACATGTTTGCTGTGGTACAGAGGTGCGAAAGAGAGCACAGGGCTAACAGGAACACACCAAGCTCCCTTGCTCTCGCTCTCTTCCTAAACCTGTTGAGTTATCACTTCTAAAAAGTCGTTTGCCCCATCGCACCACTCCAAATAACTTTTTGCACAGCTTCAGGGCTCTTCTTAAGATTGGGGGACCATGTGGCTAGAGGCTGGCGTGAGCCCTGAGTCGCAAAGACCTTGCTCAGGCTGAAACACGCACCTCCGCGTGCATTAACTCGCTCTACGTGGGGCTGCCCTTGAGACTGACCCAGAAACTCCAGCGGGTGCAGAATGCCGCGGCGAGACTCCTTATGGGGTCCTTGCCGTGAGATCACATTCACCCGGTGCTATACCAGCTGCACTGGCTCCCAGTGGAGGACAGGGTCAGGTTTAAGGTCTGGTTTTAACCTTTAAAGCTCTATATGGCCTAGGACCCTCGTACCTACGGGACCGCCTCTCCTGGTATGTCCCACGGAGGACCTTACGTTCTTCAAATAAAAACATCTTGGAGATACCGGGCCACAGGGAGGTTAGGCTGGCCTCAACCAGAGCCAGGGCTTTTTTGGCTGTGGCCCCAATCTGGTGGAACGCTCTGTCACAAGAGACTAGGGCCCTGAGGAACTTGACATCTTTCTGCAGGGCCTGCAAGACAGAGCTGTTCCACCAAGGCACAGTCTGACCCCCTCCTTCTGTAATCCTCATAGAACTCTAGCCCAATGGTTGCCATTGATTTGATTCTGAACTGATTTTAGAATGAATTGATTTTAGAATGTATTTCAATTAATTGACTGTGATTTTATGTAAACTGCTATTTTTACTGTTGTTAGCCGCTCTGAGCCCGGCTTTGGCGGGGGAGGGCGGGATACAAATAAAATTTTATTATTATTAAGTGATAGGTCTCATAGCATGCAACCTTCCTCACCATCTCTAAAAACTTCAGGAAGGGCTGGAGACCCCAGAGAGGTCCTGTGCAGATAATACCAAACTAGATGGCCAACGGTCTGACTCTGCTAAGGTGCTCCCTATGTTCCTGATTCAGAGCCATGAGGGCTGGAATCTTATTTTCAGAGGAAGGGCCTTAGCCCAGGGGCAGATCACCCCCTTTGCATGTGTGAGGTTCAAACGGCACTACCAAGCAGGGCTGGCCAGGAACCGTGCTGAGTTCCCGCTGCAGTGCAGACCAGACTGAGCCCAATGGATCAAGGGTCTCACTCTGCATAAGGTGGCTTGCCTTAGGTTCCCTGGGGTTTCCCTCTGCCCTAGGGCAGTTTTAATAGAATCTTAGAATTGTAGAGTTGGAAGAGAAGTATTGCAACCCCTTACCAGCTCCCTAGAAGCCTTGTTGTCGGCCCAAAACCAGCCTCCCCTCCCCACCCCAGAGGGCCCCTCTGCCGAACTCTCCCTGTTGAACTCTCCCTGCCTCCATCTCCTGAATACCTTCCCCAAATCATGGGAACCTGAAGTGCTCACGGCTCTCTGTCCCCATCACCAAGTCTTCCTGGCACACAACCGTCAATTCGCCGTCCCGTTCCCCCTCGTTTTATGTGAGCTTGGGTGTTTGACATTCATTTCTTTAAAAGGCTTACGGCCGGGATTTAATTACTCTTGGCTACCGCTGCCTCCTTGAAAGCCTAGCCAAGCAGATAGGGAGCCCTTCCGGCACGGGAAGGGGGGTGCTGTTGTTCCTGGCTGCCCCCCTACTTCATTTGCTGCCACGAGAGGGGAAGCGAAAGCCGTCACGTTCCCCGGGGCTCAGACGTGTTGGGTCCAGTGTGTGCGTGGGATCAGAGATCTGCTCCCCCCCTGCCCAGTTTTCTCTCTCTGGAGCTTCAAGGGAAGAACTGAGAAGCTTCAGCAGCCGGGAAGAATGTTATAAGGAGCCACTGAGGATGTTGGGCAGGCTTGGCCTGGAGGAGAGGAGACAGAGGGAGGTATGAGAGAGACCTTCAAATATCCATGGAAGATGGAGAAAGCTTGTTTTCTACTGCTCCCACCAAGAAAGGAGATTCCCGATAAATATCATCATCATCATCATTTATTATTATTATGGCTGGGTTTCCCAAGCCACTCTGGGGGGCTTCCAACAAAATATTAAAAGACAATAGTCTATTAAACATTAAAAGCTTCCCTAAACAGGGCTGCCTTCAGGTGTCTTCTAAAAGTCTGGTAGTTGTTTTTCTCTTTGACATCTGATGGGAGGGCGTTCCACAGGGCGGGTGCCACCACCGAGAAGGCCCTCTGCCTGATTCCCTGTAGCTTTGCTTCTCGCAGGGAGGGAACCGCCAGAAGGCCCTCGGCACTGGGCAGCCTTTCTTATGGGAAGAGTTGATTGACAGTGGACTCTCTTTTGTTGGACGTTTCAAAGCAGGGTTTGGATGGCCATCTGTCATGGATTCCTGCATTGCAGGGGGTGGACTAGATGACTCTCAGGGTCCCTTCCATCCCTACAATTCTTTGATTCTATGAATATGTATGTACTCACACATATACAAACTTCCTGTGAAATGATCTGCTATATTTTGGGAAGCAGGGATAGGGAGTAGGAAATTTCACCTGCATTGTGCCTTTTAACTGTCCCTGGGGGTTCAGAATGACCCTCTGGTTCCCCTGCTGCAGCTAAAGTGCTTTACGTTTCCTTGTTTTCCTCCCTCCCAATGACGCTGCCATCTCTTCCCGCTACAGGAGCTCAGCGAGATCATGTACACGGACCGCCCTGACTGGCAGAGCGTTATGCAGTACGTCGCCCAAATCTACAAATATTTCGAGACCTGAGTTCCGGAGCCGGGAGGAGGAGGAGGAGGAGGAGGAGGAGGAAGGCGTCTGAAGAACACCATGCAACGCACTAGATCACTTTAAAAGGAAAACACAAAAGGGACCCCCCCTTCACTCCTGCCTGACAGAGGCCCCGGCAGACGTTTCTCATGGCCCCAGAAAGGACTGGCCACGATCCAGCCCAGGCCTGCAGCCTGAAGCAAAGTGGAGGGGCTCTGCTTGGTTTGGGACTATTTTTTGGGGGGGGACGCAGGAAATAACCTCTCCCCCATACTTGACCGTGCCAAATAAGACTCCTCTCCACCCAGGGTGCCCTGCGCTGTGGGACAGAGAACAACTCCCCTCATGGGCAGACAAATCGATGGCCTTGTGCACAGCCTCTGGAGGTCCCCGAGGGCATCAGAAGTTGCTGCCTTCCCCCTCTTTAATTTCACAAAAACCTGGTTGTGGCTTCCCCTCTTCGTGGGTCCCATGGAAAGGCTTCCTTGCTTCTCTCCCCGGAGGCTCAAGAAAAGAGCAGAGTGGGCTGGCTTCCTGAAACAGGCTGCGCTGTGTGGAACAGCCAGGACCCCGTGAAACATGACAGCATCTTTGGAAAAAACAAAACACCAAACTTAAAATCCCCTTACAAGGCCCCCCCCCTCCCCTAATGACAGCTGCCTTGGCCCAGTCTCACGCAGCTGGTAGGACGGTAGAGAGAGCCAGGCTGATCTTGGCTTTTGCAAATTCCCATCCCAGGACCAATTTAGGGACTGTCGGGATCTGAATAGGCTTCTGTCCATCCAGACCTGCAGTGTCTTGAGTGTGGATGCAAGGAGAGGAGGGGGGGCCCTTCTGATCATTGCTCCACAAGGTTAGAGGAAGCCATTAACAGGCCCAGATCTCCTGCCCACCCAGGATCTGTGTTGTGACTGGATCACTTTGATGCCCAATTTAGTCCGCTGGGGTTTTGTTGCAGAACAAAGACTGCATGTCTCTTTAACTTGTTGCACGGGGATTTCAGCAGGTGTCTTTTCCGTAATAGTGGGAGAAGCGGTGCCTTCTAAAATTCTCCCTGCCCCCCAGTGCCTCCAAGTTGGTGCAGGAGATGCAAGAGTTGTGTTCTGTTGCGCAAACCTCCTTTTGTCGCTGCAGACATCTTGTTTTTCTAATGCACGGGGAACATCTGCAGCCTTCAGGAGGTTGCTGGACTAAAACTCCCACCATCTCTGACCAGTGGCATCTGCAGGGCCACAGAACCGTCCCCATCAAACGGGGGGGGGGGCGGTCCAAATGCAGAACCAAGACATGTTGGGAAGCCTGATTCCCAGGTTTAAAGGCATCAGTTGCTAGCTTGAGTAGTGGAGAGAAAAGGTTGTGGGGGAAATGTGTTTTTTTTGAGGGGGGTGAGAGGGTTAGGTCTGCACATGCTGATAAGTTTCTTTTCTTGGGGGGTGATGGCCTTTGTGAGACTGGTGGAGCCAACAGCTTTTGAAAATCTGGAGTTGCCAAAAAAAAAAAAAAATTCCTGCCACATCCCACCTGCCCTTTTCACAGCCGTGCCAACGGGAAACTCCCCACAGCTCCACTGTCCCATCTGAACGGACACAAGGCAAAAGCTTTACCTGTTGAATTTCCACCTACTTCGCTTCTGCTAAGAGCGCAGGAGCCGTTCCAGGGGAGAAGAGGGAAGAGTTGGCAAGCCTGGGAGGGGAGGGGAAGTCTCTGAAAATCTGCAAGTTAACGTAATGTTGAAAGTGACTTGTCCTTAGCTCACAAGGCGAGCCTCAACGCAGCAGATTTATGTGGCATCAAAAGCCTGAAAATTCTTGCAGCGACTGAGGGCTTCTCTGCAAGGACTCAGGTGCCCTTTAAGTGTGAGCTTGAAGCGTTGAGTCGATGACCTGTGTGGGTGAAAGCCAGGGTTGGCAGCGCCAAACGCACCGACCTTCCCCAGCCTCGTTTCACGACACCCGTGTGTCACCGAAGGGCCACCACGAAACCTCCTTGGCTGGCGTCAGGAGCACCTGAAGGCCACCAGGTCACAAACACAAGTGGCGCTTCCTTTGGCTTGGTAGAATTTCCTCCTTGCCGCTTTGGTGTGAGTCGCCGGCTCCTTTCTGAGACTCGGGAGGCAAAGCCTGTCACAGGAGTGCCGTGTGTGGGTGACATGACCCGTGGGCACAAACCCCAGGGTCCTCTAGAGGATGCTGCGAAGGATGTGCTTCCTTGCCACGTCTTCCTTGCTCACATCGCCCACATCTGCTGCTGCTTCTTCCATGCCCTGTGGCTCTGCAAGGGATGTGTTAGACATCCCACCGTAAGGTCGCAGAAGGTTTGGAGGACAGCCTGCACACCCAAATTATCATGTGTTTTCTGTTACTGGATACGAAGTTGAAGGTGCCAAATAATTGTTTGAAGTTGTTTGCTTTGCCAAAGGAGGAGGCCTCAGTTTCTGCCGCCACCTCCCAGACGTCAGTGAGAGAACTTCAATCTCTTTCCCCGCTCTTGGTCTTGGCTTGAGCTGAGCTTTCCCCACTTTTTTGGGGTCTCCCCTTCCCATTCAAAGCCCCTTCTCCCCTTTGACATGCCAATGGCTGTGGAAAGAAGACTTCAGGCAGGCCTGCTGTAAGGTTTCTGCCTGAAGACTTTCAGCTGTCCGGTGCTGGTCCTCATGGTTCCTAGCCGAAACCTGCCAGTCTCCAGACAGCATCCAGTCATTCCAAAATCCTTTGCCATCTTCTCTGGAGAAAACGTGCCACCGGGTCAAAGGAAGTTGCAGACCACCTTTGCATTTTCATCAGGCAAACAGACCTTTAACCTGGGGGAGTCAAGTGCTGGGGGGAGGGAATCTAAATCACTACAGTCCAGGAAAAGCACGGTTCCTTTAGTGAGTTGCGTCCAACGCCGAGGTCTGTAGCCATGAGTAGATGGAACAAGAACCCAACAAGGTAGACGGGGGGGGGGGACGGACCCCTCTAGGCATAATGGTACCCGAACTCCCACCCGCCCCTTGCAGCCAGCATCAGTTAAGGCTGAGTAGGATTCCAGCAACTTCTGGAGGTCCCTGTGATTGCAGCCTCTGATGTTATTGCCCCGTGATCTGTAGGGGAAAGGAGATTTCTGTGCTGCTGTCTGCATTTTGCCATTTTCTCTACTTTAACAGGAGGTTTGTCGTTACATGTGAGGCAGGTAGGGGCAAAAAAGTCTGAGGTGGTCCTTTCAGGGCAGCATATTTAAACCGGTCCCTCAGACTGTCTCGTAAACATCAGTTGGCAAAGTTATGTGTGTGTGTGTATGTGTGATATATGCCTACAAGGTTAATGTTTCTGGGCCATTGAGTGTCCAGGTGTTGGATTGCATCAGAAATGTGGTTTACCTGGGGGGGGGGGCGTTGTGAAAGGGAGGTTTGTTGGCTTCGCTGTGCACCTCAGTTGGTGCAAGAGATGGAGGAAAGGTGGGAAGTGAGTGAGGGTTCGTGTCTGGTCATCCTGAAGGTCCGGTTTGGTTTTGTCTTCAGAAAAGCAGGGAGAAGCTGAGTGAGGGGGAAGAAGGAGGTTCCAGAGCAAAGCGAGGCGTGGATTCGCACCCGTAACAGTTGCAAGGAGAGCAGATGAGGCATTTGAAATGTCCGTGTCAGAGTGGGAGTTTTGTCTATTGATTTTGTCAGTAATGCTGAGCTGAGGTGTCAGAAGGAAGGCTGGGCAGGTTCTTTGCCAGAGGCGCAACCAGCCTCCAGCTCTCTTGAGGCCTAGCATCTTGAAGGGAATGTTTTAGGGGCAGGTTCTGAATCCACTTCCCTTGCTCTTGAAGGTTGGGAAGATAGACGTGTGTGTGTGTGTGTGTGTGTGTGTGTGTGTTAGGACTCCATCTCCTTCTCCCTCCCCTCCAAAAATGAGGTGCAGGAGGAGAAAGCCAGGGTGACTCTGAGCTTAATTTCCCCGGGGTTCTCAGTCACTGAAATGCCGCCAGATTTCAAAGCCTGCTGCTTCTCTTTTCAACCCTCCTCAATTTGGGGTCCACCTGTGCAGGGTTTTATTCAGGCACTTTCCACTCCTCCTCCTGCGGGTGAAGCCAGAGGGTGGCCTGTTAGCTTCTTCCTCCACACAACACAAGGCGGCCGTATCAACCTGCGCCCCCCTTTCCCAAAATGATGCCAAGGGGGGCACCGTCCTTGACATAGGAGCGTTGGGGGTCGTGTGACTGTAGGCCAGGGATGGAGCGCCAGTGTTCCTCCAGATGTTGGACTCTGAAATCCCATCATCCCTGGCAGCTGTGCCGGCTGGTGACCGTTGAGAGTCCCAGCAACACGTGCAGGAGAATCTACTCATTTGAAGGATTCCCCATCTTCCATGCTTCTCCAGTGAAATGCACCCCATAATATAATGCAGGGAATTGGGCGTGGACATCTGTGGCCTGCAGATGTCACTGGATCCCAGCAGGAGCAACAAGCGAGCAGGATAAGGCCCGGGGGTTCCTGACATCTGGAGAGGTGCTGGAGCCCCCACCCCATAATTTTGTAAAAACCCAAATGACTCCTGAGCAGGTGTCCCAACTGGAATGGCTGGTGTCTGCAGGTGCTAATGATCTTTCCAATATGCCATCAATTGACTCCGGCTGGCAATGAACCAACAGAGTCCTTTCCTCTGCTTATTAATCTGTTTTGGGAGAGCTAACAGATTCTGGATCCCTGCCCTGCCCTCTATTATCTTTATTTTGTTAGCCTTTACACGTGCCAACTTCCAGATATTTTGTTTGTTCATCTTTCCTTGTGAGTGTTTCAGTTATTAAAAAAACAAAAACCGGACCTCTCTCTCGGCCTGGACTGGGCGCTTCAAGTCTGAACTGTTCCCGCCGGAGAGCAAAACCATCTTATTTATACACCAAGAGCACACTAGAATGTACAGGCCCTCGGAGTCTTCAACAGTCGAGGACGTGCGACTGCCAATGTTTTTATTTAAAGAAGATTAACGTTACTGAAGCATTGGGCGCAGGGTCTGCATAATATTTCTAATAAATGCCTTTGGTTTCTGACACTTGGCTTTTGGCACTGCTCTTGTCTAGGCCGCATCCTGTCGTTCCTGAGTGGTTTAACTGTTAGTCCCTCTTCCCAGGACACACTGGGAATTGTAGCTCTCTCAACAACTCTCAGCACCCTTAATATGCTACAGTTCCCAGGATTATTTGTGGGGGGAGCTATGACTGTTTAAGGTGGTATGATACTGCTTCCAATGTAGAGTGCAGATGGGGACAGAGTCTACTCAGAAGTAAGTTCCATTGAGTCAGATGGGACTAGCTCCCAGGTAAATAGGATGGCAGCCTTCTGAATATTCAAAACATATACACATAACCAATGTCGGGGCAATTAAAACAACTCCAATTTAATTAGATTTCTTTTTTTAAAAAGTAATGACTACACCTCTTTGAATAACAGGAGCAGGTAAGAAAAATATTACCTTGCCATTCTCACAACAACCCTACAAGATATAGAGTGAGAGACTTGTCAACAAGCCAGGATAAAACACAAATCAATGAATTGCAAAGCATCAAAAGTATAAATTGTGCAATCAGCTGCTACCCAACTCTTATGAAATAAATAATTTAACACTTTAATATGAGGAGTGAATCAAAACAGTATGTCCAAATGCATAACTCCACGTCAAACTCCTGTGTCCATTTAAAATCAGTATGTGAACATTCAGTCTTTTCCAACTACAAATCCACAGACATGCCACTGACCACCTGAATTAAGCTCACAAACCACAGGTGGGAGCCTCTGATCTCTTACTAGAAGAGCCAGGTGCGTTTCAGCCACGGAGGTCTCACCTTTTAGCCAACATGCCTGAACCATTACCACTCGGTTTTCTAAATTTCCAAATTGGGGGGGGGGTACAGTTGTGCTGATGTGTTGAATTGATATTACAAGTGGCCCACAACAGAGAGATGTAAAAATAAGTCTGGTACCCCAATAATGTGATTGGACACTACCACAATGTGTGTTCTGTGTGGCTTGTGCAGAAGCATTTGATGTGATGGACCAGGAGCCATGTTCAAGTGCGTGTGTGTGCGCCTCAGTCACCATGCTGCATCAGCATCAGTTCTCCTGGTCACACTACCGTGTGACCAAGGAGAGCCACCTGCGAATTTCATTCTCACATGGCAAGCAGGAAACAGATGTTCTGGGGCAGGGGTGGGCGAGGCAGTGGCACCTACACCATCAGCATGAATGACATCTTGTGCCACCAGATGTGTTGCATGCAGCTGCTGGTCCTGCATGAACAGGTATGGGGGGGTGCACGGCAGGGGGTTGGTGTAGATGACCCTCGGGTCCCTCCCTACCCTACAGCTCTTTCTCAGTCTGTGCTAAATCTTCATATGACAGTGTCATTGCCCAGAAGTCTGTGGCTGAAAGAGGAAACTGGACCCACTGGGGAGCCGTCAGGACAGCCCCAGGGTGTCATTTGCATAGGCACCAAAATAGCCCACCTTGAAGTCTTGCTCATGAGAGCAAAGCGACTCAAAGCATCCTTCGCCTAGTGGGAAGATCTCAGCGCCCACATTCTGTGCTGTGATGAGACCAACCAGATGAAAGAACTCTGCCTTGTGGGGAGTCAGAACAATGGTCCATCTAGCTCAATATTGCCTACACTGACGGGGAGCCGCTCTCCGGTTGGCAAACGGGGAGCCTTATCCCCAGCCTTACCTGGGGAGAAACGTGGTTCCGTTTGTGTTCAGAGGCGGCGACGCCTCAATTCGCACTTCCTGAAAGCCATACGTGAACTGGCAATGCAGCCGCCCATTGAAATTCACGCTTCTCAGAATTTTGCAGTTCTCCAGTCAAGCGATGTGTGCAAAAATGCACAGGCCAGGGTAAGGCACGCCTAAAAAATGCAAATATTCATGAAAAAACATTTAAAAAAAATGCATTTGCAGAAAGTGAGCACATTGGGGCAAATTGCATACAGACGTGTGTATATTAGAAATTCACCCTAAAATGCTGCTGAATTTCCATGAGGACTTTAAAAAAAAAAATGCAAGGCAGTGTGGAGAACTGAACTCAAGAGTGAACAACTCAGAAACCAAGAAGTCCTGCTTCTCCATGCCAGTTGCTGGAAGCGACATGTTGCACTAGGGAGCTGCTTGTGGGCTTCCCATTGGGGCATCTGGGGGTCCACTCTGAGAAGAGGATACTGAACTAGATAGGCCCCCTCTGGCCTGATCCAGCAGCCAACCTCTTATCTTTGACAATAGCTACAGAATTCAGCTTGCAGAGAAGCTCGCTTTTGTTTTTGAGAGGCACGGTCCTAGTCCTCATGATTCTGTGAGAGCAGGCTGCTGGACTCGATGGGTCATTGGCCTGATCAGCAGCCTCTTCCGATGCTCCCCTGGTGGCTGGTGCCCATTGGGGCTGGTGGGGCAGGGACCCCAAACCGAGCCACAGACAATGAGAGGCAGAGCCAGATCATCCTAGTTTCTTCCTCCTGAGATGGAGGAGGAGGCTGACACCCAGAGCCACTCGCCGGCTTGGTTTTGAGAAAGAAGGCAGGGCAAGTGAGGTCTGTGGGGCAGCGACCCATTTGCCCTAACGGACCGGCTGCCATTGCAGGGGAAGAGTAGAAAGAAGCGGCTCAACGGTGAAATGAGTCACGAGTTTGGCAACTCCATTCCAGGTTCGGCTCCAACACCTGAGGCCAGGTATCCTAAATTCATTGGCAGCCGTTGCAAACGCTTACATAACCCAAACTGGTTTGCCTCTTCTGGAGATGACAGAGGCAGCTCATATTTCAACCAATTTCCTTCTCTGGGGGCTGGAAAAACACAAGAGAACAATCATTCTCAGGCTTGAAGGAAAGGATGGAGGTTTGGAGAGTTGGAAGGGACCCTAAGGCTCATGTAGTCCAAACTCCTGCAATACAGGAATAAATTAGGAGAGTAATTTATTTTATTTATATCCAGCCTTTCTCCTAGTGCAGAACCCAAGGAAACTCCCAGAATAAAACAGGGATAACTCAAAGCACACAAATATTTTTTTTAAAAACCCACCAATTAAATAAGTGACCCTATGAAAAACAGTGCTGAAGGGGGCATCAGGCAACTCTCTGGGGAACTTGCAATCTCAAGATAGACTGCGCTGGAATATGGAAGTTTCACTCAGCAGGCATGGTTAAAAGTCGCTGATGGCTCCAACCCAGTCAACTTATACTGGCAAAAGCCGACATCTCAGCTTCCATTTCTGGGAGAGAAGTGTGCAGAGCATAGCTGCGCACTGAAGGAGAGCCACTAGCGGCAGCCATTTGCATCCAGCCAGGCGGAGACGCAGAGCCCTTCTTTTGCAAAGTCATTCCTGTGCACCCTTTTGCTTGCTCTGTTTTGTTCTGACTGTGCGAAGTGCCGGTGTGTCTCAGGCGGGGAAACCACACTGATGGGAACTTTGCTGCTTGCGAAGCCATCTACACCCTCCAAGAGCCTCTGTCTCGACCCGATACACAATCCTCTAACAGCAGCTTTCTCATACCTGGTGCTCTCCAGATGTTTTGGACTTGCAACTCCCATCAGCCCCCGTCAACGCCAGGAATCCTGGGCCAAAACATCTGGCCAGGACGGATGGGACTTGCCAGTCAACAACACCAAGAGGGCACCAGGTTGGGGAAGTTGGCTCTGATCCAATGATGGGGAGCCTGTGGCATTCCAGATGTTGTCGGACTCCAACTCCCAGCAGCCAGCATGGCCAGGGATGATGGGAGTTGTAGTGTGGCAACATCTGCAGGACTGCCAACACCTCCCACTGCCCCAGTCCGGATTTGAGAAATCTGGCATGGAACTTCCCACCCGAAACTCTCCAAAATCTACGTTACAGTGGTACCTCGGGTTACGTACGCTTCAGGTTACAGACTCTGCTAACCCAGAAATAGTACCTCGGGTTAAGAACTTTGCTTCAGGATGAGAACAGAAATCTTGCTCCGGCGGCGCGGCAGCAGCAGGAGGCCCCATTAGCTAAAGTGGTGCTTCAGGTTAAGAACAGTTTCAGGTTAAGAACAGACCTCTGGAACGAATTAAGTTCTTAACCTGAGGTACCACTGTAGTTGTTTTTGGTTTTTTTATATTGTGAACCACCCTTTGGTCCTTAGATGGAAGGCAGTATAAAAGATTAATAAATATAAAATAAAACAATAATAAAAAATAAAATGATGTGGTTTTTGTTGGGGGAAGGGAGAAGGGCATTAGAAGCAAAGTACCGTATTTTTCACTCTATAACACGCACCCGACCATAACACGCACGTAGTTTTTAGAGGAGGAAAATCCGTAGGCATGCCACCCGTAGGCATTCCCTCCATAACACGCACAGACATTTCCCCTTACTTTCTAGGAGGAAAAAAGTGAGTGTTATGGTGCAAAAAATACGGTAATTCACAACTTTTTTTTGCCAGCAAATGAGAAGTAAGGGCGTTTTGAGTAACCATTTCCTTCCTTCTCCATCCAATTTGTTGAAATTCAGGGATTCCCAGCCACCCACCCCTGGTACCAACTGCATGCAGGAACATCCTCTTTGCATGTCTGCTGCCGCTGCAGCTTTAAATACAACAGAATCATAGAACTGCAGAGTTGGAAGGGACCCCGAGGATCATCTAGTCCAGCCCCCGGCAATGCAGGAATACGCAGCTGTTCCATACAGGGATTGAACCTGAAACCTTGGCATTATGAGCACCACACTCTAACCAACTGAGCTATCCAGACTGACATATTCATGGACACACACCCTCTCCTCTCGCCAACCCCTCTGCCAGCTTCCCATCACTCTACACACAGCAAAGTGTGGGGATTCAAACCCGGGTCTCCCAAGAGCTCCTTGAAAGGGGGAAGGTGGGCTATAAATGCAATAAATGAATAAAAATGAAACAAGGCAGACCTGTTTAGGTAAGTTTTAAATGTTTGGTGTTTTATCGTGTTTTTAATATTCTGTTGGGAGCCGCTCAGAATGGCTGGGGAAACCCAGCCAGATGGGCAGGGTATAGATAAATTATTATTATTATTATTATTATTATTATTATTATTAACAACCCCTTCCCTTTACACCTCATTCACCCCTTCCCTATTTCTCCATAGACTCCCCAAAGCCCCCCCACCGACTCCCTTTTACTAAACCACTGTGTAAGGGCCTCTCCTGAACCGCACCCACGCTGAAGTGTGACGACACCTTACATTTTAATGTATATTGGAAGATAGAGAGATCAGTCCACAGGCCTGTTTGCCTGCGGTGCCCAGCTGGAAGCCCCCAAGTGAGGCATCAGCTTTCCCTGGTTTTTCCTTCAACAGCTGGCGTTTAGCAGATAGACTGTGCCTGGATATGGAGGCTTCATCGAGCTATCACGGCTAGCAGCAGTTTTATAGGGCTAGCCCGCTTCGCACACTCAGATAAATCCTTAAAAAGAAATAAATCTGGCAGTAGCCCTCGCGGCCTCATTCCCTTCCCTTCTCTCATTCTTTTTTATCACCACACCAAACGGCAAAGGTCTCTCTGAAGGCTGTTTACAGCACAACACCAAACTGAAATCGGGGCAGCCAATAAAATCTGCAGCGATTGCAACCTTTTCATGGCACCGCGGGGAAACGCCGGCGCTAGCACAGAGTCAGGGAGGCAGGAACGAAGGACAACTTTTGCCCAGCTTTAAAAAGACGCCAATTAAGAAGCAAACTGCTTTGGCATCAAATGGTCTCCACCGGCCTTGTGAAGGGGTCAAGGCATCTAGCCCTCCTGATCGGCTTTTGCGTTTTTTTAAATGTCCACTTAATCAACCTGGACATTTGCCCACTTAATCAACTGGCCCCAAAGCGTCCCGCCTTCTTGCAGATTGATGGACTTTTTGCCTTCTTTTAAATGCCCGCTTAATCAACTCAAACACTTGCCGACTTAATCAATGAACTACACCCTGAATAGCTAACAATCTTCCCTTCGCCACTGTATGCAAATGAATGATGCAGCCTTGTTTTTTTATATATATATATTATTAAGGATTTTCTTATTTTACAGAAGTAAGTGTAATGCCTCATATTTTTTCCATGTAACATTTTTACAAATCCGTTTCATTTGTTGAGACATTAGGGGGAGAAGAAAAAAATAAAATAAATGGGGGTGGAGGGACGGTAGATGGGTGGGGGTGGGGTCGGGTGGCGATGTTTCTATTATGTTTAATGTATGTAGAGTTTGGTGCCAGCGTTGCTTGTGTTGTTCACTTGTGTTCCTTTGGTGGTGAGAGAGGTTGGGGTTGGCCTAGGGTGTGGTTGTTTGCTTGTGATTGGCTGTGTTGATCTTTGTTTTCGTGTGTGAGTGAGGTGGGTGGGTGTTTTGGATCAGGTTAGCCATATTGATTTGTATGCTGTTGGTGGATTCTTGTTATTGTCTTGTTGGGCTGTGTATGTGATAAAGGGGAGCCATATATGATGCAGCCTTGTTAAATCATTCCAGCAGGATCTTTCCACAAGGGAGACCCCCCCCCCAGCCGACAAGATCACCCTCTCATCACTGTGATCTTTGTGCTCCGAGCTGATCTTTCCAACAGTCCCTTCTGGAGAGTCGTGCGTGTGAGAGATCAGGTCATTGCAAAACTCTTCGGGGTGGGTTGAATCACTGACTCACGCACACAAAAAAGGGAGAGCAAAAGAGGCAAGCTCTCCGAATGAGGCAAATAAATCTCTCTCCCATGACTATGTCGGAGAGGGAATGGTGAGGAAAAAACGGGATCTCTCCGGTCTGCGGCTGGGGAGCGGCTTGCAGCAAGCGAAATTGTCCATCGATGACAGCCACATCCGGTGAAGCTGCACGGCTCCTACAAGATCAAATGCCAAATCTCCTCAAGCCCAGGGACTTAAGAGAGCCGGCCCTATCATTAGACCTAATGTTCGCTTGGAGAGCCGGCGTGGGGCAGCGTTTAGGGTGTCGGGTTAGGACTTGGGGGTTAGGACATAGTCCATGGACTATGCAGAATAAGATAAATTAACAGGAAGGATTCGAAACCTGTGAGATCAGAGATTCTTAGAGGACTGGAGTAAATACCGTATTTTTCGCCCCATAGGACGCACCGCCCCATAGGATGCACCTAATTTTTTTGGGGGGGGGGAATAAAGAAAAAAAAAATCCCTCCCCAGGCATGGGGCAGGCGCGGGGGAAGCCCGAGCTTCCCCCGACCCCAGCCCCCAGAACAGCCTGCTATCCGCAAGCCTAGGGAACCGAGCCGGTCTCCCCAGGCTTGTGGAGAGGTGCGCGAAGCCTGGGCGCGCTCTTCGGTGCGCACCAGGCTTTGGAATGCAGGCAGCTCTGCGCTACTCTCCGGAGCCCCGCGCGGCTTCGCGCCGGGATCCGGAGGGTGGCGCGGAGCTGCAGGAAGCCCGGGAAAGCCTGCATTCGCTCCATAGGACGCACACACATTTCCCCTTCATTTTTGGAGGGGAAAAAGTGCGTCCTATAGAGCGAAAAATACGGGTATATGAATTATTTGAAAAGTAATTGTGAGGAACAGATTACGCTAGTAGGATTGCAAGAAATTTTGTAAAGTGGATTATTTGAAATATTGCAAGAAAGACTATGAAAAGAATGATTCGTTAAGGATAATATAGAAATTAAGAAATGCAGAATAAGTGATTAAGAACGGAAAATCATCAGAGGCGTTGACGGAAGTCTAAAATATTGTATAAGATGAGAAGATATGTTGTATGACTGTTGGAACTGATATATTATAACATCAGACCATGTGGGGGGCCGGACTATATTTTGAAAAGAAAGAAAGAAAGAAAGAAAGAAAGAAAGAAAGAAAGAAAGAAAGAATTCCTATGCCCCACAAATAACCCAGAGATGCATTTTAAATAAAAGCACACATTCTACTCATGTAAAAACACGCTGATTCCCGGACCGTCTGCAGGCCAGATTTAGAAGGTGACTGGGCCGGATCCGGACCCCGGGCCTTAGTTTGCCTACCCCTGTTTTCCACTTTAGCCGTTTTTCTCCCGAAGATCTCACAAGGCAACAGAGGTTTAGGATCAGAGTTTTCCTTCTCCTTAGATGGGCTCCCTTCCTAGGTGGAAGAGCCCCATCAGCCCCTCACTTCCCTCTAGGGCACATGAAGAAACAGCCTTTATGACTGTTGGACCCAATCTTGCTCTTGTCCGATCAATCCATTCGTAAATACGGTGGTACCTCGGGTTACAGACGCTTCAGGTAACAGACTCCACTAATCCGGAAATATTACCTCAGGTTAAGAACTTTGCTTCAGGATGAGAACAGAAATTGTGCTCCGGTGGTGCAGCAGCAGCAGGAGGCCCCATTAGCTAAAGTGGTGCTTCAGGTTAAGAACAGTTTCAGGTTAAGAAAAGACCTCCAGAACAAATTAAGTTTTTAACCCGAAGTACCACTGTAAACACAAGGCAGATTCTGGACCGGGAGGAGGGTTTGCAGCAGGAGTCGGATGCAGGAAAGACTTTCTGAGTGGAACGGACTTCCTCCTTCGTTGGAGGTTTCTAAGCAGAGGTGGGGGGGGCATCTGCCAGCGATCCTTTCGCTGTGATTCCCTCCCCATAGGGGGTTGAGCTAGATGACCCCTGGGGTGCCTACAAGCTCTCCAGTCCCATGTTTCTATAACTTGTGCTCACTAAGCTAGATGGCTGCCTCCTTTATGTGCCGCGGAGGACACTGACCTGTCTCCAGTGTGGTAAAAATAACCCCCCTGTGTCTGTCCTGTTGACTTCTGTATCTGGGAATGGGAAGACTGGTTTGCCCTCTTCGCTTGTCTGCCTCTCAGTGGAGGGGTCTTTCATTGCCCACACTCGTCTGCGCAACATGCGCCATCTTCACACGTAAGCCAGGGATGGTGGGCCTCACCCTTGGAGGTAAAAAATAATAATGTGGCCCTCCATACCTCTCTGCCCGGCCCCCAGGACTCGCCCTCAGGCCACACACCCTGCAGAGCCACGCCCCCACGCCAGCCCTGTTTTGTGGCACCCTTGGGTGTTGGTTCTTGTCAGGGCTGGATTTAGGTTTGATAAGGGCCCTGAAGGGAATGGGGCCCTTTATATGTCCAGCTGTCCTTTGTCAACAACAAATTGTCGCTGGTTTTTTGGGGTTGAATATATGCTATACAGTAATTTGTGGATAATAAGTATCTAAAGCCATTTGTGGATAATAAGTATCTAAAGCTATTTGCACATAACAAAATATGTATTTTATCCAAGTAATTGTTGAACTGAAACACAGTTAAGAACCAGTTATATTTTAGGGAGCAGGCTAGGAGGCAGGGGGCATTACTTACATCCTAGGAGCCTACACAACAAAAACGCTGTTGATGTATGTAGGTTTTATTTTATTTGTATTTTACGTTAGATTTTGGAAATGTATATCCAGGTTTTTTTCCCTTTAATTTTTTTGGGGCCCTCAAGAGAGTGGGGCCCTAAGCTATAGCTTGTTTAGTTTATACAGTGGTACCTCGGGTTAAGTACTTAATTCGTTCTGGAGGTCCGTTCTTAACCTGAAGCTGTTCTTAACCTGAAGCACCACTTTAGCTAATGGGGCCTCCTGTTGCCGCCGCGCCGCTGGAGCACGATTTCTGTTGTCATCCTGAAGCAAAGTTCTTAACCTGAAGCACTATTTCTGGGTTAGCGGAGTCTGTAACCTGAAGCGTATGTAACCTGAAGCAAATGTAACCTGAGGTACCACTGTACGTAAATCTGGCACTGGTTTTTGTCCTCCCTCATTTCTTGCCTGGATGGAGGTTGGAGAGAAGGGTTTGCTTGTGTGGCTGCAGAAACAAGCCTCTTGTTGACAGAAGAAAGCCTTTAGCAAACGTGAGATCCCACGGAGAGAGCGCCTGTCTGATGTACAGTTTCAGTTCCAAAGGGCATCTGTCACCACACCAAAGGCCCGATCCCAGCATCCATTACTCTCCCGTAACTGATATTTGATGATAGACTGCCTTTGGACTGAAAGCTCCACAAGCTTCCTGCGCAGACTGAATAACAGAAACATAGAACTGTAGGAAAGGGATCCCAAAGGATCATCCAGCTCAACCCCCTGCAATGCAGGAATCCTAGCTAAAGGATCCCTGGCAGATGGCCTTCCAACCTCTGTTTAAAATCCTCCAGGAAAGGAGAGTCCACCACCTTCCAAGGCAGTCCATTCCATTGTAAAACTGCTCCTACCATCAGGAAGTTCAGTCAATCAACACTCATACAATGAATCAACCCAAATTTTGTTAAATGGGACACAGCCTTAATTTAAACTCACTGGAAATATCCCGAAAACTGACAGGACACAGAGCAGGGTGGAAAGCTGAGGACAACCAGTTTTTCCTGCCTCTCCCTTCTGATGGCTTGGCTAAGACATCTCTGCTTCATCAGGTTATACGTATTGTTTTAATCATTATCAATATTTGCTTATAAAGCAGCAGCCTGATTATTTCTTATCCCCTATCTATTTGTTGCAAAACAGAAGCAATAAAAGAGCAAGTCACTCGGGGAGGTTCCGCTGAGTAAGAATTTTAAGGAATGTCAAGTAAATAAATGAAAGTATCTGAATATATTGGCTCTGAGCCTTTGGCTGCCAGCAAAAGCTTGGCGACGTATATATGGATATTGGTTTTTCATTGCTGGCTTTTGTTTGTAAACCACCTTGGCATTTCTCTTCGTAATGAAAGATGATTGAATAATAATAATAATAATTTTCTGATTGGCAATTTTTAAAATGATGCAAGCATTCAGACCTTACAAGTCCCTTCCTCACAGCACAGTAAGAATACTGTCTGCCATCACTTCCCACACACTCCCTCTTAAGATGCTGACTAAATGTCAAATTTGTGACCCAGCCTCAAGCCTTGTTTCTCCCGCACTGAGCCAGGTCCCCCACGTTGCTCTGTTTCACTTGGCATCCAGGCTGATGAAGAAGAGCTCTGTAGGACCCAAAACCTTGCTCACTATTTTGCAACAGGGATTTTTGTATTGTTTATGAGAAAGCCTGGGAAGGAAGCCCCACTGAATTCAAGAAGACTGACTCCTGAGTACACAGGGTTAGAATAGAAAACCCAAACGCACATTTATAATAATTAAGCAACAACACCACAGATCAGATCATTGCCATCTCTATCTTTTCAGCAAGCTTTTTAAGTAGGGTTTCTTATCCTGTTCCGGATCTGCTTTGGAGTTGAGATTTTGTGTGTGTGTGTGTTGGACGACTGATCAATAGATAGACAGGGAATTTAGGAAGCTTCCTTATACCAAATCAGACCACTGGTATTTCCTGCACTGACTGGCAGCAGCTCTTGATGGTTTCAAGGCAAGGGAGTCTCTCTCCCAGACCATCAAGGACTGAACCAGGGATCTTCCACATTCAAAGCAGATGCTGTTACTACTACTACTACTAATAATTTATTATTTATACCCCGCCCATCTGACTGGGTTTCCCCAGCCACTCTGGGCGGCTTCCAACAAAATATTAAAATACCATCAAACTTTAAAAGCTTTCCTAAACAGGGCTGCCTTCAGATGTCTTCTAAAAGTTTGGTAGTTATTTTTCTCTTTGACATCTGGTGGGAGGGCGTTCCACAGGGCGGGCGCCACGACCGAGAATGAGCTACAGCTGTACTCTTTAAGATAAAATAAGATCCCAGGCCTCATGTTTAAGGGCTGGTTTAGAGAGGAACATAGGAAGCTGCCTTTTAATGAGTCAGATATTGCACCATCTAGCTCAGCGTTTCCTACACGGACTGGCAGCGTTTTTCCAGGGGACATCCCTAGCCCCACTTGGTCCTTTGATGCCTCATTGTGAATCATTTGGAAAGTGATTCATAAAGGACAATGGAAGTAAAATAAAATAAAACACAACCCTAGTCTCCAACGCTCACACCCCTTTTTGTTACAAGACTCACAGTGTGTCTCTGAGGACGTGCAAAGTGCATCCCTCCTATTCTTAATCTTCCAGATCATCTACCCCGGAAGATTACACTTCTTTAAAAAAAGATAAGGATGAATGAGTGCCTCTGACTCACCCGCCGCGGCGCCCGCGACGACTCTCTCTTCTGGTTCGCAGCGAAAAGACTTCTCCTAAGTTTTGCAGGGCGTCGGGGAAACATCGCGCGGCGCCTCGCTCGCGGCCTTACGGTAAAAGCGAGGAAGGGGCGGAGTCCGGGAGCGCGCCTCCGCCAATCGGACGCCGGGCTCCGCCGAGGCCCCGCCCCGCCCTCTCCCCATGTGCAGAAATAGCCGCGCAAGCCTCTGCTGCGGGGGAAAGACGCCGCGGCTCCGCCAAGGAGACTTTGCAGGAGCGCATCCGGGGGGCGCTTAAGAAAAGAGGGACGTTTGCAGCGACCGCGATCACCCCCCTTTTTAATTAGCAAGGATATAAGAGAGGAGCTCTGCCTTGGCTTTTCGACGTGGTCAGACTCGAACTCGTGACTCCAAGTTGGGACCCTCCTGTGGATCAGCTTCCTGCAGACAGAACATCATTTCGACCGCCTGGGTTTTTCCCTGCTTCTGTGAGATGCCTCCCGGGGCTGGGCTTTCTCCTGCCCTCCTCTCTGCAGCTGCGCCCATTTCCTAGCCTGCAAGACTGATCCCCACTGCCTGCACCTTTCCCTGGGCTCAGCCGGCTGGGGGAAGTCCTGTTTCGCCCACCCAGTGGCACGTGGCGGAATAAAACAACAGGGACTAGCGCCTTGGCTTTCCACGCTGCCGCTTTGAGGTTTCTGGTGGGGCAGAAGAACAAAAGCAAGAGACTGGCACCGTAACAAGCATCACCGCCACCAGATCTATTGCGCCAGGAGATTGCATGGCCTGCGGTCCACCGGCGATGGCCGAAGACGTGTCCCAGCGGGCACGGCGGTGTGGTGGCAGCGTGGGCTGAGCTTCTGCGTACACCCCAATTCGGCACGCCTCCATGTCTGGTGCTAGCAAGAGGTCCTCATTCCCGCAGGCCAGCTCTCCCTTGACCACCGCTCTTGGGGGTTTGGTGGACCCATGGCATTTGCTGGCGTGGGCTGAGCCCCCTGCTTGAAATGACCACGTCCTCGTCCCCGCTGGCCCTCGATGGCCTGGATATGGTCTACATCGTGGTGGAGTTGGTGATCGCTGTGTTGGCCATCGCGGGCAACGTCCTGGTGTGCTGGGCAGTGGCCATCAACAGCACCCTGAAGAACGCCACCAACTACTTCCTGGTCTCCCTGGCAGTGGCCGACATCGCCGTGGGCCTCCTGGCCATCCCCTTCGCCATCACCATCAGCATCGGCCTGCGGATCAACTTCCATTCCTGCCTCTTCCTGGCCAGCTTTGTCCTGGTCCTCACCCAGAGCTCCATCTTCAGCCTCCTGGCCGTGGCTGTGGACCGGTACTTGGCAATCAAGATCCCACTTAGGTAATGGAGTGATCAGGGGGAAAGAGCGCGGGTAGGGGAGAAGGGTTTTCCCTCGCCCAGATCCTGCGACTTCCGCTGTGTTGACCGCTTGCGCAGCTTGGCTCGCTTGCCCGAGCTGCACGTCTCTGGAGAAGGGTTGCGGCTCAGGACTAGAGCACCTGATTTGCATGCAGAAGGCATGGGTTAACCCCCAGTACTTTTGCCTCTTAGGTAGGGCCAGGGAGGACTGCTTTCTGAAACCCCATAAGAGCTGCTGCCGATCGGTGCAGGTGATACTGAGCTAGGTGGGCCAGTGGTCTGACTCAGTGTAGTGAAGAGCTGTAGCTCTGGGATAGGCATGGCTGGGAATGCCCCCTGGCCTAAAAGCTTGGAGACCGGCTGCCAGTCAGTGTAGGGAATAATAAGGTGGATAGCCAAATGATCTGACTTGGTATACATTAGCGTCCTTCGCTTCTATTTAAATCAGCCCTTTATTTGGAAGTGTGAGAACTGGATCCTCGCTTTGTCCTTAAAGGAAGGGCTGTAGTTTAGCACAACGGTGGCTTGGAATGTCCCCTTGGCCAAAAGTCCCTGCTACTCACCGTGGACACAACTGTGGACCAACAGTCTGAGTCCGTTATAAAGCAACTTCCTACATTTGCAATTCTCCTGGTAGCAGATTGTGCTCTGGAGAGTGGAAGGGGGTCCCTGGTGCAGGCGGTGGCTCTCCGGAACAGAGAAAAGGCAGTTGTCCTTCACGCAGAACGCAGACTATGGAACTCCCTCCCACAAGATGCAGTGTTTGTGTTTGCAGAGATTTGCTTCCCCCTTTAGTTTCTTTTTTCTTCTTTAACTAGCATTGTCCTAGGATCAAACGCCAGCCTTGGCGGGGGAGGGTGAGTTAAAATTCCACCCCTGCCTCCCAGTCCGTGGGTAAGAATTCCGGTAGCTGTATGAGTCACGGCAAAACAAACCATGTGCTTCTATTAGGTCCTGGGGTTGCAACCGTATTCAGCTCATTGGATATATATGTCCGGGGTCTGAGTCACGTGGAGGCCACCAATATCCTCCTCTCCAGGTTGTTTTAAAGTCGGGCGGGATTTGTTGACATCCTGGTTGGTTTGTTTTTAACCTCAGTTGTCTCATCTGCGAAATGGGCGCAGCCAATGAGTTAATTTCACAGGGTTGTTATTACTGAAGGTGGAATAAGGTTGAGGTTGAATATAAGAAGGATCCCTGCTGCTTGATCAGGGCAAAACAGGCCTTACCCAGCCCAGCCTCCTGTTCTTACCACCCCATGTGGTGTAATGCTTAGAGTGTCAGGCCAGGACCTGGGAGAGACCAGGTTCGAATCCCGCCATTAAGCTCCCTGGGTGAACTTGGAGGCTAGTCACTACCTTTCAACCTAACCGACCTCACCGGGTTGTTGTATGGATAAAATGCAGAGGGAGAACCTGAGCTCCTTGGAAGAAAGTTGGGATATAAACAAATGTAAATAAACAAGCAGCATTCGCTTAAGATTCCTAGAAAGTGGGATACGCTAGGCCTGTTCCCTCCGACATTAAGTGCATTTTAAAAAATCATTTTTTTAAAAAAACCCTAACAGAAAAAAGGTTCCATATAAAGGGTTTCATACATTAAAGCACCAGGTTATTAAGTCTGCGATGGCTAACAGCCATTGACCAATTCATTGATGGCAGGCCTGTCCATTTCTGACGGCCGCAGTAACTATCTTCCCATTGAACCTCCCTGTGCAGGCGCAGTCTACCTTGGAGGACTGGCTCAGCTGTTTGGGGTGTCCCTGAGCGAGCCACTGGTCCGCTCCCCGCCACCACCTTGCGTGCGTGAGGAATGAGGCAGGCCCAATTTGTGGGGCTTTCGTGAAGGTTTACCCAGCTAATGCAAAGGGTTTCCCGAGGATGGTCACTAGATACTGGGGTCAAGCAAGAGGACAAATGGTGTTTGCATCTCACTCCTTCCCCTTGTATCCTCACAACAGCCCTGTGAGGTAGGTTAAGCCAAGAGAAAGAGCTCACAAGGGGGCTGCGTCTCTCTGTCTGTCTTGGTCCTTTTTTTGGCTACTTAACCTAGTGGCTGTTTTTCACCTAACCCCCCCCCCTGTATTTCTGGGGGGGGGGGTTCTGGGCAAAGTTTCCTTAGTGAAAAGGTCTGAGAGAAGGAGAAAACTGGGATGGAGGATGTGTATCTGGTGAGGTATGCCAGGGGACCCACTGCAGAATGGGGAGCGTCCAGTGAGTCGTGTCTGAGTTGGGTCCGTAGATCAAGGTAGACTGCTCCTGAGCGCAGGAGTTCTACGATTGGGGAAGAGGGAACACGCTCAGTTCGCTTAAGGTGATGGCGAAACCTAGCAGGAAGGTGTTCAAAACGACTTTGGGGTTTTCCAAAACAAAGCTCCATAACTTTTGGGATGTCCTGGGTTGGTTTGTTTTTAATTTCTTGAAATATGGGAATCCTAGTGATAATGTTTAAGAATGTGAGAAGTCCCCGTTGGAGGACAGCTAGGAGAATAGCTTGAAGTCTTGTGCGTGTGGTCTTGAGGGAAGACCACAGACCCGACTCCTTCAAAGGAGACCTTCCTGCTGTTTGCAGCCGAAACCTCAACTGTGAGCATATCCTGGTATTTGCACAAGTATAACTCTTCCCTGCTGGCAGGCCGGAGATTTTTTGCTTCGGAAAAGGGCGGTTCAAAGCTTGCCCCCCTGCCTTTTCTGGAAAGCGATCAGCTGAGGCCGTTCCCAGTAGCGCTGGAAGTGTCTTATTAACGGTTATTGTTACAAAGTGTGGTCCTGCAATAAAATGTTGCAGCAGGGAGTGTGTCTGTGTCGGTTCAGCCCGCTGGCCACGCCCTCCCATGGGTTACTCCATTCCATTTCCTCCTCCTGCCACGCTCTCCTTCCTTGCCTAATAAGACATCCATTCCTTCTGTGCCCACAGAGCATCCCCAGACCCTTTGTTGTTGTTTAATTGTTTAGTTGTGTCCAACTCTTTGTGACCCCCTGGACCAGAGCACGCCAGGCCCTCCTGTCTTCCACTGCCTCCCGCAGTTTGGTCAAACTCATGCTGGTAGCTTCGAGAACACTGTCCCACCATCCCGTCCTCTGTCGTCCCCTTCTCCTTGTGCCCTCCATCTTTCCCAACATCAGGGTCTTTTCCAGGGAGTCTTCTCTTCTCATGAGGTGGCCAAAGAACTGGAGCCTCAGCTTCAGGATCTGTCCTTCCAGTGAGCACTCAGGGCTGATTTCCTTCAGAATGGAGAGGTTTGATCTTCTTGCAGTCCATGGGACTCTCAAGAGTCTCCTCCAGCACCGGAATTCAAAACCCCAGACCCATGGGAGCTGTTTTGGGGACCACCACTCCCCTGCTGCTGAGCGTTCCTCTGTTTTTCTTTGTAGGGGGGGTCTCATCCTACAATTCTTGGGGTTCCCCCGAGACTGCTGATTGTGAAACAGTGGTGCCACTGAAACTACCTAAGGTATTTGGAGAATGAGGTCACTATTTGTGTGTACTTTGAGTTATAAATATATGGGGATGGCCACAAATAGGCAAAGCTCTCCATTTTTACTTCCCGGTTTCTCACTTTCCCCTGATCCTCAGTTCCCCATATTTTCCCATGAATTTGTGATTATTATCACTATTTTTTTTCAAAGTCTTCATGAAAATTCACCAGCATTGTTTTGCAAATTTTTCCTAACACATCTCTGCAATTTTGTGTAATTATACAGTTCCCCCTCCCGTGTATTTTTGCACATGATTTTCACCCACATTTGCATTTGTATACATACTTTACACACACTCTCTCTGCATTTTGGGGAAGCTTATTTGCCTGGAGATCCATATTGCGAAGTCTGAGGATTGTGTTCTGGTTTCACATATTGTTCTTGACAGCTGGAAAATTGGCTATGTTCACCTTTTCAGGGGTTTTTTTTCCCCCGTCGTTGGATAAGGTTATTGATGGCAATGGGCTCTGTGGACCCTCCACAGTCAGGCGCAGTCTATCCTTGAATCGGTATTGCTGGGAGGGAAACGGTGCTAGGAGGCTACTTTTCTGTGCTTCCTGTAAAAGCACGCACTTGACCCGCCGGCGTTCTTCTGATGTTCCAATTTACACAGCACCAATCCAGGCATAGGGACGCGGGTGGCACTGTGGGTTAAGCTACAGAGCCTAGGGCTTGCCGACCAGAAGGTCGGGGGTTCAAATCCCTGCAACGGGATGAGCTCCCGTTGCTCGGTCCCTGCTCATGCCAACCTAGCAGTTCGAAAGCACCTCAAAGTGCAAGTAGATCAATAGGTACCACTCCGACGGGAAGGTAAACGGCGTTTCCGTGCGCTGCTCTGGTTCGCCAGAAGCGGCTGAGTCCTGCTGGCCACATGACCCGGAAGCTGTATGCCGGCTCCCTAGGCCAATAAAGCGAGATGAGCACCGCAACCCCAGAGTTGGCCACGACTGGACCTAATGGTCAGGGGTCCCTTGACCTTTAATCCAGGCATACATGATGCTTTGCTCTGTAGCAGAAGGTCTCTGCCTCCACTGAGTTTACAGTAACAGCGGTGGGCTCTGGCTTTGCAGAACCTTCTCTATGCCCCTCCTTCCATGCTGGATTACTTTGCAGTGGTCCTCTGCTTCTAACAGGCAGTAAATTGCCATATAATGATTTTCTCCCAGGCAAGGAACCAAGCTTATTTTTGCATTCCAGGGGGCTGGACGAAATGACCCTCTGGATTCGTTCCAACCCTACGATTCTGAGATTCTCTGAGTTCATGCATGTGCTGGGGCCAGAGGCAAAGATGGACGAAGCAACAGATATAAATTTCATCTTAGGCTAGTTTCTACACACACTCACACCAACCTCTTTCTATCCTCCATCCAGAATAGGCAGAAAGAGTTGAGGGTGGAGCCTCTCCAGCGAGGGGTGTGTCCTAAGGGAAAGGGGCGTGGTCTGGAGAGATTCCCAAGGGCCAGGTAGAAAGGCTCTGGGGGCCACATTTAGGGAAGTTTTTAGTGTCTGAGGCTGTATTGTTTTTTAATATTCGGTTCGAAGCTGCCCAGAGTGGCTGGGGAAACTCAGCCAGATGGGTGGGGTATAAATAAATTATTATTATTATTTTATTCTATTATTATTCAACATTTTCTGCTTTGTACCACCAACTGCTCATTTGCAACCTCTGTGTTTCTGATGTATTAATCTCATTTTCTGTTGTGTTTGGCGCCCAAAGCAATACGGAGTCGTGGCGGTGTTTGAACAGTAACATAGTTAATGGTGTGGAAGGAAAACGGGACGTGAGCCAGGCCCGTTTGTCGCAGGGCCAGAATCCTCTCAGGCGGGGCGGATGAAAGCCATGCTTTTGAACCCCTGCGCGGCAGGCAGGCATTCAACAGGCAAGTGCGGCTGCTTTTCCCGTTGCATTTCTACCTGTTCCACTGCTGCAGAAACAACTGCCCAGTCTGAGGAAAGGAGAACTTGCTTAGCCGCTTATCAGTCACAATAAATTATGCAATTGCATATTTTTGAGGAAGAGGAAAATGTTGCCGCCTCTGAGCATATGGTTTGGGGGGGGCATGTTAGCTCATCAATGTCACAAAGGGATGACACTATCATTCTGGAAATTTATGCGGAATTGTCGTTTTCTCAAAAACATCTGCTGATCAGCTTCCCCAGCGGGGAAACCGAGGCTGCAGTTCCTACCTAGTTGCCCAGAATTGCCGTTTTTCTTCCGTGAATTTGCCAAGAAATGCAGCGCAGGACTGTGTTTTAAAAAAAGGAAAGGAATACATGTTTTAAGGTGTTCTCTCTACTTTTACTGATGCAATCTTTTCAACACTAATTAATGTTTGAAATTCATTTGTATGCTTACATCTTTCTGTTCATCAAAGTGGTCTTATTTTTTCTTTATTAAAAATAAATTATATATTTAGAGTGGCATATTCTGACTCAGTTGCACCCAATGCTGGCCCTGCTCAGAGTAAACCCATTGATTCTCTCTTGGGTTCATTCATTTCAATGGGTCTGCTTTGAGCAGGAATCACTTGCAGAATAGACCTACTGCAATCAATAACAGCCCGTCTCAAACCCATTGAAATGTCTTCCGCCTTTCAGAGTTTAAAAGTTTTCGTAGCTTAGAGATTTTTGGCATAAATATCCCCTCTCAGGGGGTCTAAGAAATGAGAGTGGGCGGGGGAGAGATATATGGGGAAATTTGGATGATGTGTTGTTTGGCATCTATGCTATGCCTGTAAAAAAAACAACAGAGACGTTAGCCTCATACTCTGAGTAGACCCAATGAATTTAATAGACTTAAGTTTGCCCTGGCTGATTTAAGCCCATCTCTTTTAATGAGCTGACTCTGATTTAGCAAAATATCCATCCCCAAAATAAAACACACCAAAAATTGTACATCAGATACAAAACACAGCAGGATTGGACCCTGCCTTAAATCGGAAGGTAAAACAGCGAAAGGAACAAAGTTGATTGTAAAACACTGGCTTGGTTTTTTTGAAAATCCAATTGTGATACATTTACCCTTTGGGGAAAAAACAACTCTCTGATTCGCTCATTGCAGACCAACTTTGTTCATGCCTGGCTGCTCCTTTTGCATAACCTCAGTTGCCCAATCAGCCCAGGCCAAAGTCTTCGATGGAAAAGCAGAGGCAGGGTGTGATCGGCGGCTGTCGTGCAAAGTCATCCCGCTGTGACTGTGGAAATTTGTTTCTGAAGATAGGAGACTTCCTTCTGCGAACTTCCTTCGTTTATCTTGGGATCCACACTCATTGGGCAGCGGGGGGGGGGGTAACCTTCCCCCCTTCCAATAATAATAGTAATAAATAATAATAATATATTTATACCCCGCCCATCTAGCTAGGTTTTCGTAGTCACTCTGGGCGGCTCCCAACAGAATATTAAAAACACGATAAAACATCAAACATTAAAAACTTCCCTGTCCAGGGCTGCCTTCAGATGTCTTCTAAAAGTCAGATTTCCTTGACATCTGCTGGGAGGGCGTTCCACAGGGCGGGTGCTACCACCGAGAAGGCCCTCTGCCTGGTTCCCTGTAACCTCACTTCTCGCAGGAAGGGAAGTGCCAGAAGGCCCTCGGAGCTGGACCTCCGTAGCCCTCCTGCTCTGAACGTCTTGGGAAAGTGGTACTTGAGAATAACAATTGACTTGATGGGTTCTTTGCTGCAGCCGTGGTGCTGATATTGATGGAGCTCTTTGGGCTTGCATGCAGAAGGCCCCCAATCGAATCCTGGTCTCTCCAGCATAAAAACAGTCTGGTAGCAGAGTGAGGGGAAAGGGGGCAAGTTTGGCTGAATGCCCTGGCTGACTGGTTAAAACAGTTGTGGTGAGTTTCTGACCTGCAAGCCTCTGATTAGTTCTCTGAAACCTTGGAGAGCGGCTGCCAGTCAGTGAAGACAGTACTGACCTAGATAGACCACTGCTTTATCTCGGTCTCATGTGCCTTCCTGTGTCCCTGCCTAAGAGCTCTTTCTCCACAACCATGAGGACTAGAGCCTTGCTTTATTTATTGGTGAAAGACTGTAGCTCTCTGCCTGGTACCTTGGAGAGCGGCTGCCGGTCAGAGTTGACAATATGGAGCTAGTTCAGAAGTTGGAAGTTCGTTCCAAGTAGCTATTGAATCCCTCCTGGTATGTAGAATACAGTAGCCTTAAGGGAGTGAATCTTGGTTAGGGAGCAGACTTTGGGGACCTCTTTCAGACTGAGGGCCGCATTCGTGTTTAGGGAGTCTTCCGGGGGCCACAGGCAAAAAAAAGCCAGTCGTTTCTGCGCACATCTGCAGCTCCTGCTCAGTGCTCTGACTCAGTATAAGGTGTCTTCCGGCAGGCCTGTTGTGGACAATATGCTTAGAAATTACTCATCTTTGGGGCGATGGGGACGTTGGGAGGGTTTGGGGATGGAACTGGCGATGGCCGGAGAGACGGACTTCTTGAAGCTGCCGGTGTTATCAAACAGATTTGTCACGCGGTATCTCAAAGTTTGGGCTGACAGCGCTTCCTCCTTGACAGCTCCCGGGCGGCGGAAAAACTCGTTGCCCTCGTTGCTTCGCGTTTCCTACCATTATGAACCAGCCTCGTTTCCTACGCTTACAAATAGGCAGAGTTTCCTACAATCTGTGGGCTGAGGAGCGTTTTCTCAACCGTCCTCCTTTCTCCGCTTCCGTTGGTAAACCGTGACGACAATGGTAATAAATAGTGCTGGTTAATGGTAGTCATATGCATATTTAAAGAATAGTTTTTTTGGCAACTATCATCAGGGGCGGCGGGGAGAGAGAATCTTTGCCAGCTGACATTAACGATAAAAACACTGGCCATCGGCCCCGACTGAAGTGCATAAATATTGGCCATATATCAGAATTTAGGATCGAGACTGGCGATTACAAGTTCTGCGTTGTAACAGGGAAAGGGCAGCGAGAGTCCCCTGAAATGCAGAAATCTTCAGACCACTGATTCGTAGCTGGTGAGCATTGACCCTTCCTGCCTTGCAGTATACGTCTCTTGCTTGGTTGTTAAAATAAGTACATTGGGTTATTAGTTATCTTCAAGCCACAACTGCAGTGGGAGATTCTGCAATTCTAGGATTAGGCCCACGGGGCTGAAACGCCCCACCATTGATTTAAAACATTTCTGTATTGGCCTTTGGTTCTAAATTTCCAGGGCAGTTTGTGATAAAGGTTAGCAAAGCCACAAGGAATGTGCTGCTTACATTTTTTTTTGGGGGGGGGTATTTACAGGGTTTTCCCCCCAGGCTGATTGTCACTGCTCTTGAGTAAGTTGATTGTCACTGCCGTTAGGTAGAGGAAAAGGGGAAAACCCAATGACCACTTAAAAAAAAAAAAAGTGCCACAATAATTTTTCCTTATTTAATGTGGGCTTTAACCCCATTCCTGCCACCATCCAAATTTTTGGGCAGCCCAGGCATACCCAGAAGGTTTTCCTGAATTTGTAATTGGGCAGAGAAGAGATGTTCAGAATCTTTCTTTCTGTCTGTCTGTCTGTCTTAAGTAGGTTTGTAACCATGCAGGTTAGAAAATTAAAAATAAATTAAAAAACACAGACCCAAAACAGCCGGTTAAAAAGCCAGGCACAGCAAACCTCAGCTTTCTTTCTTAATTTTAATAACAGTAGGGTTGTGACAATGAGGTCTAGAAACACCATGAAGTCTAGCAGGTTAAAAAGCAAAGCACAGTTTACATTTAAGGGGGGAAACCTGTTACCATTTTAAAACGGTTTCGAATACGAACGTGTGTGTTTCAACCGTGTGAGATGGTATATGCATTCCTGTGCAACATGCAACAGTAAGAAACCTGGTCGGGATTCTGGAATCCACAGCAAATCCCGCAGCTGCCACCCAGATTTAAAACCGAAGCGCTTGTGATGCTCTCGGTCTCGTCTCCGCCTGAACAGATCCTGCAGTTGTAGCTGGGCAGCAGAACTCGTTTCACGAGATGGTTTGGTGGTGGAGAGGAGGAAGGTGGCAATTTCAGGGGTGGGGCGGAGGGTGTGCAGTTATTGTGCCAGATTTTTTTTTTTTAAGGACTCACTCCGGTGAATATTTTGGATAGCTTTTTGGCTTTGAGACGATAACAAGCTTGCTGGTACAAGTCTCTAATCCAGAGGTGGCCAGCGTAGCAACTTCCAGAAGTTTTCGGACTCCAACACAGCAGCCCAGCATGGTCAGTGATGGGAGTATGGAAGTTGGAACCCAGTGACTGCCTCTGCCTCGCTTGTTCTATCTGCAATATGGGCATAATAAGCCTTGCCTACCTTAAATGGGCAAAACTTATTGCAAGGGTTATAGGGATGATGGGTGTGCAGATCAGAGGATTCCTCTCTTTGTGTGAGGGATTACTGGGGTATCATGAAATGCTTCATCTCAGATTTCATAGCCTACGGCTTCACAAAGCGTGAATGAACACAGTTCCTTATTTGTTAGCACCTTCTCTGGAGCTATTTTTCAAGACCTTGCGCCACAAAGCAGCTACAGTGTTTCTCGACGGCGTTTGTCTCCCTCCGGTACTGTAAAAAATCACAGGGACTCTTTCGAAGGCTAGCATTGTGCCCCAATTCTTGGCCTCAGTTGTCTCGTAATCTGTGAAATGGGCGCAACCCTCCTACAACAGCCGCGCTGGCTTTTATGATAAAGATTCGATTGAAGCCTGTAATGCAAAATCGCACCTTGCTTTGAACCATGAATTATTGAATGGAGAACGCCGGGAGGAGATAAACAAGGTTTCCGAGACACTTTTTCTGCGTTAATGGCCTGAACAGTGATTAATAAATTGATAGATGCAAAGGGTAAACAGGATCAAAGAGCGAAAAGGCCTCTTAGGGCTCATTAAAAATTAAATATTTTTTTAAATGCACCAAGTAGCGGGGGAGAGACTTTATCCCATTCCGCTTTAGACCCGTGACGCCTGTGAAGTGTTTATTCCCATTTTGTTAGCAGGAAGAACTGGTGCTTAATAGATGGTCTGCTTGCTTTAAGATGGGCGAGGGCATTCATTCATTCACCAATTCACTCCTGAGTGGGGGATTTAGACTTCAGATGTCTTTGGACTGGGTTGTGAATGAACTCTTCCCTTCTGCCAGGCAGAAATCTGCCAGGCGTAAGTTCAACCGGGGAAGCCTGTCCCCACAACCTGCTGCACCTGTTGAATGACAAGCTGCTCTAAGAACACAGGCACATGACTAGTTTGTGGGTTGGAGTGAGGAAGCTAGCGACGCAGGTTCGGTGTTCAAAGAGGGTATCTCCCCACAAGTGAGATGAAAATCTTCAGCATTTTCTCTGCCTGCCCTTCTGCCTCACCACTACCAGACCACAAGCTCACCAATTTAAATTTTCTCTTGACTGTCCTTCCCTATTCTCTTGAGTGCAATTTGTTTTAAACTGATTTTAATACTGTGTTTTTAAATGATAGTCATTTTCCCTGGCATCTCATGGAGAAGGGCAGGTGGAAAATCTAAATAATGATGATGAAAATTTCATTTTTCTCAATCTGTTAACCAAGTTCACCACAGCATTTGCAAAAAAATTACCAAGCGGGTAAAATATATGTGTGTTCGTTGCTTACTGGAAGCCAAAATTTCAAGGAACAGGTTTAGAAAAACCCCAAGCGTGTAGGAGATTATACATTTGTTCTGTCCAGTTCTGATTTGTACTAGATGCAGAAGAGAGAAGAAAATATATTTCTCTCTCTTTTCTCCCCTCCAAATCCTCAACCACCTAAAATAATATCTGCTTTGAAAACCAAATCCTCAGGATTTGGCCAATTAGCCATCTTTGCTCAGCCCAGGTCAGCAAACTTGTACATGACACGACCCCGTCAAGTTATCCTGCTAAGCTGATCCCGATCAGCCCTGGCCGCAAATAGTTGACCTTGGACAATTGGATCTTTGCAAGGAAGAGCGTATTTCGTTGCCCTCATGAAGTTCTGCTTTGAATAGGTGGGTTAAATGGAGATGGTAGGAAACCCTCCCACTGAGAATTACTTTTTTGAGAGTGGGTGGGAAGGTTTTGCATGACTTGAGAGCCAGTGTGGTGTAGTGGTTAAGAGCGGTAGTCTCGTAATCTGGGGAACCGGGTTCGCGTCTCCGCTCCTCCACATGCAGCTGCTGGGTGACCTTGGGCCAGTCACACTTCTTTGAAGTCTCTCAGCCCCACTCACCCCACAGAGTGTTTGTTGTGGGGGAGGAAGAGAAAGGAGAATGTTGGCCGCTTTGAGACTCCTGAAGGGGAGTGAAAGGCGGGATATCAAATCCAAACTCTTCTTCTTCTTCTTCTTGTGCATTTTCCGGCATTCCAGCAGAAGCTGAACTGACTGGTCTCTGCCTGCAAGGAGCATACAGACCTTGTGGTGATTAATGGCCTTCTTCCTGCGCCTTGAGGTTTCCCCCTCCTTCTTTTCAGTAATTTAATTTATTGGAGTCCTATGGGCTTAAGGTGGTGCACATGGTTCTTGCTCTCCCCACTTTGTCCCCAACGACAACCTTGTGAGGCAGTTCATGCTGAGAGACTGTGACTGGCCCAGCAGTGAGCTTCATGGCTGAGTGGAGAATTTGAACCCCGGTCTCTCAGGGCCTGGAGGGATGCGGGTGGCGCTGTAGGTTAAACCACAGAGCCTAGGACTTGCCGATCAGAAGGTCGGCGGTTCGAATCCCCGGAACGGGGGAGCTCCCGTTGCTCGGTCCCTGCTCCTGCCCACCTAGCAGTTTGAAAGCACACCAGTGCAAGTAGATAAATAGGTACCACTCCGGCGGGAAGGTAAACAGCATTTCCGTGCGCTGCTCTGGTTCGCCAGAAGCGGCTTAGTCCTCCTGGCCACATGACCCGGAAGCTGTACGCCGGCTCCCTCGGCCAGTAAGTGAGATGAGCGCCGCAACCCCTGAGTTGGCCACAACTGGACCTAATGGTCAGGGGTCCCTTTACCTTTACCTCTCAGGGCCTAGCCCAGCACTTGAACTACACGACACACCGGCTCTCACAGGTGGTGAAAATAAACCTGAGAAACGAAGGAGATGTATCTGCCTGTTGCGCGAACATTGTTCCAGCTGAAAGACCGAGGCGAGCTTCAACACTGGTGTTCTCCTTTTCCAAATTACTGTTTTCTCTGCGTCTTCAGCTGAGGTCGAGCAACGCAGACCTTAAAGTTGCGCTTGGGTCTTGCAAAGCTTGCTGTGGTTCCTTTGCAGCAGCCTGGGTTCTACAACGACAGAGCTGCGCTTGCTTGATCAGAGCAAGGGCAACAGAGGGTTCTTGTTTTGTTTTTGCAAGGAAATAAATGCATTTTGTGTGTTTGGATGCAGGGTGGGAGAGAGCAAGCCAAGTTTTAAATACCCCCTTCCCTCTGCCTCTCTTCCTCTCCCCGATGCCTTGGCCTCTCTCCTTATTTCAAGCACGAAATGCCAGCGCGCTGGTGGCGTCCCGTTTCCATGGGAACGGCAGGGCATCCCGGAAGAACGCCGGGGTCCATTCATGCCCGTCAATGCAGGAGGCAAAGTAGAAGCACAAATAAGGTGGCAAAGAATGGCTGTCTTTGTGGTGGCGGCGGCAGCAGACACTTCCCTCTCTGTGTGAGGAGGGGAGGAAGGCTTCCTCATTCCAGCGCCCGTTGCAATTAGAGGGCTGCCCCTTCTCAGCTTCGTGGGATCGTCACCTTGCGGGCACAATTCTCCACTGCCAAGCCAAGCCTCTTTCTAACCTGCCTGGCTTCCTGCTACCAGGGCCTGAAACAAAACATTGTTATTATTGTTGGTTGGATTTATATCCCTCGTTAAAACCCAAATCGAAAGACAATTCCACTTGTTGCAGTACAGTGGTACCTTGGTTCTCAAACACCTTGGTACTCAAACAACTTGGAACCCAAACACTGCAAACCCGGAAGTGTTCCGGTTTGCGAACGTTTTTCAGAAGCCGAACGTGCTCCATTTTGAGTATTACACTGAGGTCTGTTTTTGCTATTTATTTTGCGTTTTTGTGGCTCTTTTATGTTTTGTTTTTGTGACTGTGTGGAGCCCAGTTCAGCTAGTGATGGATTGATTGTGTGACTGCAGTACATTGTTTATTGCTTTCATTTTATGGATCCATGGTCTCGTTAGATAGTAAGATTCATGTTAAACTGCTGTTCTAGGGGTTGTCTTTAAAAGTCTGGAACGGATTAATCCATTTTGCATTACTTTCTATGGGAAAGCATGCCTTGGTTTTGGAACGCTTTGGTTTTGGAACGGACTTCCAAAACGGATTAAGTTTGAGAACCAAGACGCCACTGTACTGAGTGCTCTGCCGGCCATGCCTGTTGCTGCATGCTCCATTCCATTTCACCCCGCAGTTCCTGGTTGTTGTTGTTCTGATCTCCTCCCCACACTCCATGCCTACCAAGCACGCTCCATCCTCGCTCAGCCATTTTGGAGGTTTATCTCCTTAAGACTCTCCCACCCACTTTGCCAGCCACTCCCTTCTCCTTGTGCCATTTCGGCTACACATGGAATGGCACTCACAGCCAGAACGCTGTGAATAGATGGACTGCTAAGGCATGGAACGTCAGGCTGTGCCTTACACCAGGTCAGACCATTGCTCCATCTAGCTCAGTACTGTCCACACTGACTGGCAGGCGCTCTCTGGGCTTTCAGATGGGAGATGCTGGAGACCGATTCTGCGACCTTCTGCATGCAAAGCAGTGGCTGTACCACTGAACTATGGAACGTTTCCTAATTTTGGAACTCTGGATCCCAGGCTAGGGAACTCTGGAGCAGGCTAGGGATCCCAAACGCGACATCCTCCTCTCAAGCAAAAAATCCCTGGCATGCGTCTGTGGGTGGTGGACGATTACAATAGCGGCGAACTGGGTTTACATGTGTAAATGTCCCAGTGTTAGACGACTTGTACGTTTTTTTTACCACCACCGTAAAGCCAATTGCAGAGCTCAGCGATTTGTCACGGCCAGACACAATGGAGAGACAGCGCTGTGTAGTGGTTCCAATGGCGGTCTAGGGCTGGACTGAGAAAAAGAGAGCCAGGTTCAAATCCCTGCTGCCCCACTGGGAAGCCCACTGGGTCAGCCCCCTAGCCTACTCCACATGGGTGTTGTGAAGTTCAAAGAGTCGGTGGGGAAGAATTACGGGCAACGTGTCGAGTTCCTTGCAGGGCACAAATGTAAATAACAATAATGGCCGAACTCTCAACCTGCTCCTTCTTCCTTGATGTGGAAGGCTTGGAATCTCTGTAATTTTTTTGCAGGGGAAGTCCTGGACCCTTTCCTCCTCCGAGTCTGTTCCCACTCCCTGCTGTTCCTCATATCCCCCCATTGTCTTCGTCTCACGTCCAAGCCTCTTGGACGGCCTCCATCTTCTTTCCCACGGCGAGGAGAGCAGAGGGGAGAGTCCGGAGGTTGACCTTGGCTGTGGCGGAGGTCTCCTCTCGCTCTCTTCCCACCCTGCAGCGGAACGGAGGAGACCGTGCAAACGTGCGTCTGTGGTTGGGACCACTTGGGATTCTGGGACCAGTGGTGATGTAAATTCGGAGCTGCCCTGCAGCTTAGGCTACGAGGCTGCCTTAAACCAATATGCCCACTTTTCCTGCTTCACTCTGCAGAAGCGGCATATAATACCAGTTCAGCATTTGTAAAAACTCGATTTTTTAGTTTTGAACTCCCCGCTTATTGATATCAAGCAGGCGCCTTCACCCTCTTTTCGGCGCCTGCTAAGACCATTTTCTTTTGGGCAAGTTTTAGAAAACGAATGTGAGCCTTAATCTGCTTTGAGTCTGTTGTTGTTTTAACTTTTCAAATGCCTCAATTTATTGCTGCTTTAATTTTTCTGAGAGGTGATTGTTGGTAGGTTGTTGTTGTTGTTTTACAATCAAGAGGCGTATAGATTTTATGAAATAAATAAATGGAAATAGCCACAAAGGCTGTCTTCTCCCTCTACTGTCAGAGGCTGTGAATGCTTCTGAATACCAGTCGCTAGGAATCGTAAGTAAGGAGAGAGCCACTGTTGCGCTTGTGAGCTTCCGCTAGGGCAGGCATGTCCAAAATCTGTTTCAGGGGCCTAATCCAGCCCACTGTTTGATTTAATCCGGCTCCTGTGGCAGTATATGTCCTTCAACAGCAGTAATCCTTTGGTCGGCCCTCATGCATGTTCACTTCATCAAATCTGGCCCTCTTTGAAAAAAGTTTGGACACCCCTGTTCTAGGGTCATCTACTGGCTTAGCCACTGTGAAAACAGGGTGCCGGACTAGATGGGTCATTGGTCTGAACCTGCAACTGAGCTCTCTCCTGACGTTCTCAGTCTCCAGACTTAAGGGAAGCATCAGAGGTGTGGAGACATTGGAAAGTTATGGGAAGTCTCGGTGGTGGGGTGCACATTTTATTCTTTTTTATGTTTGGTTATTTCTTTGTCAAAATAAAACAATAATAATTAGGCATTAGCAAATAAACAAAACATCAAAAAGCACACGCCCAAATTAAAACAGTTTCCGCATGAGTCATAAGAACATCTAAAATAAAGATTAAAAAATTAATATCAATGACAGCAACAAAAAACACCCCTGAGCAACACCCCAGCCTAAGACTCTGTTCAGCAGCCTCCACTTTTGTAGCTGGAGTCAGTCCAAACTCCGCCCTCCCAGGCCAGGTGGGGAAAGGTGTGGGAGGCAGGGAGCAGGTCTCCCAGGACCCACAGCCAAGATGGTCCTTTGTCAGTTGGTTAAGCTGCAGGAAGCAGAGAGTTGCAATAACTGCAAAGTACTCTTAATGGAGAGAAGTGGACTCACCTAAGGATCAGTAATGGGGCCAGGGCTTTTTAACGTATTCATAAATGTCCTAGAGTTGGGTGTGAGCAGGGAGGTGGCCAAGTTTGCCGGTGACACTAAATTGTTCAGGATTGTTAAAACAAAAAGAGATTGAGAAGAGCTCCAAAAGGACCTGTCCAAGCTGAGCGAATGGCCAGTAAAATGGCAAATGCAATTCAGCGTAGAGAAATGTAGTGATGCATGTTGGAACAAAAAAATCTTAAATTCACGTGCATGCTCTGAGCTGGAGGGGAAGGACCAGGAACGAGACCTTGGGGTCATATTCTATAGCTTGATGAAGATGCCGGCTCAGTGTACAGCAGCCGTGAAAAAGGCCATTTCCAGGCTAGGGATCATTAGGAAAGGAATTTAAAATGGACCTGCCAATACCACCATGCTGGTTTACAAATCTATGGCGCAGCTGCATTTGGAGCACTGTGTACAGTTCTGGCTGCCTCACCTCAAAAAGGATATTGTGGAGCTGCAAAAAGGTTCAGGGGAAAAAAGCCACTAAAATGATTGAGGAAAGGCTGCAGCGTTTGGGACTATTTAGTTTAGAGAAAACACAAGAGGCGACATGATAGAAGTTTGTAAAAACTGGAGGCAGGGATGGCCACCAGCCTAAAGGTAAAGGTAAAGGGACCCCTGACCGTTAGGTCCAGTCGTGGCCGACTCTGGGGTTGTGGCGCTCATCTCGCTTTATTGGCCGAGGGAGCCGGCGTACAGCTTCTGGGTCATGTGGCCAGCAGGACTGAGCCACTTCTGGCGAACCAGAGCAGCGCACGGAAACGCCGTTTACCTTCCCGCTGGAGCGGTATCTATTTATCTATTTGCACTTTGACGTGCTTTCGAGCTGCTAGGTTGGCAGGAGCTGGGACCGAGCAACGGGAGCTCACCCCGTTGCGGGGATTCGAACCGCTGACCTTCTGATTGGCAAGTCCTAGGCTCTGTGGTTTAACCCACAGCGCCACCCGCATCCCTAGATGACTTTAAAAGCCACCAACTTAGATGACTTTAAAAGAGGATTTGACAAATTCAGGGAGGGCTATTGCTAGATACTAGCCAGGATGACTCTGTGTAACGCTTCCGAATCCCAGTTGCTGGAAACTGCGGGATGCTGGACTACATGTGCCCTTGGCCTGATCCTGCAGGCTCTTCCCGTGTCCTTACACGTGTTTCTCCTTGCAGATACAAGAGCATTGTGACAGGGAAACGGGCCCGGGTCCTCATTGCCGTCCTCTGGATCCTCTCCTTCGGCATCGGGCTCACCCCGCTGATGGGCTGGAACCACGGGGAGAACGCCACCACCTGCACCGAGAACTTCACGACCTTTGGCAACGGGAGCCCCATTGAGGCGGGTCAGCGCAGGCCCTGCCAGGTGAGATGCCTCTTTGAGAAGGTGGTGACCATGAGCTACATGGTCTACTTCAACTTCTTTGGCTGCGTCCTGCTCCCGCTGCTCATTATGCTGGGCATCTACGCCAAGATCTTCCTGGTGGCCTGCAAGCAGCTGCGGCAGATGGAGCTGATGGGCAACTCCCGCACCACGCTGCAGAAGGAGGTCAACGCCGCCAAGTCCTTGGCCATCATCGTGGGCCTCTTTGCCCTGTGCTGGCTGCCCCTCCACATCCTCAACTGCCTGACCCTCTTCCACCCAGAGCTGGCCAAGCCCACCGAGATCATGAACCTGGCCATCGTCCTCTCCCACGCCAATTCGGTCGTCAACCCCATCATCTACGCTTACCGCATCCAGGACTTCCGCTTCACCTTCCGGAAGATTCTCTGGCGGTACGTCCTCTGCAAGGCCGACGACTTCCCCAAGGGCGCGAAAGGAGGCGGAAGCGGAGGTGGCAGCAACCGCGACCTGGCGGTCGCCAGCATCATCACGACTCCGGCCTGCATTTGAGGACTACCTTGTTTTTGGAGGTCCCGGCAGACATGTGTGACCCTCAAAACTCCAGGAGGAGACCATGATGACAAGGGACCACCATTGAGCTGTGTTTGTACTGCTGCAGTTTGAGTCTACGGTCCATAATATGCATATCTACTCCTGCTGTGAGCAGGGGGCGAAAATGGACGGCCTCTGGGTGGCCCCTTGTTTCTAACTCTTAAAACTGTCATGATTTATTTTGTGATTTTAGTTGTGTTTGGTTATTGTTTATAAAAATTGTGCCTCTGAGAGGAGGAATCCTACCGTCAACCTTACATGCTGTCTAAGTCCCTAACGGATGAAACTTTAGGGAGGGGGGTGGTAAGAGAGAGGGGATGAGATTTATATTTTCCTTCCAAAAGAGAGAGAAGAAAAATCACGTCAAATTCTTGCCACTGGAACAAGGGCCGGTCTCCCAACCATGCTCCTCTCGCGCTTTCCTGTGCGGAGGTTGTTATTTTTTCATCGTTCAAAGACAACTTTTTAAAAATATATACGTGATGGGTTTGTTGTTTTGACTAAGAATGTCGTGTGTTTGTGTCTGTCTGTCCTCTCTTGCCCCACAACCGCCTTTTTTAAAAAATTAAAAGAATGGTCATCAGTTGTTTGATGCTGCTGGTATTCTCCATTGGCAAATCATTTTAAGTATAAATTGTGGGCTTGTTTTTTTCCTTAAAACTTGGTGCAGAAAGGGCAGAGTTAAGGGGATTGGCGGGGTTGACTGAACAAATTGGTTTTAATTCAGAAAAGAGGGAACCTAGTGACAGCGGCTTCTTCCTTTAATAAAGGAGAGTTGTTGAGGGCCAAAATCTACATCGCTGTCAGTGTACTGTGTTTTAATTTGCCTGAAAACTAGAGCATGGTGCTTTTTGGGTTATATCTGATACCGAGAGAGAAAAGGCTGTCTAATCAGGGCTGTGAATGGAATGGGAAGCCTTGACAGGTAGTCACTTTTGCTGGAGGTAACTGTATGATGCTGTCATTTCCTCAGTGAGAAAAATCCGAAACCTGTATGCATTACTACAGTTGGGGGGGAGGGGCTAATGCATTCAAGCACCCACCCACCCACCTCAAAAAAATCTCAAACCCAAACAAAACTTATATTTAACTATTCCTCTGGTTTCTGAGGTTTCATCAGATGTCACCTGTCACAGCCTTCCAACTTATTTATTACTTTATTTAAATTTAGCTTTTTATTGCACAGAGAAGTATTCCTGTACAGCTATTTCGTGGAATATCAGGGTGGGGTAAAGCGCTAAAACACAAAATGTCATTTGAAAGATAAACGGATAACCATTAAGCTGAGTGGCTCATCAGAGTAAAAAAGGAAGAGCTGCAAAATGGCCGGTCGACGCGAAAAGATATTCAAGAGTCAGAAAGCGAGGGTGCCTGCTGTATCTCTGCTGGAAGCATGTTCTGTGGTTTGGGACAGGCGACACTTGACACCTGGCTTCCAAATGGCACCCTGCCTTTTCCCTGCAAGGAAACCCAGGAGGCACCCACTGTTGTCCTCTGAATTTTGTCCTCACAGCAACCCTGGGAGATCGGTTAGACATTTTGTCTGAGTGCCTGGCCCAAGATCACTTGGTGAGTTTCAGGGCTGAGTGCTGGTATTGGGACAGAACGTGCGGCTTCTCTCTCCTAGGCAAATACTCAGAGCTCCACAGTCTGATTTAAGGTGAGGTAGGAGCTGGGCGAGAGAAAGAGGGAAGGATGGGGTGAAAAGGTTGCACTGATAAGAGGGGAAAGGCTGTCTGCAAGCGATGAGTTTAGGCCAGAGTGATCTGCCTCTCCCATGGGCAGCCTTCTGGGAAAGCAAAGAAGAGAGGGAAAGAAAGGCGGAAGAGAAAGAGCGAGGGAAGGGGTGGCAAAGAGAAAAGGGAAAATAGGTGGCCTAGCTCACCTCTGGCATGCAGCCCCTGCCTGGAAAAACAACCACCTGTATCGGCTCGCTCTCTATATACATCACAGCAGCATTCTCTTCCCGGTAATAAGGACTAGAAACTTGAAACAAAGCTGATTGGTTCAAGGAGCTGAACGCAGGTGGAGTTCTACATTCAAATGTGCCCCCACAGAAGCTCAGTAGACGCATTCAGCTTGGGAACGCAGAACTGGACTTACATTTGGTGGCCCTGGGAGGATTTAAACTATCCACACCCCACCAACACACACAAAAGCTTTCATTTTCCTGCATGCACATATTCAAAAATTGTAATGTGACCCTAAGTCTCTGCATGGAGCAATGAGAGGGCCAAGGTAGACGTCTACCTGCTTCCCCCAGAAGCCAGAGGGACAGCGAGAGCAGGGGGATATACAGATATAATCTTTCATTGATCCCAGTTTGGGTTAAGGCCTTTGCCCCTTTCTTGAGACCCCGTGGCCCTTCGGACAATGTCACATTCAAACCCCCAACATCACTGGCCATTGCTGGCAGCAAGGGCTGATGGGAGTTGGAGTCTAAGGACTTCCGGATTCCCTTCTCTCCAGAGGGAAGGCCTCTTCCAAACAGAGACATCACTCCTGTGGAGTATTCACTGCTACTTCCTTCTTAGAGCAGGTCTGCTTGGACCACAACGCCCAGCATCCCTTACCACCAGCCACTGCTAACTGCAAGGGCTGATGGGAGTTGGAGTCCAGCAGTGTCCAGACAGCTCCACAGGCTCTCTGTTCCCTTACTGAATCTCGGAGGCTGTTCGTAGAGGAGCAGGAGAGGATTCTCTCTCGAAACCCAGGCTGAGGTCTTCATCTTTCTTCCTCCTCCTCCTCCTGCAACAAGAGTCTGGTCAGCTGCTTGTCTGGGACAGTCAGCTCCTGGCAGGACCCGAGCGCCTGGCTGAGGTAGACGGCGAGAAGGTGCTTACACTGCAAGGGAGGAATGAGAACGGTTAGCAGCACAGCCATGTGCCCAGAGCAGAGGCAGGATTCTTTCTAACGCAGGCTGAAAAACAAGCCTCCGTTTGCCGCTGGGAGTCTCAGGCCAGGGTGGGGGGCACATTTGAAGAGACCCTGGCTGTTGGACCAGTCTCCCCACCACCACAAGCCCATCTTGTCCAGCATCCTGTCCTCACAGGAGAGGAGCACAACAGCTCTCTTCCATGCATGGTTCCCAGCGTACTGTTTCCGGCAGTGCACAGCCAGCATGGCTTGCAGCCCCTGAGCTAGCAGTATTCTCTATGAGCTTCTCTAATCGTCTCTTAAGGTAAAAGTAAAGGGACCCCTGACCATTAGGTCCAGTTGTGACCGACTCTGGGGTTGCGGCGCTCATCTCGCTTTATTGGCCGAGGGAGCCGGCGTACAGCTTCTGGGTCATGTGGCCAGCATGACTAAGCCGCTTCTGGCGAACCAGAGCAGCGCACGGAAACGCTGTTTACCTTCCCACCGGAGCAGTACCTATTTATCTACTTGCACTTTGATGTGCTTTCGAACTGCTAGGTGGGCAGGAGCAGCGACTGAGCAACGGGAGCTCACCACGTCGCGGGGATTTGAACCGCTGACCTTCTGATTGGCAAGTCCTAGGCTCTGTGGTTTAACCCACAGCGCCACCCGTGTCCCTCTCTTAAATCGTCTCTTAAAGCTATCCAAATTGGTGGCTACTTGTGGCCACAAAGCCACAGTTTAACCCTGTGTTGTGTGAAGAAACTCTCTTGTCTGTCCTGAGTCTTCCAACATTCAGCTTCTCTGTATGAGGAACAGAGAAAAACGACACACTATCCCCTTTCTTGATGCCAGGCACAATTCTATCGATCTCCTTCGTATCTCCCCACTTCCTTCCCTTTATTCCCCTAAACGAAAAAGGCCCAAACATTATAGCCTTTCCTCCACAGGAGAGTTGTTCCAGTCCCTTGATCATCTCTGCTGCCCCTTCCTAGCTCTGCAATTTCCCTTTCTGAGGCGAGGTCTTCCCTATGCCCCTTGCAACACAATCCCTTTTTAATAGGAGCTGCCAGGAGATTGAACTTGGCAGGCTTTGCATAGGAAAACACGGATGCTGCCCACTGAGCCACGTTCCCTCACTACTAGTCTTTTGAGCTCAATAATTCCTCCTTTGCAGAAGTTGAGCGGAACAATGAGAAAAAGGAAGCGACTCTCAATATGCTGTTGGGCGACAACTACCTTCATCCAAGCGGCCGTACGATCTGGGGGCTGGTGATAGTTTTGGACTACAATTCCCATCATCCACAAAGCTGTGGCTGATGGGAGTTGTAGTCCAAAACAACTCAGAGAGCTCCAGGTTGGAGTGGGCTGCACGAGAGCTGCCTCACTGCTAGGATTCTCTGTCCCGCTCTACCTGTCTTGCCATCGCAGAGCCTCTTGCCCTGACATTCCTCCTTGCTGGTCAGACTCACCACAAGACTGTCGCCCTTCCGGAGGACAGAAAACATGAAGGCCGGGCAAGAGCAAAAGTGGCAGGAGGCGTAACAAGTGTAGTGTTTGCCTGAGCTTCCAACCACCTGTGGGCAGAAGGAGGGAAAACATATTATTTGTAACACGCACAAAAGGAGAGCCGTATCTAACGTGGGTTATATGAAAGCCTGAAGGATTGAGGTGGGCTGGGGAGTTAGAAATAGAGGAGTCTGTGTCAGATCCAGGCTCAGATCTGCCACCCTTGACCAGTGAAGAAGAAGAAGAGGAGGAGTTTGGATTTGCTATGCCGCTTTATCACTACCCTAGGGAGTCTCAAAGCGGCTAACATTCTCCTTTCCCTTCCTCCCCCACAACAAACCCTCTGTGAGGTGAGTGGGGCTGAGAGACTTCAGAGAAGTGTGACTAGCCCAAGGTCACCCAGCAGCTGCATGTGGAGGAGCAGAGACGCGAACCCGGTTCCCCAGATTACGAGACTACCGCTCTTAACCACTACACCACAGTGAAGCCTTTGGGCCAGTCGCTTGCTCCCAGCCCAGCCTGCCTCACAGGGTCGTCATGAAAACGGTCTCATTCGAGGGGACCCTCAACTCCTGGAGCATAACATCATCATCGACAACAATTTTATTTATTTATACCCCAGTTTTACCCCTGACAGGGACTCAAGGCAGCTTACAGATAAAGATAAAAAACAGCTAAAAACATAAAAGAAGAGCTAACAACATGGGAAACCAGCAAGCAGGGCCTGGGCACAAGAGCAGCTCTCGCCTCCTGCAGTTTCCAGTGACGGGGGTTCAGAAGCATCGCTGCCCCCAGACATGGAGGCAGAGCAGAGTCATCCTGGCTAGGAGCGATCCATAGCCCTCTCTTCCTCCATGAATTTGTCTAATCCTCTTTTAAAACCATCCAATTGGTGGCCATTGCTGCGTCCAGTGGGAGGGAGTTCCATAGTTTAACTCTGGGCTGCAGGAAGAAGCGCTTTCTTTTATCTGTCCTGAGCCTTTCAAAATTCAGTTTCCCTGGATGTCCACACGTTCAACCCTCTGAGTTGTTTTGGACTACAACACCCATCGGCCACAGCTTTGTGGATGATGGGAATTGTAGTCCAAAAGTTCTCTCTATCCACTCTCCCTACGGAAGGAAGGGTGAGATATTGAATGCCATAATGAAAAAAAAAGAGAACCCACGGGCAAGCATGCTTCCCACAGCACCCGGTAGTATCCTTCCTCGGACGCCAACGGCACGAGTGAATTTTTAGAAAATCATTATTTTCAAAAGAAGACTCCGGTACCGGAAACAAAAAAAGAACGGACGTCTCGTGAAGCGGCTCTAACTGTTTGGAATTTGAAAGATCAAGTCTCTGGGGCCCAGGCCTCTCGGCTTGGTTTTTGTACGGGTTTTTTCTGGGGGGGTGGAAAAAGAAAGATGCTAATATTTTCTTTTCTCCTCGTGTTCCTTTGAGGGGGTGGGAGGGTCTGCCAGTCTTCCCTGAGGCAGTCAGAGCATCTCATGGGGAGGCGTGTGTTAAGATGGCCTGGTTCCGGAGTGTCGGGCCGTCAGGTCTTGGCCTGAAGCGCCAATGTCCTGAGGTACCAAAGCGAGCCAGAGGAACATACTTCCGAGCCGAGCTGTCCTGAATTGACTCCAGATTGGCCACAATGAGAGGGTTCTCTCTCTCTCTCTCTCTTTTTTGGGGGGAGGGATTGCTATTCAGCCCCACCAAAGTGCCTGAGGAAAAGCCTGGCGTGTGACCAACAGACGCATCCGCTCCAGTTCTGCTGCGGGTCCACCTCGCACGTAGGGTTAGGAGCCGCTGCGGCAGAGGAAGAGAGTGCTGAGCCGCCTACTCATCCAAGCCGGGGGCGGACGGAGAAGGGATGCAAAACTGGCATGTGACCAACAGACACAACCGCTCCAGCTCCGGGTGTCATCCGTCACGCAGCTAATCTGGCTCCTGTTTTGGTCCAAGGGCTCGGGAGGAGCCCCAGACGATATTTCAGCCTGGCAGGCCTAATCCACTTATTTACTGCTCTGGGGGCAGGCTGCCACAGAAATAATAGGTAATTGAGATGAAAGTTATCTTTTCCTTAAAAAATTTAAAAAAAGAGGACGTAAATTAGCAGGAGCAAACAAACAGATCAGAGAAGCTGAGGGGGCGGGGTGGCACTGGAAGATGAAGCATCTACTCTCCAGCAAAGACCCAGTTATCTCACACTGCAACCCCTCAGCAGCTTTGGTTTCCCATTACCACAGAGGGCATAGAAGAGCCCAACTGTTTTGTAAGACCAGAACCCCATGGGGCCCCCAAGGAAGCGGAATGGTGGAAGATCCAAACAGAGAAAAGAAAGGACTTCAGCAGGACACAGCGCAGAATGGCCAACTGCGGAACTCTCTTCCGCAGGAGGCAATGATGGCCGTCAACATGTGATAATAATAATAAATTTTATTTATACCCCGCCCTCCCCAGCCAGAGCTGGGCTCAGGGCGTCTAACAGAAATAAAATCACAGTAAAAACATAATGGGGAGGGGGAACCAATTTAAAATGCAGCCTCATTTTAAAAGTAGCTGATAAATCAAGACCATAAGGGGAGGGAAAACATAAGGGTCAGACTGAGTCCAAACCAAAGGCCAGGCGGAACAGCGCTGTCTTGCAGGCCCTGCGGAAAGATGTCAAGTAACGCAGGGCCCTAGTCTCTTGGGACAGAGCGTTCCACCAGATCAGGGCCACAGCCAAAAAGGCCCTGGCTCTGGTTGAGGCCAGCCTAACCTCCCTGTGGCCCGGGACCTCCAAGATGTTTTTGTTTGAAGACCGTAAGGTCCTCCGCAGGGCATATGTATGGCTTTTTATGAGAGGAATAGACAAATTCATGAGGGGAAGGCAATCAATGTCTGTGCTAGTCATGGTGGCGATCTGGGGAAATAGGACCTAGGAGAGGGCCTTGCCTGCTGCAGCCCCAGATTCTTCTGCCTCCCCAGAGAGCTGCGTTTGGCATCTTTAACACACAGCTTCTGCCATGGGGCTGAAGACCCAACTCTCTACTTGGCCTTTGAGAGCTAAGATACCTTCCACAATTTTCCATTCATTTATGTCACAGCCAGTATGAAGCGCAATACTTCTAAATGATGGACAGTTTTTCATCATTGTATTGAATGCTCACACCTTATTTTTTAGTGGGGTATTGTGTTGACCTTTCTTTGTATTTATTTATTATTTTACTATGTTTTGTTTTAGTTCCCGCATGTTAAACCCCACCCCACCCCTTTTTTAAGAGCTAAGATACTTTGTTTTGTGGGGCCCATCTCTCAGCTGAATTTATACTGTTTGGTTCCATTTGGGACGCTTCTTATGTATTTAAACAATCGCAATTATTTAATCTGCTTTTTCACAACTACGTTTCCTGGGACATCGTGCATAAGGAATCTTTTAAGCCAGGGGTCAGCAAACTTTTTCAGCAGGGGGCCAGTCCACTGTCCCTCAGACCTTGTGGGGGGCCAGACTATATTTTTTTGGAGGGGAGGGGGGAGAACGAATTCCTATGCCCCACAAATAACCCAGTGATGTATTTTAAATAAAAGGACACATTCTACTCATGTAAAAATACACTGATTCCTGGACCGCCTGCGGGCCGGATTTAGAAGGCAATTGGGCCGGATCCGGCCCCCGGGCCTTAGTTTGCCTAACCATGTTTTAAGTGAACAGGGAGCAAAGGAGCTGTCCGGCCGTGGTTCTTCAGAGGCCTGAGGCTGCTTTCTAGAAGGAAGCAGCAGCAGACAGCTCATCTTGGCTTACTTGACCGGGAGGGACCCTGTCTGCCAGTTTAAGAAGTGAGCTTTTCAATTATTATTTCTTCCCTAAGACACCAGAGACAGCGGCTGTCTTTGAACGCAGACTGTTCGCTGGGCAGACTCCGGGTGTATTAACTGCGAGATCTCTCCCACCCCGACTGTCGCTCCTTCCTGGTTCCTCATCGTCCTTCTCACAACATTGCCCTGGGATCCTGTTATCAACGGATGCAAACGTTTTAATCCAGCCAGGGCTGCCGAGAGCTGTGATTCAGAACATCTGGAGGGCACCAGTTGGCAAAGGCACCCCTGGCTCTTATCAGAAGGGGCAAAGGAAGCTGCCTTAAGCAGAGCCCACCTAGCTTAGTATTGCCAGACATGCCCAGAGATGCTGGGGACTGAAGCTGGGAGACCTTCTGCATGCAAAGCAATGCTTCTGTCCCTGAGTCCTTCTAATGCTTGCTAAGGGGGGTATTTCAGTGCCACCAGCGTTTCAGGAAGCCAATGCCCACGCCAGCCTCAGTCCACACTGCACACCCGCTGCCTGGAAGACAAGACCTTTGGGGGTCGTACCTGGTAGACCTGCCTTCCGCTGGGAGATGTGATTCGTGTGACTGATTGGCGGTCCACTAAGTCCAGAGCAGGGACGGCAGAAGCACCAAAGATGAACTTCAGCCTGGGAAGATGGAAAAGGGGCCGGGTTAAGCTTCTAACCGCCGAGCTCTGCCCCCGTTGCCCAAATGCTCTGGGGCGGTGTTTTTAGAGAAGGTCTCAGATCTACACTATAAAGCTGAATGGGTTTGAAACAGAGAGGTCCTGTTTAAGGTTTAATCCTCTTGGATATTTAAATCAGAGAATCCTAGGACTGCGGAGTTGGAAGGGACCCTGAGGAATATTTTGTCCAATGTGGGGCTCGAACCCAGGACCCTGAGATTAAGAGGCTCGTGCTCTTACCAACTGAGCTATCCCACTTTTTTTTGCATTTCACCCTTCCCCACAATAGGTGGCTGAGAGAAAGGAAGTGGCCCGAAGTCACCCAGGAGGGATTCAAACCCAGCTCCCTTTGGTCCCGCTCAGATACTTCGAGCCCAGGCCTGAGGCACCTGCACACCTCGAGATGTTGCTGGACTGCAACGGCCATCACCCCTAAGAGGAGCTGGGAATCCAGCTAAAGCGTCATGAAGCCACCAGTTCCTCAGCCTGGCTCCAGCCACTACACCACACTGCCCAGCCAAACTGGCATGCAGTTTTAAACACCTTTTGGATTTCAAGACACCTTATTAATGATGTTTAGGGTTTTGGCCAGAGTAGTGCTAAGTAATTCATCCCATCTGCATCAGGACTAATGGTCTCCTTCACTCCATGCCCTAAACCTGTTCCAGGGGTTCCCCCAACCCTCCAGAGCAGATATTTGGGGGGAGGGGCACCGGGCATGCATGAGGGGAGGGGGAAATTCCACTGTGCAAGTGTAAATCCTTGTACCAGTGGAACAGGTTGGTTGGATAGCATCCCCGAGCCGCAATCCAAAACGTACTTGAGCCCCGCTGAATTCAGATGTTCTCCTGTCTGATTTTTGTGAGTAGGTTTTGTGCTGTTATGGGACGCGGGTGGCGCTGTGGGTAAAACCTCAGTGCCTAGGACTTGCCGATCGCATGGTCGGCAGTTCGAATCCCCGTGGCGGGGTGAGCTCCCGTCTTTCGGTCCCAGCTCCTGCCCACCTAGCAGTTCGAAAGCACTCCCAAGTGCAAGTAGATAAATAGGTACCGCTTTATAGCGGGAAAGTAAACGGCGTTTCCGTGCGCTGGTGCTGGCTCGCCAGAGCAGCTCCGTCATGCTGGCCACGTGACCCGGAAGTGTCTCTGGACAGCGCTGGCCCCCGGCCTCTTAAGTGAGATGGGCGCACAACCCTAGAGTCGGACACGACTGGCCCGTACGGGCAGGGGTACCTTTACCTTTACCTTTGTGCTGTTAATACATTACTGAAAAGAACCCCAACAGCAATCTATTAACACAGCCAAATTTCCTGGTCACCTGTGGTGAGCGATGACCAGGAAGGGAAGCTTGCAAAAAAAAAGGTGATGTGGTTTTCCTCCGAACCGACAAATCCTTTTACACAGTGCGGCTGTCAAATGAAGTTTGCAGGTTTGGGGACTCTGGCAGAAATCATTTCGCAGGGCTGAGCAAGCACCTGCCAAACCGAGGAACAACATCCCTGCAAATCCCGAGAGCGCGATGCGATGATTTAATGCCCTCCCCAAGAAGCCTTAATCCAGTGATGACACAGTTACCACACACAACCAACGTCAGGAGAGGCTGTGTGACTAGCAGGAGGACGTAACCCACTGTCTGACAGACTAGGGAGGTTTTAGCTGTTATTTTAGGCGAGGACATCCTCCCGGCTTGGGTTCTGGGGGCATGAGGATGTGATGTACCAAAGGCGGCTTGGTGTACAACGTGGAGTTTTGCCTTGATGCCGTGCCGACTGCAGTTGCAAACTTTTAAAACGGAAGGAGGCAGCTTTCGGCTGAAGGGCCCAGTTTGAAAACAGTATCAGAAAGACGGGCTTTCTATTCTGGGAAGAGCAGATCTAATTCCGCCTGATAGCCCGGGACAGAACTCAAGGGATTTTAAAGGCTGCACAGCACTGTTGACCCTAATCTCTACGTCACGGAATGGCTGGCAGATGGACTTGCGCTTAATGCCGTGAATCGGAGAGTCAGAAATGCAAGCATATATGAAAGAGTGCAGCCGGGTGCAGGATCAGGACTCGGGAAGAGAGGGTGGTCAAGGATCTCTGGAGGCCCACAAGGATGTCTGTTTCCAAACTCAGAATCCAAGCCCCTTTTATAAATGCCACTCCTTTAAAAAAAAGTTGTTCTGTCTTTGCACGAGCAGGAAGCTGGTGACAACTCAGGAATGGAACAGCTGGCGGAGGAAAATCCAGAGGGAAGAATGGGGAAGAGAGCAGAAACAGCCCAAATAAGTGATGGAGGTTCTCCTTTTCATGGAACATTGCTCTCCTCTCTCAAAATTATTACCGAGCTGATTCCTCCCATTCCCTTAACCTTCCCCTTTCCAGACTAAGTCCTTGTTTTGAAGCCTTAAAGGAGAAAAGAGCTCACATATTTTCAGTGGGTGTTTCCCTAATGAGGGCTAGAAACTTATTTATTACTGTTGTTTCAGAAATGGCTAGCAACCCAAGTGGACGAGGCAAAAAACTGTGGGGTATTGAAAGCCAGTGTTGTGTAGCGGTTAAAAGTGGACCTAGAAAACTGGGGTTGAAATCTCTGATTGGCTGTGAAGCTCTCACTGGGTGAACATGGGCCAGTCACAGCCTCTCAGCCTAGCCTACCTCAAAAGGTTGTTGTGAGGATAAAACAGTAGGTAGGAGAAAAACGGAACACCAGCTTGCTGTCCTTGGAGGGACATAAATGGAATAGGTAAACAAACCAAGACAATAAGATGCACTCAAGTGCAAAAACTCGTGTAGCAAAATGTGATGGCAGAGATCCTGGCATAACCCACCAGCTTTGCCAAAAACCCTGTTCCATCTCCTACCCCTGAACTTTGCCAGCTGGTAAGAACAATTGCTTAATATCTGGTGCCCGAGTTTGATTTATTCCTCTTCCCTCGTGTGCCGCGTTCTTTCATATTGTAAACCTACAGGCAGGGATTGTTTGAACTGATTGCTTGTAAGTCACCAGGATCCTTTTTTGGCTGGCGTAAAGGGTACAAATGCTGTAAATGAATACATAAAGTGGCGAGCAGAACCTCCCAGGGAAATAACATTGTTCAGCATTAGTTGCAAGGAGCACCCAGAACTAGGGATAGGTCAATTTTGATTTCTCTCAATTTCTGTCTCTCCCCCACCCCTGACTCCAGTTCTATCCATTTCTGCAATTATTTTTTTTCTTTTTAAAGAAAATTCAACAGCATATTGATGTGAGTTCATCCTGATACAAACATTTTTGCAAGCAATGTCCCCTGTTGCAAGCATTTATATATTTTATTTTAAAATTCTTATTTGCAATGTTTCATTTACCCTTGTAAACAAAACCTACCATTGCAACATCCCAGATCTTGCATTTTGTATATGATTTTCATGGATGCATGTCATTTTATGCAAGCTCCCTCCTGTATACATTGTTTTGCTGTGTGAACGTTAAGCATTTTTAACTGTTTACGTTATGTTAGGGCCACAAATGAAGGCCCCTTAGCAACTACTCACGCCAGGAGGAGGTCATCGGGAACTGGAAAAAAGAAGGAGAAAAAGCAGCGTTAATTTTGGCCCACAGCAAGGTACTGGGAAGGGCACAGAATGTCAATTAGGAACTCTTATAAAATCTCTGCGCAGATCTGCAAAAGCTTCTGGCTGGTTGTTTAACAACAGCCACAGCAACGAAGTTTTACCCACCTTCCTAAATCAAGGCTGCTAAAATGAAGAAGGTTGGGGTAGCCAGAGGGGAACCAGGAGTGGATTTTGGTGCAAAAAAAACAACAACACAAGCTGAGTTTCCATTACTGAAAACTAGGTCGGGATCCCTGATGAGATCTGTTATTAATAACTGGATTCTGTACTTCCTCCCAATGCTTGCGCTTACTTTCCCCTCATCCCTCCGGTTCCTTTTTCCTCTTGTGCCACACGTTTTTAGATCAGGGGTGTAGAACCTCTGGCCCACAGGAAGGAGCCAGAAGGAAGAGTCTCAATTAGGCTCACAAGGCTGTTCCCAATAAACCGCGCCCGCCTGCCCCATTCTTTGCTTTCCTGGAGCACGCCTTGCTCCAGGCAGCACAAAGCTGTTTGCATTCTACTCCACTTCAGCAGAGGTTTCTGTGCAAACCATATTGCACTCCCGGAGCAAGGCAAACCATTGGGGGTGGCAGGCACCACTAGTCCTAGCAGGAATGGGGTTTGGGTTTCAGCCCAAGCCCAAATATAAACGTCATTAAACAGGCTCTCTGGCTCGGCAGGCACCACGGAGGATTAAGAGAAACTCTAGATATTGGGGGTGGGGGGCAATCGTTCTGTGTGGGTTATCGAAATAGCTCCCTAATCTGGCATGCAGAGGACAATAATACTTCCACGCCTGTCTCGACAACCGGCCAAGGCTGCGGGGGGAGCGGGGAGGATTCTGGCTCAAGCCTGATCTGTGCCGCTGCTTAGAATATCCACATGGTTGGCAGGGCTGTGGCACTCTCTGCTGGTGAGGAGGGGTGGGAGAGGCGATGGCAGCCCACAAACGGAAGCTCCATCCAGATAAGGCAGAGGGATGGGAGCTTGCCTGCTCTTGATGGGGCTACACCAGGGGAAGGCAACCTAAGGCCCATGGGCTGGAAGCGGACCACAAAGGCGGTTTAACCGGCCCACGAGCCACCCCCAAATCGAGCCACCTGCTTGGCGAGTCCCTGCGCACTGCGCTAAACTGGCACAGTGCAGCGGCTCTCTTCCACGGCTCTGGAAATTGCTTCTGCGCATGCCCAGACACCGGAAATCTGGGCATGTCCGCGGTGCCGGAAATGGCTTCTGAGCATGCCCAGAAGCCAAAAATTGCTTCTGCACAGGAGTGATTTTTGGCATCTGGGCATGCGCAGAAGGAATTTATGGTGCCACAGACATGTGCATATGTGATATCTGGCGTCGCACCGCACTGGTCCGGCCTACAGAGGATCTTCGCCGGAGTGATCTGGCCAGGTAAGCCTTGCCGACCCCTGGGCTACACTCTGAAGGAGTGGGTACGTTGCTTGGGGATACTTCTGGGTCCTTTGCTGTTGCTTGAGGCTCTGTGGCGTGGACTGTCTCCCAGCAGCTTCAGCTGGTGGCTCAGTGGCACCCCTATTTGGACAGGGACAGCCTAACCTCTGTTGCCTATGCTCTGGTAACCTCTAGGCTAGATGACTGCAATGCATTATGCGTACGGCTGCCTCTGAAGACGGTTCGGAAACTTCAGCTGGTGCAGAATTTAGCAATCGGGCAAGATGGTTTGAACATATTACACCGCGCCTGGCCTGACTGCAGTGGCTGCCAATTGGTTTCTGGGCCCAGTTCAAAGTGCTGGTTTTGACCTATAAAGCTTTAAATGGCTCAGGACTTGCAATCCCTCAAGGACCGCCTCTCTCCTTTTGAACAGCCCCAGATCCTGAGATCATCTTCTGCGGCCCTTCTTCACGTGCATCCTCCTCACCGAGACGTCTGGAGGGGGGCAACACGAGAACGTGGTGGCTCCCCGTTTGTGAAATGCTCTCCCCAGGGAGGCTCCCCTGGTGCCTTCATTATACACCATTAGGTGTCAGGCGAAAACATTCTTCTTCAACCAGGCCTTTGGCTGATTCACATCCTAAATCCTTCTAAATGTGTTTGTGGGAAGAGGGAGCAATTGGTTTGTTTTGTTCTTGGGTTTTTGTTTTTGTTTTGTATTTTGTGCTTTTCAGATGAAGGGTGGTATACTACTACTACTACTACTACTACTACTACTAATTTATTTGTACCCTGCCCATCTGGCTGGGTCTCCCCAAACACTCTGGGTGGCTTCCAACAAAGATTAAAAATACATTACAATGTCACACATTAAAAACTGTGATGTCTTCAGATGTCTTCTAAATGTCAGGTAGTTGTTTATGTCTTTGACATCTGATGGGTGTTCCACAGGGCGGGCGCCACCACCAAGAAAGCCCTCTGCCTGGTTTCCTGTAACCTCGCTTCTCGCAGTGAGGGAACCGCCAGAAGGCCCTCGGCGCTGGACCTCAGTGTCCGGGCAGAATGATGGGGGTGGAGACGCTCCTTCAGGCATACAGGACCAAGGCCATTTAGGGCTTTAAAGGTCAGCACCAACACTCTGAATTGTACTCGAAAACGTACTGGGAGCCAATGGTATACAAATAACAACAACAACAACAACAACAAGTTTTGGCTGGAGGAGAGAAGACTGAGAGGTGACATGAGAGCCATCTTCAAATATCTGAAGGGCTGTCATGTGGAATATGTCGCCATCTTGTTTTCTTCGCTCCAGAGGGTAGGACCCGAACCGATGAATTCAAAGGACAAGAAAATAGATTCTGAGTAAACATCAGGGAGCACTTTCTGACAGTAAGAGCCCGTTAACAGTAGAACGGACCACTACCTGGAAAGCTGGTGAACTCTCCTTCCTTAGAGACTTTTAAGCAGAGGTTGGATAGCCATCTGTCAGGGATTCTTTAGCTGTGATTCCAGCATTGCAGCGGGTGGACTAGATGTCCCTGGGGAGTCCCTTCGAACTCTATAATTCTATGATGCAAATACCTTCCTCCACCTACCGTGAGATGTCTCGCAAAAAGCCTTTTCTATCTCTCTCAACAGTTCTTCTGCTAAGGCTGGCAGAGTGGCACCCATCAGGAGAATGTATGAGGCGGGCAGTTTTTTCTCTGGGTGGAAAAACAAACACACACACAAGGTTGTTATTAAAGGATAACAAAGTGAGTTTCATTTCCCAGAAGAGGGGAGGGCGGGGGAGAGAGAGAGAGGGTCCTATTTATTTATCCTTAATAAATCTCCTGTTTCATTTATTTTTCATTAAAAGCGAAGGCCTCTCAGATAACTTCATAACGCCGGGGGAGTTTGAAACCCCGCAAACATTGACTAAGCGTCACCTTCTACTTTGGAGCCTCTAGGACCCGAAGGGTAAAAAAGAAGCTAAAATAAATAAAATAACATAAGGTATTCCTCCATCCCGAATGTGAGGATCCATGGATCAGCTCTGCCCGCACATTGGATTGGCTAGGATGAAAGAGGTCAAATCATAAGCTGACACAACCCTAAATTACTTCTGGAGAACCACAGAACTTAAGAGTTGGAATGGCATTCTGCCAGTTTCATCCATGGCACTACCTCTGGGACTCCCAACCATATTGGGTCTTCCAGGAGCTGGCTTGAAAGGGCTGCTTGCAAAATCTGGAGGGCCGCTCTCTCTTCCCCCACTTCCAAAGTCCCCCTCAAGCAGATGCTTTTGACTGTCTGGGGGTGGAGAGGTGCCATTCAAGACATGATGGAAAGGGAAGAGAGTGAACTGGGATGTATCTGAAGGTAGCCAGGGAGAGATAACGTCAGTGTAATTTTGTCAAGCTTCTTTGAAAAGAAAAGGTGGGAGGGGGAGAGAAGAGACAATTTCCTCCTGCCCCAGAGATCGCTCTTGCTTATTTAAATGCATTGCATGTTTGGCAAAGAGAGAGCTATAATTCTGGCAGGAGGGAAGGTTGGAGATCCTGGGATTCTGACCTCTAGGGATATAAATATTTGAGATGAACAGACAGAGGTCTGGCGCAAGGCTCCCCCCACCCACTCTTCCTCGCTGGTCAGCTAAAGACAGATGGAGCCCGAAGTGGAGACAGAGGTAATATCCTTGAAAGCTGCAAAACGTGCCAAAATCTGGAATGATCCCATCCTGTGTGTGTGCATGGAGCAAAGGGATGGACATTTAGAGGGTGCAGGCAAAGCAGCAGCAGCAGCAACAACAACCCATCATCTTCACCTTAGATTTCTCTGGGAAAGGTTTTGGAACAGTTGTGCTCTCTGCCTTAAAGCAACATGGGTGTCACCTATGCATGTTTGGAGATATGCAGCAAATGACGCCTGTTAACATATAAATTTTATCTTGAGATATTATATACCCGTTCCAAAAAATGATGAAACAACAAAAAATAATAACATTAATAAAATAGTACTAGCAAGTAATAGGAATAGCAACAGAGTCTAAAGTTAATTACACAACTACAAAGTGTTAAATCAGAGAATAACTATCTATCATTTGCCATTATAAAAACTTGGGGTATTAACATCATAAAATAATATGGGTGATACTTAACTAAGTCATACTCAAAGTAGGCCATTTAAAATACATGGATTTAAGTTGGAGCGTGGCAAACATTCAATACCACCTGATATCTGCAGCTTTAAAGTAGCACTACTTGCAACTTAGCAGTTGTGTTTACTATCAACTGTAGAAATTATCACATTTTGCTAGTGCAAAATTTGGTATTTTCAATTCATTCATCAGCACCTACTCAAAACTCCAATTTTATTTAATTCTTCTCTTTCTTTGTCTCAGTTCTATAATGGAAGTCTACACTGGGACATCTCTTTTTCTTTTCTTTTTCAATGGATTAAAAAAATAATAATAAACAGTCAAATTTCTAGTCCTTATCGCTTTAAGGTAAAGGGACCCCTGACCGTTAGGTCCAGTCGCGAACGGCTCTAGGGTTGCAGCACTCATCTTGCTTTACTGGCCAAGGGAGCTAGCATTTGTCTGCAGACAGCTTCTGGGTCATGTGGCCAGCATGGCTAACCAGAGCAGCGCACGGAAACACTGTTTACCTTCCCGCCGGAGCGGTACCTATTTACCTACTTGTGCTTTGACGTGCTTTCGAACTGCTGGTTAGCAGGAGCAGGGACCGAGCAACAGGAGCTCACCCCGTTGTGGGGATTCGAACTGCTGACCTTCTGATCGGTAAGCCCTAGGCTCTGTGGTTTAGACCACAGTGCCACCTGTGTCCCTTATGGCTTTAGACATAAGATAAAAAAATGACTGGACCTGATATGTTCCATAAGAGGGATTATTGGTTTGTTTTTGCTTTTTTATGTATTTTGTGTCCTTGTTTTGTATTTTTGTTGTGAGAAGGAGGCATACAAAGGGCCATCCAACCGCCTTAGGGACTTCACTCTGAATTTGTGTAGAGTTTTCTCCTGAGCCTTGTTTTCTCCCAAAGGTGTCCCGCAAGGCAGTGGAGCTTTAGGATCAGAGTTTTCGTTCTTCTAGGTGGGCTTTGTTCCCAGGTGGATGAGCCCTGTCTGCCTCTCACTTCCCTCTACAGCACATGCAGAAAATGCCTTATTGAGTGTTGGACCCACCCTTGATCTAGTCTGCTCCATCCACCGGAACCTGTCTTCGCATCCTGTCTTCCCAGTACGTTTCCGAGCACAATTCAAAGTGTTGGTGCTGACCTTTAAAGCCCTAAACGGCCTCGGTCCAGTATCCCTGAAGGAGCATCTCCACCCCCATCATCCAGCCAAGACAGAGGTCCAGCACCGAGTGCCTTCTGGCGTTTCCCTCGCTCCAAGAAGTGAGGTTACAGGGAACCAGGCAGAGGGCCTTCTCGGTGGTGGCGCCTGCCCTGTGGAACGCCCTCCCAGCAGATGGCAAGGCAATAAACAACTATTTTACTTTTAAAAGACAACTGAAGGCGGCCCTGTTTAGGGAAGTTTTTAATGTCTGACACTGTATTGTTTTTAATATTCACTTGGAAGCCGCCCAGAGTGGCTGGGGAAACCCAGCCAGATGGGTGGGGTATAAATAATAAATTGTTATATTATTATTAAGAAAGGGAAGCTCCTCACTCACCGAGGGTTTGAGAGACCCACTGGCTCCACCCTCACCTGGTTTAACCGGCTGGCCGAAGCAATTTGCCAGGATAATGGCCACTGTCGCCTGTTGGCAGCTTCCAGGAGCCACAGGTGAGGTCTGAGCGCAGGGTGGGGATCTGTAACAGAAACATTTGGGGTTTGGCTTTTGCATGCCAACTCTCCATGGAGGGATTGGGTGTTCCCTGAGTCCAGAAGGGGCACAAGGCATCCCCCGCCAGAGACACTACCTCTCTCCTAAGACCCCATACACAACAGAACACACACACAAACGGAAATTGGGGCAGAGGATATGTCTCTTTAACTCAGGTTGTACAATATCATAGAGTCAGTATTAGTTAACTTAGAATTTAGTGTCATATTCTGTCTCATTTATTTTAGAATGTGAATCTGAATCTGTCCTTTTACTTACATCTGGGAGACGTTTTTTGGGGGTTGGAAATTGGGGTTAAAATCATGTTAATATATATATGTATATACTGGTATATATATTTGTATATGTATATATTCTTATTCTTCTTTGGCCATCACTCGTAGCAGAGTAAGATTGTCCTCCATAAAGACGGTTTTAACAATGAGTCCGTAGGTGACTGTGGAGGCCAATTCTGGATCCACACATCCTTCCACAGTGGGGACATGGGTTTCTGGGTGGGAGTTGATCACGGTGTGGATTTGCCAAGCGTGCCTTCTTCTTAGCATGTTTCTTCCTTGCGTCCTGAGTTTGAGTGTCTTCAAAGCCCATGACACCTTTGGTAAAGGCTGTTCTCCAACTGGAGCGCTCGCAGGCCAGTGCTTCCCAGTTGTCATTGTTTATACTACATTTTTTAAGATTTGCCTTGAGACAGTCTTTAAACCTCTTTTGTTGAACACCAGCATTACGCTTTCTATTTTAAAGTTCGGAATAGAGTAGTTGCTTTGGAAGACGATCATCGGCTATCTGCAGAACATGACCAGTCCAACGAAGTTGATGTTGAATAATAATAATAATTATTTATTATTATTCATACCCCGCCCATCTTGCTGGGCATCCCCAGCCACTCTGAGCGGCTTCCAGAAAAATATTAAATTACTGTAATACAACACTGGTGATCTTTGCTTCTTCCAGTAACACTGGTATTAGTTCGTCTGTCTTCCCAAGTGATGTGTAATATTTTTTGAAGAGACCACTGATGGAATCTTTCAAGGAGTTGGAGATTGCACACACATACATACACACATGTATGTCATATATTTCCTTAAACTGCTTATTCCGTTATTATCTTTTTAAGAATATGTTGGAAATTTAACAACAAGGTTGCCCGTGTGCATCAAATTTAGGTGTGTGTGGGTTTTTTTAAAGGAAGCTGCTGATAACCCTGATTCTTTCAGAAACTGGTTACTATGAGATTTAAGTATAAAAACAGAGAGATGACGCTAGTGAATTCAGGACTGTACCCACACCGTTGCCTGGCAACGGGGACATTTCCCCCCTCCCGGCAGGGGCAAAAAGCGCATGCGCCGCCGCGCCGCTCAGAGAGGCCAAGCTCAGTCACGTGGCGCCAGATTCCCCGGCAAGAGTTACTACGTGGGAAAATCAAAAGCGCGCGCGGCATCAAGGCAAGGCACGTGGCCTTTAAAAGCCAATCAGCAAGCGAGAAGAGTTCCACAGACTCTGCGAAAGGTAGAGGGGAGCCTAGAAAGAGGAGCGGCGGAAAAGAGAGAGAAGACAATTTGATGGAGAAGAAACTTCTCGATACGGCTCCTTCCCCTTCCAGCCCCAGAAGCTGAAATCAGACTTATGAAATTTAGCTGACTTGGATAGATTTTCCCCGTCAAGGAGCTGAAGGGGGGGGAAAGCTCTAAACTCACCCCGGAAGCTGCCGAAAGTATACCTCTTCACTCAAAATACGTCTATAAACAAGACCGGAAATGATGTTCAAGAAACCCTTATCACGTGCCTGGGCAGCGACGACGTCAAGGTCACCCTCCTCTTCTTAAAGGGCCATGTCGCTGTGTGTGGCGCTGCTGCCTCGGAGGGGCCTGAGAGTGGCGGCGGCCGCGGCGGCCTTGGGACGGCGCAGCCTGGCTCAGGCGAGGGCCGGCCGCAGCGGAGACGGAGGAGGGAAGCGCCTGACAGCAGCCGCGGGAGCCGCTACCTTGGCGGGAGGCCTCGGCCTATCAGGTGCGAGGGGCGTGGCCAGCGACGGGGGCGTGGTTTCCGCTGTGGGCGGGGCCTACGCAGGCAGTATTTAGATAAGGGCAAGAAGGGGAAAGTTGAGCTGCTAAAGGGGATTTGTTATGGACAAGAGCAATAGTTATTTATGTGCGTGTGTCAGAGCAGTTTATAGCGACCGTAGCCCATAAAATCCATATAATTAAAAGCCATGTAAAAAGTTGTGACCACAAATCAGGTGACAGTTGTGCAGAGATGTAATCTAATTGCCTGCATAACAGAAACATCAAAGAGGGAGCGTTTATTGAATTTATACCCTGCCCTTCCTCCCCATGCAGCTCAGGGCAGCAAAGAGAGATACATTTTTTAAAAAACTTCCTAAAGGAGACCACAACACTCTGAAAACAGAATCGATTGAAAGCATCTAAAACCAGTTACAGTGAAAAACATTCTAAAAAGCTATTATAATGTGTTTCTGTCCAATGATCTAAAAGTGAAAGAATGATTAGTAGTCATATTAAGGGCTCACTGTTAGTTGTTACTGATGTTTATTATTATTATTATTATTATTATTATTATGGAAGGGGGGGTTATTGGGTTGTTTTTGTTTTAAATTATCTATTTTGTGTTTTTTATATTGTGATTTTGTGTTGTGAACCACCCTGAGATCTACAGGTTTAGGGCGGTATACAAATTTAATAAATAATAATAATTTTTATTTATACCCCGCCCTCCCCAGCCAAGGCCAGGCTCAGGGCGGCTAACAAGCAATAATAAAAACAAGTTGAATGAATACAACTTAAAAACAAGATTAAAATACAACATTAAAATAATATAATAATAATACTTACAAATGCCCTTGATGACTGTTCAGAGATTGCAACAGATGTCATCCCCTTAGGAGCCACTCTGGCTCCTGCTGAAGCGCTCCACACTGTGAGAGGATGGTCAAGGGCTCACCTGCCCTCTGGGTCCACGCCGAACTGGCTTTCTAAACTCCATCTCCCCCTTCCTGTTTCCAGCCTTTTCCCTTTTCTCCCGCGAAGCTGAGAAAGAGAAGGATTCAGCAGAAGGGCAGAGCGAGGCGAAGGAAGAAGACACCATCATTCTTTTGCTAAAGAAGGCCAAGGTGAGGTTCTGGGGCCAAACTGGATGCGGGAACTTAATCACAGTGGGGTGGTGGGAGTCAACCCATTGGCCTCGCTGGCTGGGGCTGACAGGTGCTGGGGTTCAAAGCATGGAGGCGGGGGCGTGGGTACCAGGTTAGCTAGACCAATGACTCTCCTAACCTGCAGTGAGTCAGCTTCTCATGGTATCTAATACTTCAAATTGTACCTGACAGAGCATAGCGGGCAGCGGTATTCCTCAGTGATTTGGGTGTTTGGGAAAGATTTTCCGGTGCTAATCGGCATAGGAAAATGTCCTGTTTCCATCAGAAAGTTTTCTGATGCCTAGAGAGCAGTGCATTCTATTAATTTATTGTTTTGTTACATTATTGCATCAATACCCCAGCTTTCCTCCAAGCAGCTCAAAGTGGCATCTACTCTTCCCTCCTCCTCCCCATTTTATCCCACAACAACCCTGTGAGGTAGGTTAGGCTGAGAGGCAGTGATTGGCCCAAAGTCACCCAGGGAGCTTCATGGCTGAGTGGGGATTCGAACCCTGGTCTCCCAGGTCTTCGTCCAACACTCTAACCACTACACCATGCTGGTGTGGCCTCACATGTAGACCAGTTTTGAGCTGCTTAGGGCTTTTATGTCTTAGTACCAATACCTTAGGGACACGGGTGGCGCTGTGGGTTAAACCACAGAGCCTAGGACTTGTTGATCAGAAGGTCGGCGGTTCGAATCCCCGCGACAGGGTGAGTTCCCGTTGCTCGGTCCCTGCTCCTGCCAACCTAGCAGTTCAAAAGCACATCAAAGTGCAAGTAGATAAATAGGTACCGCTCTGGCGGGAAGGTAAACGGCGTTTCTGTGCACTGCTCTGGTTCGCCAGAAGCGGCTTCATCATGCTGGCCACATGACCTGGAAGCTGTACGCCGTCTCCCTCGGCCAATAAAGTGAGATGAGCGCCACAACCCCAGAGTCAGCCATGACTGGACCTAATGGCCAGGGGTCCCTTTACCTTTACTACCAATACCTTGAACTTGGCTAGGTAGCAAATTGGCGGCCAGTGCAAATTCTGCAAGCAGGGTGTTGTATTAGCAGTCTTCACTTGATGGTTTAAACCTGGCTTTCTCTGTTTTTGCCCCCAGCTGAGCATCATGAAAGGAGAGTTGGAAGAGGCGGAGAGGTTCCTTCACGAAGCTGCCAGGCTCTCGCACCAGTCGGACAACAAGCAAGCAATTATTTATACGTACGACACGGTGAGTCCAGGAGCTGCTTAAAACCCTGCAAGGAAGCCACACTGAATCGGAGGAACATCTGTCCTGAGATCACAGCACAACATCTTATCATTGTGATTGTTATGATTCGCTTCCTGTGAGGCATCCCAGAGCGATGTACGATGCAGCGAAGATGCAGTTGTACGGGTTAAAAATGTGTAAAACATTTGCACATAGAACAGTTAAAGGACAATCGTATAAAAAGAGTTTGATGTGGCAACACTCACATACACACTGGTGGGTGAAAATACGGCTACCCATTGTGTTAAATTGGAAAATATGAGGAAGAAGCTCCATAATAATTATTATTATTATAATACATAGCTGGATAACGTGTATAAATTGTTCTGGAGTGCAACATTGAGCAGCCTTAAAACCTCAGCTTTCATTCCACAGAATCAAATGTGCACAACTTTCTAGTCCTCCTCGTTTTTCATATGGTTGAGATCTCCACTGATGGAAGCAAAGTAAAAGGACAATTTTTCCTCTTAAAACATCTAAGCAGCTCCATTTTTTTGTCTGTTGCAGATGGCGAATTTGGCTTTCATGAGGGGTGAGCTGGATCACGTAAGTAAGTTCAAGAAGAGGCCAACCCCTGTTGCTTACAAAACAGGGAGCGCTCCCTTAAGTCCCTAGTTGTTCCTGGGACGGGTGAATCTGTGTTTGTTTTCAAGCCCTTGTGAAAATTCAGCAGAATTTTAGTGCAGTTTTAAAAATCCGATTGTAGATTTTTATATGCTTTTTTGCCTAATGTACACATATTTGCAAAGTAATTTTCCCCTACTACAATGGAGTTTTGTATACTGTTTTCACAAATAAGTGTATTCTTATGCACGCTTTACTGTTTGTTTTTAAAAACACATTACCTAGCCAGATAACTGCATTGCAAGGTTCAGAGAAGCGCAAATTTTAAGGGACAGATGTGTTCTGGTTCTCTGTTACAGAAACTGCAAATTGTGTAGGTTCACCTTTAGACATGAACTGATTCCAGCTCTTTCCCTATCTCTCGGCTCTTTTGACCATTTCTCCCTTTTGTCCTCTCATTTCAGGCAGAAAAACTTTTCAAGGCAGCCATGAGCTACTTACTGGCTGGGGACATGAAGCAAGTAAGGATTTTTCTCTGCTAGAAACCCGTCCTGATCTGATCCCAGGTGTCTGGATTCTAGAAACGTGTAATAAGCGAGACAGAACTTTGTAGTAGTTTTGGTGGAATTGGAGGAGGAGAAAGCTAACTTGCAGATTTGATTTTTACGAAACTTCCATTTTATTTAAGAGATTTATATAGCTGCCCTACCAAGAAAGGCCACAGAGTTTACAACAACGTAGGAACATAACAGTACTGGGCCAGGTGAGCTGATAGTTGCACCTGGTGAGGAAAGGCTAAGCGAAGAAGGTGCTATCCTGATCTAACTTATGCCCATGCAATTCCTGGAGCACCACATCCTGAATGGGCATGGAATGGGGACATTGGACCAGGGAGAGAGAGGGCTGATCAGTTTTCGGATGGTGGAGCCTTGTGGCAAGGAAGTACTCCTTCATGCAGGGCAGAATCAAACTATGGAACGCAGGAGGCAGGATTAGGCCCTTCATGGAGGGATTAATATTGATGACTATAGCCCTAATGGCTTTGCTCTGCCTCTGCGGTTGGAGGCAGTTGCTGGAAACCACAGGAAGGGGGAGTGTTGCTCTTGTGCTTGAACCCTGTTTCCTGGTTTGCCACAGGCATCTGGTTGGCCACTGTGGGAACAGGATGCTGGAGTAAATGGTCATTGGCCTGATCCAGCAGGCTTTTCCTGTGGTCTTGTTGTTGTTGTTTAGTCGTTCAGTCGTGTCCACCTCTTCGTGACCCCCTGGACCAGAGCACGTCAGGCACTCCTGTCTTCCACTGCCTCCTGCAGTTTGGTCAAACTCATGTTCGTAGCTTCGCGAACACTATCCAACCATCTCGTCCTCTGTTGTCCCCTTCTCCTTGTGCCCTCCATCTTTCCCAACATCAGGGTCTTTTCCAAGGAGTCTTCTCTTCTCATGAGGTGGCCAAAGTCTTGGAGCCTCAGCTTCAGGATCTGTCCTTCCAGTGAGCACTCAGGGCTGATTTCCTTCAGAATGGAGAGGTTTGATCTTCTTACAGTCCATGGGACTCTCAAGAGTCTCCTCCAGCACCAGAATTCAAAAGCATCAATTCTTTGGCAATCAGCCTTCTTTGTGGTCCATTCTGTGGTCTTAGCAGTGGGGTAAACAGCAATCTTAGCTGGCTAATCTCCTGCAACCTTCCTTTCCCTTCTCCAGGATGACAACGCCATCATAGAGATGTCCCTCAAGCTGGCCAGCATCTATGCAGCACGGAATGAGTAAGTTTGTCTGTCCAGGGGGACGTGGGGGAGGCAGTCGGGTTTTGCTGCACCAGCTGCATCCAGTTCCTCACCCCTGTCTTAGCATACTTCCATCATGGCCCCTGAAATTTCAGTAGCTGTTCCCTGTTCCCATGCAGGGGAAAGGGGACACAGCTCAGTGATACAGCCCCTGTCTTGCATCAATAATTGCGAGGTTAAATTCCAGGCAGCTGCAGGGAGGGCTGGGAATGTCCGCAGCTTGAAACGCTGGGTCTACTCAAGAGCAAATCTTAGCTGGAGACAGCCCATGATTATTGACCTGCCGAATGAATTGAGCTATCTCATCGGCCAATTTATTATTTTATTTTATTGGTTTGTTAGTGCATTAAACCAAACCTTTTCCTCTAAGGAGCCCAAGGTGGGGCGTGCTTGGTTTGCCTCCTCCCCATTCCATCCTCACAACAACCCTGCGAGGTAGGGGAGGCTGAGAGGGAGTGAGAGGCCAAAGGTCACTCAGCGAGCTTCATGGCCAGATTTGAACCCAGATCTCTCCCGGGTCCTAGTCCGACACAATGAGTGCTGCACCGCACAGGCTCCACAGGTTGTTGGAACAAAAATGTACCGTATTTTTCGCTCTATAAGACGCACCAGACCACAAGACGCACCTAGTTTTTGAAGGAGGAAAACAAGAAAAAAAATATTCTGAATCTCAGAAGCCAGAACAGCAAGAGGGATCACTGCGCAGTGAAAGCAGCAATCCCTCTTGCTGTTCTGGCTTCTGGGATAGCTGCGCAGCCTGCATTCGCTCCATAAGACACACACACATTTCCCCTTACTTTTTAGGAGGGAAAAAGTGAGTCTTATAGAGCAAAAAATATGATATTTCAGTTGGTTTTACGGAATGTACAGATACAGTTTCATTTAACCGATTTAAGTCACGCAGCCCTAAAAACACACCAAGCAGCTTCGCAGTAAGAAAACACAATGCAGCTCCCCATTTTTGGATTGTGATGACATCCTCCTCCCCACTTACTTTATTTTTCTGGTTTAGGGACAAGTTGGCCCTGGCTGGCTACGACTTCTGCATTCTGACCCTGGAGGAGAAGGTCGCAAAACAAAAGGACATCCCTGCTGACGTTTTGCCAGGTATGGTGGGAAGGCAGAACAGCTGCTTTGCATGCAGAAGGTCCCGGGGGTCCAGTCCCTGATGGCATCTCCCAGTAGGGCTGGGGATGTTCCCCCGCCTGAAACTCTAGAGCAGGCATCCCCAAACTCAGCCCTCTAGGTGTTTTTGGACTACAACTCCCATTATCCCTAGCTAACAGGACCAGTGGTCAGGGATGATGGGAATTGTAGTCCCAAAACAGCTGGAGGGCCGAGTTTGGGGGTGCCTGCTCTAGAGAGCCACTGCCAGCTAGCGTAGACAATGTTCTACATCAGGGTTTCCCAAACCTGGGTCTCCAGCTGTTTTTGGACTACAACTCCCATCATCCCAAGCGGCGGTCAGGGATGATGGGAACTGTAGTCGCAAAAACAGCTGGAGACCTAAGTCTGGGAAAGCCTGTTCTCCATCGTGCATAGTTTCAGACACCTCTATCACAATCCCGTTCCCTAAATACAGTGGTACCTCGGGTTCCAGATGCTTCAGGTTACAGACTCCGCTAACCTAGAAATATTACCTTAGGTTAAGAACTTTGCTTCAGGATGAGAACAGAAATCGTGCGGTGGTGGTGGGAGGTCCCATTAGCTAAAGTGGTACCGCAGGTTAAGAACAGTTTCCGGTTAAAAACGGACCTCCGGAATGAATTAAGTTCTTAACCCGAGGTACCACTGTAAATAAAAAAACCAAATGTAGTACCCTTCGTTATCAAACTCAGGAACTTGGATTGGTGTTCACAATTCCTCCCCGATTTCCTTTCCAACAACCCTAAGTCAGGGCAGAGGAAGAGAGGGCAGCCCAGAGGTCACCCGAGGTTTATCCTTGCATGATTTGAACCCAATACCGACACACAAATTCAGAAATGTGTGTCCCCACCTCCAAATTTTGCCTCCTCCTACCCAGTACACCCCACTGGCTCTCATTGCCACACTCCTCCTGTTCCCCACAGAGGAAGAAAAATCCAACACCCGTCTGCTCCTGGGAATGACCCTCGACTCGTACGCCCGCTACCTCCTGGCGCACAGCCAGGCAGCCGCGGCCCAGAGGATGTACGAGAGGGCGCTGCAGATCTCCATGGAGGTTCAAGGGGAGACACACCCCCAGGTGAGGGCGCAGCATGTGAGCGGAGCAGTTACGTTTCGGGAGTGGAGAACGCCGATCTTTCTCTGCAAACAAATCTAAGAGTCAAGACCGTAGCTCTGGGAAAGGGCCTGCGCAACGCATTTGGGGAACTCCCAGTTTTGATTCCCAGCACTTCCAGTAAAAAAACAACATACCGTCTTTTTCGCTCTATAAGACGCACCAAACCATAAGACGCACCTAGTTTTTGGAGGAGGAAAATAAGAAACAAAATATTCTGAATCCCAGAAGCCAGAACAGCAAGAGGGATCGCTGCGCAGTGAAAGCAGCAATCCCTCTTGCTGTTCTGGCTTCTGGGATAGCTGCGCAGCCTGCATTCGCCCCATAAGACGCACACACATTTCCCCTTACTTTTTAGGAGGGAAAAAGTGGGTCTTATAGAGCAAAAAATACGGTAACCTGCAAGTTATCAGCTGGTGGGATCCTTGCTGGATATTCCTCTGCCTGAAACCCAGGAGAACAGCTGCCAGTCAGAAAAGAAGTGGAGCAGGACTGGCGAGGGCCGCAGTCGAGAGGCCTGGAGGGCCACACTCGGCCCCTAGCTGGCCTGAGGTTCCCCACCCTTGATGTGAGCAGATTCACTGCTGAAAAGGGCCTCTGATCGCCCTTTAGGTGTTCTCAGAGCAGATCATGCTCTTTGTAGATAGACAAGGCAAGGCTGGTCGAGGAAGGATTCCTTTTGATGAGAGATCGTCCCTCCCGCTCCTTTCCCCCCCCCCCCCCAACACAGACGGTAGTTCTGATGAACGATTTGGCGACGGCTCTGGATGCTCAGGGCCTCTACGAAGATGCCTACGCGCGAGTAAGGAGGGCGTCGGAGCTGGCCCAGCAGACAGAGCACCCAGAGACCTACGTTGTGTTGAACAACTTCGCTGGGATTCTCATGCACAAAGGTGGGTTGTAAAAGGTGGGGGGGGGTTGAAGGACAGCAGGTGGGGTGGAATTGGCATTTAACTGGAGAGCTGTCATCAAAAACAAGGACAATTGTCCCCCCCCCCAACCTCCCAAATAGTCCTCTCAGTCTATTACGATCAACGACTAGTATCCAAAAAAGAAAACTTAGTACAAATATATAAAATACTGTGTTGTTGTTTTATTAGTTTATTTATATCCTGCCTCTTTCCCGAGGCAGATAAAGAGGAAGTTCTTATTTGGGCAGCACATTAAGTTGAAACTGTGGAACTCCCTCCCACTGGAGGAAGCGATGGCTGCCAACTTGGACGGCTTTAAGAAAGCACTGGACAAATTCACGGAGGAGGAGAAAGCTATTGATGGCTACTAGCCAGGATGGGCAGGCTCTGCCCCCACAGTCAGAGGCAACAAGGCTTCTGAATATCACTTGCTGGCAACTGCAGGAGGGGAGAGGGCTGCTGGGCTGCTTGCGGGTTTCCCGCAATGGGCATGTAGTTGATCACCGAGAGGACAAGATCTAGCAGCCTCTTCTCATGTTCTGAAGTCAGCTTCCAAGGCTACTCTGCCCTGCTTCCAGTTTCCCTCAAGTAACTCCTCTCTGCTCTTTTGGTCAAGGAGGATGCCTGTATTAACATCCTTGCACCGTTAACCATGGAATTGTAGAGTTGAAGGGAGCCTAAGGGTCCTGTAGTCCAACCCTCTGCGGTGCAGGAATCTCAACTACTTGCTGGCACTGACTGGCAGCATCTCGCCAGGTCTTCTAACGCAGCCCTACCTGGAGCTGCTGGGAAGTGTACCCAGGACCTAAGAAAAACTCAACCTCCAGCAATTTCTTGATCTCCTGCCCTCAGGCAGAAGATATAGAAGCATGTTTAGTCGTACCAACAGGGTAAAGAACAGCTTCTGTCCATGGGCTGTTAGGCTGCTGAATGAAAAGATAACAACAGGGCAACTGACTTTCGGGTTTGGTGGGTGTGCATCAGTAAACTAGGGAAATTAAGACTAAGAGAGCTGAGTGGGGGGTGCTTATGTAATCTCACTGTATACAAGTTGTACAAGTGACAATAAAGTATTTTAGCTAAAGCATCCATGACAGATGGCCATCCAACTTCTGCTTAAAAACCTCCATTGAAGGAGAGTCCACCATCTCCCAAAGGGGACGTCCGTTCCACTGTGGAACAGCTCTTACTTTCATAAAGCTTTTTCCTGATAATTAGAATCTCCCTTCTTGTCACTTGAATCCATTGGTTTGAGTCCTACTCTCCAGAGCAGGAGAAAACAAGTTTGCTCCATCTTCTATGGACAGTCCTTCATGTAGTTGAAAATGGCTGTCGTCATCTCCTCTCAGTCTCCTTTTTTCCAGGCTAAACGTACCCAGCTCCTTCAAGCGTTCCTTGTAAGGCTCAGTTTCCAGACCCTCAATCTCCTTAGTCGCCCTCCTCTGTACACCTTCCAGCTTGTCAACATCCTTCTTAAACGGTGGTGCCCAGAATTGGACAGAGCATTCCAGCTGTGGTCCAACCAATAATAATATAATATAATTTATTATTTATACCCCGTCCCATCTGGCTGGCCTCCCAACAAAGTATTAAAATACAGTAGTCTGTTAAACATTAAAAGCTTCCCTAAAGAGGGCTGCCTTCAGATGTCTTCTAAAAGTCTGGTAGTTCTTCTCTTTGACATCTGGTGGGAGGGCGTTCCACAGGTCGGGTGCCACTACCGAGAAGGCCCTCTGCCTTGTTCCCTGTAACTTGACCAAGGCAGAATCAAGTGGGACCATGACTTCCCTTGAGCTGGATGCAGTGCTACCTCCGGTTGAGAAGGCCTCTGGTTGCGCACGCTCCGGGTTACAGTGGTACCTCGCAAGACGAATGCCTCGCAAGACGGAAAACTCGCAAAACGAAAGGGCTTTTGGTTTTTTGAGTTGCTTCGCAAGACGATTTTCCCTATGGGCTTGCTTCGCAAGACGGAAACGTCTTGCAAGTTTGTTTCCTTTTTCTTAAAACCATGAATACAGTTGCGACTTGACTTCGAGGAGCAACTCATAGCACGCGGTGTGGTAGCCTTTTTTGAGGTTTTTGAAGACTTTTGTGATTTTTGAAGCTTTTCCAAAACTTTTCCGACACCGTGCTTCGCAAGACGGAAAAAACCGCAAGACGAAAAAACTCGCGGAACGAATTAATTTCGTCTTGCGAGGCACCACTGTACAAGCTCCGCTAACCCGGAAGTAGCCGCTCCTGGTTGAGAACTTTGCCCCAGGATGCGAGCAGAAATTGTGCAGTGGGAGGCGCCGTTAGCAAAAGCGCGGCTCATGTTACAAGCGGCTTCCGGTTATGAACAGACCTCCGGAACGGATTCCGTTGGTAACCAGAGATACCTCTGTACAGTCATACCTCGGGTTACAGCTGCTTCAGGTTGCATTTTTTCGGGTTACCGACCGCCGAAACCCGGAAGTACTGGAACGGATTACTTCCGGGTTTCGGCGGTCGTGCATGCGCAGAAGCGCCAAATCGCAACCCGCGCGTGCACAGACACGGGTTGTGAACGCTGCGGGTTGCGAACGTGCAGCGCTATGTACATAAATTTCATCATAGGAGAAAATTGTGTTTCTGTCACAGCGGGTACTTACCTCATTTGCTCCCCCCGCCCCACTTCTTTCCCACAAAACGCAGAAGAGTATTCCTCGGCAAAAGCTGTCTACAAAGAAGCCCTGCAGAAGGCAGAGGCAGCTGGAGACGGGGCTTCCGTCAGACACATCCGGAAAGAGCTGGCCGAGCTTGCCAGGCGGCAGAGGAAGGGGCCAGTCTCTACGACCAGTTCCTCAGGAGGAGAACAGAAGTGATGGAGGCGGCGCAGGAGGGAGAGGGTGGCGCAAGCGTCGGCCGCAAAACCCTCAGAAGCACAGCGTCTCCCTTTGCGTGGCAAGGACAGGTGTGTTGCGGAAAACGCAAGGCGACCCCATGAAGCATCCCTCGTAAAAAGGCCAAGAGGGGTCAGTGGGTGGGAGACCCCAGGAGGCTGGGGTGAGCTTGTGCCACCGATATATACGATGCGGGCAGGCGTCTCCGTAAATCTCTGGGCTGGGAAAGGAGACGAAAAGCTACGCTTTGCATCCCAAAACTGAATAAAGATGACTGCAGCTTAAGGGTGGATCTTTAAAAAGAAAAAAAGAGAGTTGACAACATTTACTCTGGAGATTTAAGAGGGCTGGCACCGGCCCGCTGGAGAGGGTGGGTGTTTAATCAGGGTGAAGGGCCCTGGGGAAAAAGAAAGAAGTGGGTGGCGGAATGGGAGAATTGGCTTCCCTTTCCGTTTCTTCCTCCTCCTTCCCCAACCCCAGCGGTTCAGAGGAGCTGGTGGGAGCCAGTTCAACTCCTGGGAAAGGGACACACAGTTCGTTTGGCGGCACGAGGCAGAAATGCTTCCGCAGGAGGCGAGAGGGCTCTCTTGCACTCAAATCCTGTTTGCTGGTGTCCTGTTAATGGCATCTAGTCAGCCACAGTGAGAACAGGATGCTGGTCCTGGGTACACTTCCCAGCATCTCCAGGTAGGGCTGCCTTAGGAGTCCTGGCGAGATGCTGCCAGTCAGTGCCAGCAATGCTGGTGTAGGTGGACCCTGTGACTCTGTCACAAGCCAGCTTCTGCTCTCTCTTCCTTTGCCTCTGCTCTTCCCCATTTGGTGGTGAGGACTGGGGCAGCGCCTAAGACGGAAGGATCTTGTTTTGGGTTGTCTGCCTCTCCTGACCAGCCCTCCACAACAGGGGCCTTCCTGCTGGCCAGACTTCAGGACTCCCCTAAACCTAGAGCAACAGGGGAGAAGCACCCCCATGAAGCAGGGCGACAAGAGAGCCCCTCGTGCAAACAGGGCAACGTGTGTGGTAAAGGTAAAGGGACCCCTGGCCGCCAGGTCGTCGCGGACGACTCTGGGGTTGCGGCGCTCATCTCACTTTATTGGCTGAGGGAGCCAGCATACAGCTTCCGGTCATGTGGCCAGCATGACTGAGCCGCTTCTGGCAAACCAGAGCAGCGCACGGAAACGCCGTTTACCTTCCCACCAGAGCGGTACCTATTGATCTACTTGCACTTTGACGAGCTTTCGAACTGCTAGGTTGGCAGGAGCAGGGACCGAGCAACGGGAGCTCACCCCATCGCAGGGATTCGAACCACCGACCTTCTGATCGGCAAGCCCTAGGCTCTGTGGTTTAACCCACAGTGCCACCCGCATCCCTATTAACGTGTGTGGTACTGGGGAGCATTGGGCATGATAGGGAGCCAGGAGGATGTACTACATCGTGTGTCGGGGGAGAGATTAGGGGGCAGGATGCGGCCCATGCAGTGGGCTGCAGGGAAGAGTTGCAGAAGAAGTCCACTTGCCGTCCCTCTTCTGGTCCGTGCAAGAGAAGCCAGCTTGGCCCATTGGGTGTGCAAGGCATCACTGGACTCACAACTCCCCCCAACCATCCTGGGAGCTGGAGTCCAAGAGCAGCTGCAGGGCTGCAGGATCCCTGTTCCTGGAGACAAATCTACAGAGGATGAGGCTGCCGGTAGCTCCCAGGAACACCGTCTCCATTTGGGAGGCACTGATTTCTCCGAATCCCACTTGCTGGGAGAGTTGCTGCTATTGCAACCCAGGTCTGTCTTGCTGTAAAGGTAAAGGGACCCCTGACCATTAGGTCTAGTTGTGGCCGACTCTGGGGTTGCGGCACTCATCTCGCTTTACTGGCTGAGGGAGCCGGCGTACAGCTTCCAGGTCATGTGGCCAGCATGACTAAGCCGCTTCTGGCGAACCAGAGCAGCGCACAGAAACGCCGTTTACCTTCCCGCCGGAGCGGTACCTATTTATCTACTTGCAGTTTGACGTGCTTTTGAACTGCTAGGTTGGCAGGAGCTGGGACCGAGCAACGAGAGCTCACCCCATCGTGGGGATTCGAACCGCCGACCTTCCGATCGGCAAGCCCAAGAGGTTCTGTGGATTAACCCACGGCGCCACCCATGTCCCTTACACCTTGCTTGCCCTATCTTCTTTGAAATTGCCTAATCCATTTCTGAAGCCATCCAAGTCGGTGGCCGTCACTTCCTCCTGCAGCAGCGAGTTCCACAGTTCAACTATGCGCTGCACGAAGAACTATTTCCTTTTATCCACCCTGAATCTTCCGACAAAATTGGGAGAAGGGAAAAAGACTTCCAGCAGAACCGCAGCTTTCCACCCCAGCCACCCACACCCTGTGTGCCCCAGTAATGGAATCTTAAGAAGACAAAACTCACCCGGAGCCTTCTGATTTAGGGAAACAAATTTACTAGGGCTGCCCGTCAAAGCAACAAGTGGGGTGGGGGTTTTTTTCCTTTTAAAAACAACAGACAATGTTGAAGCAAAAGAATTATCGGGACCGGGACGCGCTGTGCCATTCAAGCAGTTCAGTGTGTGGCCGGCGAGGGGACCCTCGCCATGTCTGAGTTATCAGGGAGCGAGAGAAGGGAGCTTCACCATTATGTACCCATGCAATAAAAGTATTTTCACAGTGTTGCCAAACAGAAACCCAACTGTATGGGGAAAGAAAATTTACAGCGTGGCAGAATCATTAAAAAGACCTCCTCACCTGCCAGAGGGCCAGGCTTGGTTTGTATTAAAAATAAAAATAAATGTACAGGATTCATTAAACGGGGTCAGTTTAAAAAAAAAAAAAGTTTTCCCACAAGGTGTTGAACAACCACAGAAAAGGGGAGGGAGGAAAGTCCCTAGAATTAGGTGGGGGGGGGAGAGGAAAGATTGTTTGGTGCCACTTGCAAGAAGTAGCTCTCTGCAGATCAAGCAAGGGTGGGACGCGGAGGGGGAACTTAGGGGTGTGAGCCTGGTTGGGGGACACGTTGGCTGTGGGTGCCCCTCAAAACCGGAGCTCACAGGCAGGGGATGTCCTGGGCTGTATCGCGTGCTCAAAATATTATACCCTTTGATAAAACACTTTACTTAAAAATAAAAAGATAAAATGACCCCAAAACATTTATGCAATGATTTGATTGAACATAAGCACACCAGATACCTAGCAACAGAGCTGGGACAGGGGAATGTGGAAAGGGGGGAGGGGGACACAGCAGGAAAAAAAAGTTACCTCTATTTACATAAGAATGATTTTTTTTTTCCTTAAGGAGACATTATGTTAGGCTTTTTCTCTTTACAAATAAAAGATGTCGCTCAGGAATAGGTCCTTTTTTTCCTTCCTTTCCTTTCCTCTTTTTGTTAAAAAAACAACAAACAAAACCTCTTTACATATTTATCTTCAGGGCACTGAGCCTCCCCTTGCTCACGTAGGCTTGCGTAGAAAGGGAGTCTTGATAAAAATAAAAACCACCCCCCCACACACACAAAACCGGCTCCTGTAACTCCTTCATCTTCCAAGGTCCCGGCTCTCGCTTGCAAAGTCTTTGGTGGGGGGGGGGGCGTGTCATTTTAAAAACAAAAAGCGCAACCCAACAGCTTCCGACGCAGAAATGAAGTTTCTTTTACAAAAGGCTCCTTCCCCTCCCCTCCCTGGGCCGCCTCCTCCTCCTCCTGGTTCAGTCGTCGCTGTCCGAAAGCGTCTCGTACTGGGCGGACAGGAGGGGCGCCGGCTCCCGTTCCCATATCCGGTTGGGCTGGTGGGAGGCGGCCTGGCTGACCGAGGGAGGGGCGCAGGCGATGGACGTTGGAGGGGTGCTGCTCAACATGCGCATGGTCAGAGGGTTGTATGGGAACTGCGTGGATCCTGGAGGGTTAAGGTTTTGGAAGCGGGGAGGGAAAAGAAGAAGAAGAAATGAGGGGTTGAAATATCATCCCAAGTCCTACCAGCCTGTGCACAGAGCCCCCAGCCCAATCCTGCATTTTGGATCAAGCACATTCCAACCCAGGGTTGACTAGACTCGAGAGGAATTGAACGTTAGATTAGGAGGTTAAACCTGAACTACTACCTTGTGCAACTGGTGGGGGACAAGATCTTGTGGCAACAGCTAGTGTGCGGTTCGCAAATCCTTCCCCCTCCAGGTGGTTCTCAATAGAGTCCTCCGAGCTCTGCTACAGGAGACCCACTGGTTGTCTACCTGAACAGAATAGCGTAAGCCAGGGGTGCCCAAACTTTGTTCAAAGAGGGCCAGATTTGATGAAGTGCACAAAGTTGTTAACTTTTTTTTAGGATTGAAGGTGCTGAGCTTTTTTGGGGATTTTACCCCAGGAAACAATCCAACCATCAGGCTGGATTAGGCCCCCCAAAATGGACTTTGGACATGCCTGGCGTAAGAGAATACCAGATCAGGCCAATCAATGGTCTCTCTAGTCCAGCCTCCAGCTCTCGCAGTGACTGGCCAGTGAAACCCACAATCAGGATCTGAACCCAATAGCTTATCTCCCCTCCGGCGGTTTCCAGCTACAGTCGTACCTCGGAAGTCGAATGGAATCCGTTCCGGAAGTCCGTTTAACTTTCAAAATGTTTGGAAACTAAGGCACGGCTTCCGGAAGCCCCGTTGGGCGTTCGGGTTCCAAAGAACGTTCGCAAACCAGAACACTCACTTCCAGGTTTGCAGTGTTCAAGAGCCAAAACGTTCGACTTGGAAGGCATTCAGGATCCAAGTTATGACTGTACTGGGATTTAGAAACATGGCTGCCTCCAGCTGTGGGAGCAGAGCCATTGTGGCTGGTAGGCAGGGACAGTCCTTTCCTCCTCAGTGAATAGGCCTTTCCTCCCTGTGAGGACATATCAAGCCATTGGTATTATTGGCCCGCACCTGGGGATTGCCCTGTCTCAGTATATTTATTGACTGTTTCTGTTTCACAAAACTTATACGGCACTTGACTGTAAGGACAGCAGAGCATCCTATCCCTTTCAATCTAATTGTGATTTCGTTCTGGTTATAAGCCACCCCTGTTTTCTTTCATTGGAGTCTCCCAGGGATGTCCAACAGGTCGATCGCGATCTACTCGTAGATCCCCGCGAGGTTTTGGTAGATCGCAGTCAATCTCTGCCTCCCTTTCCTTAGCGTCACTAAAACTGACTCCTGCCACACCACACCCTCCATTGTTGTATGATCTCTGGAAGGGAAGACAGAGCTTTCTCTGTGCTGATGTTTTCATCCATAGCAATCTTTTGTGACTTTACCCCTTTGTCCCTTGCCTTTAACCCCCCCCCATGGAACTCCCCCCCAAAAGCTGTTTTTTTAACCCCTAAAACGGGGCTTTTCTCCTCCCTAAATAAGTTCAACAACTTTGAGCTGAACCCCTCCAAAATGGGGGTAGATCACTGCCAGTTTTTAATTCTGAAAGTAGATTTCAGTCTCTCGAGAGTTGGCCATCCCTGTATCCTTTTCCCATTTGCCTTTTTAACATGGTTTGGTGGCTAAGCTGATCTGTTTTCTTTCAATGGCACATCCATGCCGGACTCCTGTCTGAAACGCTGATGAGCCAATGTCAGTGCGTGTTGACAACACTAAGCCGATGGCCCACGGTCTGACTCTGCCTAAGGCAGCTTCCTGTGGCTCTGTTTAAAGGAGCTCTCCATTCAGAACCATGAGGACTGCAAACTTGGCTTTTCATTTTAAGGGAAGAGCTGCAGCTTACTGGAAAGGAAAGCTGCCTTGCTAGGTAGCCTGGTGGCCTAAAGAAGCTGCCTAATTTGCTTTGATTTACACCAGGGGTCAGCAAACTTTTAAAGCAGGAGGCCGGTCCACTGTCCCTCAGACCTTGTGGGGGGGCCAGACTACATTTTTTGGGGGGAAATGAACGAATTCCTATGCCCCACAAATAACCCAGAGATACATTTTAAATAAAAGGACACATTCTACTCATGTAAAAACATGCTGATTTCCGGACCATCCGCGGGCCAGATTGAGAAGGTGATTGGGCTGGATCTGGCCCTCGGGCCTTAGTTTGCCTACCCATGCTTTACGCAAACAAATAAAAGCAGCCTTCTGGAAGATCTTGCCACCCACAGCAAGGCGCTTCCTCGTGGCGCCCACAACTGGCCTGGCTCACCTGTGGAGGAGGGCCGGTCTTCCCACGACCACACCGGCGTCTGCCTGTGGTAGTCCCCTTCTGAGTGCACCGACGAGACCGACGAGGGCCGCTCTGTCCCCAAGTAGCCTTGCCCGGGGATCGGAGACTTGGACTTCCTGCTGCCCGATTTCCCCATCAGCTTTTGCTTGCTGACACCACCTGGAAAAAGGAAAGGTGGAGGGAGGGATGCCAGCGCCTCTTCCACACCCTCGGACAGAGACTGCCCAGTTCTCTGCAACAGAGGGGGGGTGCCCCTTCATGTGGGGTGAGAATGGGACACGGGCTGCTGCGTGGGCAGGGGACTTGGTTTCAAAAGTTGCATTCAAATTGTTTTTATAAAGGAATGCAAGGTCCAGCATCCTGTTCTCACAGTAGCCAACCAGTTGCCATCTTTGGCTACATGCTGCCTTCACTGAAGGCATAGCATCATAAGAGTTGGAAGGGGTTCCAAGGGTCATCTAGTCCAACCCCTGCAATGCAGGAATCTCAACTAAAACATCCATGACAGAGGGCCATCCAACCTCTGCCATCCAACCTCCTGGTCGCCCTCCTCTGCACAACTTCTGGCTTGTCAACATCCTTCTTAAATTGTGGCACCCAGAACTGGACACAGGGCTCCAGGTAGGGCCTGACTAAGGCAGAATAGAATGGTCCAATTACTTCCCTTGATCTGGACTCTATACTTCAGTTGATGCAGTCTAGAATAGCATTAGCTTATTTTTTGCTGCTGCATCACATTATTTAGGGAAGCTTTTAACATTTAATAGACTATTGTATTTTAATATTCTGTTGGAAGCCGTCCAGAGTGGCTGGGGAAACCCAGCCAGATGGGCAGGGTATAAATAATAAATAATAATAATAATAATAATAATTATTATTATTATTATTATTATTATTATTTACTTGTGTTCAGCTTGCGGTCTACAAAGACCCCTAGATCCTTTTCACATGCAAGCCAGGTGTCCCCATCTTACATTTGTGCAGCTGGTTCTTCCTGCCTAAGGTAAAGGTAAAGGTACCCCTGACCATTAGGTCCATTTGTGGCCGACTCTGGGGTTGCGGCGCTCATCTCGCTTTACTGGCCAAGGGAGCTGGCATACAGCTTCCGGGTCATGTGTCCAGCATGACTAAGCCGCTTCTGACGAACCAGAGCAGCGCACGGAAACGCTGTTTACCTTCCCGCCAGAATGGTACCTATTTATCTACTTGCACTTTGACGTGCTTTCGAACTGCTAGGTTGGCAGGAGCAGGGACCGAGCAACGGGAGCTCACCCCATCACGGGGATTCGAACCGCCGACCTTCTGATCGACAAGTCCTAGGCTCTGTGGTTTAACCCACAGCGCCACCTGTGAAGTCAATTGGAGATTGAGGGCATGTGACATAAATGAATGATAAGACGAGTCCTGCTGGATCAGGCCAAAGGGGGCCCATTTAGTGCAGAATCCTGTTCTCGCAGTGGCAGATTCCCTTAAGCAGGACCAAGCGCAAGAACAACTGTCCCCTTCTGTGGTTCACAGAAGCTGGTGCTCAAAGGAAGCATTGCTACCTGCAGCCATGAAGCCGCAAACTTTGTGCATGAAGGACCTGCTGTGCCCACGCAGCCGCCGCAAGCTTCCCCCCAAGCGTGCCGCGGCCGCCC